AAACTTATTTGTAAATAACGCCAGAGTGTTGAATTTAGTGCAAAATACTCACATGTATAATTAAATACTTTCCAAACTAGTATTTTATAATAAAATTTAATTAAAATGTATGAAATTTCAGTGCTGGGATGCAGGATTTAGTCCAAAAGTAACGGTTAAATGAAATTACCCTCAAAGCGTTAACCTAATTTCACTACACTCATAAAAACATTATTATATTTACAGTTATGATATAGAATTATTAATGGTAAATAAATTGTCTGCGCCGTAAAAAATTCACAGATTTTTTTTTACAAAGGCAAAGCTGTTTTTTGTCCTGTATTTTTATCCTGTGCCTTTAAACCCCCCGAAAAAGGACTGTTTTTGACAAGGTTAAATTAAATCATTCATCTTTTATTAATTTTTTTTCTGCATCCGTAATTTAAATCCCGAGAAAAATATTTCGTTATTAATACGTTGGTGGATTGCGATGCAAGATGTCACCGGGATTACAAAAGCGTGGAAAATTGAATGCCGCCCCCACGAGGACATTTTGTGATACACGTTTTTGACGTGTCGCAATATCGACGGCGGTGAATAAATACGATTCTTCACGAAATTCCAATATATAGTTGGCGTTCACGGCATGCAGAAGAGCAGCGCTTCGGAGGCGGCACCATAAGGTGCGAACATGTGCGCGAATGCGGACGTGTGAGTGCGCGAGTGCGGATGCGAATGTTCACGCATGCAAAGTGGAAGGCTGCTTCCTGTTTGCCGCCTCCGCGCTTCCGTTTCACTTCGTTTTCGGGCGCGAACATGTGGAATTCACTCGCGTCAAAGTACTACATTTCGAAAATGGTAATAATAGCCGTAAAATATTCAAGAAAATTGACTTCGCATTTGCAATCATGATAATCACAGCGATTTTAAGCGAAAGAAAATTTGTATTTTTAGAATTTTACTAAAAGCACTGCGCGGAAGAATTTTATCGGTGATAATTTTAAATTTACATTTTCATGTGAAAAAACATTAAAATATTCGACACATTCGACAGGGTGCACATATGTGACCAAACTCTCTGCGCAGCAAAAAAAAAATTGCAAAACTTGCAAATGAATCCCGGGGTGTTAAATATCGATAGTCCTAGCAGCGTTCCCGCTGTGTAATAATTCAACATTAAACCGTTTGCGCGCGTCCCTCTGTCGACATCGTCCCCGTTTGTGTTTATTTCTTTCGAATTTATTTCCACCATATCGCACTCTGCATTCCGCATTCTGCTTCGCACAGCAGCGCAATAAAACGCGCCGCATGCCCGCATAAATAACGAATTATTATCCTTCACAGTCTTCACTGCGAATAGTGCCCAAACAGGACTTCCGCCCATTCCTCCCATAGGACCCAAACGCACGCCCGGCAAGATTAAGTCCAAGATACACTCCGGCGGTATTGATTCTGGATCATTTCTCATTGGTTATTCAGTCGGACTGCTCTCATGACCGGAATAAATTATCAATCCAAACGCGGCGCGGCGCGCCTCTCAAGACCCCAATAAAGTTGAGTAAACAAAAAATAATCCAATTAAAAGCAGCGGATTAGAGATAGTTGGGCATCAAAAACAAAGCGCGCTTAAAATGTCGAAATAGTGACAGATTGCGCTGTGACATGGCGGATTTATGCGCTCACTATGTTTTGCTGCAGCCGAGTGAATACACCTTCAAGCCTCCGGAGCGCAGCGAGTGCTTTGGGAGCAGCTATATATGCAAACCTAGGAATTATAGCCGATGGACGGGTGCTACACGGGAGCGTAATGCGCGACGAACAGCATGAACAACTCGCGTGTGACGTGCACTGTAAACAGATTTTCGAGTTAATCCCGAGCGGAGCGAATCGTGACACATCCACTTTCCACGTCAGAAAAACACCATACAACGATGCAATTTAGTGCAAAACTACACAAAATAACTATTTTGATTTCAACGCGAATTTTGATTGCAATTAACGCATAAATCATAAATAAATAATTTTTGTATTTTTTTCGGAGGTAAGAATGGTGGAATTCTAATTTAAGATAGTTTACAAGCTGAAACAAAGATGTTTACCCCAGTTTTTTGCCGGCTGCCGCTCGGAGATGAACTTTAACGCGATTAATGAAGCGAGTTAAAACACAGATAAGCCGGCAAACGGCGTACCGGGCGCGCTCACAAATTGAAAAATATTGCTGCACATTTAGTTAATGCTCGCGCATTAATAACGGAAGTTGTGCGCGCCGGCAGCGCGACTCTCGCTGCACCGGAAGACGCGCATCTTTTATTTATTACAATCTTTAGGTTTTATTGCGCGCGCTTGGACCCAAACAAACAAAAATTCAAATTAAGTTTACGTACTGCTCTCAGTTACTCATTTTACTTTGATTTTTTGCGCATTTTGAATGTTTGTACAGTTATTTCTTTTTTATTTGAATAGTATATTAAGTAACAAGTGGTTAAAGGAAGACTTTACTCACTAGTTTGATTGAGTGTGAGTGTAGAGAGCGTTTAAGCAATCGAGTGTTTAACAACGTTTAGCCACGTGACGCTTAAGCTATTTTTTCTACTGCCACTTTATTTCCATGTTGAGCCGCAGCAGCGCCTGCTTTGACGTGTTTAACTGACGTCGTATGGTATTTTATACGGTCTTGTGCTGCATCGTAGGCAAATGCGCATGCGCAACCTCAGTCCCGTAGATAATGCCCGTATATAATAGACATTACTCACGGCTTGACCCTTCGTATATAAACTACTACTTTTTATGCCCAAAAACCGTGGAAAAACTGCCGCTTTGTAGATGAAAGTAGAAAAAATATTTATAAAAAATACGTATACCCATCAATATCCTTACTGTAAGTAATAGAAGAAGCATCTGCGAACGGTGGCTGAATGCGGAATGATTATGAAAACCGACTGCGGAAATGTGAAATAAAGTGAAAACATTACTTATCCGGCCCGGGTGCCGGAGCGAAACCTTCGAATCCCTGCCAGTCGTGCGCCTTTTTTATTAAATTTCGATTTGGAGTTTCGTAATCCGATAAAGCCGCGCAGACACATCGAGCGAAAAGGTCCGAAATATTACTACTACTATACTAGCTTTAACACTACTGGAAACCCCAAAAAAAAAAGCACGCAATCTTCATCATCAAGGACCTAACCCCAAGTGTTCATTGTTTCCCAGGCGCGTGATTAACAAGCCAAATGATGCCACGCGCATGTGGCCCTTTCGGCATGTTGTAATTAATTTTTGCGCCGCGCTGAATATGCGAAACATTTGTAACAAATTTTGACGAGCGACGTGCGGGACGCCAAAACCCTTCTCGCAAAAGGCGAACCCTTGACATGCCGCCGCCGCCGCCGCCGCCAAACCAAGGTAAGGTGAAGTTGAAGAGATACGTTGCGATGCCTTCGAGCGGGGTTTTGGAAATTCAAGCCGGCGGGTGCGCCCGCCGCTGGATTTATTGCCGACGTTGAATAGTACTTTGCCACAGGTATGCCTGCGAATTCGGCGCGTTCGGCCGTATGTAGGCCGCATTATAATATATTTCGCCTAGCGGAGGTGCGCTTATTTATGGGCTGGTGGTGCCGGCGGCGCCGTCGACCTCGGAAATCATTTCTGGATTGCTCCCATATCTCATATTTGCCAAAGCAACCGAAAAAAAAAAATATGACTTCATGCAAACACACGTTCGTCCTCGTTTCAACTAATGAGAAGCCTCCGTGTACGCCATGTTGTACTTCGTAGTATATTATCACAAAACTTTCCGCATGATTAGAAATGATGGCGGGACATGCAGAGAACAGAAATGACAGGATTATTACCGCCCGACAAACAAAGGCTCTTGTTAGCACTGAGATAACGAAACGAAACGATAACGGCCGTTTGCCGCCCCCGCCGGGCCGTAACTGTGGCGGTTTCCCAGCGAAGACTAGTCGTAGCACATCCTCGGCGGGTACGTGCCGCTGCAAACTACCATAGGTACGGCGCCGGCCGCCCGATAATGGAATAACAATGGGGCGCAAATTTATGCGCGCGGCGCTACGAAAGCGAACGCCCTTTTTCCGGCGGCGGCGGCGGCCGCGTGGCTGATTACAAATTGGCCGGCTTACGGACTCGCATCGCACATCCCGGCGACATAAACCACGATTTGCTGCTGGTGCTCGCTCTCCGGGGAGGAGGAAAAGGCAGTCGATTTGATTTCGGAAAGGAAAGCACTCCCTATTGTACGTGTCCGCGTACGTGGTTCTACTTCCGGCGCGTGACAAACGCGCGCAAAGTGCAAATCATCTAATCGTGCGTTTAACTTAAAATTACTAGCGCACAGAGTTGAAAGATGCCGACGTTATACTAACACATACATACTTACATAGACGCCGAGTATTCAAGTTAATCAATTCGCAAGTAGTTGGAGTCGAGTGGTTAAAGTGGCCGTGCATGAACTGCATCGATCGCAAACGCCTTTGATTTCGCAATGCCGCCGACCAAAAACCGAAAATAATTAAAATTCTTTCGGGCGCGCGCGCGCGCGTCTCGCTCCGCCGAGTTTTGATTCGGATGGGAATTTCGAACTTGCGACGAATTAAGTTCGCTCGGCTGGTGCACAAACAACGGCCACTTCACTCGACGCTGGCGGCTGCGGTGGCGCAAGTTAAAAAGTACAACTTTTATTATGGTAATCTTTTATCGCCGCGTGCATTCCGATTCGGTTTATTTTACTCTTGCACAAAACGGGGCGCTTATTGTCAAAGGCCGTTTTTCTTTCGGCTTTCCTGCGTGTGTTTTCAACCCCACATAAAATAACACAACGACAGAAAGCCCCAGAGACACCCGAGGCCAGCCGGACGACTAGGAAATGAACAAATTGTGAAATTAAACGAAGCGCACTACAAATACCATAGTTTAACCCAAACACACAAGTTCGCTGGTTCTTTGAAGTCCATTGCATCGCACAACATTTAAAATTATTCCGCTACTAGTAATTTCTTTGTACTTACAGTAAAAGGCAGCAGAAGCTCATGCGTCTCGTTGCCCTTCCACAGTTGCGAATCCCTCGGCAATAACGGCAGATCGCATCCGAGCAAATCGACCTTCTCCTCCAACTGGGTCTGAATGCGCTGCGGAATGAATTCGTTCGTCGGCGTCGTAGAGGATGCCGCCGCCGCCGCTGTTGGAGTCAGTGTTGTTGAAGTTGACGGCGTGGCTTTCTTTGTCGGCGGCGATGAAATTCCTCCTGCTGTCGTCGCATCGGTCGACATGATTCTATTTGTCGTGCTCGTCGCTTCAGATAAGACAGACTGTTGCACGCTGGTGCCGCTAGAGGGCGGACTGCTCGCACTCGCAATTGTACTTGTAACCCTTGTGATTACAGTCGTTGCAGCATTTCCGACAATTGGAATTGCACTCGTTGCGTGAGTATTTTCCTTGGGTTGGGCGCTTGTTGACAAGGCGATGGGAATTCTTCCGGTTGTTATTGACGACGGCTGGGTTACCAACGGTGACTCTACGCCATGCACCAACGAGAGAGTCATTTGGAGTGCCAGCAGACACAATACCGAACGGTATTTCATTTTATTTTCGGTTATTTACTCGGTTTTTACGAAGAAAATCATTTGGATGTGTGTATAACCTAGAAATAGAGAAAAAGTTTGGTTAGGATAAAAGGACTTAACCTAATCCCTACTAATATTATAAATGCGAAAGTCCTGATGTTTGTTACACTTTCACGCAAAAACTACTTAACCGATCATCATGAAAATTTGTACACATATTCTTAGTGGTCCCCGAATGGTTACAGGCTACTTTTTATTTAATAAAAAAAATTATTTTTTAAATAAAATAAAGAAATTGTTTAGCCAATAATACCTCTGCATCTGGCTATTTGACTACTTCAACGCCATCTAGCATTCCAGCAATGAAGCTCAAACCTAAGTACTATAGTACCATCACACTGTATTATCACACTGTATTACCGACAGCTACGTCAACATCAAATCCAATTGACTACACCATGGAGACTGTTCACTATACTTCAATAGACTATACTTTCAGCCATTTTAAACTTCCCGCCATTCTACTTCATTGTTACTTCTTCTGTGACTACAGACGCGTACGGAAGCAACTTCATTATTTTAGATATTCGCGAGCGAAGCCGCGGCTTAAAGCAAGTAATCTATAATGTAAAAATAAATCGTAAAATTTGTTGGTAAGCGCATAACTCAACAACGCCTCGACCAATTTGGCCAATTATTTTTTTTAAATGTTCGTTAAAGTCTTAGGATGGTTTTTACGGCAAGAAAAATTCGAATAATTACCGGGAAAAGCCTAAAGACAGCCCTTTTATATAAGATAAAAGTTGACATTGAGATTCAATCATAGTAATAGTTAAATAGTTGAATCCGCGATGGCGCGCTGAAGTGCATTATTAACTATTCTTTATATAATTATTTTTTAAAATAAAATTGCGAATCTTATTGATAGAATTAACACATACTACGTGTATGTCTAGAAAAGAGAGTAAAAAAAATTACATTTTTATTAAGTTGCGGGCAAAAGCTAGTACTTAATATTAATGGATTTATGGATTACGTAATGAATAATTAACGCAAATTGCTGTGAAATATAATATTTCACCATGGTTGCGCTGGTAACAGCGTACATGACAACTCAATTAACCCATTCTTGGACAGCGGATGACCGAGGAGAGTCCGCCCATCACTCACGTCGAGAGCGGGAAGCATCTGCACAGCAGGAAGCACACCACTGATGTGCTACCACCAATTAGACAATCCATTCAATAAGTTTGCGCCCGATGCGGCGTCCTCGTGCCGGATCACGTCCGCGGCGCGGTCTTACGTAATCCGGCCACGTTTACGGCCAGAATTCGATATCGAAGACTGACACGCCGGAGTTTTCCATTCGCTCAATATGTCCCGCAACTACAACTTCGGTTTCTACTTCAAGCAAATTGCGCTTTTGCCAAAAAGAGGAGCTGATATTCCTTTCATCACAAACAAAAATAAAAAGAAAAAACTCTTTTACTTTAAGAGTATTCAGAGCTGAAGGGAAAACAAACCGAAAAAAAAAGAGAGGAAAAAAGCAGAAAATGCAAAATAACTGAACCAATAGTAGAAATTCAAGCGGAATTTCTAGTTTCTTTTAAAAGTAGTCCGTGGAAATATTTGTGTAAAAACCGCATGGTTCCCGGCTAACAATTCCACACGCATTGTGGGTATATTGTCCATTCTGCACGGTTTCATTTCGTTGCGGTGCAAAATTGCAATGCTTCAATGCATTTTCGCGCTAATTAATTAAGCGCGCAATCGCCGCAAGAATGCAACGCGCCGAGAATCTTGAAAATAAAAGGAAAAAAGTACTAAAAATAAAATAAACTTAGAGTTTCCTCCAGCGGCTACATTTCAATCAAATTATCTTAGTATTTATTTAAGAAAAACATAAAATTTTAATTTCTCAAAATGTAAATTTTATTGATTTTCAAACAAAAACGCTATTAATGAAGCAAGAATGAAACGGCAAGGACGCCGAGGCCCCGAAAACAAATGATTAATATTAAAATCATTATCCGGTTCAGCAGTCGCCTGACGCTCGGAATGCTGCCCCCCAGATTGATATTACTCTCTCGGCGGGTCGAAGCGCTTAATTAATAGCGTCATATTCAGCCTCATGCCGAGGCCACTTGCGCGCGTCAGATACCTACTCGAATTCGTCGAGAACTCTGAACTTCGATTGCGATTTTCCTTACTCCACCAATCTTACAATTACCCAACACGCTAATGGTTTTCTCCGTATTAATATATTCAATATTCAAATCGAATCTTCTCTAAGCTGTAAAGTGATATTTATATCAATTAGTCGCTAACCCGCCGACTGACTCCGAAACTACACTATTACCTGATACCTCCGGTTTACGACTTGTGCATAGTTCGTGGTCTTAGCCGCGCAGATCTCGAGTTTATGCCGTGACGGCAAGCGCATTAAAATTTGCGCGGTCGCATTTGCGGTCTCGTGACTGCCGTCTTGCTTTCCACGGCGACAAGAAGCAGTGAAACCGTTCACGGTGGCGCGGCGAATTCCCAGCGGAATGTCGCCGCCGGCGTCAAACGATCGCGGCGGATTTAATGCAAGCAAACGCATCGCAAAACAACAACAACGGGTTAAAAACCAGCACACTCCATGTCAAAACATTCAAAATAACACAAAATAAAAAGATGATTATCTTTTGAAAAGGCGTAATTTTCGCGCGTCTGAATTTGGCAGGCGATAAGGATAAGCATGAAGATTTCAATTTTATTCGAACGATTTTCGTCTGAGGCTGGGTCTGAGAGTCCGGAGTTTGGAAATTGGATGCGAATGAATGTTTTACACGGCCGTGTTTCGCGTCGTCGCGTCGTCGTCGTCGTCGTGGTGCGACTTGTTAATGCAGACACCCTTCAAACGCTCTTCGCGAGAGAAGATGAAAGTTTCCACAGTGAGCCTGAGTGTCCTCGGCCTCAGCTGCTCGCAGCGCGGATAAATAATAAATTGTAAAATTAGGAAAGTTTGTCGCGGGGATATTCTTCAGTTTTCGTCAAGGCACGCTTAAAAAATAATGAAACATTTGCATCGACTCCCATGGTGTACTTAGGCCTGACATTAATACATTTTTAGTTTGATTTTTGGGTGAATTTAATCTTAAAACGATGAAAATCATGTTAAAAACGTGTTTTTTATTATAATTTATTTGTTTTGAACTTAATACCTGTGTTTTTATTTAATTTTGTTTTGTCTACCAGTGTTATACACCCAGTTAGACGGTTAATTTTCTTTTTGTGCCATTTAATTTTAATTAATAATGCATTAATGCGACTTAGCAAACAAGAACTTTGACCCAGCGTAACGAAGACAAAAAAAGGCTAAGAAACGGCGAAATGCTTGTTATCTGCAAGACGGAATCTGCTTAAAAGTGTCCGAAATAATTCAACGAGATGCTTAAGCGCTAAATCGCTTTGCGCGTCACGTTTCTCGCAGCGTTTAAAATTGAAATGTTCAAATTCAGTTCCGAAGCAATTACTGCAAGTATTACAATCAATTTTTAATGCTCGTTAAATTTCCCTTTGAAAAAAATAAACTTTATTCCAACCATTTCGGTGTCGATTCAACAATAAATTTTTTATTTCCACGCTTTGGGAGCGATTATACGTTTTGTTTGAACAGATATTATTGCAATATGTAACGAGAGAATATCAAAGCGAATATAAAACGCAATGCAGCGCATATTCAAAGATGGCAGGCGGTAAATGAAAGATGGAAAATGGAGACCGCCAAAGCGTGAATTGCGCACAATGTGCGCGAACACATCCACAGAGCGAAAGCGTTGCGCATTGGATTGTGCAGAATATGATGGGTCTTGTGTGTGCACAACGCCGCATTCGGTAATAATGTTCGCCGGCGCCTCCGCCAAGTTTGTTTGATATGCATCGAGTGGTGGCGGCGGTGGTGGGCGGCAGAGTGCACGAATTACCGCCGGGCGCATCACATAAATATGCATTTAGTACCGCGCGCATTTCCTGCTATAAAATTAAGTGTGTTTCGATGCGGAATTGACAAAATTCGAATAATTACATTACACACACGACTTTGCGGTGTATACTTGGTTGCATACCACAAAAAAATTATTAAAATTAAAATTAATGATGGAATTATTGGTCGATACGTCTAATTATCCATCGTAGCGTAAATCAGCGCGTAATTTATAATCGACGGTGACGGCGACATCAATATCAGCTTGCCAAGGTGTCACATGCATCATGCGTTCGCGCCGTGGAAAATGCAAACGCTCGCAATGTATATTTGCGTTCTGACGACGCCGCACTCATTAATTACGCTCGTCCTCGTGCGTGCGCGTGTGTGCGTTCTCGCCGAAATTGCGCGCCGCGCACCCTTGTGAAGCAAACATATTCGTTTCGCGCCCGGAGGCGGCGTTTTTCATGCCCGACGGATTAATCGCAATTTTGCCGACTCAAACGCGCAACTTTTTGCTCACATTAAGTGGAACGTTTTTTTTTTATTTCTCTGTACCAGTTCATAATCAGAGCTTAGCTTAGGTTTCTAAATTTTTAAACGCAAATAATATTTCAGTGGAGGATTATTTTCTCATTGTCGGTAGCTCATCGTGCGCAATTAAAATTACAAGCCTCTCATTTGATTCCCCGAACATTTGTCCGAGGGATCCCGAGTTGATTGAAAATTGAAAATGGGTATTTCGCCCAATTTTCGCGTGATGTTTACGCAATACCCGCAACAATGCAATTTTTCCCTTTGCAAACATATGCGCGCCGCAAGCTCAGCATATGTGCGTTCGGTGATCGCAATTAAATTCGTGCACATGTCAAATGGAGAATTAATTGAAAGTCTCGATGTACTCCGCGCCAGCAAAGCACAACAAACGCGAAATAACGTCCCCAATTGTTATTTAATTCATTTCCAATGCGATAAAATTGTGAATTTAATCATTCGCGCGTTTATGAACGCACGGCACGCACCACCGCACACTACAAACCCAAACAAATACAGAGGATAAAGGAAACACGCTCAAATATTATTTCGAAAATTAAAATTCATTTTCAAATGTAATCCACACGTTGATTTTTGTTTTTCTGAATTTTCAGGGGGGGAATATTTAATCGCCATTGATTTTGCGCACGGTTTGAAGTTTTGCCGGCTGTGTACTCAGGCAATAAAAGTGGGTACCGCGTGAGGGGCGGCAGCTGGGAAAAGTTTACGCTGTTTAAATATTTATATTTCGCGAGCGTTGTTGCTCTTCGGATTGTCTGCGACGCCGATTGGTCACTTGGGGATGCCGGCAATCTGCCGCCAAACCCGTTCTGCCCCCGTTCTCTCCGTTCTTCGTTGCCAACTTGGCAACAGTACAGAAGTAAACAAAAGTCAACACCCAAGTGAACAAACTTTCAATTCGTATTCTATGCGTATAATAATTTTCATCGAAGCTATTGTCATGTTGTTTTCTGGTGAATTTCAGATGAAAATATTGTTTTTGTTTTATGTTTTCGTTTACTGACCTTTATCGCACACGGAATGTTGTTTTGCGTAGCAGGCGATCGGAGATAAGCCGGTCGGTGCGGGAGAGCGGTGGTGCACCTCTTCGCGAACAGGACACGACTGTGACTGTCCTGGCGGCGCGCGAGGGATGAATTTATCGCGCGTGCTGCTCCTGTTGGGGAGTCTGGTGTACGGCGAGAGATGAGTCTGCGCGTGCGGCGCGCGTGTGTTGTTATCGTGTACGCCTTCACGCGAATACTTGCGAATTCGCTTCTGTGCAGCATCCTACGACTTCTCGTGTTCAATGGACAAATTAACAGCAATCACGATGTAGAAACCGGTGGATGCACAATAAACGTGCAGCGGAAGTTAATAACACGAATAAAAATCAAAATGGCAGAGTATTCGAATAGCGCATGCGCATAACCTTTATACAAGTGAAAGTTGATAGGTTAATGTCATTTTTTACTATTGGCAACACTGTTTGACAGTTTAAACATGTCATAATCATGTCATTGCAGATTTAAATAATGATTTTTGCTAAATATCAACAGAAAACTTATTTAAAGTTTAAAAATATAAATATATATTATCTCATGGAATGGTATTGCACGTATTTTAGTACAATTTGCTCAAAGCAAAGTATTCTTTCTCTTTCAGAGTTGATAAATAAGATAAATACTTCATATTTACATACAATTGTCTAAACTTCAAATTGTGCGTGAAGTAGGAGGAATTAAGTCATGAAATAAGTGCCGTCTGAGGCGAAGTGTCATTAGCAAAGTCCGGATTAATACTGGAGTCGCCTGGGATTGAGTCGTACCCTTCTCGCTGATCTACACAATAAAAACACGCAATAAATCAATAAATTAATCAATAAAACAAAAAAATAAAAAAGTATTAGTAATTGATTATCATAGGGAATGAATGATTAAATGTTTTTGTTATTGAATGATTGGGATACATGTACATACCTACCTCTAATTCTATTCATTAATGATATCACAGCAAGTGCTCCAAGGAGGGCTGCTCCACCGCAGGAATAAGTTATCACATCGCGGTAATAATTTTTATCTGTTGTGCTGTGCCTGTAAAAAACAAAACATTTTAATATACTGTTGATATTTATATGAAAATAGGCAACTTACAAGTCTTGAATAATAATAACTGCAATACCATTAGCAAACTTATCACAGAAACTCATAATTCCGTAAACAAACGCTCCGCTGCCTGTTTTATCACCAATCAAATCCGCTGTAATGCCCAGGCTTGTCACAAGGATAATCGAACCACCAACACCGAAAAGTACAGCAACAGCATAAATTTCATACGTTATGAAGTCATGCCCAGCTCGGAATTGTATCCAAACACAAGCTATTACACCCAGAAGGCATCCCAATAAATATGACATCTGAAAATTTAAATTTTGCATTAAAAAATTTGTTTTTTTTGTTAAAATTTTAAAGAAACTTACTCTTCTTCCTAATCCTCTGTTTAATCCTTCAATAACAAACGAAGTAAGAAAACTTCCAACAAACATAACCAACGGAATCAACGCCAAAGCACTTGCAGCCATATCCAGCGTTTCATGCAGATACAACGGAATAAAAATCTGACTCAAATTAACAAACAGCCGCGTCGACATGTAAACCACCGCAACTTGATAAACTTCCACACTGCACAGAAGATTACCAACGCTCACGCGTTGCTGCCCACTACGCACATCATTCCCTGAGTTAGTTTCTTTAACTCCTATGTGAAATATAACAGATGCCACGACACCAATGCCAAGACCACTCCATACAACTTGTTGGAACTTCCAGGAGTCATCCGGACCAATCTTAGATGCATTACTACTGTCTTCTATATGCAATGCAAACCATGTTATCACATAAACCATCACGTTTGATAAAACAGTGAAACCGTAACGAATGGCAGTCAATTTTGTACGATCATGTTCATTCGGAGTTATCTCTGGTATGAGAGACAAGTGTGATATTTGGACGGCAGCCCAACCGAATTGGAATATAACAACAAACATACAATAGTAAAAAAGGAGTGATGACTTCGATGAGGATTCACAAGATGGACACGGGGCGAAAATAAAAGGAAAACTAAAAATCACACAGATTGTTCCAATGAGATGCCAGGTTTTCCGCCGGCCATAACGACACAGCCATGAATTCTCTGTTTGGTCGGATTGGTATCCAACGAATGGCGTAGCTAAACCATCTGCTATCTAAAAATAAACATTTTTAAATGTTTTGTATTAGTTTTTAGTAAAAGTTTGGTTATGTTACTTACTTGTCCTACTAGTAAAACAAACCCAGCTTGCCAGTTACTAAACTGTAGAACCAAGTGAAAAAACACCAGCAGATAGGTGAACCACATGGAAGCACACACATCATTGAGCACATGTCCAACTCCATAGGCAAACTGCAATCTGTAAGGCACGCGACTGTAAATCTCGGTGTAATCGTGTCCAAGCAAACCACTCGACTCCATTGTTTTTTGTTTGGTTTGTAAAAAGCTTCTAGGCGAGTTAATACACTAAAAACTATAAAACTGATGTTACTTTTTACACTTCACACAGGATCACAGGTTTTTGTTACGATAAGTCAAGTTTAAGTGACTTTCTACACTGCATGCAAATTCTAATGTAAATTTAAACAATACATTGTTAATTTGAAGCCAAGCTTGACACCACCACTGCTATAAATATTGCCCACTATCAATGTTGTGATAATAAATGATTCACAACTCACATGAAGTTGGGGAACTATGTCAGTTGGTCATAACTCTAATTATGGTGACTACATCAATACAAGAATGTTTGCTACTGGAGTATTAGCTATCAGTAATGTCATGGTATTCAATTTGGTCTAGTCTTATCAGTTGATTTAGTGATAATTGATGATTTAGACTACTATTTACACTCAATTGAATACTGTTGGCAAATAATGCACAATGCATGCGTTACTTACACTTTAATAAATTCCTATTCGTGGAAAAATGCTAATTGCACACTGAGTTCCTTTGTCATACGATATTTGATTGTTCTTGTGGGTTTTACCCATAATTTCGCGAATCATGACACCATCATACCGCACGCACTTGTTTTTGGTTGGAATCGGACACGTTCTGGTGTGGATATGCGGAAAACATCGTCGATTGTTCGACGAGATGAATCCTCCTACCGAACGCGATTAGCTGGGCTAGTCACAAGTGAGTCGGCTAATCGTTTAGCCATGAAACGACTGCCGTGCTGTCGATAATGCGATAGTTAAACCGCATCGAGTCATGTCGGTCATGTTTAGCGCTGTTTCTCTATGTTTGCGTTCGTGTCAAGAGAAACTCGATACAGAAATGTTTATAACATTGCCTAGTTAGAGTGGGTAAATACTATACATGGCAAATAATTGCTGGCACGTGATTTTATCTTTAATTGTATATTATGGCGATAATTAGAGGTTTATTTGCAGATAATTATGGATGTTCTTGGAATTTTACAGTTTAAGATTGTTTTTATCTTAAATAGTATTAAAAAAGGAAAATAAAATATTATTTAGGATTTATAAGGCCTTTTCTCCTATGTTCTTAAATTTAATTCATGATTTGTTTAATTATAAAATAAAACATCTAATTTGTTTCAGTTTGTTATTTGACAAGTAAAGTAGGCAACCCACAATACATCATTTGCGTTTCTAAACTTTATGCTAACCTCTTTTCGGTTTCATTGCGTTTTACTATGGCGTTTTAGTGTAAACGTGAAACAAAAAACTCATTGAAGCGTTTATTTCGTTGAATTAAACACGTTGTAACCACGTAAAATAGTGTAATACTACATTCAATACGTACATAAACAATGGCTGATGTTTTGGATATCAACGATGCGGTGGAATTAGAAGTTGAAGAAGAAGGCGACCGTGAGTACACTTTATATGTTTATCTTTATTAAAATTGATTAACAATCTGTTATTTAATGTATAGAGAGCGTGGCGCGGTTAAAGGACAAAGTTACCAAGCGAAAAGGACGTGGATTCGGCGCCGGTGCAAGCAGCAGGGCAGAAAAAGTCAAAAACTATGAAAGTGTTGATGGTGATGGCAGTGGCGATGCTATTGGTCCACAAAAATGTAAGAAATTATCTTAAAAACAATTAAAAACTAAAGAATAACCTTTAATATAAAATATTTTATGTTTAGCTGTTGAAGGATGGATTTTATTTGTAACTTCAGTCCATGAAGAAGCATCAGATGAGGATCTCAATGAGAAATTCTCAGAATATGGACTGATAAAGAACATCAATTTAAATCTGGACCGACGCACGGGTTTCCTCAAGGGATACGCGTTAGTTGAATATCAAAATTATGAAGAGGCTGATGCTGCCAGGAGAGCTCTGAATGGCACAGATGTCCTGGGACAAAACATTGGCGTTGATTGGTGTTTTGTTAAAGGACCCAAAAAGTAATTTTTTGCTCAAATTTGCACCTCTAAAGTTTATAATGAATGTAATTCTTGTTTTAGATCACGACGCAGCCGCAAATCAAAGCATTGATTGACCCAATCAACGAGAATCATAAGCAGAATTGAATATTATTTATATTTTCATTTTTACTAAAGAATTAAGCAACTTTTCTATTCATAACTGTATCAATAGTGAATAAAACAAGTGAACTCAGAGACGTCCAAGCGGCCATTTTGCTTCGTTGCCAATAGCAACCATCGAATAACAACCGCCCACCGATGAAGCACGACTAACCCCGAAGTTAAAATATTGCAAGATGGTTGCCAAACATTTAAAAACACATTGTACTAGCATACAATTATTATTAGGCAGTTGATAAATATTGATACAAATCTTTTCGTTACAAAAAACAGAGCATCGTTTTTCCACCATATTTTCTCAGCGACGCTTGCGAATTGCAGTAGAGCCGAGCGGTCGGCCATCTTCCACACGCTCGCCCGACTCCGAACATAATCTACTTGTATATCCACATATGTTACATGTAAAATATTTTTGTTTTTATCGCCTACGAAACACATCATGTCGGCTGGACCCCGGCCTTCCTAATCGAGACATCAATCGCGGAAAACAATCGAACCCAGGTTCGTGGAATGAAATATAGCAGACACAAACGTATGGTATGTACAAACGCCGAGGCCCACCAAGCTGGTTCAAGCATTTTTCTTGTGTTGAAATTTTGTATAGAACTGCAATTTGTAATTGTTTGTTGTTCTTGGAGGAGTGAAAAGCCGAGTGTATAATATTATTGTTTTCGTGTTCCGCGCTTCGGTGTACCTAATTCTTTCGCATCATCATTTTCAATTCCATAATACGCTAAATAAATAACTTTCCACTGCCGCCGCAAATTGCACAAAAATAAACATATAAATTAATACTTTTCACTTAAATATCATTCGAGTAATTCTCCACGATAAAATACATTAAAATTTATCACTTGTTCGCACTTGTTATACCATCATCTTCGTTTTGTTGTTGTTAGTTGTTCATTTTTGATGTTATATGTTCCTCTTAAATGCATTAGTGTTTATCCCTTTTTTAGTTAGAGGGCTGTTATCTTACTTAAACGTTAGTTTTCTTTATATATTACTTTCTGCATATGACTTGAATCGAAAATTACTTGTCAGTAATCCTAATAATTATCAAAGTCCTGAGAGTGCAACAAAACACTCAGACTAGAGAAAATTTTTGTTGACACGTGCATAGTATTACCATTAGTATAGAAAAAGAATTAATTAACGCATCACATCAGACTTATTATCACCTAGTTTCCTTTTTCATTATTTCATATTATTAAACATCCACCTTCGTCTGCCTGCTCATCTTTTGATACTGTTTTGTGACACGCCAGTGTCAATTATACTGCGTACTGCATGCAAAATGGAGAAAATACTTTTGTATCCTACGATTACGAATCGGATAACATTGAACGGAACATGATTGAAAGTCACTTCGAATAAAAAAAACAATTGTATGGCAATGTGATTTGCTCATTCGCAACGTGAATGATGGAATGATAGAAACCGGCTTACATTAGATTAACTCGTTGATAGAACGAACAGGAGGGCAACAAACTGATGAACGGATCCAACATTGAGAGTGACTACACTAACAGGGGGCACACATTGACGACTCGAGACGAATTTGAGAATGAAACTTCCTTTTTTTTTGATCATCGTCTCTCGCCACGCTTAAAAATTACTTCTTAACATCGAAAACACGGATTGTTCGTAAAAAGCATACATGCATTCGTCCATCGCACTCATTGCGCATTGGTTTTTTTCTTTGTGTGTGTTTCTGCCGTCGCGGATTGCAAAAATACGAATTGTGAGTCGCTGACTCGATCCCTCCGACTGTACTCGTACTATATCACAATAAAGAAGATGAAGGTTTCTAAAAAAATACCGTTAAAGCTTCGACTTCGACACAGCGACACGACGCAAACAACCCATGGGGAGGTTTTTCTATGGCTGCGCGAGCGACAGGAACGAGGCCAGCGTGGCGATGGATGCGTGCGCGTCGGGCGCCGGCCGGCCTCAGACCATCACAACCGCTTCTTTGCCGCAGAAAAGGAATGGGTACTGATCGATCATCGTCTGCACAATGTCCTCCAAATACGGCCGCATTTGTTCGAAACGTCCCATGTCGCTGAACTCGATAGGTAGCAAGGTAGGCCACCAACAGATCGCCAAATTTTTGCTGTCCATGCTGTTTAACTTGGAATTCTCAGCCACCCTACATAAAACATGATTTAGAATGATTAAACATTAAAATTTATAATAAACTTACTTGACAAAGTGCTGGAAAACAAATTTCAGCACTTGGAAATTGATCGGTGGGAGTTTTTCCAGCATGCGACGTAAAGCAAGCACACGACAGCTGCGATCCGACTTGAATTCACTGTTTCCGGTCGTTGTCGCCATTGGTTTGATACGTGTGCCGGCGATATCTTCTAATTCCAGCATCACATCCTCTTCGAAAATCGGCGGCAGACGTTTTGAGACGAAATCTTTCAATGCAGTCGCCACAGCGTTCACCGGTACATCCAGTTGTTCAATATCAACATTAGGATCTAAACAAATAATGTGTAAGTAAAGGTTTTTTTTATTAAATTAAAACGTTTTTACCTTCTTCAAACTTCTGGAACAATAAATCCACATGCGCCCGATTTCCAGGCACTCGATAAATGCCCTCGGAATCAAGCCCCTCATTCTCAATAAATTTGACACATTTTTCTAGGAATAATGGCACGAAATTCGCGTCCGACTGTATAAAATCGGCCAGCTTCGATGGCGCGTTGCTGCTGGACGAGCCTGACTTTTGTTTCAGCTTACTCGCCTTTTTCTTGTCGCGTTCTTTTTCTTTCTCGGCGACTTTACGCAGCTTCTCTTCCTTAAGGCGACGCTTCTCCAGCTTTGAATCGTCCTTGGCTTTCTGCTTCTCACGTTTACGGATAGATTTTTCATCCTTTAACAGCTAAAAACAATAAAAATTATAATTAATCGATAAAAAAGTATACAATACAATAATTACCATCGGTGAATGGTTGTCACGTGGTGATGAAACATCCAGACTGCTCTCATCGTCATGAATAAGCCCGTAAGAGTTCACTTTCCCGGCATACATATCCGGAGAATTGAGTTGAATATTCATGTTGTGCGTATTGTGTAACTCGGGAGGCAATGGCACCACAGCCGGGATAGGCATGCGTTTCTTTAGACTTAGCGAGCGCTTCTGGAATCGCAGACGATCCGCAGTACCCACAAACGGTTCCGGATCACTCGCCTCAGACGAATCGGAATTTGATTCACTCGGAACTAAATCAAAAAGTAATCAAATTCAATTATTTCAATAAAAATTACAAATAAATTGACATACTGTTCATTTTGTCAGTGTCTAACTCAGTAGACGGTGCGGAATGTGCGGATGGTAGCGTGAATCCACCACCAAGTTGTGGTACCCTCGGTGGCTGCACAGGAATAGCAGTCCGCTTCTTTCTGGTACGTTTGTGCGTGCCAGTCTTGCGCGCAACCTTCGAATGCACCTCGCTGGCCCTCTGCCGCCGCTCCAAGCTGCTCCACTCGCTGTCCGTCTCGGAGTAGGCTGAAAATGCATGAAATTATAATAAAAACAATTGTTATGCGGTTGCAGATGGTAGCGTACAAGGTTGGCCCTTTTCGCGTCGCTGCCGCAGTTTACTCTTGCCGCCAGCGACGGCGTCCTGCACCAGCGTGTACATATACTCAGCCTCCGGCCCGCCGTGAGGATACATGATGTCCTTCACTTGCGCGTACTCGGCTCCAAGGTCTACAACTTCCGCCGATGCTAAAGGGGCATTGCCATACTTAGTGCTACGTTTGTCCTTACCACTGACGTTCATGCGCGCGATCGCCTCGGTGACGACCGAAAAGTTCTTGAGGTTCAACTTTCCTGGTTGCTATAAAAACCAATCACATATTAGCAATCAAAAAACAAACAATTCACATAAAAAACACACTCAATGCATGCATATTACACACATGTCGGATCAAATCGAATAAAACCACAATAAAGAGAGCTACACCACTGCAAAATTGAGTGTTTGCTTGTCAAACGATTCGGTATTATTCAAGAGTTGAAGAGTAAATTCAAAAATGAAATCATTCCGAACAAGAGCAGCAAATATCGTTTACCCAATTGTCTCCGAGCACAGGATTTCGCTGTAAAAGCAACTCATTAATCTCCAATCCGTTATCACAGTGCGGGAAACAACATAAATCCGTCAAATATGCAACCCAAAACGCTAAATATTTACCTTGAGTGTTTGCGAGACACCTTTGGGTCGTGCCTTCGGCGCGGAAACATGGCGGCGTCCAGTTGTAAACGCATGCCCGCCGTAATTATTCCAACCGGTGGTCAACGGCACCCGCGACTCATCACCATCTAAAAAGCACACACATTAGTCGTGTTTGTTGCTCGTTTGTTAATACGCTGAGTGTTTCAATGTCGACGGGCGACATTTTACCCAAAATACTAACGCCATAAATCACCTGAATCGTGTGTGGCCAGGGATTCGCGCGATCCGCTAATGTCGGCTAAGTTTTAAAGTTAGTACAGTTAGTGGCAGTTCACCAAAGTAATTTATAATTTAATTGCATTAGTTGTGAAAGCGGCGCAACTTGTGCGCGCTGATGATACGCCGCGCTGTGTTTACTTACAGGTGATCTCGTCTAAACTTGTTTGCGACGCGGAGAGGATCGGGCCGCGCTTCGAACGTGAATTCATTAGGTGATCAGGTGGTGCTGGTTCCGGCGGCGTTGTGGGTGGTGGGTACACTTGGAAACCTTTAGAATAACACTTTATATTTAGTACAACGTTCGGGGAAAAGTTTGTGCAAACTGAAGCGGCGTACCTGAATGCAAATGGCGCTTTTTCATTGACATAATATCACCGTTTTCGCTGCCGTACATGTAGATCTGCGAGTATTTATCGCTGTGGTCGCTTTCCTCAGGGCCATTGAGGTCGGGCAAATGCTCATAGTTTTCACTACCACTTCTAAACACATTATAAACAATTAAAATTACAAAAAATGATAAATTTATATAAAAACATACCCGTCATTTAATTTCAAATGGTAACTTTCATGTCTTGGCGGTGGTAATGGATGACCATGCGCACGATGAGTCCTAGGATGTTCCAAAGTACCTTCACCACTATCCACCATGGCCGCTGGTTCCTCCATATTGAAAGCCTGTTCAATTTCGGGCTTTTTATCCCATACTTCTTTGAAAAACGGAGTATAAAACGCAGCTGAAGCAAAAATAACCTCAAAATTAATCTACTACTCACTTAAAATACAATAAAACATACTTTTTTGTTGACAAGACGCATTGGAAGTGATAAAATGCGCGTGTAATCGATCCGCTGTACAATTACCCTCCTGCAGCAGCATGTGAGTCAAATCGTTGTTATAAAACGCGTTGACGGATCCTTCAGTGACGGCCATGATTTGTATCGGAAGGTTTGGAATGTTCATCGAGAATGCACTAAACAAACCAAACATTAATAATAAAAAACAACAAAAAACAAAATAATAAATTACTTAAGTGTAGCAAGTGATGCTTTTCGTTTTGCAGAATAAACCAGAATAAATCCGTGTACTAATTCATCACGGAATGCATTCGCCCCATGGAATGATGAGATAATCACTTCGACCTTCCTCTTGGAATCCCCCAGATACGTCTCGAGGATAATACTGCGCTCAGCTGACAGAAAACAACATTGATGCGACAGCAACGGCGCGAGCACATTCTCCACCGAGAACGGATCCCCGCAGAACATGCACATGATAATACGAATATCCGGCTCACAGTCAATCGACACCGATTGATAAATATTCAGAAAACCAGCGCGGTGATGAATACTCTGCACAAGTTGATGCAGCGCATCAGAAACCATCTGTTCATCGCTCGTCTGCTCCATGCAAACATCCATAAACGGACATTGTAGACTATCCGCAAGACTCTGACCTTCTTCCTTTAGTTTCAGAATATCTTTCTCTTCGAGGAAAGCGTCCGGTAGAAACAGCAACACGATAGGTAAACCTTGGAATGGCAACTTATCCTCTTGTTCCAAGTTGGAAAGAAGAGTTTTCTCTAAACTTTCACGAATGTATTCGAATGATTCCGCATTGGAGTAGACACAGAAACTCCCGTGCGGGACAAACTCAGCTGTGCGGAATGAATTATGCGGCAGGCCAACATCGCCGGTGATTATCCTATAATCTAAGCTGTAAAACTGACAGTCGATTTCATACTCGTCATCCTCGCACTGCGCGCGTATCTTCGCCGCGAGTTCCTCGGCGAGTTGATCGGCACCCAAGAGCACTAAATTGAGCTGATTGTTATCAGAACTGAGCAGCCATTGTGTGCTCCTACTCCATGATGAAGGTCGGTGTGCTTTGGTTGCTAGAATACGCTCGATCAACGCGTCCATGCAGTTTGGAAACGCTGGGCAATGCTCGCGGATTGGACAGTGCACGAAACCCAAGTGTTGGAATAGCATTAGTTTTCGATCTTGATCTAGTCTATCCAACATCTTATACCGGAAGTCATCCTGTAGAACATCTGTGATTTCTTTAATGTCTTCTTGTGTGATGGTGCCAGATGGCGCTATGCTCTTAAAGTGATAGAATAAGTCAGCGTTTTCAAGTAATAATTCTTGGAAATTGTGCTTGGCGTTTTCGATGAGTTCGCGTTGATGCGCATCGTAGATTTGCTGGCAATCATGTTCAGACAAAGCTTCGAAACATTCGCGACCCATGAATAAGACGCGTACTTCTGAAAGGTGTTTTCCGGGTGTGACATAACCTGTATCTTCTAACAATTGTTTAAATTGCTTCTTCCATCTGCACAAATTCATTAAAAAAAAAAACAGAAAAATGTTATTTTAGTGATAAAATAATGTTAAAGTAATAAAACCTACCTTTTTGGCATCCTAATGATGTAGTGTAATGAAGTAAAGCAGTTAAAAGAAAGATAATAATTAGTAAGCAGTCTATGCCCAATAAAATGTTATCACAACACCCAAAAGAATTCCATTATTAACAATATCACATACTCTAATCGCTTCTGCTCCTGCTGCATAACATTGACGTGATTCTTGAAGACTGTTTCCGCGTCACTGGTATCCAGTACATCGAAAGGAATCCGACTGTCTTCACTATCTGAACATTCAGTCCATGGCATATCCTCTGGACACTCAAAGAAGTAATCTGAGAATGACGGGTGGCCTTTCAGGTACTCCTGTACTGATTGCCAATCACTACAAGTAAAAAATAAAATTATTATGTATTTTTTAGCAAATTTTATACAATTACCTATCAGTAAATGTATTGATATCTGGGACTAGATCATGTAAAACTCCAGGAAGCAAATCCATGTAATGCGCGACCTTCTTCGACACTTGTTCATCTTTCAACTTCTTAATATGTCGTCGAAACAGACGCTGTGTGCCATCAATACCGAACAACTGCACGAAATAAATCCACTCTTTGTGCGAGTTGAGTTTCTTCGCTGTTTGCGACCACAGCGCTCGCGAATCAGTAACGTGTAGTCTAATGAGCCGTAGGAATGCTTCACTGGCTGCATCCATCAACTCTTTACGCCCTCGTGATGCTTCCATGTAAGTCACAAGCTTCGCGCGTAGTTTACTACGGTCTATCATCTGTGCGAGTAGAATAAACGCAAGATCTACGTTGACATTATCATGCGCCGATGTTTCCACGATGGGAATAGCACCTTTGTACTCTTTACGCTGCACAAGCCGGTCGACTTCACGCAGATACAATTCGTTAGCGTCGTCGTTCTTCGTGGTTGCCACCACAATCGGCTTTTTAGTTTTGATTAGGTTATTCAAGATGGCGGCGACGAACTCGACTTGTTTTTCTAACGCGCGTGACGGCACGATTGACACATCAAAAATGCAGATAAATCCATCGACGTTCATCTTGCCATCCGGGAGGACTTTCTGTTCGTATTCTTTTTCGATACCAAGTTGATTCTTGCATATGTACATTAGTTTCTCAGCGGATTGGATCTTCGTTGCTGCGCAGCGCTTAACATAAGGTTCCATTTTACCACCTAAAAGTATTAAAAATGAGGTTAGGTTATGTTAGAGAATAAATAATTTTATAGGTTATAGATTTATTACCTTTGAAAGGTTGGAATGAAGCATCATCAATAAACTCAGTCTGCTCAATGACACTAAACTGATAATCGACGCCTTCCTCGGAGGACTTGATAACTTCGCCCCACCAGAGAAAATGGTCGTTGTTAACCACACGCCCGCTGAAGTCCGTCTGGCTGAGCACGGAGATGTGATCCACATTGTAATCGTCCGCCAGCGAGCGCATGAAGCGATTACACAGGCATGATTTACCAATACCCGTGTGCCCTTTGTCCTTTTCCATGCCGGAGAGGCCGACCACGGCGACGCTGATCGGCCGCACGCTTTCCGCCTTCCTCGCCATGCTGATGATGGTGATTCCTTGAGATTTCTTCAACGCGTTTATCTTCTACAATCCACTTTGTGCCGTTGTATTAGAAACCTGAACAAAAGCAGTGCGTTAGAGTATGACACATGTGCACACCTGTGCAAGTCAGCATTGTTTACAATGTCGCGCGACAAGTGACTAATGATTATCGGAAATCATTCGGAATTGCCACAAGCGCTCCTGGCGAAGTGTTTTTTTCGCCCAAAATGATGTTGGCGCAAGGCATGATGCGATTAGACACGCGAACAGACGGCCGATTTCATTACCGTCTGCTTAATTGGACGTTGAGTGCGCTCGCGAGTTGTAATTCGCATCCTGTCAGGATGAGAGGAGGCGGCGAGCGCCCGCGAGATAATTTACGAGCGCGCGGCGTGACAGGCGCGTTTCGATTTTACCTGCGTGTCGAAGGGTGGCCCATTGTCCTTCGCGACGAAGATCATTACTATTCCTACAGCATGTTATCCTGCTGATTGTGTTCATACAGCACCAGCCACGGGGGAGGTTTTTGTAGATGTTTCGATGGCCGCTGTTGGCAGGAGGTGCAGCAGGGGTCCTGCTCGCTGATGTAAAGTGGTGTAAAACCAGCACAGAATCACTGCAATCGCGTCGCCGTTGTCGCGAATATCGCACTCGCATTCTCAGCCGACCACCCACCGCCTTTTAGCTGGACGCGCTGGACGTGGACGCCATTGCTGTGTGGCCCGCACTGAAGTTGAAGTCGACTCGCTCGCTCGCTGACTGTGCTTCGCGGCGCGCTCATTCACGGCGGATGGGTTCTATGTGTGCGAGCGTGCGGCGTGTCGGTGTGCGTCTCTCTGTTTGCGCTGTTTGCAGACCTCTCCAGAGTCCCGCCGGGCGCGGCGAGAGGGGAGCGCGCAGCCCGAAGAGCGCTCGATAGACTGGGAGCGCGCTGGAACGCGACTGAAAATCGCTGGAACCGAAGGAACTGAATGACTGAATGAGATCGGCCGAGCGGTACCTCCGCACGCATTGGAATTGTCATCATTAAGCATAGAATTCTTATAGAAACAACGACAAAACAAACACAACTCATTCAATTATTTGAAAATTATATTTTCTTTTAAGAATATCCGTTTGCAGCTTCCTCTGCTGCAGCTACTTGCATGTAAATCTATTAATTGGTAAATAGATTAGTTATTTTTGAATGTTTTCGGATGCAACTGCCGTTGATGTTAATACAATCATCGAGTAAATGTTGATGAACCGAAAATATGAGAGCGACTTCGTCTGGCTGCCAGACATATCCAATCAACTCAGCCAGACGCGCATTTTTTGCTCCTCATGCTCGACTGGCGCTCTAGCTTACGTATATCGCGTATATCTAATCGATACAATTATAAAAACGTCTGTTTTTAAGTTTCCACCTCTTCACCGCAGGTTAAGACATTGAATAACTTCGTACAGTTTATTAGCCGCCGCTCGGTAGCGGCACTCTAGCACTTTATACACTTTTATTATCCCTATATGTTAAAATCAGACAAACATCCGTTGGTTCTGATAACAAATTCCACAAACTAAACAAACATTTGTTGTTGATTTACACTTTTAGTTTAAATCTAGTGACATTTCAATTATGGTGTTATTTACAAATGTAAAAAGTTCCTAGTAACACACTAGGGTCCCTAGAATTCACTCAGCGGTAACTCGATGTTTGAACTACTATAGTTCACATGAGATTAATAATGAAAATATATAAAGAAAATATTAATAAACATATAATTTCCCTATGACATCATTAAAATAGCTGGCACAGTCATAGTTTAATGCAAATAAGCGATTCTTTGAAAGAGTAGCCTAGAGAAGATGCGTGTATTGTAGATAACTGTCAAGGTCAGGCTAGGGAAGTCTGGGGATTTTATTTTTTTAGCTACTACTTCTGCTTCACTGTAATGGCGGACGCGTTCTGTGTGGCGTACATTGTGACTTCAGCTACTGCATCATACTAGTTCTGCTAGAATAATTCATCAGCTATTAAAAAGATCTTCATTTTATTCACGGCGTTCAACGTAAATAGCTACGTTACAATCGTCCCGAACACCCAGTGGTATTCTACTCGCTTCTGGAACACACGGTAAGTGAGCGGGCAAATTTTCAATCATAGGTTGTGTTTGTTATATACACAAAATTTTGCGCTGTTAAAATGGTGTAGAACAATAGTTACTAATGGATATATCCGATATAGAAATGGGTGGGTGCCGCTGCAGTTACAAATCATGCCGGAGTGCTACAAAAACCACCGAAAATCTGCACTTCTTTCACTACCCTGTGAAACACCGCGAACGCTGCGCGATTTGGATCCGTAACGCTGACAAGCCCGAATTCGCCAACCTACCCGACTACCAACTGCGAAACAAAGTCATCTGCGGCCTGCACTTCGAAGACAAATACTTTGCAAACCTCGAAAAACGCCGATTGGTGCACAATGCAATCCCCAGCCTGGATGCAGGCTGTGACAGCACCTCGGATGACTTATCATACATCAAAGAAGTGGAGATTTTACCAACCAGCAATGATGGATCCACTTTCACGCTATCCCTAGACGACCTCCAACCGGGAAACAGCGCCAAGAAACAGAAACTAGACTACAACTCTGCACACAGCATTAATCTACCAGATGTAGCAAAGGTAGAACCAGATGTATACACAATTGACCCATCTTACTTCAATCAGTCATTCTACAACAATGACAACATCAAGGAAGTTGTCATAAACTCAGCCTCTGCACTCTCAGACAACTTGAAGCAAGAGGAAGTCATTGATGATGAAGACTGCATGATTTACGACACACACAACAGCAGTCTATCTGGTAAAAAAGAAAATCTTTCATTTGCGAATGAAAATAAACTTCAGACGTTGTTCTTTGATCATGATGAGCTCGACACGCCACAACACGTCCAGATACAGGACTCCAAAGGTAATATCATGGTTACAGACATTGGGAATACAAATCCAGGCACTAGTATCACTACTAATACACCTGGAAAAGTCTGTATGTTAAAATCTGCGAATGGTACAACAACAACAATCAAAAAGATTAAACTAGCGTCGAATCAGACACTGACGCCGATCACAATCCAGCAACCGAATGCTTCTGGGCAAATCGTGAAGCGTACAGTCTTTAAACGAGTGATTCCTGCGTCTTCTGTCCAACAAACAGCCACAACAACAGCTGTAGCATCAACACCGACGACTTCCCAACCAGTTGTCACCCCTGCGTCTACCTCCACAGCAGTAGCACAACCCACAGCTGGAAAATTCAAACTGGCGACACAAATGGCCACAAACACAATCCGCCTCACGAATAAAAACCTTTTACGGTGTTTGAAAGGCCGTTTGCCTGATAGTATCCTAGGTGCTGTATCGTTACACTTAAATAAGCGACGAAATGCCGTCACTGTTGAAGAACAAGAGTACGAGACGATGATTACAGCTGTACCATTAGCCGGACGCGCATCTCTGCGTAATTTCGGCTGGTGTATTCCTACCATACACACACAAAACAATTACGCGTAATTTTTATAGAAACATTTGTTTGATAGATAAGGTAAAAAGCGATTTTAACGTTTATTTCATTCACGATTCCATTAACACACAGGATTTTGATTAGTTTTTCATAGTTTAGACGTGTTACACTTCCCGCAGGAGTTTGTAAACGACTGTGTGATGGTAGGTCTCACCCGGGTACAGCACCGCCTTTGGGAAGTTTTTCTGCAAATGAAATAGAATTGTAATAATTAGGTGAAACGATTGCAGTTGTTAATTTTTTGCCGCCTTGTATAAATCTGCGACGCTGCACACAACACTCACATGGTTGATGGCGTCCGGATAGTTTTGCGTTTCCAGGCAGAGCGCACCATGTTCATAATATGTCGCATTATCTTTTCCCACTAATGTATCTAGTTTTGTAAGATCCTACAAATGAAATGTATATGATTATGATTACGCCGAGAATTTTACTTGTACGTACACCAGCGTAGTTATCCTTATGTTTCGGGATGGAATTTGAGGTGTAGAATTGCACACCTGGTTGATTACTGTAGAGTTCAAGCGAGCGCCCGCTTGGAGGATGCGCCACTCTGGAAACACGTGCAATGCGATTAAATAACGTTGTGATTATATGCGTCTGTCTCATTGTTTAGTAGCACTAATACGCGCGCTGATAAAACTAGAAATGTTTGTATCGATGAGTAATGCGTAATGTCATTTTAGTAGCATTTGCGCGTTTGCACAGTGTGTACACGTTGGCAGGACAAAAACCAATGTGAGTAATTTTAAATCTTTTATAATTTTACCTTGCGATGAATGTATCTCCTTGTTCGCTGGCTTTGGTCACGCAAAAGTTGTGATCGTAGCCACCCACCTCGGGGATCTTTGTGATCACGTCGCCGAGTTTCTTGGGAACGCGCAAGTCGAACACTGTATCCGCAACTTGCAGAAATTTCCCTGAAATTTGTCATTTTACAAACAAAAAACTCCGCAATAGTTAAAATATTAAATTACCATTCGGTATGAAGTCCTTATCGACGTCTGTAATGCGATCCGCGTTGATACAAACAATATGTTTGTATAATTCTTCAGCGCCTTTGTCATGCCCAGCAAGGTTGAAGTAGGAATGATTTGTAAGATTGACAAAAGTAGGCTTGGATGATTTACACTTGTAATCGATGAGGAACTTATCGTCAGCGGTTAGTTCGTAAGTTATTGTTGTAAGCACCGCGCCGGGGAAGCCCTCCTCGCCGTCTTCGGACACATAGCTCATGATTACTTTGTTACCGGTGACGTAGTAATCCCAAATTACCTATAAACCAAAGCGCGGTGGGCAAGTTTGAAACTTAGGTTCTTGTCGTGCGTGGTTGGTGCTGTTCAAAGGAAAGTTGCATTTCATTTGGGCGTACAATGTACCTTGTCGAATCCTTTGAGTCCTCCGTGCAACTGATGTTCTCTTAAGTTGGCGGTGACGCGGTAGGTTGTGCCGTCGATATTGATCTTCGCGCCGCCGATGCGATTCGCCACGCGGCCCACAGTTGCGCCAAAGTACGGATTCAACCGGTTGAGGTAACCTTCGGTCCAACAAAGCCATTGTTTATTCTAATACATTGATGAGTCGTTGATTGAGGGCACGACAATGAGTCTCAATCAATATTCGCAATTTAACGAATTAATAACGCGCAAACGAAACGTCGTAATAAGATAAAACAGTGAAAAACGCTTTAATAACGTAAGTTATTTCCAAAACGAACATTTTACATTATATTATGGATGTATTTATGTAGTTTTGTTGAGTTTTTAGCGTAAAAGTAGCAGAAAACGCATAAAAAATTATTGGATATCATAAAAATCCTGATTTAACATAGGCAACCAATTGTACAATATTAATTTTTAAGGATTTAGCAAGTTTATGAATGTGAAATGTATTTTTAACATATGCAACCAATCATGCAGATAATTTTATATCAAATACGTACCATCCATGTCATCAAAACCCATGACAATATCACCAAGGACACCATTTTTGTCCGGCATCTTGATGCTGGTGATTGTTGCACCGTACGTGATGACTTGAACACTTACATTGTTATCATTACGCCATGTAAAACGTCTCACCGGATTTGATTGGCCATCAACCATTAGAAAACCAAAATGATCTTCTTGTAGATTCACAGGGTCATATCCACCGTTACCACTTGAAGATTTGGGTGTAGGTTTAGTAGGATTTGCATCCACGGTCACTGTTTTCGTGTCCATCTTGTTTTCTTCACGATTTACACTGAAAGAATAACCCAACGCGTTTGATCACAGCGTATTTATTGTAAATGCACAACCGCTACAACTGTTTATGTTCTGTTCAAGTTGTGATAACACATATCAATTACAAGATTTGTTTTATCAGTGTCATGTAACCATACCATACTTCCGACTGTTAACAAATGGCTTTTTATTACGTTTATTTAAAGGATAACAATGGGAAAACACGTTTTATATGTGTAAAAAGTTTATTTTTATATAGATGCGTGGTGTATGCGTTGTAATTTCATTGTGTTTGTGTCTTGAATGTTGTTTGTCATGCTGCACGCTTAAATTGAATTAATTTACCAGTGCGGGCATAGTGCGGTCACATATTTACTTTCAATTGTCAGTTGCATTCATTCATTCATAAAAACACCACAACAAGAGGAAAATTGTGTTTATAACGAAAATAGTGACACCACAAGTAGGAAAAACGTGAAGGGTGCTCATGGTGTGAATTATATCATGGTGCTTATCGTGTTTATACCTTTGTGCCAGTGATAAGGTGTTGTTTTAAAGTTTTGATTATGAACAAGTCGATTGTAAAGTTATAACGCTGGGAAAACAGTGAAAAACATGGAAATGAAGAGTTTTAATCTTAAAACAGAGTTAAACACAAAGGTATTTAATGTTTGGTATTTAGTTGATTAATCTAATAATTAAAAACGGTTTTAAGTGGCGTGTGAATGCTTATGCGTCAATCTTTTAACCTTGACAAACAACTTTTGTAGATTTATTTATATTGTATCTTTTTTTTATTAAGTTGAAATTTAAGTTATGAGTATATTAATCTAACGTGCGTAATTATGTTTTGAAAACCTTGAAAATAGTTTGTTTATGCAGACTTAAAAGTTGATTCGTAGACAAAAATAGTAATTTGATGCAAAACATCAATAAAACAGAAGTAAAACGTTTTCTTTTTATGAAAAAAAAGAGAAATGTATAGGTAACATAGGCAACTTATAAAACTTTAGTTATATTTGTATATTAACCTTAAAATTCACTAAATTTAAAGTTTTCTTGATAAATTATAGTATTTTAAACATTTCTGGTACAAAAAAGTAAATGATGTAATCAATATCATTAGTAATATGCACAAAATAAGATATTTATGCATTATTGATGTCTACAAGTACTTTTACCATTAATTTATATAAATAATGCCACAGAAGTTGCATATCATGCACTTCCGATTGAAAACACAAATTGATTTTCTTCCATCCAGCCGTATCACTTTTAATTAAACCCAATTATTCAATTATAATAAAAGTCTAAGTAAATTTCACAGCAATAATCGTAAAAATTATTAAACAGACACTTAATTACCGTAAATTTAAGTCATAGCAACAAACAATTATCGAGAATTTATTATGCGCATTCAATAACAAACTTGCACTCATTTTAATACAAAAATTATAAAAATCATAAAAAATCAATAATAATCATAAGTCTACGTTGAAATAATTGAAAGAACACTTTGTAAATTACGCAATTGCTCACACACGTGAAAACTATAATAATAAACCTGCATTATATACTTACAAAGGAAATTAATGGGCATGCGCACCTTGCTTAGTCTCTCATGTTCACAGCATGTCTATAATTCAAATTCCATACATAAAATAATAACAGAGAACATGTTTATGAATGTCCTTTAGTTTATTATTAATGTTTGATGTTTCGGGTGATGACAAATGATAAATCACATTAATTTCACTCGGCAACATTACAATTACATGTAATCAGATTTAATCTAATCATTTCCGCACTGACAGATATTTTGTTAGTGAAGTTAGTGATGTACGATATTTTTAGATCGCGTCTAATTGCATCCTAGAATCCTAGGTTAGTGCAGATTGAGATTGTGCGTGTGCAGTATCAAGGCAAGTGACTTGGTTGGACAAGTGTTGGAAAATACATAAATCACTTATGCAAAGACACAAAAGCGTCGGGTATTTATTTATCTTTGTTTGGATGAGTCAATGTGGATTTGCATCGCGTTGACAATATTACCTACACCTGTCGAACCGTGAGAGTGCATTCAGTATTTATATTTAGTATTTAGTATTTAACAATTAGCAATTAGCAATTACCATTGAACATTGGTAAAACTATTATCATTACTAATGGTGTCCACTACTACATTCACATTCATATACGAGTAGACAAGTTGAAATGCATTAAGTGCAAGTAGAACTTGTCAATTCAAGTTTTTTGTGTAAGGTCGACAAGTACTCGTATAATACGAATACTTACACTTAGAAATTGAAAAGATGAGTGTCACATACAAGTAAAATTTATTTATTTTTAGTATTTTGTTATTTAAATAATGGTTTATTATCATACGTGATTAGAATAACAAATTTATTGTTTGGTTTAACGGGAGCATTGTCTTTTTAGACGATAAAATATTATTTAAATTATAAAATAGGTTACACTTTACTACACTTTCAATAACAACTAGAAATTTAGTGTTTTTATTGTAAACTAGCTTTTGCTCGCGACTACGACTCGGTAGTGTTTAATAAAAATGTAATTAGTTTTTACTCTCTTGTTCTAGACATAGTATGTCTCAATTTTATCAATAAGATTCGCAATTTTATTATAAAGAAATTAATTATATAAAGAATAGCTAATAATGCACTTCAGCGCGCCATCTCGGATTCAACTATTTAACTATAACTATGATTGAATCTCAATGCCAACTTTTATCCTATAGAAAAGGACTGTCTTATGGTTTTCCCGGCAATTATTCAAAATTTTCTTGCCGTAAAAACCATCCTTGGACTTAAACAAACATTTAAAAAAAAGAATTGGCCAAATTGGTTTTGGCGTTGTTGAGTTATGCGCTTAGCAACAGATTTTGCGATTCATTTTTATATTATAGATGTGATTTGAATAACAAATTTATTGGTTGGGGTAACGAGAGCATTGTGTTTTCATGTGATAAAATATTATTTAAATTATAAAATAGATTTTGTACTCAATAACAACTAGATATTTAGTGTTTTTAATGTAAATATAATAAATATTAGGTAAAAACTGTAAGTTCCACGTGCTTTAAGATATTCATGTATTATTACAGGTATAATGATATATAATTGCGAATAGCATCGGAACATGCAATCATGAATATTTATTATGCAAAATAACTAATTGTAGGTAGATTGGTGGAATCATAGACAAAGATTGATGTTTAATTTGCGTCTAGTCATATGTTTTTACTGTTTTTTGTTCACAATACCTTCAAAATTATTAAATTTCTTTAAATTTACATTTTATTTTATTTTGTTGAGGTTTTAGTTTTGATAATTATCAAATATTACTAATTTTATTACTTTTTTTAAGAAAATGAAGGTTTGTCTTGTTGTTTTACATCTAATTTGACTTTTGAATTCATATAAACAAGAGCAGGAAGTAAATTTAAACCAGAAATTAATTTAATTCATTAAACCGCTTTTAAAACATTTATTATATGTTTAAAACGTTACAATTCTAAAACATTTTGCATCCAAAACGTTCGCACAATGTCGTCAGCCTTGTACATCCGTCCGAACGTAGACAACTCTCACGAGGACGTTGTGTTTGATGGCATTTGACGCTTGTGGTTTTTTGCACTCGAACTTCTAGTTCAATAACAAAACTAAAACTACTTTTGACTCTCCACTAACAACTATTCGCTACCTGCCCGGTACGGGAGGATTCGTAACAGTGACGAGTCGTAACATTGCCAATGTGCGCTCATGTCCGTCGTCTATTATCGTTTCAGTTATGTCAGCGAGCTTGATCGGCCAGCAGCGGCGCGACCATGGTGGAAAGAAACCGCCCTCGCTCTCACAATCATCTAAGTTGTTTCGAGAGATTATCCTACAGCGTTATTTCTTCTACTGAGTCATTCTTTTATGCGTAAGTTATAAAAATAATTTAATTTTTATTGATTTTAGTGAAATTAATCAAAAAGTTGGTAGATTTAACGTTTGACAAATAGTATAAGTTTAAAAATTTAAAAAATGCAACTATGCAACCAAAAATACAATTTGCGTTTAGTTTTTTACTGTCAAAGCAAGGAAATATTATTACTTTTCAAAACTTATGCCTTTTTCCTTTACTTAATTACATAGAACTTAATTATTAAACAAAATTTTGGTAAAAACAACGTTTGAGAAGCGATATAAGTATAAAAATTTTAAAAAACAACTATGCAACCAAAAATATAACTTTTGTTTGTTTTTGTTGTTATAGTAACAAAATATATTTTATAATTAATTTATTTCCAGTTTCATCACTTAATAATTGCTTTATTTTTAATTAAATATGCTTAAAAACAAGCCGTTAATGATTATTTAATTATTTATTTGTGCAAGAACACTAAAAAAGTAATATATTTACGTAAATACTGATTTTGTGTCTAAATAAATTAACTTTTCTAAATTACATAACAAATAATTAGTGTAAAAAATCAAGTAAATTCATTTCCTGGCCATAAAATAATAATATTTATATTAATTTGACCAAGAAATTAATTATTTTTTTTAATTTTTGCAGTTTGGGAAAATGCGTCGCCAAAAATCCTTTCCGTACAATACTCATCTGTTGGCTCTTCGTCATTGTCAGCTCCCTGGGTCTCCTCCGCTTCTACCAAGAGAAGAACCCAATGGGTCTTTGGGTCCCAGCCAACTCTCAATTCAAAAAAGACTCTGATTGGTTAATGGGCACTCTTGAAACAGCCTACCGTGTGGAAACCGCCATCATTGAAGCTGACGATGTCCTCATTCCTGAAGTAATTCAAAAATTATATGATATTGATCAACGCGTGCGCAGTGTGATAAGTTCCATGGGATACACCTATGAGGATCTGTGTTTTAAGATACCAGAAATGGACTCTAGTCTAATGCTGTTGATGAATCCTCCGTCGCAAAGCAAACAAAAGAACAAAAAAATGGCGAAAAGTGAACATTTAGGAAATAATAATACAAATACAAACGGTGTGATAAAAGATGTTGGTGATGATAATAGTGATGATGATGAGTTTGATCCTTCGGTGCATTTTGATCAGCATACATATTGTAATCTGGTTGAATCCATGGATATTGTGTGTTATGGTCAGACGGTGCTGGATTTGTGGCAGAATAGTGAGAGGAAGATTAGGAAACTCACCAAGGAGAAAATTCTCGAAAGGATTAATGCCATGAAACAAGAGTGAGTATTGACATAACCTTAAATAACATTAAAATTAACTTGTTTCTTATATAATGAGTGAATAATCATGAAAATGGCGTTGATATGCGAATAACATGCAAGCGTTAATGGAGCTTCGATTAGGTTAACTTAAATATAATGAGACACGCGCGTGACTTTCAGAATCTCAGCGATAATTTGCAAATTTAAATTGCGTTGCTTCAATTTTCTATTAGTAATCAACAAATGTTGTTGTAATGTCATTAGTTTAGTTTTTCACGGAGGATAAAATTGATTGATTGTTATTATACATGAATGCACGCGCAAAGGTTAAATAGAGGAAATAACTTTTTAAGAGAATGAAGGGGAAACCGAAGGCCTGCGACTGCATTGGTAAATGACTCAGGCACGACTTAGTACGGCACTCGCTGTGTGCTGCCCTTTATACCTGCGGTGTATCACAAAAAAGTAGTGGGGGAAACCAGTTCCACGCTGGGAGTCGAGCGCAAGTGGACGTGTATGAGTGATATGTCTTGCGTTGCATATTAAGTACTACTTTGAAGGAGGGGAAGCGCCCCCACCACTTTTTAATGGTCAGACGCAGGTATAAAAGGCCAACGCACAATAACATTTTCATGGTCATATCTTTCCAGTGTAGTTACATTTGTTCCTAAATCCTTAATTTGAATAAATTATTTTTTTCAAAAGAAATAAATTACCGCAAAATTAAGATAACATCTCACGCAAATATACAATATCGTGTAAATTTTTAATTTTACCGTTTTATTTTAATTAAATCCAGCCCGATTCTTGGAAATCTCAAAAACTACGAGTCTCTTCTTGGAGACGTGCGTCGTAATTCCACTGGACATATAATCGCTGCGCGAACATTACGAGCATCATGGATGACACACTTGAACTTTTCTGCTGTGAATATGGACGATGTGGGCAACTATGCTGGTACCACCGAATGGGTAATTAATTAAAAACATTATTATAAATATCACTCATCAAAACTTGTTATTTATAGGGTTCTGCAGAATGCCTAGACTGGGAAACTTCATTTCTACGCGTTATGGATGAATCTCAACAAAGTCTACGACAACAAAATGAAAACATCACTTTGTATTACTCTTCTGGTCGAAGGTAAATAAAATTTTCAGATAAATACTTAAAAATAACCAAAAATTACATTTATGTTATGTTGTATAAAGTTATGCAACCAAACTTACACAAATTATTTTCTTATAGTTTTGGTGATATAAGCGGCGAATCAATGTTCCAAGGCATCGAAGTCCTCTTCATAGGCAGTGTAATAATGCTCCTCTACGTACAATTCGTCATTTCCAAGTTCAACTGGGTAGAAATGCGTGCTGTACTCGGTGCAGTCGGTCTCCTCTCAGTCGGAATGGCACTCATGGCGGGTTGCGGAATATGCTCACTCTTCAAAGTCCCATTCGGACCAGTACACACATCACTACCATTTCTTCTCATGGGTCTAGGCGTAGACGACATGTTTGTGATAGTGGCATGTTGGGATCAACTCACCGCAGAGGAACGCAAACAACCCTTACATGAACGTGTTGGTATTATGCTCAAACACGCAGGAGTATCAATCACTGTAACAACCGCAACAGATGTGCTTGCATTCGTAGTTGGATCTACAACAGTATTACCATCGTTACAATCTTATTGTCTGTATACAGCAATCGGAGTTTTACTTACTTTCATCTTCGTGGTGACGTTTTTCATCGCGTGTTTCACCATAGATCAAAAACGCTTGGAGAATTCTTACAATGGAGTTCTACCATGGATCAAATACGAAAACTACAAACCGAATAAGTTTAGTCAAGCAGGAACATCACATAGAGTATTCAAAACAGTATATTCTAAGGTTATCCTTACATGGCCAGGGAAATTAGCTGTTGTTTCGGTGACGCTGATCTGCCTAGGATTCAGTATTCAAGGATGTTTGAGACTCGAACAAAAGTTTGATCCGACGTGGTTTATACCAGATCATACATATCTGGGGAAGTTTCTGGAAAAGAAAGCGATTTACTATCCGAATTATGGATTTGAAGCCGGGACTTACATCGGTGCTGTGAATTATACTCACGAGTTGGGGAATTTAAAGGAAATGGTGTTCCAGTTGAATAATTGTACTGATATTATTTCGAATACGGTGTTTTGGTTGGAACCATTCCGAAACTACACTCTGAAAATATATAAAATAGGTTAGTAATATAATTTCGTGTATATTGGGTTGCACAATGTTTATTTGGTTGCAGATATTTACGAGGAGGAGATTTCAGATGGGCAGTTTAATCTTTTTATGTCAAGATTTTTATTCAGTCCGAAAGGAGCTCGATTTCAAGCGAATTTTAAATTTGCTCAGCCGCTGAAGTGTGGGCAACCAGCGTCAAAGATACAGGTTACACATTATACGCAATTTTTATTCTTTTATACTTTAATAATTGATTTTTAGATGTCAAGTTTTGATTATGTCTTTCGGCCATTTTCTGGCCCAGCTGAACATGTCCCAGCCATGCGTCGTGTGATGCGAATCTCAAAAGATCTAAATCTTACCACTGGGGACCGTTTTTCAACCTCATGGTCACGAATATATGCCACGTGGATTACTGATGAGATAATTGATGATGAAGTGATTCGTAATATTCAGTTAGCGTTGATTGCAGTCATGGTCTGCACATCTTTATTAATCGCTAATATACAGATCTGTTTCTGGGTGTTTGTGATGATCATTCTTTCAATGGTCAATGTTTGCGGGTTCATACAGCGTTGGGGTATTACTATTGATATTGTTTCGTGTGTTGCGTTGCAATTAGCGATTGGGTTGTGTGTTGATTATGCAACACACATTGGTCACAAATTTCTTACTATTGATGGTGAGGATAAACAAGAGAGGGTTTTGAAAACTGTTACGTCTATTGGGTCGGCTGTGTTGTATGGCGGCTGCTCAACGTTGATTGGTGTTACCATGTTGGGTTTCTCAGATTCATATAATTTCAGGACATTTTTTAAAGTGAGTTTTTTAATGTTTGAGTTTCCTGTGGATGATTTTCATGTTTTTGATTGTTTTAGATTTTCTTATTGGTCGTGATATTTGGCCTATTTCATGGCGTTGTCCTTCTACCTGTGATACTGAGTTGGGTAGGGCCTAAACCCTACAATAGTCATAAAAATGGCGGGCGTCATAGGGATGATACTGTGGAGTCGAGTGATATGATTGAAGCACATGAAGTCACTGCAGTCAATGCAATTACATAAAATGTATTTAAATTGAGATATTAAGTTAATGGTTAATAAATTATTTGTAATTTTTATCGTTTTGAAAGTATTTTTAATCCTTTTTGGTGTTTTGTGTAAAATATATTGCTGGTGTTTTGTGTTAATTGGGTTGCCTATAGCTACAATTCTTAAAAAACAAACTTTGTGTTTGTTGTTTTGTTTAATTTACTCATTATAAATTACTGTTTGGGTGTAAAATAGAATTCTTTTAGTTCTTTTACTGTTATTTGCGTGTTAATACTTTAGTTTAAAACAAAATAACGTGTTTTTAAAATGTTCTGTCACATGATCAAGTCGATGCAACCCGAACCAATCAGCGAGCACAATTCGTCCTTCACTACATCTGCGCCGAGCTAGTGCAAAGTGTGGATATTTAGTACTCGTGTGGAAGCCATTATACGCCGAAAATGTTCCGCACCTCGTTGGTCCGCGCCCACAGCGTGCTCAAGAATGCCATCACCAAGCCCATGGCCGCCCCAGCCGGCGTTCGCTTCATGTCCAAAGTGAACACCGAGACGGACGACCAGTTCGATGCAAGGTAAATTACGTAATGAGCGCACAATGTACACTAACCCTACACGAATTCACCAGCTACGCACGAAAAACACTCCAAATAGACACATTGCATAATTATACAGAATCATTAAGAGTTGTATTGTTTATTAAGGTATGAGGCATACTTCAGCCGTAGCGATATCGACGGCTGGGAGGTGCGCAAAGCAATGAATGATCTCTGTGGCTTGGATTTAGTGCCAGAGCCAAAAATCATCTGCGCTGCGTTGAGGGCCTGCCGCAAAGTCAACGATTACGCGCTTGCCGTGCGTTTCATCGAGGCTGTGAAGGATAAGTGCGGTAACAACGAGAAGGAAATTTACCCGTACATTATCCAGCAAATCAAGCCAACACTTACTGAGCTTGGCCTCAACACACCTGAAGAGCTAGGTTATGACAAACCCGAGTTGGCTCTGCAGAATGTATTTGAGATCCATTAAATGTTCACTTTAGTAAATGTAATAAATTAATAAATAAGTCGACGTCCAAACATGGATGAAAAATGTGAAATATACAAGTTAGTAAGATATGTGTGCTATAGTTTGGTTATGTAGGCAACCCACAGTGCAAACTAAATAAACAAGTTTTGTTTTTTACAAAAAGCAGTGATTTTAACTTTTAAGAGGTAATTATTGATTACAATCGAATTTAGCGTTATTTGAATGAATAACTGATTTATTTATTATTTTCTTATGTAAATTACCTGAGAAATTTATAAATTTCAAGCAGTAGCCTGCACTTGAACTTTGTCATTTTTCGTTTTTGGTGTGCTTGTGAGCACTTTATCAATTAATCCAAACTCTAGCGCTTCAACCGGACTCATAAACTTGTCTCTCTCCATGTTATCTTCAATCTTCTGCAGTTCCAAACCTGTGTGTTTGACATATATCTGATTAATTTGTTTCTTCAACTTCAAAATCTCCTCAGCTTGAATCTGAATATCAGTTGCTTGGCCCTAAAACATTTCAATATTAACACTACACTAGTTATTTCCTATATAAAAAAGAAACTTACAGAAGCTCCACCAGATGGTTGGTGAATCATAATTCGAGCATTAGGCAAAGAATATCTCATTCCTGGTGATCCAGCTGCCAAAAGCAATGATCCCATGCTGCAAGCTTGACCCACACACCAAGTAGCAACTGGTGATTGAATATATTGCATTGTATCATAAATAGCCAGTCCTGAAGTCACAGATCCACCTGGACTGTTAATGTAGATGTGAATTGGTTTGTGAGCTGATTCTGATTGTAAAAACAACAGCTGTGCAATTATTACTGAACTAAGTGCATCATGAATAGGTCCCATTAGACAAACGATCCTTTCTTTGAGTAAACGTGAATAAATGTCGTAGGAACGCTCGCCGCGCCCTGTTTGCTCCACCACAATTGGAATGTATCCAAAGTTTCGAACATTGTGCGAAGAAGTGTGTATAACTGGTTGAACCTGCATTTAAATAAGAAATAGAAGTATTTAAACATGTTAATAAGTAAAAACACACCTTCTGGAAGAATTTCGATAGATTGCGAACGCTAGGTATGATACAATTCATGTTAAAAACTTATAAAACTCATGAAAATGTATAGTAATGATTTGTTTGAAACCAGTTATGTTTGAGGTTAAGAAAAACTTCATAAACTTAACTCCATCTAGTGGAATGACACAAAAAAGTCAATTTTCTCGCATGAATTGAACAAAAACATTTGAAAAAGCTCAAATCCAAGTGTAATTCTTAGTATTTCTTGGGGATTCTTAGTTTATTACATGTAATTTGATATCCTAACGTATCTTACAGCAGAATAAAGTATTACTGTTCATAATCTTTAAGTACATTACTATTAGATTGGATATTTCGTGAAATATAAACTCTTTTTGTTCATTGTTGTCTCAGATATTGCGTCATAGCCGAACAGAGCAAAACTTACACTTCTACATCATATCTCCACGCTTCAATATCAATATTTTATCCCTCTCATAGAAAACCATTTTATATACACAAGTTAAGCAAACTTTCTAGAACTTACAGCTTATTATTCTTAGTAAAAACAACTGAAAATTAACTTTGTAACGTTTTTTACACCTCCCCACACGCTTTACAATGCATTCTAATGCAATCACTTAAAAATAAACTCAATCATGATAACATATTCGCAGTATAATCAGTGCCGTCAACGAGTGACCTCAATGGCACATTTTAAACAAATGGATTTTCGTAAATAATCTAATCATATATATATCTACGCGATGAAACAAAAACAAGAAGAGCACAATAAGTGAACAATGAGAATAATTTCATAACAGAAATAAACATAAATTCTATTCCGAGACGCAGCCCCCGATTAATTATTATATATAAATATATTACATACAAGTTGTCTTCAAATTCGTGTCATCAATGATATTCTTTTCGCTTTTAAATGCTTCTACTGATGCTTTCAACAAGTTAAGATGAAGTATGAGACTTATAAAGTTCATAAAATGATTGCACTCCACATGTATGATAAATATAAAATAAAAAATAAAAATAAGACATTTCTATACTTGGACTAATCAAGTACATCTTGTTTTAATTAAGATTGGATGATTTGACGCTTGAAAATTTAAAATGTTTAAATAATCGACTGGAATCGTTTAAAATCTATTACTATTCCATAGGGGCTATTGCTATAAGCACGTCACGTGTATTATTAGAGAATTATGATTGATTTGTAGCCGCAAGACGTGCTTTTTTGAAGACTCGACCAACTAACTTTATATTTTCATACGAATATAATACAATCTGTACGATATTGTTGTGATATAAATCACTAAGTGCAGGTTGATTGCCTGGAATTTTCTTTATACAATTGCTACCGGTTGCAAAGCAGTTTCCTGGTGTTGCTTTCAAAGGCCCACTGAAATTTCTCGCGCAAGTTGCGTTTGATGAAATGCTGCACAAGGTACAAGATGACAATGAATGCATGATGATAATACGTTTAAATTAATCTAGATGCAAATAAACTAAATGTGTGTCCAGCCGCACTTAGTCTTGTGTGTGATTATCTCGAAGTCGACGGTCCGGGCGAGCCCTGCTTCTTTGATTTACGTTTCAGATCATCTAGGTAGGTTTTACGGGATTCCGCGAGCACTTGTGCCATTATTCCATCATCCCAGTTTGCTTCAGCTGGAAAAATTCATAAAATTTAGATTAGATTAAATTTGCTGTCAAATTTTTGACAGAAATAAGGCAATTTTACAAATGAAGTTGACATGGAACAATTTAAGTTTAGATTAAATTTGGTGTCAAAATTTTGACAAGAAAATGACATAATATGTCAATTTGGAACAATTTAAGGTTAGATTAAATTTGCTGTCAAAATTTTGACAAAAAAATGACATAATGTGTCAAAAATGTCATTTTTATGAAAATGTAATAAATTCTACTTTATACACAAAAATCAATACTTACATCTTGTTGTTGCGTCCTTTGTGAAAGTACTTGATGTCTCCGGATACTCTGTATTGTAAATAGCTTCAAACTCTTCATACAAACTGTTTTTCGGCGAACTGGGCTTAAATATCTTATCAGTGTCAATGTGTGAATGAGAGGTGGCGCTCTCGGCGATACAGTTACTCGCCGCTGGGGATTTCGGAGCCGGCCGAAATCCACTACTCTTCGGCGATGCAGACCCAGGCGATGCGCATGTTTTCGGCGATACCGAGCCACGCCGCGCCGATTGTCGGGGACTCGAACAAACCGCCGACGTAATCGTTGAACTACTACTAGCCGCATGCCCCTGCGGTTTTAACCGCTTCTCTGCATCCCGATAGTACTGAATGTAGCTTTCCCTCGCGACTTCCTCTTCGATCGCTTCATAAGTCGCCTCCCAATCGGTCGCCTTCAACTTATCCTCCAACATTGTCTGTTCAATCATGATATCTTCACTGGCGCGCACAGCGTCCACCATTCGTCGCCGATTAAGATCTATTGTGTGATATGCAGGCAGACCTAACCCCACACCCACGGATGGATTATTCGGGTTGCAAATTGAGTTGTAGTGGCACATGCGATGATAAGACAACCGAATCGGTTCGTCAGCGTTAAGTCGTGGACTGTTGAATATATTAATCGGTTGTACTTCGTAACAGTACACCTCAATTGTGCGGTTGTACATTTCGCTCATCGCTTGGATTTCAAGATGGTTGCCGTGCACGTTCCAAAGGCGCTTGCGCGCGATGTACTTGTCGAAATCTTCTGTTACGTAATTAGCGAAAAAGTCTTTGTTTTTGACGATGTAGTCCATGCAAGCGGAGCGTACGGTAAAGTGTAATTCTTGATCGCCGTAGATTTGATCAGCGATCGCGCGGAATAAACATGCGCCATCATCGCGCATCGATTTGATCTCGAAGCCCAGTTTTTGTAGGCAACGCGCAAAACGTGTGTCACGCTAATAATAATTTTTTTAATTTATAAATTTCATTAATAAATTAAATTAATTAAAACACTTACCGTTTTCCATTCTTCATCACTAATAATTGTCGGATTATGTATCGGTGCTCCATATTCATCTTCACTATTAAACCCAGTTGCTTCCTCTTCATTTTCTGTGTTCTCATTGGCCGGAGCACAACTTACCTCATCACTTTTGGTTATGTCCACAACTTCACTAGTACTCGCCTGTGCTTCCTCCACTGGCTGTTCAACCCTGTTCACCAGTCTTTCCCTTTCCCTGGCCAATTTTCTCCGCGATGATTTTGCTTCCTTGAATCTTTTTCTCATACAATGATCAGTTGGTTCAGGTGTGGCACTTCTACAAACACAACCAGAAACACATTTATCTTCAATGTTTAACCCATTACTACAATGCCAGAATGTGTATTTGACACTTACTGCACCACCAAGAATAGCATAATAAGTGGTTACCTTCTAAATGGCCTTCTGGTAGTGGTTTTATTTGGGTCTGCAATGGCCTGTGAATGTGCGCCATGTTCACGACGACGTTCTGACGGCACCTGTGAAGTGATCAATGCGAATTAATATAAAATGTAAATTACATGATGGTATATTGTATTACACGTGCCCGTTATGGTGTAGAAATGTAATAGTGATTTTTAAGTAATGATATATCGCACAATGGCAGCGATATTATCGCATAGTAATGCGGTTTACTTACGTTTTGCGCCGCATCGCCTTTATCCTCGACCGTGGGGCTGGCGCGTTTCGCTGGGAGGATCGTCATCGCTGCGATCCAGGTGTAATTCGGTTGATTGCTAGATTTTATGCGAAAATTTGAGCGAAAATGTGAAGACTATTACAACAATCAACAATGATCAAATACCACAACAGCTGGCTGTCACAAAGGTATTTTGACAACAACGCGCATGCGCAGTGAAAGTTAAACACCTGTCACTTGCAGAGGCCGCTAGTAGTATCAAAACGTACAAAAATTCAAGAAAATTTTGTTTTCAGACGACAAAAAAACTTGAAAACAATTTAAATTACTTTCAATTATATAAATTATAAAATATACAGATAATAAACATGTTAAAACGTCTTGTATAATTTTGTAATTTTAAGGTAATTATAACACATTTATTCACATTTTTCTTTTTGACATTTTTGTACTGTCAAATAATTGCATGTTTTAATTATTTCTGGTATTTCCTAGATACTGTGATCTATGAATCATCTGCGTGATAATTATTTACACTCGAGTACATAGTTCGTAAGCAAAATCTTGTTTTGTCTTGTTTCGTGGCGTCGGTGGTCAGGAATGCGTCATGGCGACAGCGCATTATTTATAACTCTCCAGAGAAAACAAGAGCACGTCGACACGAATCGAACATTTCGCAATATTAGTCAACGATAATCCCTAAAATCAATAAAACAACGCTGAGAAGGCGTCCAAGAATCCCTTCGCATCGAAATTACGTGGAAAAGAAATCAATATCTCCACGCGAACATCATCCGATGTTCTAGAATTTAAAATGGCCGCCTATTTCAGTTCGCAAATATGCGCAAAACTCATTTTGTTGTTCCATGACCTAAGTTTAATTTGTAATGATGTCACAACATAAAAACGTGAGTATCATGTTGTTCTATTTGCGTGCGCGTTATATACACAAATGAAACAATTGAACGCAGATCTTTTTTCGTTATTTGTTTTGCGTTCGAATTGTCCGTTGAAATATTCAGCAGGAGAGGAGGGTGGCGTATGACGTTTGCAGGTTTCGTGACGTCATGTGTGGGGCGCACGCCAACGTCCCCCACTTCGACGCTGACGTCAGACCCGCGGACGACCATCTTGCGCGGCCCGAAGCCAATGTGATATTCTCAGCCAGCCCGTGTGTGTGCTCCGCCGTGTGCCAGTGCTAACACCCGATTCGTATAATATACAAGTTCGGTTTCTCGCCCACCGTTCGTGGAGTACCTAGGAATAATTTAATTCCATTTTCAATGTGTATGGCTAGTGTGGTAAGTGCATTTGATAGTAAATTAATACGCCTAGAGTCGTGTACGCGGTTTCGGGTTTGGCCACTGCCAGACCCCGACGATGGGTTCTGTTCTGCGCTGTGCTTGGTGCATTCAATCGTGCAGCCGAAAAATGCCTCTGCCATCGTGTTGTTTCGTTATATAAGGCGTCGGCCGCGTGAAAATGCCGATATTCGTGGAAATCACGACGCGTTGCGTACATATTCGTGTATAGCAAAAATGTGAAATGGCTATCGAGGCCGCGGCCAGCGACGTCCGTAAATATAATAGCATACAAGCCAGCAGCGCGGATGTGCTGTGCGTGTTTGTCGCCGTCGGCATTCTTTTCCACGGAGGAGTGGTGCAGATCCACTCGTCGTACGTCTGTGCTCTGTCTGGGGCGTCGCGCAAAACCAATAAACACAAATTACGCTTTATATTTAACACTGCACTTGTATTTGTTGTGCAATCGTGTGTGCATCAAACAGCAAACAGAAAAAAAAACAAAAGTTGTTTATTGTGAGCAATATATTGTACAATCATCGACTGGTGAACCTCAGGAAACAGTTTGACATAAGTAAAAGCAGGTATAACTTGTTGAACAAAGGCTCGACCCGAGTCTCTGTCTGCATCTTCAGTGCGAACGTGAGAAGTGTTCAATATACATGCATCAACATCACAAAATGCTATTTATAGGTTATATACAGTCGCATAACAACAGCAGCCAATTAAATTATAGTGGTAGGTAAGGTAGATAACTGCAATTTCAAATATTATGCAAAATTGCTAACGTGCAGTATTTCATGCTTTGTCATTCTTGAATGTGTTTTAGGTCACATCATTCGACCAGAATTATCCAGTTTTAGTGAGTAGTGAATAACACGCAAACAATTTGCAATTGTTGGATGGCAGTCAGTAATTTGGTTCATGCAATATACTCATGCCAAAATTAGGTTAGGTAGATATTCGACGTTTCAACTTTTAAGTTGACCTCTCGGGTTAAACATTTAAAAAATAAATATTCAGTAGTGATATGTTAAAAACAGGTTATTTAAATTTAAATGTTTACTAATTGATTGGTAACGTGATATTTTGTTTTGGTAATTAGTAATTTAATAATAACGATAGTTTTATATTGCAGTGTTCAGGTAAAAGTGAGGTTATAAATTGAAATTCATCATAACTGTCAATATATTATTCAATTAGTTATTGTATGAGCAAAACTTTGTGAATTTCGAAGATATATTGTAATTTATGTTTTGACATTTACTTTTGTAGGTGGAGTTTATACTGCCAGGTTGCATGACGATGAAAAATGAGGCTTGTCATGGTGAATTATTTTAATACTGCCTGTTTTTAGATGATATATCTATTTCATGAATTTATATTGCTATTAGCTTCTAAATATAGTTGCTTCCACTGCAATTAGGGTGCTAAAAATAACTTATTGCAATTTCTATTAGGTCGTTTTGATAATCATCTTGCTATCAACATGAAGGGCGGATAGGTATTTATAATTTATGGGCTTTTTTGCCTTGAATAAGAGAATTATTATTAAAACATTAGAAAAGTTAATTAAAAATGAATTTTCAGGATGAGCTTAATACATTTTGACATTGAGTTGAATATGCAACGTAGGCAACTCTATATACACCATATTTTGACAGCTGATTCATAAAATACTACAAAATGTCTTTTATTAAAGGAAAACATGATTTAATAATGAATCTAAGCCATTTACAAAGTATGCCAAGACAGTTTGTAGTAAATAAAATATAAGTACACCAAATGAAATGTCAGAATATATAAAATTATATTTGAAACGGTGACATGTTTATAAAAACCCGTAGCATCGCCCATCCGGCGTCCATTAGTGGCTGTTTTGGTAATGCAAATACAAATCCCCGAGTGGGCCAAATGTGTGTTGGCATCGGTGCAAAATAATACTACGCTGTATGATAATTTTATTTTCTGCTTTTATTTCGCGCCCAGTTATGCGTGCCCGAGCCACACGAGGCGCAGGCAGACGTCCCGCAGCAAATTGACAAGCGTGATCACAAAAATTTAACGCGCACACCAAATCCAACCGAAATTGACAATAATACATGCACTAAATGATTGATTCGGGTGTTAATATTCAGTGAAATGAAATTATAACCAATAGTGCCGAGTAGTTTTATCATTGTGTGAATTTTGAAGGTGGATGACGGTATAAATAACCGGTGAGCAGCGCGAAAAGTTCAAAGTGTTTTGTTTTGTTGATATTAATAGCGATTGGTGCGCTGATTTTTTATTTCCAGCTAAGTTTAACAAGCTGCAAGCTTGCCAGCAGTGTATCATAACTCGCGGGGCGCATCGTTCGCTTGTGTTTATGTTTGTTTGTTTATGTTTTGTCTATTTCACGAATCAAATCGGTTCGTAATCGTGGAACGTTTACTTTTTATTGTTTATGCGATGATTGGTTTCTTGAAAATTTCAGTTTGGACAGTTGCGAATCGAATTTTGCAATTGGTATGTTTAGTCAAGCTTTTTAGGAGTTGCCGAAGCAAGAGCATGTGATTTTAGGTGTCAGTCAGTGTAAAAATAGTTCACTTTGCTACTTAGTTTAGCTGCTGGCTTGTTATGCAATTATTTATGTCAAAAATGAGAAATTTAAGTTTTAAACGTTTTAATGTGCGTAATTTGGATTAATTTGATGAAATTCTAGTGGTTTTTTGATTAGTGTTATCATAGAATAACAAATTGCGTATTTTTTTGAGTCGTCGAGTGCATTTTCAACATTTTGAACTTGAACTTCATGTTTTATATTGGCTTAATCATGTAATTCACTCCGAGTGAGCGTGAGTGGTTATCAATTAGCTTAAAAATATAAATATTTGATTAATTGCACTTTCATCGGTTGATTATTACGCATAAAATTATAATTTTCATATCATTATTCCATTAATATTTAAACTTAAAATTTTATTCATTCACTCTATAATCAAGTGTTTTCCGAGCCAAAATTTCGCATCTTTTCGTGAATGAATCTGTTTTTAAATCTAACTTTGTAATTTCAAATGCACTGCACTATGTCTGAATTTAATTACATTACAATTCCCGCGTACGGTTTCGCTTTGGGTTTGAAAAAAAAAACCGGCGCAAACCGAATTCTCGTCGCGCAATAAAAATAGCACTCGAATTTCCCTTGCCTGCCGCCGCGCTTCCACACGCATTCATTGTATGTTGTATTTATTTTTATATTCACATACGAATTTGAATTCATCGCGCGTAAATTATGAAGTAACATTTGTTTGGACGCGTGCGGCGACTCATTAATAACTGAATTCCAAGAAGCGTTGCGAGGCTGAATCGCCGAGCGGAGAAAACAAAAGTTTAAACAAACATTCGGAGTGTTTACTTGTTGGTGTAATTAATTAGAAATTTATTAAGGCGACTTGCAGTTAGAAACAAACAATAACAAAAAACGTTGCTTACGTACGTGCAATGCAAGCAACCAAGCAACAGCAGCTTGTGATATTGATGTGTGTATGTAGGTAAGATAGGATTACGAAGATAATTGCACTTTGCACGGTATTGTCGTGGGTGCGCTCAGGGTAATTATATATTAATGTATTAATCCAATTATTCGGTACATGTGGATGGAAACGTTTCATGATTATTGAAAAATTGATATTTGGATATCATATAATCGGTTGGGTTGAGTTATTTATAACTTAAGTGTGGATGGAGTAATTTTATGATGATTGATTTGGTAGATTAGTCTTATGAATGGCGGAATAACAATTAAACCCTCGGAATTGGCTATAATTAACCGCGCAATTTGATGCGACATCTAGAGACAGTAAAAAACATTTATTTTGTGTTGCATTACCAAAATATTTCTATTTTTTTGTAAAAACAAGTAAAGTAATCTTTATCATAGCTTAGGAGTTTAATCTGGGTATAAAATGAGAATATTTTTAAATAAAAACATGTTAAAATAGAAAAGGTAACTGTCTTTAAATGGATTTGGAAAAAAATGCATATTTGGCGAAATAAACGATTAAAACTTAAACTTTTCATTTTACCATCTCTTTGAGAAGTTAATTCTTCATTTAATCGATGTAATTGCATTAAAATACTTCGAACCCTTTCGGAAAACAAAGAAAAATAGTTTTTGAGTATCATTAGAGTCAACTTATAGCCAAATGTTTAAAAAACATTTGAAAAAATGTAAAAACTTTACTAAACCAACAAATCTGGGTTTAATTTGTTTAATTTAATTATTTTTGCAAATATTAATTCACTTCTGACACTATCATGCAATTTACGTTCATAAACCTGATGCAAATTTGATAATTATCGCTTGGCTATCTGCATTCATCCGAAAACTCCAATTAATTACAGATAAATAAATTGGCTTCCACCGGGCGGGCCCCGATTTGTCGCATGTCAAGTGCAAATAAAACCGAAATAACAAACGTATCCTCCCGTGCCCGTTTTAATCCAAATCGCATTTATTACGTCAATAAATAAAATAAATACAACGATTATACTGCAGAATGCAGGAAGTGGCTGGAACTTAAAATGCTTAAGCAAATATCATCGCGCAGAGATAAGATAATTGTCAGCCTACCAGTTGTTGTGACAATATTGAATTTGAATTATCAATATTTATCGAAATCAACTTGAGAATATGGCGCGGATTTATGAAATAAAAGGGATTAGTTTTTGCGGTGTTCCGATGATGTTCCAAGAGATTAAAGTCGATAACATTACGCATCAATGAATACTCGATACACTTGAGTCTCAATGACATATTATTCTCGGTTTTATGTGATGGAAATAAAAGATGAAATCAGTCGAGTGTGGTTTGTTGATGCATACGGCACGCGACGTTCAATTACAATTTTTTCCACACACACACACAAACAAAACAAAGCACAATTCACATGATTTGCGCAATCAGCATTTGAGAAACAATAAAAAAAAGTGCAAACTGGACGAACGTAAACCCAACGCGTGCGAATCGAGAAGATAAAAAGATAAAAGTTGCACGATGCACAAAAATAAACTGCTCTGCCGCGCGTAATAAAAATGTGAAATTTAACTTTTCTTCACCGGTGGTTTTCTGTTTCAGTATTTCGGTGAGGCTGTGCAGGCATACATGGAGTTCCAGTTAGACAGCGCAGAATACTGCCAGGCACAATACACATAAATCTGCCAACCCAAATTTTAAATCACACACTAAACCAATTTAAACAAAAAGAGGAGCTAAAAATTTATTAATATTAACCTATAAAGAAGAAATCAACTAAAAACAAGAAGGAATCCAAAATAATCGATATAAACTAATACACATATAAAGCTATATATCTATCTACAAATTAATTTAAATTAATTTCAACGAGGAATCAAGAGGAACGAAGCGAGCACACACGCAATCTGCAATCCTGCAACGCATCATTATCAATCGAGTCAGGCCGCAGGCGACGACGAGGGAGGTGGCTGCAAAATCAAAATAATTCGCTCGACGCTTTAAATAATTTTAGATCGTTTTTTTCTTTCGCGCAACGTTACAGTAAAAGGCAAGTAAAACAACCAAATCTTTAACTTTTCTACTTCCGTCACTTTCCACGGGTTCCAGACACGAAAAATGCACTTTAGTCACGGGTCGGAGTTTGCAATTCATGCGCTAACTCCCATGTATTTATTACCTTACATTTTCCAGTAGTTTGCGAGCGAATTTCGAAGTTTTACAATACAAAAGTTAAAATAAAAAATTTAAGCGTGGAAATGGAGTGGAAGTAGAAAAATAGCGTAAGAATTATGTGGCTAAATGTTATTAAACACTCGATTGATTAAATCTTAATCAATTTCGTGGTTAAAGTGATGTTTAGCGCACTTGTTACTTAAAAACATGTAATTTATTGTGTTTTCTGTTGAAATGTTTTTAGATGCAATTGAGAATCACGTATCCATAAAATAATTGCAAGAAATTACTAAAGATATACAAAAAACATAACAACCACCACCGAAAAAGACTGATTATTAAGAATATTTTTTTAATTATACAATTATATCTACTAATCTATACAACGGCGCAACCGGAGAGCTGCAGAGGAGTCGATTTTTGAATTTTACGCATTTTAATCGAAGTCGCGCCCCAGATTCTGAAATTTTAAACCCTACAACAACAAAACCCACACAACACGGGCAGTGCAAATATAATTTTGTAAAAGAGGCGATTTCCGAGTTATATTAAAACATAATCTCCTGTTGCCATTCTAAAACAAAAGCAAACAAAGTGATTGTTGCACGGCGTGTAAACAAAGTCAGCTTCACGTGCGCGAAGATATTGAATATCGTCGGCGACGAGACAATTAAACGATTAACACGATCGACGAGAGACGCACTTGGTGGACGCGCGTGGCATGAGCATTAGCGGAATGCGGCCGAAGGATATTCGACCGGCGCCAGCCGAAATCAAATGCAAGGGCTTCAGGTTTCTCATCACGGATCGGCCCTCAGACCAAACCATTTCTTCCTATATTCAGGTAAAATATTTTATTTTCACTTAAATTGCATTTGTGTATTCGTCTGGTTTGGTTTAAATCGTTTTGTCTCGCGTCTGGTCGTCGAGTTGGTTAACAAAAAGTTTTTTTTGTGTTTTCACCCGGGCCAGACGAGACATCTGTCTCGCCTCGTTGATATTCCACCCCCCACTTTAGCCCCACCCGGGGTCGGCGCACTCAAATTTAATCCGCTATTTACCTTTTTTTTGTACCTGTAGGAGTTGAAGAAACACAATGTGGCGTCAGTGGTGCGCGTCTGCGAGCCGTCCTATAAGATTGAAGAGCTAAAGGAGGCCGGTATCGCCGTGTACGATCTGGAGTACAATGACGGCACCTTTCCGCCGAACGACATCACCGAGGAGTGGTTCCAGGTGTTGAAGAAGCAGTTCCATGACAATCCGGAGGCGTGCGTTGCGGTGCACTGTGTTGCCGGCTTGGGACGTGCACCTGTCATGGTTGCGCTTGCTCTGATTGAACTTGGACTCAAGTATGAGGAGGCTGTTGAATTAATCAGAGAGTAAGTTTAATAAAAATCAATGTTTTTGATTTTAACATGAAAATAATAAAAATTTTGTATTAAAGAAAACGTCGTGGAGCAATCAACTCGAAGCAACTCGGTTATCTGCAAAAGTACCGTCCGAAGTCACGCCTCAAGCTGAAGAACGGCCACAAGAACTCCTGCTGTATCCAGTGAACGTGCACGACGTACCCGGGCCCCCCGTATACATAATATATATCTCTATCAAATATGAACAGTTTGGTCTCCAGGATCTGAAGCTCGTCTTTTCTTACTCTCGCGCGCCCAAGGTGTGTGTGTAGGCGTGTGGAAATTTCGCGCGCGCACGAAACTTGCACGCGTCTGTATATCACAGCGTGCGATATATTGACGAACAACTCTGACGCAACAAATACATATTATCAGTCTCGACGCAATCACACACATTAACGGGCGTTGTTGCACACGCGCGCGCGCGCAACACTCGCAGTCATGTAAAATCATAAAGCTACGATACATACGGATGCAGGACATGAATTATATTTTAGTTTTTATTTTTCTATGTACACAACACACACACGATTCGTAAGTTATTCGGTTCGTAGCGTTTGCAATGCGAAATCTTCTCGTTTTGGGGCTTTAAACGTGCGATTGTGTGGAATATTCAAAGTCAGCTATATTTTCTATGAATGAATCGATTGATTAGATAAACGCACTATAGAATTATGTTTGATTTAGTTTATGTAGCGTCGCGATGACCGGTTTTATTTACACTGTATATAGATTTAATAATTCGAAATAGTTTCTCATCATATATTCTTGACGGGGCAGATTTTAGTATGTTGACAAGGACGAGTCTAATGAAATCAATGGAAATTTATCTAAATAAACCTAAAACTGTGTAAAAAGCGCAAGAAATGAATCTAAACAAAAACATACATTAGTTGTACTACTTTATGATTGTAATATGTACACACATATACTGTATATGAGCATGAACTAACAAATATTTTTTGTGTATTAGAATCCATGATGCTGATGATGATGCAGTTGATAAATGTACGTGTGTCATAAGTATAATGCGGCGGGCTTTTCGCTGTTTGGCCGTAAACGCGACGCGAATGTTGAGAAGAAGGTATTCAGTGTACTAAATACTAAAACAATTGTGTGAATTCAACAATTCCGCTTGGTCCTCGGTTGAAATTCATGATTCGGTTACGCATACACACTTCGAACGAATGCTGTATTTGTAATATTTATTGTAATCATCTGGATCGGTCGAAACGGAACGCAACCATGGCTAAAAAATGACTAATACTTATTATTACTGATTAATCTCTGTTTGTGCTAGTTTATATTGTTATGTTGTAAACTGTATAGTTACGCATATCGCTTATGTTAGTTGATTGAATTCTCGTCGTCCGCGGACGCCCTTCCGATCCCTCTCTTTTTTTAAACAATTGAATAAACGCAACTATTTATAAGAAATGTGTCACAGAATACTCGTATATAAATTATTATTATTGCGTACAGATGCGTATAGAAAGATGATAGATACAAGCGGCCATCGTACAACTCGTAAAACTAATATATTACTAGCAAATATATATCGGGATTAAATAATAAAGTGCATTCGCGTGTCGCGTCGTTCATCATTTCGGCTGTTACTGTCGCACATGGTCGGAGGATTGATAAATTTGATGCGGAGCACTTACGCCGTACACCGGCGGCGGGAAACAGCGTACATGCTCAACGGACTGCTCGTCGTTGTCGTTGGACTTGAGGAATTTATTCAAAATGGCGAATATTTGCGAATTCAACACTTGGAAGCGCCGAATCCTGTCAACCATGCGTTTCAAACTCTGGAAAAACAAACAAAACATAAGAAAATTTACCGCTGGGGATTTTAACTTATCTTACAATTCCAGTCACAAGCTGATCCTTCATATCAACGCGTTGTACACGCAGGATGTGATAGCAGAAGTCCAACGCTTCAAAACGTCGTTGTTGACCCAGGAGGACAATCATCGTACACCCAGCCCAGTGTAAACCTTCGCCGAATAACTCCTCGACAGTATATTCTGTCTCACCAACAGGAATGCAATAAACAAACTGGAGCGCAGACCACAGACGATGGAACTCTGTGCATTCATCAACGTTCATTACACCGTTAAGCGGTGGCTTCCCCATCCAAATTTCATCATCAAGATAACTTCTTAGACGGGTGAGTACCACCTCGAATATACTCAACCCGCAACACAGGCGTTCACGAGTTAGCAAATCACCCTCGCGTGAAATTAACGCTTGTTTCGCAGTGCCGAGTTTCTCGATGTTTGAAACAATCTGCAGCGCGGCGTATTTCTGCTCCAAACGCTTTTGCTTCGCGTCGGGTTTTTCATTTTCCTTGCAATGCGGTCTCGGGAGTATATTCTGGAAAGGTGCGGCTTGTAGAAGATCACAGACTTCTTCTTGCGACAACGCTTGTTCCATCAAGAGACAGAAGAGGATAATATTACCGAATTCTCGGAAAATGTGGAAGAATTCGGTACGCGCGTCGGAGAATTGCAGAATATCATTCAAGTTAGCGTTATAGAAACCTAACACACCTAGAAAAAACAAAACAAAATATGAATTAACACTAATTGTTGCAATATTTAATATTTTATGCTAACCTGGAGAACCATAATCATATCTTGGCATTTTGCATTGTTTAGGCATCATCTCCATGAGTGTTCGTGTATATTGCAGCAGATTCCCCTGTATCAAGTTTTTGACAATCCCCAAAAGTTCTTCCATCACCACTGCAATACCCTGATAACCCAGTAGTTTGCAAATGGTGTGAAAGTGATGTGAACCAACAAACCCGGCATATTGACTGTACTGTGCATTGTACGCTGTGTTCAACGCCTTGGTACCCCACAAATGATGGTAAGAAGTCGTCGGTGGTTTATCTCGTGCAACAGGCGGTGCAAACTGTATACTCTGACATTTTATAAAGCGGTTAGTCGCCGCGTTATACACATAATTCTGCAGGAAATCATAATTGACCTCCCAAAACACGTGCAAAGTTATACGACCATAAGGCGCTAACACATTATGATTAGCTTCACGATACATGCAGTCATAATCATCCAATGCAAGCCATTTACTCAGTAACTTGTGACAAAGTCGATTTACTTGTAACAAACCATCCAGTTCCATCACACCTGTTATATCACCAGATTCAAACTTGCAAATTGCAAGATCCAGTGACTTTTGCATTTCGGCGTTGATACGCTGCGTAATCAACTTGTTAAGATCAATAGACCTGCCGAGAAGTTGAACATGACGTTGCTTCAACAAAGTTTCATATCGATTTGCACGTGGATACGGCAATAAATACGCTCCTGCTTGCGTAGCGCATTCCAAACGAAAACGTTTATCCAGAAAGATACTCGCTGCGAGTTGTTTATAATACGCGAAGATTTGGTCAGACAGTTTGAATACAAACTGATCGAAACAAAGATTCACCTCTGCTTCAACTTCATCATACAGGAACTGTTTCCTGAAGATTGTCAGCGCGTATAATGCACTGTCATTGTACAGATCAAGCGGATACAGTACATATTCCATCATTGACGGGTCTTTTGTCTTGAGTATATGATCAGTAAGAATCCAAGGCATAGACATTTCAATTGGAAACTGTATCCGTTTCTCCATGGTGATCAAATCATTGCACTCATCGTTATGCTGGTGACGCACGGTGCATTTATTGATTTTTCTGCCCATGGTCATCTCCAGATAGAACTCGCGGTACCATAATTGAGAAAGATCACAACATTGTTGTAAACTTTCACTGAAACTCAACAAATAATTCCAGTTGAATGAGTTTTTGTGGAAAGTATCGATTTGGATCAGGTATTGTCCTTCGATGTCCTTGCGAAGTGTGCGTTTTCCTCCGGATTTATCCGAAGTCAATGATTCCAACATTGTGCGCACCATGTATAGCTGTGTTGATGATGGTCCCACATTTCTGCGTGGTACTTTGATGGTGAATCCATTATCGTCTTTTTTGCCTTTGAGTGCTGGATCATTTGTGGGTTCCATTCCGCGTGTCCAATCTGCGCATGTTTCCCGGACAGACATGATGATTGACCTGATGAGGTCTTTTTTGTTTTTGATTGCTTTGCGTAATGGTTCCCTGAGCATCAACTGGACGAAGTTTTGTAATTCAGAGTAGATGTGACGTCTGATTGCATCGGTGAAAACAGTTTCCATGCGTGCCATTAGAACTTGTAGACCTTTAACCATTGCAATGACTTCAATCAACGCGAATTTCTCACCTTCTGAGTAGTTATATCGTGTTGCACGTTCGTATTCTTCAGCTTCCGGTGGACAATCTTTGTTTTGGTGATGATCAGTCGGATGTAGTAACTTCCATGAATACAATTCAGTTACAACACTTGTCCATTCACTCAGTAATTGTAATCCTCGCAGTGCTAATTCTGCAGTTTCACGGTTTTCAGTATCCGAACCACTTTCTTTGTATGTTGTTGTTACTTCATTGCTGTATTTCGCTAATTCACTGATGTATTTAATGTGATCTTCGCGAATTTGTGGTAGGTGAACCATTAGATCTGCTTGTGGTGATATGGTTGCAGAGTTAGACAGCGGCCATTTTGTTGGATCGAAATGTTTGCTGCGTTTTATATAGTTAAACGGAGCAATTTGCATGTCGCCAAACAGAGGCACCACTTCTAGATTCTTAAAAATTCTATCCAGGCGATCCAGACGTAGTTTTTTCTTTTGATCCAATTTATTAATATTGCACGTTTCGCTGTCCATGAGGAACAGTCCGAAACCCATCACTTTAACCAGCATGTGTTTCTCGCTGGGAGTCAAGTACATTTTGGATTCAAACATGTTCACACAGATATTAACCACGTCTGCTAAGAGTTCTTCATAGCCAGGGATTTTTTCAAGGTTTTCTTTGACAGTATCGCGGATTTTGTTCTGCGTAGCCAGAAACATTGATAGATTCTGGGATTCTTGAAGAGTTTGGGAGTCAGACATTACTTTCAAGAATTGTGCAGCCCTAAAATTAATATTTAATCAATTTTTTTAACAAGTTGTGTAAGAAAAAACTTTATATTTACCTTCGATAGGTGGAATAATCATTTTTCACACTGGACTTCATATTTTTCAGTTCATCCAACACAGCAAACATATTTATAAACTTTCCTAGAGTTAATAAATATGCTTCCGATACAAAATCTTTAGTTTTAGCCTGATGACATAGTCTTTTTACTTCTTGCGAGAATCTTTCAATTGCTCTCCTCTGCAAAACAAATCAAATCATTAAAAACATACAAAACTTTGTGTTTTTGGTGTACTCACTTGAAAATACATAAAATTCAATAATTTATGCACTTCAGGTGCTAATACTTCAACAGTCTTCTCGTAAATCTCACCCCTGTTGGGCTGCTCATTGCTCTTTGGTTGTGGAATAGCCCTGGAGCAACATCTCCATGTGTACAACATAACAGCATGCTGTTGTCCCTCCTCAAGCAGTTCATTAAGATTAGCATGCACTGTGGCTTCCTCGATGTATTTTGCCACACCAGTGACAAATCCATTGCGATCCTCAAAGTTTGTATCAAAATTAGCTTGATACACCACTGAGCATGGCTGTGCTTCAATGCATGGCTGTTCATCAGGCAGAGGCAGTTCATCAAGCACATCCACATTGGATAATGCATCTGTCAGTGAAACCCTATCTGTTCCAGCCATTGTATTATATTATGTATACCAATACTTAATCTATAAATAGTAAATAGATAATTTTTACGTTAATAGATTGCTTAATCCGGTTGCATTTGTTTTAGTATATGTATTGCATTTGTTGTTGTTGCTTACATGATGTGAAATCCGACCAAATGTGCGCTTTACCTAGCAGCACATCGTAGTAACTACGATTATTATATTAGTCACTCACTGATCATTACACTGTGATTTTATCTTATCTAGAGAAGGCGCGGTTGTTGTATCGTTTATTCGTATATAAACAATTATTTCCCGTTGGGTATTTAGCGGTACATGTACCGATGATACACGCAGCGGAAATTATGTTTAGATGTGGGCGGCAAGTGGGGGGAGTTAAAGAACTGGGAGTTGCTAGAGAGCAAAAAAGAAGGGGGCTGCACCTTAAATGTAATTTACAGTAGTCTATAATTAACGTGGCCAGTGAACGCTAGGTGTCGCCACACGTGTTCAATTTTAAGATAATATTGGAAAATTTTGTAAATTTTTCGTAATTTACGAGGTCCCGTGAGGTCCCAAAGTGTTGAAAAAGCTTTCAAAACTCTAAAAAAATTTAGTAAACAACCAAAAGTATTATGTGGAGTAAATAACTTTGACATTTTAATCCAGGAAACAATTTTATTCATTTATCAATTCCCCTGCAACAGTGTTATACTTTAACACCATTCCCTTTCATTGAAACTACCCGTTCATAAATTCAATTTGAATCGATTGGTCGCAGGTGCTTGTCATCGAAGTAATTTTACACTTTGTTGAATTCACCCGCCTGCGGTCTAGTTCCCGATAAGACGTAATGGTCCTCCATGTCCTCCAAACTCTTCATGTTCATGTTATCCAATAAATCCACAGCACAAGAGTATAAATACCCCCGGGATATTTGAAATGGATCAGTTCCAGTCAACCTTTTCACCTCTTCACTTGTTTCTTTTTCTCAGAAAGATGCAAAAAGCTGAAAAACGTTTGGTCGCCATTTTGAGACGTGCCAAACAAGCTGGCATCTCTATAGAAGCCATTAACACTTACATTTCAACAGAAATAACTAAAAATACAACCAAGGATGGTCAAAAACCAACATATCTTCAAAAATTTGGGAAATTTAAGAGTAATTTTAATATTTTTGGGTTAATTACAATTGGATTAGTGTTAACAGCAGGAAAATCATATTTCTCAAGAGTTTTTGAAGGCCCAGACTCAGAGGTAACAAATTTTTACCATTTTTTAAAATATAAATTCCCTCAATTTAATTTTAAATTAGTGTTTGATCAAAATGCCCTTTGATGAAACAAAAGTCTTCCGCAAACCTGAAGATTGTTCAATTTGCAAAGGAATAAACAAAGTAGATCGCATTTCCAACATTTCTCAACAAGATTTTGATGAGTTTTACGCTCTGAAAGCAAAACCTGTTATAATCACGGACGGTACAAGAGGTTGGGACGCACAGGACCTCTTCAGTTTTAATTTCTTTAAAGATTTATACGAAAAATACGATACAGGAAGAACCGGAAGAACAGTCTGTCAGTTTTTCCCCTACAAAACAGAATTTGATAGCCTCCGAGAAGCTTTAAACATGAGTGAAGCCAGAGCACGTCTTGAACCAGGCACAAAAGAATGGTACATCGGTTGGAGCAATTGTAACGATCGTGCTGGTCAAGAACTACGCAAACATTACAAAAGACCGTACTTTTTGCCCGATATATCTGAGAATATGGCGTTGAGTTGGATCTTTATGGGTGGACCGGGAGAGGGCGCTCACATGCATGTAAATATTTCACTTTAAAGCATTGGTTATTAGTTACTCATTGCTTTGTAAATTAATCAAACAATTACATTTCTTGAACAATGTTTAATTAACACTAATATTGATTTTGTGTGATTCAGGTCGATAATGTGCATTACGCATCGTGGCAGGCGCAAATTCGCGGACGAAAGAAATGGCGGCTTGCTCCGCCTCCGGAATGTCATTACGCATGCGAAGAATTCTCAGCCATTGTGGAGCCAGGCGAAATCAGTGAGTCATAGAATTAGCCAAAAATTTTCGATTATTTACGTGTGTTTTGCATACTGAACAGTAATGATTGTTTTATTATTACATACCAAAGTGTTTAAACCGCTTAAATGCGCATTCAATTGACGCAGTAATCGAAAAATTCGGTAAATGTTTCTATTTTCGTATGTTTTCCAGTTGTGGTGGACACCAACCGTTGGTATCATCAGACACACATTCTTCCTGGTGATATAAGTATCACGATAGGCACTGAATTTGACTAGAATGACGTGATTAACATTTTAAAATTCCTATGACTCATACTATCACATACATATTTTAGTTTATTTTCCTTTTACTCTTTTATTTAATTTTTATTTTTTTAGCATTGAAATTTGAGCTGAGATTTTTTTCATTACATGTTTATTTATTGGAGCGAAGTGCGAATATATTTATGACAAACATGGCGCATAAAAAAACGAGTGCTAGAAGTCGAAGTACCAAAGCTACTTAAGTTACATGTTAAGTATAACGAGTGAGTAAGCCACGCTGAGAGACTTATGTGATTTATCGTTTTCAATTGTAGAGTATAGCAAAATTGTAGAATTTTCAACGCCGGCACTAAAGCATAACATAACCATAAAGGTAAGTGCAAAGTGTAGACAAAACAAAACATACAGAGTCGTATTATAATCATTTCCTTATATTATAAAGTTTATATTATATAATATATAAGTTAGGTTAAATCCTAACCTTATTCAATGGCATAAAACACTCGATGATTGCAACGATTGGAGTAATGTAACTTTAATCTGGTGTCCAGCTGTAGAATGTAGTAGATTCATTTGTTTCGCTTCAAACACGTTCAACACACATGTGTTAAGTGAACTAAGCTGCAAACAATCATAATGTTAACGTTCGTGACTCATAACTGAGATTTTAATTTATATTCAAGAGCTGGTTTTATAACGATGACTTATCGTTTGATGATGACTAGATAGTGACGATGTTTTAAATGTAAAAGAGGTTAAGAGGGTATAAATAATATAAAACCAACAATAAAAATAAACTTACATGATAATTATAACTATAAATATAATGCAGATAATGATAACTTTTTTGGGATAAAGTTATGATTTTTGACATTGCGGTTGCATAGGCAACTTTAAATACTTCATCTTTTGACAACTGGTGGAGAACATAATGCATAAATGTAAAAATGTAACTAGGCAACTTTATATACATCTTCATTTGACAACTGTTAAAGAAAACAATAGAGGAAACAAGAAGTATATAAAGTTGCCTATACAACCGCAATGTCAAACAACACAACTTCATCCCAAAAAATTAATTTTTCTTGTGTGTTTGTTAAATTTTATGATATGCAACTAATAATACATATTATATTTGGGCCGTACATCCCCAACCCCCTTACTTGCCCTGATGATATATAAAACGATCAGATTAAACGAATGCAACCTAGGGGAGTCCGCATAGACTCGAATCGACCTGAATATTATCTACACTAAGCGGAGGGTGACGAGTTTTGAGCAACAGCAAAAAAGGGCTACGTTTCGCTGCGCCTCTCCTGCACACCCATTCACAACCACCCCAGAGAAGTTTCGCGCTTGGGGAGTGGGAGCGCAAGATGTTTTAAGGGCGCAGTTACGACGTTACGCCTCGCACGGTATTGATTTGCGAAAAATGTGTCAGCCTGCACACACTGCACACACCCAGCGGAATAAACGTACCTCTACATACAAGTAAACATTACACATTCAACAAACTCATTCATTTATTCATTTCCTGAAATTCTCTTTATAGGTATTACTAAACCGGGTCTGGTTTACATTAATTTCCGGTTTGCATATGTGCAAATATTAGATTACCATATAACCAAATAAAAATAGGAATAATTTATGGTTATGTATCATTAAACTTCATAGAAAGTTTAACTGGTTGTATACATTTATATATAAATCAATTTCTAACCTATTCTAACACGCGTATTAATTATAATCGCATAAAATGTTACATGTCGTTAGAAGGCGATTCTTTTTTCAACAAGTAACAGAAAGGAAGCTACCGAAGTGATTTATTACAATTACAGCGCTAGTACATGTGATGTGTTTGCGGAAATCAAGCTCCCATGAAGAGCGGCTAAAGAATAACACAAACACACATGTAGCGGGCGTTAATGCATAATTTTCTTCGCTTATTAACTATGTGAACTAATGTTAGGTTGCGGTTTAATGTGCAGAGTGAGAACCAGAAGTAGAAATTAGAAGAAGTGTGCGTTTTACCACAAATGACTTAAAACTCACTTTGAATTCACTTCTATTTACCAATAAAAAATTAAAAAAAGAAGAAAGGTGGAAGGAATGGTGATTGAATGAGTTTTTAGAATTTAAAATGTGTAAAGCAGAGTAGACGTTAGACGTGTGATTGTAAAGTGATGAATTGATGAGTTCTTTTGTGTGTTTTGTTAATATTTATAGGATTAAAACGAGAGAGACGCGAGAAACACCCACTCGTCTACAGAATGACACTTTCAATCCGCTATAGATAAGTAACATTAGAATAGATAGATGAATGCATTTATGCATGAATAAATACAATGTGTAGACAGAAAATCATAAAAATGTTTTTTTTAATAACACGCATTACTTTCTCTATCAGCTGTCAAAGGATGAAGTAGATAAAGTTGCCTATACAACCGCAATGTCAAAAAAACATTTTTACTTCTTTTTTATTAAATTTTTTGATATTTTAAAAGTTATTCTATTATTATGAGATTAACTCAATATAAAAAATATCATAAAAAAGAGTTTTGTTGAATTATACTTGTAATTATTGATGTAACATAACCAAACTTATAAAAATTAATTTTTTGTTGTTTTATGTAACTGTAGATACTTACAGACAATGATTTTTCATTCTTTTTGTCGTTTTTTTATTCTGTTGAGTTCATGAACACTTGCGTTGCGGTAGTGCCCGCAGAACCGGACTTTAAGCTCTGGTTGCAGCTGAAGAAGGACCGTTATAGATACCACGTGAAAGCGGCCAAAGAATGCCATATACGCACGCATAAGATACGCTTTTCAAGCCTTTGCAGCCATCGCACGCGCGGTGACACCATCACCAACGAATTAAAATCAAATAAATGCACAACACAACACAACATACAACATACAACGACCCTCAAGGACAAGAAAACAAGAAAATACTCAAGTAGAATAATGACAGACATTGCAAACGGTAAATACTAAATAAAAACATCTACTGTGTCTTCAAAAGAAGAAAAAAAAAGAAAAATTCCACCAGGTACAAGAACAGGTAGTAGTTTTTACAATTTGACCCCGTTGACTTCTATCGAATCCCATCGAATTTCAAACACAAACTGTAGCAAATAGTTTAATCATCCAACACGCCGACGCGCGAATCTTCCTCCTCCACTCCCTCTTCACCATTCCTCTTGTCTATTACTCACCGAAGCATTCTTGGTGGGGGAGTGTTACACACCGACCCAACTGCCACAGAACCAACTCTCGTCGTTTTCGTCGTCGTTGCTGTGTGGTGTGTGCAAGTCCGGGCGCGAGCCCCGCTCTCTCAGTTCTGCGCGTTCGTGTTTGTTGTGTCCGCCGTGTCCGGTGATCACTCAGTTGTTGCAAACGCGTTCGGCGGGCAAGAGGCAAGTGCAAGTGCTGCGGTCGTTGCGAGAGTGCGCGCGGCGTGGTGACAACATGGCTACCGACTACACCAAGCTCACGAAGGACGAGCGTGCGGAACTCTCGGAACAATTCAACATTGTAAGTACCACAACCCAAACAATACTACAATATTACAGAGATTGTATTTATTTATGTTTATTCTCCTCTGTGAGGTTGATGTGATATTTATGTTTGTGAATAAGTGGGGAGGCGATTCGCGATTGTTTTCGCCTGTAGCTACGCCCAAGATAACACTATCACATCCCGAAAACACTCCAATCAATATATAAACATAAACAAAGTCATAATGAGTAATTAGATGAAAAATAAAAAAAAGCTTATCGTGAACAACTCACAAAACAAGTTGTGAGTTGTGATTTACGTATGAAATTTCTCTCGCGATTACTCACTTGGGTTTATTTAAATGACTGCCGTCATCAAATTGACAAATCATCGTTTATTAGCTGGTAAGAGTCAAGCGAACGTTCAAAATGTTTAAACATTTTCATGTTTAACACGTTCCAGCATTACGATGACGGATTGTATGTACAGTTACTGAGTATATCCATCATTAATATACCTAATATAATACATAATATGAAGTATTTTGTTGTTGGTGATTTGTTAATTTTATTATTTTAAGGCGGCGAGTGTTTTTCCACCATCCGAGCATGTAATTAAAACCGCACGCGTGCGTTAATCAAAAATCACTCACGTTTGCAACATTAACATTAGATATTTACATTTGAATATATTATCATGTGCAATGTGCTGGATTTGCATATAAACAATCGATTGGACAAAAACTACAAAAAAACAACGTTGCAATTTTTATAGTTTTTGTATTCATCAATAGACACGCAGGTTTTTATTAGTTTTTTTAAATAATAAATATTCAGCTCGTGGGTTTTTGTTTTTTTACTTTTTAAATGTTATCTTTTTTAAATATCCGATTGTTCTAATGTCGCTGACTGCTTGCGAGTATGTCAGACTAAACGACTGCTTTTAACCTTGAGGCGAAACGCTTCGCATTTCGTTTCTGATGATAAACAGCATTGTTTCCCATAATTGGAGGCTTTCCTACGTGTGCGCTATTTTTTCTATGCCACAACGGTGAGAACGCACCAACTGAAGCCAAAAACACCGAAACTAATCGTAATTGAATGATCTTATTAGATTGTTATGTTGTATTTTCATTTACAGTCAATGGAATGTTAATAGTTTAATCTGAAAACGTTTAATTCATCATATAATTACGTATTTGTTAATTAATTACCATTTTTGTATGTTTTTACTATTTTCATCAACAAAATAACAAATAATTACATAAAATAGCTGATATTAAAGGTTATGTTATACATTGAGGTTATTCTCACATAAAAAAATTTAAATCCAATTTATTTCCAGCAGATATAACTTAATAACATTCCTTATCTCTAAATATATATTGATTTAATATTTTCTATTTGATTGAATTTATGATTCATCGTCAATATTATCGAATCAAACAGTTTCGTGAAAATCCGATTTAAGTGGACTTAAAAACCAGCTCACGTGTATTTGTTTGTATTTCACTTTGTATAAGGGTCGAGAGAGTTTTACTTTTACTAGGTCACGTCGTATAATACACGACGACGGACCTTGCATTATGCAAATGGCGCTCGCACTTTCAACCAAACCTCAACATTACACTATTTGCATCCAACGTGCGCGTACGTCTTATTTAATTTGTCGCGCGCGTTCGGCCCACATACGTGCGCACGCCGTGCAACAATTACTTAACACTCGAACGCGCTCAAATATAATTTGTTGCACATTGAGCGCCCGCGAGTCGTAACTGTTGTAACAGTTGTGTTAGCACTTAAAGACCAGCGAAACCCAACAATCCTTAGATAATGACGCCATTGTACGCGGTATTTAGAGGTTATATTGTATTTATGACAATTTACGACTGCAGAAGCAGATAAATACGCGTGGTTTACATTTTCGTGCATTCGTATGTGTTTTTCCTTGAGGAATATGACGAGTATGTTTAAAACTAACAACGAAATCATTTTTTATGTGACAATTATGTTGTGGTTAACCTCAAATGTATGCAATTTGCAAAACACTTCAAAAATCGATTAAAATGAATTATTTGATAAATAAATACAATAAATATACGGTGAGATGTTGTTATCTTAATGAAAATTAATCAAAGATCAAAGAAATCCGTTATATCTTTATTTTATCTCAGATTATAGAAGTCTCGAGTTGAATAAACAATGCTCACTCATAAAATGATAAAAAATAACACTCCGGTGAAATTATAGACATTTTTAGGCAGAATTATGCTTAACTTAAGAGTTTTAAGGTTTTTGAACTTTCCACATACAAGACTAATATGTAACAAGCGTCAATTTGCAAATTACATTCAATTTTATCACAGCGCCTGTAAATATTTGATAAAAGCGTGGTTTAATAACAAAGCCGTCGGGAATAAATACCGCAGTTATCAGACGAACAATATAAATAAAATTACACCATACAACAGTGCAAATTAAGCTTTTAAGTACTTATAAAAGTCACACATGCACATATGCTTCAATTTCAAGTCGAAAAACCTGATTGAAATCACCAAAAACCATGTGATTTAGTTTATCGCGCACAAATTGTTATTAACTCACTGATTTCACGTGAAACACAATGACACTGTTCATTTACTGCATAGATTTGATCGCGACGATATGATCATTTTTTTGATTGTGTTTTATAGTCAATTTATTTATGATTGCTTACTTTCTGCCTCTCGTCCCGACATGGTGTGGCTTTATCAGCGCCGCGATAAACATTTTTGATATGTGCCTGCTTTTCAACAAGGGAAACGGTTCAGTTGCAATCAATCGACGTTTGTGAGGTGATCGAAACGAGTTACAAACTGCGTGCCATCTGCATAAACCAGTTGAAAAATGGCGCACGATCACGCTTCTCAATTTCTCAGTGAAATCAAAGAGGAAAAACCGTATGCGTATGTAAGTTGAACGAAAAACAAAAGAAAATAAATATAAATCGACAGATAAGGTATCTGGCTACGATTGAGATAACTAAATAAATAATTTCAAGCGTTATGTAATGCAATGTAATGCAAATAGTGTGAATATTCTTGGGCGTTGCTTCACGCTTGTTAGACTTAAAGATAACTCCGAAAGTTATTTGTTATAATCTCACATCCTCAGCGTCACTCGCGCGATTAAACGTGGGCGTGTTGAAAAAAAATCCCGTTTGCCTTCGTAGTTCTCTTCATAGTGTACAGTTTAACACATAATTAATTCTTTGTTGTTTCACAGATTGATAAAAACAACGATGGATACATTGACATCAAAGAATTACGCGAGGCGTTGGACGTGTGCGGTTTCAAACTGCCAGCGTACAAAGTGCGCGAAATGGAGGAAGAGTTCAAAAACAAGAAGCGTACGAATATCGTTGGGAAACTGTCCTATGAAGAATTCGAGCGTTTGTGCAGCGATTTGAAGGCGAACGAAGTGGCCAGCACGTTCAAACAGATGACCACACGCAAAGAGAACCTTTTGACTGTCCATGGCACATCTCATGCGAGTAATGAAGGCACCATGCATTCGGTACGCGTGGAAGAACAACTTGCCTTCTCTGATTGGATTAATTCCAATCTGTCACACGATAAGGACCTCGCCCATTTGTTACCGATCGATGCAGAGGGACAGCTTTTATACGAGAAAGTCAAAGACGGCATTTTATTATGGTAAATATTCACTAAAAACCATTACAATAGTGGTTAATTGTGGTTATGTTTCAGTAAAATCATCAATCACTCTTGTCCGGATACAATTGACGAACGTACAATCAACAAGAAGAATTTAAAACTGTACACGAAGTTGGAGAATTTAACTTTGGCGTTATCCTCATCGCAGGCCATCGGTTGTAATGTTGTGAACATTGACGCACATAATTTGGAAAAAGGTACCCCACATCTTGTCCTGGGGTTGCTGTGGCAAATCATCCGCATTGGTCTCTTCAACCAGATTACTCTGGAGCATTGTCCTGGTCTCACAGCGTTGTTAAACGACGACGAACGCATTGAGGACTTGTTTAAATTGTCCCCGGAACAGATTCTCCTCAGATGGGTGAATTACCACCTTGCTAGGTCAGGTTCAAACAGGCGTATCCATAACTTCACCAGTGATATCACTGATTCGGAGATTTATACGTTGTTGTTGAAGCAGATAGCACCTGCAGATGCTGATGTTAATACCGAGGCGTTGTTTGTAAGTTATGGTAATTATTTTGCGAGTTATTTGTCATGGTGGATGATTTTTAGGAACGTGATATGCAAAGTCGTGCGGAAATAATGCTGCAGCAAGCGGCGAAGTTGCAGTGTCGCGCGTTCGTGACGCCGCAGGACGTCGTCAACGGCGTGTACAAGCTGAACGTCGCATTCGTGGCGAACCTGTTCAATAAGCATCCGGGTCTCGAGCAGACCAACGGAACTGAGTACGAGTACGAAACCGTTGAGGAGACGCGAGAGGAGAAAAGTAAGCACGATGCGGATTCACATTCACATCCTGTCGCAACAATGCCTAATTAAAATCTCACCGACATTTTCTCACACAGCTTACAGAAACTGGATCAACTCGATGGGCGTGTCGCCGCACGTCAACTGGCTGTACAGCGACCTCGCCGATGGTCTGGTGGTCTTCCAGCTGTACGATATTATTAAACCAGGTATTGTCGATTGGAATCGCGTGCATCGCAATTTTTCCAAGCTGGGGAAGTTTATGGAGAAGCTGGAGAACTGTAACTATGCCATTGAGTTAGGTAAAGACAAACAGATCAAGTTTTCGTTGGTGGGTATTGCCGGGCAAGACATTAACGATGGAAACGTGACGCTGACGTTGGCGTTGATCTGGCAGTTGATGAGAGCGTACACGTTGTCTATGCTCACTCAACTGGCACAAAGTGGTTCTCCTATTGTCGAGAAAGAGATTGTACAATGGTGCAATAAGCGGTTAGTTGACGCTGGAAAAACTTCCTCGTTGAGAGGTTTCCAGGATTCGTCGATTAGCAATGCGATCGTACTTATCGATCTCATCGACGCCATTAAACCCGGTGCCATTAATTATGATCTTGTGAAGACTTCGGGATCAGAAGAGGTAAGCGTGTATTTTGATCAAATTAATACAATAAAAAGCTTTAATCTGATTGAAAATGATTCTATGACTCAGATTAATGTCTTTAGTTTGTTTTGGAAGCACTTAGAAGACTTCAGAAGCCTTAAAAATCGAAATTTAGTCTTGTTTTATTCCAATTTTACCTAAAATTGTATTTTTCAGGATAATTTGGCGAATGCAAAATACGCGATAAGTATGGCACGTAAAACCGGCGCCAGAGTGTACGCCCTGCCCGAGGACATCACCGAAGTGAAGCCCAAAATGGTAATGACAGTTTTCGCGTGCCTAATGTCGCTGGACTATGTCCCCAACATGGACAGCGTGGCCGAACAGTAATACCGCACGGCGGTCTAACCAATTCAATCAAACATGATATCATGCGCGTTTTGTTTTCTAAATAAGCTTCAAAAGCAGACGTTTACTTAAACCTTAAAATTGCGATTAATTTCCTAGGTGTAATCTTCATATTTGATTCGTTTACTGTGATTGATGGTAGTAGGTTTCCAAAACGCATTCCCATTGACGCGACCAAAATACGAAAACAATTTGTATATCACAAATTCAGGTATTGCTAGTCTTTTGTTTGCAAAGTGCAATAATTTTAATCGACGCGCGGACACTTATAGCCAATTCTAAGGAGGAAGAAGAAGATGAAAAAAATCAGAATTATGTAACTAAATTTAATCATATATAGCTAGCGAGGATAATTACGTTGATGCGATTGCATACGCTCTATTGTATAATTACGCTAAAATTTCATTAGCATTCTCTTTGACTATTATATTAATATTTGTGATTTTATCTAAATTGATGTTACTATTAGACATTCCACACGATTAAAAACGAAACAAGCGAAACGTTGTAATTGAACGGAAACGGAAAGCAAGCAATCAACTAATAAGGATACAAAACATGACAAATAATTGACGAAGTATCTTATATTCCAATTATCTGCAATTGAATTTTTCTTATGCATTAGTTATAATATTTTTCCACGATTTGTTTTCTATGATGTAGAATGTATAATGTATGCTTATTATTTTGTTAAAGCGGATTATTTAATACGTTGTATATATTTATCAGCGGAGTTTTATCTATTTTATCGTTTCGCGTCGGGCAGACGCGGACGAAATCAAGCGATTTATGTCATTCTATGTGAAATATGTAAATTTTTTAATTATTTAGCGTTTACACTTTTATTTACTGCATCTTTTTGTAAGTATGTATTTGGCTTCGAGGAAAACTGAACCAGAAGTGCCATGACGCCATTTTATATATCCATACATATACAAAAAAAAACATTTGAAGAGGTAGATAATAATTAACATCATCATTCATCATGATCAAAAGCATGGTGATAACATTAAGAATTACACCAGATGTGAAAGAGAAATCAACTTCCAATTAGTATTAGGTGTTTTTATGACATCGAGACATCGTTTGTACCATTTTGTATGCTTTGTACGACAATGAGAAGCAAATTTGTACTTTGTAAATATCGCACTTAGCGGAACAAGTGCTATATTTGTGTTGTGTATTTCAACTGATCAAATCAACGGAAATAAAAACGAAGATATGAAAGACCTATTACCAAAGTTATAGCCCTGATCTTGATCCTAACTGTTGTGGCTGATAATAATAATATGGATCGAATAGTCACGATTCACGATGATTACATGAATATGAGAATGTGATAAGCATGATGAAATCATTCAACTGGTCTAGCAGTGAATTAACTGATAAGTACTTGTTAACAAGTGTGATATTCACACTACTTACATGCAGAATACAATTACATTCTAATTACAACGTTGCAAACAACGGATGTAGAGAAATAAAAAGCAAATAATGAAACTAAACTAAAAAAAATTAAAACCAGCAGAAATAGTATTTTCTTTATGTCTCAGACACAAATTGCCTTTTAATTGTTTTTTCGATAATGACTATGAACTTATAGACACGTAATGTGGTCATGATCATGTCATATTATGCCCACCATAAATCATAGCGTGGTTGACCTTTAATTAGATGCATTATTTTGATATATTAAACCGTTAAATCAATTTTTTATAGTTTCACCGTAAAAACACTACTTACACAACAATCGTCGACCTTCTTACAGCAATAAACGTAATGTATTTCAAGTTTTACGCATTTCTTTCATATTTATTGTTTGTTTTCGAAGTTGGCTCAAATAATTTCGACTTTTATGTGACGCTTCGACATGCCACGACGTATAATTACGATATTTACCTTTAATCCTGTGCATAACCAGTCAATAAATTGATTAGAAGGTTTAATATCTGTATAAATATGCATTGCAAGCCGTTGAGACCGTCATAAATTCCTAAAACGAAAGAAAAAAGAAGTAATCGCTGATATTTCAACAGAGGATTATAAATTGTAGTTAATAAGTATGCTATAATCGCATAGTTTTATCAACGGGCAGCATATCACGTACCAACTATGCGATGAATAAGACGATGGGAGATTAAGTGACGTTTATCATATCATTTGACTTAGGACCACTTGTGGAACACGAGTTTCCTAATTCTATTACACACATTTTACTGCTGCGGCGTTATAAAGTACAAAAATTTCGTCTCGTCGGAAATGAAAACTTTGGAAAAAAACACGCACTTCAATAATTACACATTAGCTGACGTCAGGGTGTTTCGTAGGTTGCGAAACGTCGGGAAAAAAATGTTAGTCGTGATTTGTCGGCATCCGCTCGTCTTTCACTTCTTATATTCTTTAAAAACTAACAGCATCTATCTTGTACCTACAGTTTACAAAGTAGGTTATTTAATTTAAACGTATAAATTGTAATTATGATTGGTTTACCTGATGATATGAAGATGTAAGCAAGTTTGCAACACGTTTTTGCATTCTTTATGCATTTCATGATTATATCATTTGCGCTTATCGTAAAAAACGTGTAATGTTGCACAATTTCAACAGTTATTGTTTCATTTTTCTGATAGTATTCATTCGGTGCGATTTGCATGCGTGTGCATTCGTTGGTGGGAAGATGAAAATTCAAAACGGTCGAATGTTCGAGAATGCGATAGCGAAAATTAAAGCACAACGTGTTTTTCAGGTGTTGTACGATTACAGGCAGGTAAATCGTGTGTAAAATGTGTAAACTTTATGTAAATTATCAACGTTCATTCATTCACCAATTCTCGGCTGGTTTTTGCCTAATTTTAGCGCGTTTTTTTTTTCTCTCGTATGAAAGCCTACTCGCAGTTGAACTCAACTAAAATAGTAGAGCGAGATTTCAAGGCCCCAACAGTTTCCAACGCGAGTTTATTACAGCCGGCGATAGTTCGGCGCGGTGCTTGCGACAAACACACACAAACCCTGCGCACGCCGAAATAACGAACGTTGAAACGGCATCAGCGTGATCGCAACGAGCTAGAAAGGAAAACGTGATGATTACGCGCACCGTGGCGCGCACATTCTCGCACGTGTAGTGAGCACGGCTCGGCGTTATTGTAAATTCGCTGAAGCCGACACGAAATTCGTCATTCTTCAACCAGCCGTCAGCGGATTCACGTCGTGAAGCAGACCACAAACACCACAAACCGCATGTAAGTACAGACATTCATTCTGTGAATTCCGAATGACGCCATACTTGCCGGTATTTCGCACGTGGTATTAATAATTGTAATCTTTGAAGACATCAACATGCCTGTCCCACAACTTCAGAAGCCGGCGCCTGAATTCTGCGGCAACGCAGTCGTCAACGGCCAGTTCAAAGAGATCAAACTCTCCGACTACAAGGGACAATATGTCGTCTTTTTCTTTTACCCGCTGGACTTGTAAGTGACCACCTGCCGTATTCTGCCATTTACGGTTATAATTATCTAAATTATACGTTGGCTGATGATTCAAATGTTCTTTCGTAGCACATTTGTCTGCCCAACGGAAATCATCGCATTCTCCGACCGCAGCCAGGAGTTCAAAGACATCAAGGTGCAAGTGATTGCCGCGTCCACCGACAGTCACTTCAGCCATTTGGCGTGGGTAAACACCCCGCGTAAACAGGGCGGGCTTGGAGAGATGACCATCCCGTTGCTGGCGGATAAGTCGATGAAGATTGCGCGCGATTACGGTGTGCTCGATGAGGCGACCGGTATTGCCTTCCGCGGTTTATTCATCATCGACCCTAAGGGCATTCTGCGTCAAATTACCATCAATGATTTGCCTGTGGGTCGCTCCGTGGATGAAACCCTGCGTTTGGTACAGGCCTTCCAGTTCACCGACGAACATGGAGAGGTTTGCCCCGCCGGCTGGAAGCCGGGACAGAAGACAATGAAACCTGACCCGAGCGGCAGCAAAGCCTACTTCGAGAACTCAAACTAAACAACTAGCAATCCTGTCTCAAAAATATCATAATAAGCGATAATAGTGTTTAGGATTGGATCGCAACATTGCGTGATTTGTTCTTTGCCTACGTTAGTATTCGTGATTGTTATTTATCACCCATTTTTTTGTTTGTTTGTTTGTTTGTTAGTTACCCTGAAGAGACATACCAAAATCCTCACGATTATTTCGTGCAGTAAGTTGTATCAAATGCAATGCGATGTTATATATATTCAAATAAATTAATTGAAACATAAAAATTTGTAATTAACACATTCATTTGTGTTTCCTTGGCGGAATCTATTACAAATCACAGTGCCTTTCGATTTTAAAGTGTTACTAATGCATTATTCATCCGGCACTAATCGAAGTAATTGTCTACATCAACGCTCGAAGTTTTTAATAACAAAAATGCCGGCAATCAAGGACATGAGATTTAATTATTGTAATTGCACGTTCGGGCGATGCTTTACAATCACTTTTACTTCGACCGTAATCTTTTGTTTTAATCAAGCGTCGTTGCATGAAAACCAACGTCTGGGATTTGTGTTTATGTAACGGTTATCAAGACCATTTTATTTGAGATAATTTAATGTTTAAAAAATGAGCTTTTTTATTAGCAGTTCATATTATGTATTATATATTATATACCTATATATTCAGGAAATTGGGAGATAATTAAATAGGAACACAGCGAAACATATTTTGTCATGATACTTTTATGCATTTCAAATATATTTAGTTGACGTTTTCATAGATGGGTGGCGCTGCGATCTCAATATTTAACATTGGCATGTAATTAAACGAACTTTATTTTTTCGATTTTTAACTTGTCAATTCATTAAATGCACTTATAATTAATGTTTGCACTTAAAAATACAGAACTGAACTTAAAAATAAATATTTGCACTTTGAAAAATGAATTCCACTTGAATAAAATGCTTTCCACTATGAAATTAATACTTTGCACTTATAAAACTTGCAGTATTAAGTACGTGCCGTACTCTTAGCCGGCCCCTTCTATCAGTTTCAATTTAAAAAGTTGATTCAAAGCAAATTTAAGCTTAAACCTGAATATATAAGTGCATTGTATTAAAATATAAGTTATACAATCTATAGTGCATAATATGAATTTCTTAGTGCAAAGTATGAAAACTTAAGTGCGGCTGTTCAAGTGGATTGTATTTTAACTAAAGTGCATTTAATATATCCCCTTTAACATTTTGCTTTCTCTGCTCAGTTCACATATGAGCGTTGGTGTATAAACAACTTACCGCGTTTTACAAGTGCACTGCAACGCGAAACATTACTCTGAATTAGAAACACGTGTTTCTATCAATGGATTTATTCTCGCTTGGAATACTTTTAAAACGTGAGTAGCAGTTATAAAACAATACGTAATTTTGTCATTAAAGCAGTATTACTTTGGTACATTTTTAGATGTGTGCATCACTAGGCACTTATCAGTGTTTGGCATTATATAAACAACACCATTTGAAACTTGTTTGGTTTGTTGTGTATTTGGTTTCATTGAAATTTAGCATTTTTGACTTCAAATTGAGTCTCAATGAGAATTGCACCACACGTTGCACTTAATACCAGTTCTCTTTCTCAGTTTATAATGTATATGATTAACAAAAGTATTAAAAGTCATAAAAATTGCGTTTTCGTGTTTTGAGACACTAATTTTTGTTTGTTTTGGGACTCTATAAGCTGAGCAGAACCCTGCAGGAGAGAAGTCTTGCATCAAATTGTGAGTGTTGTAATTTTTTATTATATTCATGATGCAGTTCTGTAATTTTCATATACGAAAGCGGTAAAAATTGCATTTTTTGGGTTTTGAAGCACTGATTTATGTTTGTTTTAGGGCTTTAGTGACCGATTGCCACATTGTAGGATTGATGTCCTGACAGCATATTGTAAGGGGGATATATTAAATGCACTTTAGTTAAAATACAATCCACTTGAACAGCCGCACTTAAGTTTTCATACTTTGCACTAAGAAATTCATATTATGCACTATAGATTGTATAACTTATATTTTAATACAATGCACTTATATATTCAGGTTTAAGCTTAAATTTGCTTTGAATCAACTTTTTAAATTGAAACTGATAGAAGGGGCCGGCTAAGAGTACGGCACGTACTTAATACTGCAAGTTTTATAAGTGCAAAGTATTAATTTCATAGTGGAAAGCATTTTATTCAAGTGGAATTCATTTTTCAAAGTGCAAATATTTATTTTTAAGTTCAGTTCTGTATTTTTAAGTGCAAACATTAATTATAAGTGCATTTCATGAATTGACAAGTTAAAAATCGAAAAAATAAAGTTTGTTTAATTACATGCCTATTGTAAGTATTGAAATACTTAGCATTTTCATAAATAAAGGCATCATTTACAAACAGAAAGACAATTTGGATAACATTCTTATTTATTTTTGTAGCATTTTAGCATTAACTTGCAGAGTAGCAGCGATACATAAAATATGGTAAGTAATTTTCATTCCAATTTCAATTTTGTTTAATCTAGAAATAAAATAGGCCGAGCTGTAAGTGTTAATGGCTGAATTACAGCTTCCTGTAAATCAGATGACTGCTATCAATTGGATTGCACTGATACTCCTAGATGGCGCTAGTGAATGACAATTTATTACAGTTTGTTGATAGATTTAGACCACCACGCCTAGATGGCGCTAGTATCTGACAATTTCTTACAGTTTGTAAATAGATTTAGACTTCGGCGCCCAGATGGCGCTAGTGTCGCCGTAATTTGTTGTTGCTGTCAATTCGATCACTTGTTTAGTATGGTTTGCGCCGCGGTGCTGTTCGCGTGTTTGATTCAGCTTCTAGTCGCTTAAATTTATTTCCAAATTTTTACGTGTTTGGAGAGCGTTCATTTAACGCGTGCATACCCGAAAATGGTTTATTCATGTGAGTTCCCACGGAACCGGCATCCGGATATTTCCGTTTTCTTTGCTGCGAACACGATGCGCTGCAATTTCTGGTGCACGTGTTATCTCATTACCGCGTTGCTTTCTTCCGATCTTCCGCACGACGCATTAAGTTTCTTAAGATTTTTATTCGACAATTGTGTTGACCGCATTATTTTAATTCCTGAGCGCGCATCAGTTGTGGAAATAACTAATTCAGAAGTTTGTTAAGTGAAGTGTAATTGAATTAGTAGCATCAATTGGATAGTCAACCAATAACTTAAATATTTGCGTTCATGTTAGTATTTGTGTCTTTTGATTTGTTTGGTCAGTAAAATACTTCCATGAGTAAAACACATTTTAATAATATGTCATATTGAACTTTTTATAATTTTACTGTTACAATTTTTTTATTCTAATAAATGAGTTCCAAACGGAAAGCAAAATTTGAGTGTATATTATCATTTTTATTTATCCTTCGTGATCATTCTGGCGTTTTCAGATTTACTTTTAAGTAACGTCTGATTGTAAGTGGTTACAAGCATAGGTAGGTTTGAAGCATGTATTTTTAAATGTTATATAGATATATAGCAGAAACAAATTCTCTTAGTATAAACACTCGGTGGTCGAGTGGTAAAGGCGTATGTTAGCATACTCGAGGTCCTCGGTTCGAATCCCAGGCCGGGCATTTTTCTAGAAAAGAAAAATAAATGCGAGTAATGCTGGCTGCATATATAAATCATAAATTTAAATACGGCGAAGATCATGTATAAAATCAAGAAAGTAAAAGAAGAGAATAAGAAAGCAAAGAAGTAAGACAGGAGGTGAAGTGAATGGGAAGGGGAAGTAATGGGTGCCAGAGTCGAAGAACGGAGAGGAGAGTAGAGAGTAGAGAAGAGATGAGAGCCACCGCCACCCGAAAAGGGGTGGCCGGATTTTTAAATTTTTTGGCACGTGTCGTTATAAGACAGTCTACAGGTCGATCTCCGGAGCGCCGGAGGCGCTCTGGTTGATCGCCCACTGCTTCGATGCGTCCATTGCTCCCGGCCCATCCTACAGCTACGATGTCTCTGCGCTTCATCCCCGAAATTATCAGGCATATCAACAATTTTTATGGTGGGGGATCACCCCCAGAGAGAGGGAACTCCTGATAAGGACTTGTAAGAATATTTCTAAGTTTTAAGTCGCCTCAAGAGAGGAGACACTTAAAAATATTCTTACAAGTTATGACCTGTACCTGAAATGAGAGAAAGAGTACACAAATCATACAGGATACCATAACAATTTTTATAGAGGGCATCATCCCCTGAGAGAGGGAACTCTCTTAGAGACCTGTTCCTGAAATGATAGAAGGGGTACACAAATCAAAGAAGTCAATATATCTTACTATTTATTTAGTAACAATAGAATATAAGTTTAGACTTTACGAGTCAACAGAGTACATGTCACCATATTGAAACATAACACTTAGAAATATTCTTACAAGTTCTAACCTGTAATTTACAAAGTAACAAACTAACTAACTACTAACAAATTTTACATAATTTTCGCGGCAATTACGAAAAACTATTATACAGGGTGTTGCAAAAACAATATAATAACATTTAAAGAGAAAATGAAAAATTCTAGAAGGGATATATATATATATCTAAAACCACAGTCAAAGTAAAATCAAATGAAATTAATATACAGGGTGACACAAAAAGAAAACTACAATATTTTAAAAGAAAATTCTAAATTTAAGTGTAATGACATATATCTTTATCACCTTTAACGCATCCACTTCGGGAAATTATAATACAGGGTGATACCAAAAGGAAACTACAATATTTAAAAAGAAAATCCTAAGTATAAGTAGGATAACATATATCTTTCCCCTTTTGACAATTTCACTAAGGGAAATTAATATACAGGGTGATACAAAAAGAAAACTACAATATTTTAAAAACAGATTCTAAGTTTAATTAGGATAACATATATCTTTCCCCTTTTGACAAATTTACCACGGGAAATTGATATACAGGCTGTTACAAAAAGAAAACCCTAAGTTATAAAAGTAAAACACTCAAACATTAATAAATATGGTCATAGGAATTAAAAAAAATAAATCAAAATGTTTGCAACGGAAATCAAAGAAAAGTAAAAGAAGAGCAAAACATAACAATAGAACATTTTTATTTTTAATCATGTAAAACAACTGGCGACCAGCCCGGAAAGCCGCCAGATGGTCAATCTTAATCTTTTTAATTTGTGCGTTAAACGAAACGGAATAATGTATTGAATTCATAATGCAAATCAACGATAGGTGTTGCAACAACGACACAAATGATTTGTGTGCAATAAGTAAAGTCGGGTAACGGGTTTGATTTGCATATGCCTGATTAAATGCGGAAACATACCTTGATGCAAAATAAAAATTTTGCGTTTCGTCATATCCAATAACTTGCAAGGACCTTAATTATTCACATTATAGGAAGGATGAAATACGCGTATAAAACAAAATAGTATCCGACGGCCGACGAACATCACTCACGCTTTACCTCCACGTAGGTACAATCAGCGTTTAACGAACGCTGCACATCACTCGCGCCCAATCGCGAAAATGCATCGAAATATTACGTAACAACGCCAGGATAAATTAAGGAACTCAAGAATAATGAAGAAAATGTGCGTGCAGAACTCCTGACGACAACAATGAGACTAACGTGGTAAGCAAGCCAACCGCGTGGCGACAGCACAAAAATTGCACGAGATAAGAAAAACTTGTTTGTAAACACTGATACTTTCAGTGTGTTAGTGCAGAATATGAGAAGAATTGGACTCGTACAATGCATAGTACTTTTAATTTCGATTAAATTCTGAATCGCAAACCAGTAACAACACAATTACATATTAAGGCCCTATTGGCATGTATAAACAATCTTTTTTATTAAAATTGCAAATAGAGTATAAATGATCAATCATATTATATTAATAATAATTTCTTTCAAAATCCAAAAACTGAATTTAAAAATTCCAATTATTTCAGATTTCTCTGTTTTATTTTTGAAATTAAAAGTTGGAATAGTTGTGGGGAGTGGATTTTTCCCGGAAAAAGCTGCTAGAGAATCAAGAGCGCAGCTGACGGCAAGCGACAATCTTAATCTTTTTAATTCGTACATTAAACGAAAACGAAGCAATGCATCGAATTAATGCAAATCAATGGTGGGTATTGAAACAGAGACAAAATTTATTTGTCTGCGTAAAGACCACGCGGTTGAAGTAAACACAAATAAAGTAAATAATGGATTTGATTTTAAATAAGTCTTCAGCCTTGGAAGAACATACCTTGATGCAAATTTGTAAGAATCTTAATTACGCACATTGTAGGAACGATGAAATGCGCGTATAATGCAAAATAGTGACCGACGGAACCTCACTCACGCTTTACCTCTGCGTATATGCAATCCGAGTTTAACGAAGCCGCACATCATTTTTGTTAAAAAATTTTCGGTCGAAAAACAGGCTCGATCTTTTTTACTTAAAATTTTTTCGCTCGGATTTTATTGTTAAAAATTTTTCAGTCGTTTTTTGTTAAATTTTTTCGGGCGAAAAACCGGATCGAATTTTTTACTTATAAGTTTTTCGGCCAATGAACAGGATCGAACAATTTTATTAAAATGTTTTTCGGTCGAGGATCAGGGCAAATCAACTTTTTCTATAAACGATGGCAAAGAAAAAACTACAAATTTCCTAATAGTTCACGAGATATGACCAAATTTCCATCGCATAACAATGAACAGGTACGAAATATTGCCTTACTTTGGAGGTGTTTTTCGGCTAGTTCTGTTCGACTGAGGGGGTTGAATCAAACTTAGTTTTAAACAGGAACTCTATCTCTATACGTTGAAGAAGAAAAAACGACAAATTTTCTGATAGTTCACAAGACAAACCAAATTACCATCGCAAAACAATGAAAATATACAATATATTGCCAAACTTTCTCTACACGTTGGAGCAGAAAAAACAAGAAATTTTCCGATGGTTCACGAGATATGATCAAATTTCCATCGCAAAACAATGAAAATGTACAAAATATTGCCTAACTTTGGAGGTGTTTTTCTGCTTGTTCTGGTCGACTGAGGGCGTTAAATCAAACTATATTTAAAATAGGAATTCTTTCTCTACACATTGGAGCAGAAAAAACAGGAAATTTCCCGATGATTCACGAGATATGACCAAATTTCCATCATAAAACAATGAAAATGTACAAAATATTGCCTAACTTTGGAGGTGTTTTTCGGCTAGTTCTGATCGACTGTAGGGGTTGATACAAATTTTATTTAAAATAGAAACTCTTTCTCTACACGTTGGAGCAGAAAAAACAAGAAATTTCTCGATGGTTCACGAGATATGGCCAAATTTCCATCGCAAAACAATGAAAATGTACAAAATATTGCCTAAATTTGGAGGTGTTTTTCTGCTTGTTCTGGTCGACTGAGGGCGTAAAATCAAATTTTATTTGAAATAGGAACTCTTTCCCTACATGTTGGAGCAGAAAAAACAAGAAATTTCCCGATGGTTCACGAGATATGACCAAATTTCCATCGCAAAACAATGAAAATGTACAAAATATTGCCTAACTTTGGAAGTGTTTTTTCGGCTAGTTCTAATCGACTGAGGGCGTTGATACAAGCTTTATTTAAAATAGGTACTCTTTCTCTACACGTTGGAGCAGAAAAAACAAGAAATTTCCTGATGGTTCACGAGATATGACCAAATTTCCATCGCAAAACAATGAAAATGTACAAAATATTGTCTCACTTTGTAGGTGTTTTTCAGCTAGTTCTAATCGACTGAGGGGGTTGATACAAACTTTATTTAAAATAGGAACTCATTCTCTACACGGTGGAGCAGAAAAAACAAGAAATTTCCCGATGGTTCATGAGATATGACCAAATTTCCATCGCAAAACAATGAAAATGTACAAAATATTGCCTAACTTTGGAAGTGTTTTTCGGCTAGCTCTAATCGACTGAGGGCGTTGATACAAGCTTTATTTAAAATAGGAACTCTTTCGCTACACGTTGAAGAAGAAAAAACGACAAATTTCCCGATAGTTCAAGAGATATGACCAAATTTCCATCACAAAACAATGAATATGTATAAAATATTGCCTAACTTTGGAAGAGTTTTTCGGCTAGTTCTGATCGACTGAGGGGGTTGATACAAACTTTATTTAAAATGGGAACTCTTTCTCTACACGTTGGAGCAGAAAAAACAAGAAATTTCCCGATGGTTCACGAGATATGGCCAAATTTCCATCGCAAAACAATGAAAATGTACAAAATATTGCCTAACTTTGGAGGTTTTTTTCTGCTTGTTCTGGTCGACTGAGGGGGTGGTAATAAACTTGATTTTAAATAACAGCTTTTCCTCTACACGGTGGCATCAAAAAAACTATATTTTCCTGATAGTTCCCGAAATATGATCAAATTCCTATCGCAAAACACTGAAAATGTGTGTAGAAAACTTCATTTTAAATAACAATTCTTTCTCTACACGGTGGCGATGAAAAAACTTTAAACTTCCTAATACATCCTGAACTGGTACGAAATATTGCGAAAGTTTGGATTTGGTTTTCTTACAGTTCTAGTCGACCGAGAAGCCACTAGACCACAATTACAACAAAGATTACTAGTAAATTGCAATACACAATAATCTAAAAGTAAAACGCGGTTTACGAATAGCTAATTTAATATTTACTTACCAGTTGCTTTCCATCTATATACGGCAAGTACTGTAACAAAATAATACTATGTAAAACATTTTGCACGACACTGATACTAGGCATCTAGTACCGTCAGATAAAAACTTGTATTAAAACTAGATTTATACAATAAACGATTTGTCTTACCTGCAAAATAACACGTTTGCGCGACATTCTTTGTAATCCATCAGTCGAAAGAGATTATTCACTATACCACACTATTTCAAACACACCCAATAACTCATCATTAAAACAAACAGATTATAATGACATATACTACATAGCGTTGAAACGTGGTCGAATGCAACTCGATTTACAGAATTAATCATTATCGGAACATGTCAACACGCGAAAAAAATGCACGGAGAAACCGACTACAGCACATCTAATTTCAACTCGATTAAGGTATGTATGTTTCACCGACGGCGAATGCAAGACTCTTACGTTTTATGCAGCGCGCGAGAAGCGATGGCACACCAGCTCATAAAGGAAAACAAACAACTATAACTGATAAAAACAAAACCTGCTGCGCCAATTCGCGCGATCTCACACCACACGCACGATGTACACTCACTACTACCTACAAACAACAGCCAGCGATAATGTGCTTAGAATTTAATGCAAATATGCGCATTCTAGCGTCATCTAGGCTTGATTTATAGAACTATTGATATGTTTGTTGATATTTACCAACGAGCAATAATTTACAATACGGTTATTTTTATTAAAACTTAAAAAATAGCGTAAACACCTTAATAATTTTAATTTAACGGTAATTGAATTTAATGTCATATTATTTATTGTTTGCATCGTGTCCAGTACCTACAGCAACATTTAAACATTGAACATAATATTTTTTAACTCAGCGCCTAAGTTTCGCCGACACTGACTAAAATCGCGAGAGTCGTATCCCTATCAACTGAGGATATGAGATAAGAAATAAAATCGAACCGGCTGAACTCGCTTGCAGCGTATACCTAGATCAATTTTATACAGATATTTTCACGAGAATAACATAATTTTACTTATTTTCAAGAACAGAGCGCTTTTACGTGATTGATTATATAATATACTCATATACACCCGAGTATATTATACTAGTACGTATTAATCACTTTTGTAATAATTTAAAAATTCCAATTTAAATTACTGGCCTTTATTTGCAAAACGTGGAAGTAGTCTTTAACTTATGTACTAAGAGATAAGAGTCCTTAGAAGAGTTTATCATTAACTGGAAACCTCACAGCACCTGTGGCCTTTGACAGCCTTTCATTCAAAGGTAATAAATATAGGTGATAAGGTAAGTAAACATAATTACCACGTGGATAAATGACTTGTTTAATATTTTTTTTAGTGCGGCAGAATGCTACCAAAGCTAATTTCACTCGTACGATCGCAACCAGAGATAAATTCTAATCAATTTAAAGTGACGCTAATTAATAACGAGCACAAGGAAGTGCAATATATTCAATGTGATGATTTAACCGTTCCTTCCAAGAACTACAAGGGATATTTTGATACCCTAATTTTAAAGTTGTCAACACATTTTCCGACACTTCCATCTTCACACACCGAGTTGAAATTGACGTGGACTGGTAAATATAATAATTTATATTCTACAGTGGGACATATATTAGTTTTGATCATTTTAGACCAACAGAATGATAATATAACTATCAAAGATGATAAGGATTTAGTCGTGGCGCTTCAACAAATGAAAGATTTGAAGGTTTTCAAGCTGTATATGACAAAAGCAGCAAAAAAACTTGATGATGATCTGCCTGAGGGCAGATTACGATTACAACATTCATTTAATATAAATGGTGTTTGCGACAACTGCAATTGCAATATTACTCCATTTCGCTACAAGTGCCTTCAATGCAGCGATTATAATTTGTGTAAAAAGTGTTATAAAAGCAAAGTACATGATTGTCATAATATGATGAGCATTACTTTAGATATTCCTGATCTTCACAATATGCACCCCATGTAAAAATATAACAGATATAAATACAGCATGAAGCCATGAAGAAATAAAGTTCGATGATTCTAAAATAAATTTTATTGAGCATTTGTACTTTAGAAAAACCAAAAGAAAAACTAATTTTATAGAAATGCAAAAATGTAACTATTGATGTGCAATGTAAAGCATAGGAAAATTGAATCACTGATTTATCACAATTTTGGAAATTGTTCTTTCTATTTTCACAAATGTGGGTATAAAATTATAGACATTCCATCGTAAATGCATGATATGACTTGCCAGCAAGATCTTCAATATTTTGAAAGAGAAGTTGCACACAGATTTTCTGCAACTTAGAAATACCTGTTTTAAGGTTACCTGGATCGGTTATAGACTAAGAGCCCGTGACGGCCAGACTTTCGTCATTTTAGGAAAGATGAAATTTTGTCCCTGTGTTTCTCTAACACAGGTAAAAACGATCCCCAATTATGAAACCTGGATCGTGGTTCCTTTGGCAGTTAACAGCCAACAAAGATGTACAAATGATGACCTATGTTTCGTTATTTTAGCAAACTCCATTTTTACATATTTTGTTCGTAACATTATTACAACATGCACTGCTTATTGCCAGACACCTGGTATGGTTCCAACCCTAGCCAGACACCCCTAAACTACGAGTATAATATTTTTTAACATTTTTACTTTCGTTATATTAAGAAAGCTGAATTTGATACACATTATGCAGAGAGCTATGAAACTGTGTTTTCTTTGACGCCAGACAGTTTGGTCGGTTCTATCATCCTGCCAGACGCATTGAAATTGTATCAAAGTTGCAAAAGTTAAATTGATTAAACATAAAATTTTCAGAGAATAGGAACCACAATCCAGGTTTCATAATTGGGAATCGTTCTTACCTGTATTGGAGACACATATAGACAAAATTTCATCTTTCCTAAAATGACGAAAGTCTGGCCGTCACTGGCTCTCGCTCTATTAGCATTAAGACTTTTTTTTCACTTTTTTATTATTAAATTAGAACAATTTCAGATGCGGAAGGTGATCTTATCAAAATAGTTCTCCTGGTGCACAACAGCAATAAGGAGGTCCTAAAGAAAATATATCCTGCAATGTGTGCAATTGTTTCACAACATAGTTCGCCATCGCTACAAGTGCAATTTGCAACAACTATAAGAGAATAAATAAAATACATTGATATTCAAATTTACCTTGTTAATTTTATGTAACGAAAATAAAGACTAATTTTTTTATGTAAAGGCTTACAGATGGCGCTATAACACAAATCTTGACCGGCGGTTGATATTCCAAAATGGCAACAAAATCGCACTTATCTAAAGTAGTACAAAACCTGATTATAACCTGAGTATATGTCAGGTGACGTGTCGTGTTGGTCTCGACCAAAATTAGATTGTCGTACCTGTATTTAAGTTAATATCAAACCCAGTAACCATGGGTGGAAATGTAAGCTATTCAAAGTGACTATTTCGTAAACTGTTAATTCATTTTTCTACTCCAGTCCAGTGTGCCAATCACCAACATACAAGTCAAGGTTAAGTTAATGATCAATGGACGACAAGAAGAGATTCGATGTTTCCAAGTACGTGACTTAAAGGAAATGGAAGAAAACTACTATGACATTTATATTGGGAAATTGTATCAAATTTTCCCGCAACTTCCAACACCGTATAGCGAGATTAAACTCACTTGGACTGGTAAAATAAAAATACTAAATTTCAATTGCATCTTAATTGAATTTTCGTAATTTTAGACAAAGACAATGATGTGATACGGATTTCAAATAATGCAGATTTACTCATAGCAGTTCAACGCATGCCGGAGATAAAAGTTTTTCAGGTACACATGAAAAAAGTAGAAAAGAAAGCCATCGAATTCAAGGCAATTGATGAAAACCGAAAATATATCCGCGGTGAGGACGGTACACTACTCGACATAACAAATGGAACGCCATTGAAAGACGATAGCCAAAAATTACTACTCTTCATGGCGTTAGGCTTGTTTTTAGGAATAGTGGCGTATTTTATTTTAAAACAAAATGATCATACACACTTACAAAACTATGAACAACACAATAGTGGATATAGTAATTAACTTGTATACCTATATTCATATATTTTAACTGGAGACTTTCGTGAAAAATGAATAAATATACCTTTCTAAATTTAAGTAAACAAAAAACGTTATTGGCAGAAGATAAATCACTGTATAGGATATACAATATATATAGTTGTCTAATTCAATTAATTGTCATTCGCTGGACGTAATTTTTTGAGAGAAATCGTTTCTTTAATGGCGAACTTCGAAAAAATTCGAGGTTTACTCAAAAACCCTGAGATTAAAAAAATTGTCTATTCCTTCAAAAAATTCATTTAAAAACAAAAATGTACAAAGAAACAAGTACATAAAGGTCAGAATGGAAAAGTTTCAGCTAAATATAAAGGGGTCGGTTTCAAAATTGGTCGATTTGGCATGGAATACCCCATATATAAGTATAGGATGTAGAAGCATCCTGTTCAAAAATAAAATTATGACCCAAAAAGTTTTAAAGTGTATAATATCAACATAAATACTTTTTAATATTTGGGTACGCATGCAGCTTTGTTAAATAACATTTGCATGTGTAGTTTGAGATCTCTTTAATCTAGAAATATTAGTAGCCTTTCGTTTCAATTGCATTACCAAAAGCTTTATTTAATAATCTGTCAACTCCATGCAGGCAGTACTAGCAAGTTTTATGTTATGCCTTCTGTATCAGCTCTATTCACGCTAAACTCGTGTGGACGTGTGGATACGATGAAGTTCGAAGCAGCACGATTGCTAAAGTTGCGAACACGCCCTTGGACAACTTGCGTTAATGTTTTGAATACATGTAGTTATAACTAATAGCTCAGTATATTTGTAAGATAGGAAGTTTTTCTCGTGATTTATTTTCAATTATACTCAGAACCTTTTTTCATAAGTATAACGGGCGGACATTCATTCAAATCTATTAAAAATGGGTGCAAACGTATTTATAATTATTCCATGGATAAAGGACTTTTATTTTAATAATTCGTATTTTGTAGGTGAGCGTGCCAGGAATGTCAAATTCACAATCGACACCAAAGAAAATCGAATTTAAAGTAACGCTAGTTACGAATGGCCAGGAGGATGTGAAATCTTTCCAATTTGACGATTCAATCCTTCGTTCCAAGAACTATAAAGGCTCTTTTGATGAACTGGTAAATAAATTGTCAACACTTTTTCCTCAACTTGAATCTTCATATAACGAACCAAAATTGACGTGGACTGGTAAATACAATCATTTATTTTATAAACCTGTGCATATATTAGTTCTTATCATTTAAGACCAGGCGAATGATATTATAACTATCAACAATGATGATGATTTACTGTTCGCACTTGAACACATGAAAGATTTGAAGATTTTCAAGGTGCACTTGACAAATGAAGGAAAAAAAACCGAGAAAAGATAACAATGATAATCTGCCCAAGGGTTGTCTCCGACTACAACATTCATTTAACATTGGGGGTGTTTGCAACAACTGCAAGAACAACAATATTGTTCATTTTCGCTACAAGTGTCTTCAATGTCAAGATTATACTTTGTGCGCACAGTGTTATAAAAATGTACACGTGGAACACGTTATGATGAGTATTTCTCTAGACGTTCCTAATCTTCAAAATATAAGATCCCCATGTAAAGACCAGAAAGAAGAACAGTTAAAGTGAGGCAAATATACAATTGGTAATCAACTTCGATGATTGTAATTTTTTTATCGCAAAATTATGTGTTAATATATCCAAAATAAAGACTTATATTAGAGTAATCTATGTCCTTATTCTTATATAGTAGGTACAATGTGTGTTTGTTTCAATGTTTGTCTTCTCTGCTAGCCAAAACCCTTCCTCCGAATGCTATGTAATTTTTGGACATTAAAAGATTATTTTAGTGTGGTGGAAACCCCCATTGCCGCCTCCACTGCTGCCCAAAATACATGTAAAATGCAAAATATGCAAAAAAATATTGATATATTTAATTGTAATTATATTATATTGTGGTTTAGTAAATAGAAATAAAATCTTCTGATTTTTTTTCATTATGTAAGTAACGTGTAACATTCCTCGTATTTTATAATTTAATGGGTTAGTCAAAAACAGTAGTTGGAATTACTCGTATGTTTAATCAAGAGATTTGAAATGAATGGAAGTGAATGAATGGAATTAATAATTAATAATAATAAATAAATAATACTAAAATGGAAATAATAATGAAAGAATCGATGCAAGAATTTCGGAAATATTTACGAAAAAAGGAGGTACGAAGTTCATTGGATTAGCTGGTCCATTAATATATTCATATCGGGGTTTGAACACAATGATTCACCAAGTTACCACAATCCAAGATGAGTCTTGTTCCTGTTTCCTGTTAGATACTAAATCGCTATCGCAACAAAACTGCCCTCCAGTTTTTGTGATAAATGCTATGACTAATGACTATTTCATCAGATATTCTGGATAATCAAGCATTTCAACCATCATACTCACTACTCATTTCACAGTACAGTTTAGTGTTGGTCTCTGACAAAATTAAATTGTCGTTCCTATATTTACGTTGATATCACACCAAGAAATAATGGGTGGAACTGTAAGCAATTTGAAGTAACCTTTTCGTAAACTGATTGTGCATTTTCTCTCCAGTCGAGCACCTTCATAAATATCAAGTTAAAGTTAATAATCAACGGAGAACTAACGGAGACTCGATATTTCAACATACTTGCAATACTTGAATTGGAGAGATACTACTTTGATATATATTTATTACTTTCTTTGGTGAATACGTAATCCATGTTGTATATTTATAAAAAAAATATTTATTTATTAAACATTATACGTGATTTTGGATTTACAATTTTATAAAGTTTATGAAGATGCCCTCTGGGCGAAACATGTCAACTCAAAAAAATAAAATTGTAAATCCAAAATCACGTATAATGTTTAATAAATAAATATTTTTTTATAAATTTGATATATATGTTGGGAAATTGTATCAATTTTTCCCGCAACTTCCCGCACCGTTTACGAAGAATAAGCTCATTTGGAAAAGTGAAACTAAAATACGAAATAATAATTGCATCTTGATTGAATTTAGGTAATTTTAGATACGAAGGAAGAAACAATATCAATTTCAAGTAACGATGAATTATACTTGGCGGTAAAAGAAATGGGGGATATAAAGGTTTTTGAGGTACATATGACTCAGCAAACAGAGGATGCCATCGAATTCACGCCAAATAAAGCAATACAATAATATGGAACTAATGTCGCCATAGTTAATGCAAAGGAATTAACATATGATAGCCAATTATCACCATCTTCTTATCTATTATCTTTAAGAATATGTAGTGCTTTATTGCAATAGTATTTTACTTTATGAAATGATGTTCAAGTGCATTTACCGAACTACAAAACCAGCTTGCCAAAACCATGTTGTTATACATTAAATTTGAATTGATCGTAAAATTTGATAAATAAACGTTTCTTTATTTATGCATACTTAATCAATCCTTACTAATATTATAAATGCGTATGTCCTGAAGTTTATCGTGCTTTCACGCAAAAACTACTTAACAGATCATCACGAAAATTTGTACACATATTCTTAGTGGTCCCCGATAGGTTATAGGCTACTTTTTATTTAATAAAAATAATTATTTTTTTTAAATAAAATAAAGAAATTGTTTAGTCACTAATACCTCTGCATCTGGTTATTTGACTACTTTAACGCCATCTAGCATTCCAGCAATGAAGCTCACACCTAAGTACTATAGTACCATCACACTGTATTACCGACAGCTACGTCAACATCAAATCCGTACACATATTCTTAGAGGTCCCCGATGGTCCCTGAATGGTTATAGGCTACTTTTTTATTGAATATAAAAAATTATTTTTTAAATAAAATAAAGAAATTGTTTAGCCAATAATACCTCTGCATCTGGCTAATTGACTACTTTCACGCCATCTAGCATTCCATCTAAAATTTAAAACTTTATTGCATGTAGTATTTTTTTCACATAGATAATCCTAGCCAAGCAGTGAAATATACATTCTTTCTATCAATCCGTTTCAACTATGTATAATGATTTCTAATATTTATTTGATTTATTCAACGCGAGCGAAGCCGCGGGTTAAAGCTAGTTGTCTAATAAATTCTAATGTAGTATTAATTAGTTTAATTACTGAAGATGTCCCATGGGCATCCCATGAATACCTTACACAAAATTGTAATCTAAAATCACGTTAATTTATCAATAAATATATATATATAATGTAGTAATAATACTTCTTCGTTTTTATCAACATAAACACACTGGCATAAACAATGATTTGGTACATATCATATAACCTAAAACAAAATCAGCCGCAAAGCGTAATTGACAGAGGACAAAACACTTCTAAATACAGGATGACACCGCTCAAAAATAATAGAATAAAATCTAAAAAGATTCTAAATGCAACTAAAAGCAAATAAAACTTTATATAAATCCTAATTGATGCATTATATAAACATAAATAGGTTTAAAATGCACCTTTTTTATGAAATAATGAAAGAAACAACATTAAATTATTATCAGAATAATGCTACTCTGTATCTGTCAGTTGAATGTCGCGCGAAGGTTATCCCCACTAAAAGTGTTGAATTTAAAAATATCCCATTACTTACTAGGAAGCAGCGCTCACGCAATAATAAAGATAATTGCTACATAAAACAATGAGAATTAATTTACGCGATAACGCTGTCAAAACTCGGCAGTGTCAATAATCCAGCATATCATATGATGTTTCAGTTTTTAATCAGCTGAGCGCTTGATTATTTGATTGTGTTTATATTTTTCTCGTGTTGAAATAACACGCAACTACTTCCAGAGTCGTCGAGAACGCTCGCGAGTGTGAGTCATTTGCTAACGAGCGGTGGCGGCGACCCCACCATCTGGTATACGATTGCATAGCACTTTTGAGCTTCACTATAAATGCCCAGTGCTGCAGCGTATGTAGTTTACTGTTTCCAGCCATCTTCTCCAGCGACGTTCGAGTTCACCAACCGTAGCCAACAAAGAAGAATTTAACTTGCAACCAATACAAAGATATTTCAAGCAACAGCACAAAGGTAAGTGAAAGTTATGCCCATGGCATATTTGTAAGTGCAGTTGCATTTGTTAATGCATGTTAAGTCATGTTGTGCAATTTTAATTAACTACGGTGGCTGTCATTTGCGCCAAATGGCAAGTCATCTTAACTGCGCAGCATCGTCGCAACTTTTATTATTTATTTTGTATGTTTTCCTTCTATTTATAGATGAATAATCAAGGGGCAATTCAATGTAAGGTGAAACTTGTCACCGATGGCGAGCAGCAAGAAATGCGACGCTTCCAACTGGACGATTCGTCCTTCGCGAGTAACTTTGATCTTTTCAAAGAGAAGTTGCGCGCTGTTTTCCCGCAACTTCGAGATACCGGCTTCAAAGTCACCTGGACCGGTAATTATTAAGCAAAATTAATTTTTAATTTTCTTATTATTAAATTAAAATTAATTTCAGATGGTGAAGGCGATGTTATAACAATCGCTAATGATGAAGATCTCCTCATGGCAATGATGGAGATGAACGGATTGAAAGTGCTCCAAGTGCACATCAGTGGGGAAACTAAAGAAGATACTGAAGAAGACAACATTCCCTTCAATATGTATGGTTCAGTTATCACTTGTGATGTGTGCAACTGCCGAATTACTCGCTATCGCTACAAGTGCCTGCAATGTCACGACTATGACTTGTGCCAGAACTGCGAGCAAGCCGGGAATCATTCCCAGCACGCAATGATGCGTCTGGTTAACTTGGAGATTCCCCGTGGTCTGCATAAGATGGTGAGCCACTGCACTCGTGCAGCCAGAAAGGCCGCTCATCATGCCGCCAGGGAAGCGCATCACGCCGCCAGAGGTGCACATCGTGCCGCCAGATGCGGTTTTGACATGGCCAAATCCGCCGCCAGAGGTGAACCCGGCAGATGTTCATTTCGCCACAATCGCCACGATGAACGTAAACCTGGTCCCGGTGAACAGGCTGCAGAGATTCCGGTGTTTGACACTACAGTTCTCTATGACTTGGCATCATCTTTCCTGGGACCTTTTACTCAGGCCCATGGAGGTGCCACAAACAATGGTCCAGCTGCAGCCCAGCCTCAACAGCCAACTCAAACACCCAATCAGGGAGCAACTCCTACTCAAGCATCTGGTACCGCAACACCAACAGCCCAAACTGGCGCTACCCCAACCGCCAATGCAGCCCCAACTCCAGCAGCTGCACCCGTTGATGTAATCGGAAACATCCTCCGCGACGTATTCTCCGCAATCAATGCCAACGTGGCCCAGGCTGCAAGTGGCGCATCCACACCTGTTCCAACCCCAGCACCAACTCCTACAAACACCCCAGCCGCACCAGTGACCCGCGATGATGACGTTGTGATCGTTGATCCAACTCCCACAACTAAAGCTACTACAAATTCAACACCTATGGATGTAGAGCAACCAGCTCAAGCTACTCAAACTGCTCCAATCTATCCAAATGTTCCTCAGGGACCAGACGCAGGTTGGACTTTTGTCAGCCCTCCGGTTACCACCACTACCACCGCTGCGCAACCATCAGCTCCAATTGGATTTGCTCCTCCTCTCAACCCGGATGAGGTAAAGTACGCCAGCCAATTGGGCCAGCTGCGTCGCATGGGATTCTCCGACAACATTGACCTTGTAAGCTTGCTCAAGCGTTACAACGGCAACATCGGACTTGTTGTTAATCATTTGTTTGCGAACAGCAACTAGACGCTATATAAGCACCCAAGCAATAATTTACTCTATTAGTCTATATATCTATATGGTGATAGCATTTCCTGGGTTATTATTACCACATAAGTTAAAAATGTAGCAACCTAGCGCACTGTATTCGCGCCTTATACATTCGTAGGTTAGGAATCTCTTGTACGAGTTGGCAAATTAATCAAATAAATCACATTATTTGGAACTGGTTCAATGTTTCCTTTGTGTGTCCTTTGCTATGCAATGGACAATGCAATCAAATTAAAAATACCTTACAAACACATTACATTAACCAAACTTGGCACAATACATCTAGTTTTAAACCTGAATTTTATGTTATTTATTATTTTATGCTACTATTGCGACTATTCTGCTTAAATTCGCATTCGAATGAGAGCACTTCAAGCGTTTTTTGGCAGAAAAAGTGCCAAATTATTAAACATCAACAGATGGTCGGAGAGCTCTGTTTGTAGCAGCTGTACGCCGCCGCTGCTGCCGCCGCCACCACCGGCAGTATGGTATTAATACATGGCTTAGTGCGCGCGTCGAACGCAATTGCAAACCGAGACCGATTTTAAACTTAATCCGCGCGTGCAAGTTGCGATTCGTCGAGTTCGCGTCGCAAACTAGCCGGTTTCGCACGCAATCCGCGCGCCGCGTCCGTTCACCTGTCGGCGCTATTTTATTTCGTTTATGCAAGTGTCGAATTATTCAAAATTCATCTTCATCTTTAGTTCTGCAATTTAAAACAATTGATTCATCATGGGAGCACTTACAGATGAATGTAAATATTTACAAAATTAATTTTTAATACTTATTTCAAGTTTTTTCTGGTTGTGTGGGTGTATCAAAAGTTTCGCATGTTTATTTTGGTCGTAAATCTCGCAAGTGTCGCGCGCCAAAAAGTAACAAGTGTTTGTCACGCATGTGTTGTGCTGCTTGCGTTTTTATTGGACCCACACACATAATTCTTGCTCTTTTTCGTGTTTTATTATTGCATGACTTTGGTAATTCGTCTTCTTGGCAACAAATCTTGTCTCCGCGCCTAGACGAAAATAAAATCAAAGCCGATTGCGAGCAGTTGTACGTCGTGCTGAAGAATTGCGACGCCCCCGATCAAGGTGCACGCGATGGCGAAAGCATCAAAACTCTGTATCGCCTTGTTTTCCTCTTATCATATCGACATGGATCCAAGCGTAAGTGTCAGCCGGCATGCGGCAAAGGCGGCTTGTGTAATGAATGGCATTGCAGTGATGGCGATCACGACCACGACCGCCAGCTATTTGTGTCACCATCCCATGTTACCGGTGATACTCGTTGAAATACTGAGGGTGAGTCCTAATCCACGCCAAATGAATGTTTATAGGTAGTATACGCGCCGAAAATAACTCTTTCCGCACGCACACAGGCGCCGCGCGTAATTAAATTTAGCAAACGACGATTAAATAAACGCATAAAATTTAACGCTTCCTGGTAGATTTTACCGACCAGTGATCACAAGTTCCAAGTTTGGTTAGGTGTTGACAGCTGGGAATGCAAGACATGCGCACGTGTCGCGCCGCATCCTTGGCTGTCGATATTTATGACGAGATCACATATTGACAAACAGGCAACAACATGATCATTGGCGCAAGGCCCATCATTGACGTTCCAAACACTTCTAGGATAGCAAAAACATCAAAGTCTGCGCGTATGTCCTTGACATTCTGTCCAAGCTCGTGCTGAAGAATGCCATTGTGGGTGAGACAGAGCGGAAAGCAATTCGGCGTGTATTCCACGAACCGCATCACTTCCGTACGCTGCTACAAGCACTACGCAATATGGACACGCGCTATCAAGTACTCGTAGATGTTACCGACTCAACTGATGAAGAAACGACACAGGCGCATGATATGCAAGTTAGATTTTTGAAGATCATCAACTGCTTGTATAGCAGGAAAGGCCAATCGCAGATTTCGTTAATTACCGAATTTAACGTCGAGTTTATAGGCCGCCATTTTGTTAAACATGCGATGAGCAACATGGAAATTTCCAGATGTATGTTACCACTGATCAAAACCTTTTGTCGAAATAGTAAGACCAGAAATGTTTAGCACAAACAAATCAAAATTTATATTTACTAAGTATTTTATGGTTTGTAGAAAAAAACTGCGAGTTGATTTGTGACCAAGCGTTTGTTCTCGCTTTCGTAACACTAGTACCAGCTGTCAAGCGATACCCAGCTGGTATTTCAATCCTTCGGTTCCTCTCGAGGAGTCGTAAGTGCCACTTTTAATACAAATAAAAACAAATAAACATTTACATATATGTATTTTTAAATTAGCGGAAGCCATGGCTGAATTATGTCAGTCCGAGGCAGTCCACCATTTTGTTGTGCAAACTGCAATCCATCACGCGGAGAAATCCACACATAGGAAATATCTTATGAGTACAATGTATCGTCTTGCAAAATCAAGTAAAATTAACTTTTACAAAACTCTTTGACTGTTAAATTGCATAAATGGTAATATTTTATAGGTTATGGTATGCAATTGTTAAAAAACACGTCTCTATGGTTATCCCTATTGGAGTTCTTCATGAAAAGCGATCGTCTTGAAGAACTCCGGCAACGTATGTCTTTTACACGCGCTTATACTATTTTACATCGCGGTGTAACAAATAAATTCGTAATGGCGACGCCATTGTTAATAGACTTTGATCTACCAGGAGATATACAAGCTTACAGTAAGTAATAAGTAATATATAAAGCAAAAAATAATAATTTTTAAGAAAATATGTAGTTTGTGATAGAGCAAATCACCATTCGTCTGATGACAGTGACAATGACGAAGAAGAAGAGGAAGATGAGCTGAGAAACGCAAGAAGTCGAACGGTTTCAGCGGAAAATGAAGATGATGATAATGATGACAGTGATAACGATAACGACGAAGAAGGAGAAGAAGACGAACGCATGGAAACCAAAGAAGAAGACGATAAAGACAATGAAATGCAAACAGAAAATCATCATGATGTTAATGACGAGAAAAATTTCCAACAATTTTTTGCAGAGTTTAATGATTTTCATGAAAATAACCAGCAGGGTTGTGAATTATTCAAGTCAAAAATTCATCGACATGCTTTAATTGACCGACTTGCATTACCAGACCTCTTACCACATCTTGAAAATGATAATGATGGATATTTAACAGCAGATATTAATCATTACTCGACGTAAGACTATATGAAACTATATGCAACCCTTTATACACGAATTAAACTTATTTTATGATAATTTCAGTGACCAGTTATACAGCAAAATTGTATCAATGAAAAATAACTTGGCCACGTTCCAACCTGTAGTTATATACGATTTGGACGAATTAATCACGCAAAATCAACATCAAGACGTTAATATACCAAATATTGAAGATATTCATATGAATTATCTTAATGCTGAATGTGACATGATGTCCACTGAAGTATTACACTTCGAATCACGTTTTGAATGCGGAAATTTACGAAAAGTGGAACAAGTGCGTAATAAACACGCGTTTTTTAAATAAAATTTATAATAAAATGTACTTACAGATTGGAGAATACGAATATAACCTCTTCATCTCGCCGGACGCAAACATGGCGTGCGGACTGCAATGGTTCTACTTCCAAGTCTCCGGCATGAGGGCGCTGGCAACCTACGCGTTCAACATTGTAAATTTACAAAAGTGCAACAGTCAATTCAGCTACGGCCTGCAGCCGGTAATGTTTTCAGTTCTGAGCTATGCACTCAACTCACGCGGCTGGCGTAAATGCGGCTCGGAGCTGATGTACTACGGCAACGAGTATATTTGCAGCGAGAGTAACAAACAATACCGCACGTTGCGATTCTGCATCACGTTCGAATACAATGGCGACGTTTGTTACTTCGCCTATCATTACCCGTACACGTATACAAGATTAATGCACGTGGCGCTTGCATCTTTCACTCTACCGAATGATAATGTCTATGTACGTGTTGAAGAACTTACCAAGTCTGTTGGTGGGTTTAACACGGTGCCGTTGATTACAATCACAGCGAGAAACACGGAAAAAACACAGTTTGAGGTGAGCGTAATGAAAAACGTTGTGAGTTATGACATCTTGTCGGTTATTAGGAGAGAAAATTGGTGTTTTTGACGTCGCGCGTTCATCCGGGCGAAAGTAACGCCTCATGGATCATAGAGGGCGCTATGCGATTTCTATTGACAGATGAGGAAACAGCACAATGCGCACGCGAGAATTACATCTTCAAAATAATTCCAATTTTGAATCCGGAAGGCGTTATCTATGGCAAGTAAGTATAGGAAAAACACGAAGACAGAACAGACATTTATTTATAGTCAGTCAACGCGTTCCGCATATCTTATCTTATCTTATCTTCGTTGTTCTTAGTTCTTACAGCTACGATTAACGTCTAGTAACATATTACGTAATGAGAATGTATGTGTGTGTGGTGTTTTCGTGTTCTCTGTGTGTGTGGGTGTGTGTTTAAGGCACGTACTTATCTTACATGTGTGTATGTTGTGGAATGATGCAAATCCTATCGTAATGGAAATAAAAAACAAACGCAATGGATAAAACGCTAGAAAAGTACACATTATATAAATATTATACGGGCTAATGGACGGATTTTAAGGAACGCTCGTAGATGGTGACCGTCTCGGGCTCGATGGTCGAGACGTACTCCTCGTCGGCGGGGGCGGCGCGCGGACGTTGATGGTCGACATAGGCGGCCGGATCGTCGAGCATTTCAAGCACGCCGTGAAACGAATCATAAGGCCCATTTGTAGCCTGCTCCGCTTCGGCGTCGGCGCTGCCATGCGGCAGGACAACATCGGCGATAGGCGCAGCTGGTGATGGGGACGGCTGCGGCGGCGGCGGCAGGGTACTGCTGCTCGTCGAGCGCACCTCGTTGAGTAGATCATTGTAACCAATCACGCCCGACGAGGATGTGCTCGAGGTGCGCATACCGGTAAGAAAATCAAAACCGAGAATTCCGCCTAGACTGCCGCCGCCGCCGCCGCCGCGCTGTGACGAGGTGAATGCTGGACGCTGCGTGGTAGTCGTCGTGTACGCTGGCCGCCTACATGAAAACAAAACATTATTTTAACAATACACGCGTGAAATAGGCGAGAGATGAGCTGAAAATGAAAAGAAAATGAAAAAGAAACGAAAAGTTATTTTAAGAACGTAATTACACGACGCGGCGCGACCTTGAGCGGCGCGTGAAGAGAAGAAATACGAGTATAATGGTAAAAGGAAGAGCTGCGTGCGCATCGCGGAATGCGGCGGCGCGCATGCTCGCGCTACTCAAGAAATAAACTGAGTACGATGTGTGCGTTGGCGGGCCTCACCTTCGCCGCGCTTACCCCTGCGCCGACGACACAGGAATCGAGCCGTAGTTGTAGTAGTAACAGCGTGTCTGCTCACAGATGAAATCCTTGATCTTCATGCAGTCGTCGGTGTCCCATTCGAACGCCGGTGATTTCAGCGCTACGCAACCATTAGTCGAACCACTATCACTATATAAAAACACAAAAAATCATCAAAAAAAATTAAAAAATTAAATTTTTAAATATTTACCTTTCGCGTGCGGTACGTTGTGGGCTAGTACTACCAGTAGGCACATCAGCAGCAAGTGGATCATCAGACTCATTCAATTTCCGCATATAATTAAAAGTCGCATTGAATGGCAAACCAGTACTCATCCATAAATACATATCAGTACCCAGGCGATTACCAGACGTCCAGAAGTCATATTTATTATACCCTGCGTTGCTTAAATATTGTGTAATTGAGTCGGCTTTCTCGCGTGTCTCAAACGACGCCAATTGCAGCCCTAGCGAACGACAGTATTGATACGCAAGGAAGTAATTCAGCTCCGGTGAGTAGGGATTCATTCGACTCACGAAGTATTGCACGCCGTCGAGTTGAATCGTCGTGATGCGTTGTCCTGAAAGACGAACAATGAACAATCGACTTAAGTGCCTTTAACTGGCTATAAGAGGTCAGACAAACAATTGATAACAAAGCTTATTGTTAATATTTGTAGCGCTTACCATTGCCGGAGTGCGCAAGGCACACGACGAACAACACTAGACCAAAAAGCGCCGGCCCCCGTTTGCTAAGCATGATGCGCGTGCGTGATGAGTAGTAACTTAAAAAAATAATCAAGTTGAGTGTGGATGCGATGCGGGACGGAGCGCGAGGTGAACTAAAGAGCGGCGGGTACGCGACGACGGTTTTGTCCGTGCTCCTGCCGGATATTCCCCTCTCTACCCTTCCGTGTACACAAATTCAACACCAATACACACTTAAGTCTCATCCCGCGATGATCATCCACAGAAATCTGATGTTTTACGAGTTGAATATGCACGGGAATTATCCTTGAGGATTGATGAGGTATGAAAGCCCTTTGATTTTACGATCGTGGCTGTAAATCAATACATCTACGGGTTTATTGTTTGATGCACGTCTAGACGCTTTCGATCTTTGGTGTCCTTTGTTTACTTAAGTGTAGAAATTCGGCCATCACATTATCCCATCTCCATGTCATTCGGAGAGATAATTAATTTTCGTAGAATTTGCGCAAAAGATATTGTTGTGTGTGTGGATTTTTCGCGCACACGATGCCTGCAAACGGATATAAATAGATCGCATACATAAATAAGAGAACAAAACGCAAAGCCGGTTTCAAACTCAAACTCGGGGAGCCAACGGTGTGCAAGTGATCGCAAAAACTTATTGCGATATTAAACACTTTGTGGTTTTGGTATAAGATGTGTCTACAAACATAAAAATCTAACAGTTAATAATTTACATGTCATATAATATGTGATATAACTGTTTATGAAACTGTTTTTCATCGCGAATTTTTCGAGTTTTTTGAGAGTTTTGGTAATTTATTGCTTTTTGTTGCAAGTATTGGTAAAGATGGCGTGCAATTAGCGGTGAAGTTACATTGAACTCGAACTTGACCTTTCTAGCATGAGTGGCGAGTCGCACGGGACGCGAAGACCGCGCGCGTTGCTGAGATTCACTTTCGATGGCTATCTCGCGTTTCTCATGCGCGCCGCGCGCGCGGAATACCTGTCTATTTTTCAACGCCGGCTAATAGCCTCTTCGCCTATCTGCAGGTATCGAGCCGCGCAGAGGCTGCGGGCGCGGGTTTTATTCCGCTGGTGTGTTTTTTGTGTGTTGTGTGCACGAAGCACAGCGCGAACATAATTAGAAAACAAGCAATCTCGAAGATGTACAAGAACACAGCGTGTAATGTCATTGTTGTCCATTACACCATTTTTCATTGCGTAATTTCGTTTTTCGTGTGATCGCCGAGGTGAACGATTCGCGAGCCGCACACACCAGTCAAGGGCATAATAATTATTTGGCCGTAAAAGGTAATGGCGGCGTGTCTTCGCGGCATGCCATTGGATTTTTCGCTCGTTTTTTCGTTGATACAGCTCGTAAAACGGTAGCGCGTCTCGCGGGATGTTGCAGCAGGTCAGTGTGTGTGTGTGTCGTGGAATGTGCGCGCGGGTGTCGAAGCGCAGACGTTTTTTATGATGTCACCCGATGTCACTCATTCGAGGCGATTTTTATGCACGCCGCGATCACCGGACACACACCTATTAATATTCCCGACGACGCTAACACCACTTCCTTCCTCTCTTCTCCAAGGCGAAGGTGACGCTCCCTAATCGCAATCTTAACGGGCTAAAAATATGTAATTTGTGGTTACAGCACGCGTTGTGGTCTCACCGGTAACGATCTCAATCGCTGCTGGAAGAAACCGCATCCACGCTTGCATCCAGAGATTTACAACGCTAAGCGCTTGGTGCAATATGCAAAGGAATATTTACAAAATGAAATCTTTGCTTTTGTTGATATACACGGTCACAGTAGGAAGAAATATTTCTTTCTTTATGGTTGTAATGCGCGTCAAAGCTGGGATGAGTCCGACGCCATTTTGTCTGATACACTGGACGCGTTCAATGTGAGTGTTTTGTGGTTTGGAAACAGGTCGCATGTAATGAAGATTATATTCCAGGCGCTGCCGAAAGCAATGTCTGCTGTCAATCCCAACATGAAACTGTCCTACTGTCGGAACACAGTGGAGCGCAAGCGCGAGACAACCTGTCGTGTGGTTATGTGGCGCGAGTTCGCGATTCATCGCTCGCATACGCTCGAATGTTCTTTCTGCTCGGGCGAAAACAAAAAGGTGACTACACGGTGTATGTAATTGGCATAAATCTTGATTGTGTGTTTTTGTTCGTCTTGCAGAAAATCACGACTGGAATGCTTCGTGAAATCGGCGAAGGGCTCATTAGAGCACTTGCCAACCTAACGACTAGTAGTGAATAGATGGCGCTGTCAAAACATGCATCTGCTTTGCTTCTATTCAACCATTTGCTTTTTACTTTTACTTCGGCTGATGTAGTTACAAACACACATTCCCAGATACATTTGTGATGAAACTTTTAGCATTCTTAATACTTATGCTTTGCTATCCGGTAGATACTTAATTATTTATTGATAAAATTATTGTGTTTGTCCATTGTTCCCAACGTTACAAAATAGTCCTCTAAAAACCGGTTCAAACATATAAGTACATAAAAAAATCACAAAGATATGATCCTCCAATATTAACGGCGGCCTGTGAAAGGAGGAGCAGGCCGAAGATTAGATTTATTCGTCACGATTGTGAGCTTGGCTCACAACGAGCAGCTTCATTTGTTCGTAGGTGATCCACATGGCGATGTTCCAGGCCACCAGGCGTGCAAACGAAGGTACAAAACTAAAATATCACATCGTAAACAAACATAACCTTAAATTTACTAAAAATTAAATTTACCCTTTGTAGAATGCTTTTGCACCTTCCTGCATGAACATATTCACACCACAATCAACCGCCCCTTTGTACACACCCTTGGCAGAGTTCATATATCTGGTTTTTACTACGTCTACAGGGGATGCAACCACAGTCGTGCAGAAACCAGCGATGACCGCCGATGTAAAATGCAGTGGGATACCTTCTTTCATTACATGATAATACAGCAGTGTGTCTTTTATCAGGTCATAACAGACTATTTCGGAGACGTTGACAATCGCATTCCTGCTTACATTCGGGAAGGTACCTAAAATTCAAATATTTAGAGGTTATGTTTGAAAATATGATGAATAATACCTTTCCAGAGTCCGCGCATTCCTTCACTATTCGCTATGATTTTATACGCTTGTATTGTAGAGTTGTATCTTGGTGCGACCGCCCCCTGTCGTGTATTTGCCGCCGCGGCTTGCAGACGTACCTTGACCACATCAGTAGGCTGCGCGATAAACACCGCTAGAGCACCAGTTGTTAACCCGGCAGCCACTCTTGCACCAATATTCAAACTCCCTGAACGTGTATTACCTGCAAATGCAACATAACCACAAATATTAGTTTTATTAGTCTGATTAGAACCCAATATAAATTATTATTAGCTAGTATAGTAACTCAATGACGATATAATATCAATTGATTTTTTAGTGGGCGCCATTTTGATTCAAGAATAATTGAATTTCTGAATGTTTGAGTTAGTAAATGTTTAACACACGAACGAATACCAGCCGGACGCGTTTTTATTTGCGCCCTGGCCGCTGGTAGACGTCGTACCGTCAATCAGCTGTTGGTAGAACGTCTTGAAGGTGTCGTAGAGACCGATTCGCACTGATGCGAAACACATCTGACGCTGGAGGCCCGCGGAGAGGCCGTTGTATAAACTCCTGCAATTAGAACGAATCACCACCCGCTGACACAGAAATCATACAATTCCCCAAACAGAAATCAAAACTGAATCCAAAAGCATAAAACATCACAAACAGATTACTTATGTGTGTCGACACAATGCAATTTTATGCAATACTTGCCATTGTTTCGGAGGATATTTATGGAAAATTCATGAAAAGTTTATTTACCTTGCACCTTCCTGACGCACCATGTTATTGATTGTGCCGAGGAGACCCACTTGTACTGGGGGGACTGCTCGGAGTAATGCTACAGTGCCATTTTGTAATACAGGACGAATTTCTCCTTGAATCTAAGGTAAAAAATGTTTTTTTAGTTTTAAAATTGTTTTTGTTGATTAATTTAATTACCTGAAGTCTAACTTTGGCAGTGTCCAAAGGAAATGTCAACGCATCAGCGATACAAGCCGAAGTTCCAGCTGTAAGTAGTTTGGTACCCAAAGAAACATTCTCAAACGTCGCCATTTTGAAAAATTAATTCTACAATAATAAAATTTATGTTAATTTAAGTAAAGTTGTTAAAAATAATTAAAAACTTACTTTTATTTGATGTTTGTGTTTATAGAAAACAAATCCCCCTACAGAGTGTTTCTCTAAAGTCGTCGTTGAAGATATAGACGCAGAAAAGCGCTGCCGAATGTTGCTTACGGCCGGCGTGCATCCGTTGCGGGGCGTTACTGATTCGCTCGACGACGACGGACCTTTTGCTCATACTATTCTGTAATTAAGCGAAAACCCACTCTGATATATACATAATGCGCTATCGATGTCCGCGATTACAATGCAAATGCATCGCGCGCGCCGAGACCATGGTACGCAGTACAAAGATTAATCGGAAATGTGGAACGATTACCGAACCGGCCGCCGCTTTATAGACGCTAGACAAATTCGAAGTATTAAATAATGTCGCGTGCGAGTATTGAAATTTTTCCACGTGTCGTCAAGCGAGGCACGCGTGGCGTAGCGATAGAGTTAAAATAAATTCATAAAAAAATGCAGGAACGGTTTTGCGTTTGAGGTTTGTGCGCAGTCGGGAGAGAAGAGGAAGAGAAGACGAATCGATCGATACATTCCCGGAAAATCTAAACCCGTGGGTGGATGATTCGCGTCGTGGAAAATTACCCACTTGTTAACGAAAGATTGGCAATTTCCTATTCGTGGCTGGGCGCAAATTGGCACGGTGACAACATGGAGAAACCGTGCAGAAGGTGTCATTGTCATTGCCAAAAAAACTTAAAACTTAAAAATACCTGCGTTTTTGTTTTTGAGCAAATAAAGGAAAAACTTAGACTATTTCTGAGTTTTATAAAACAAAGAACAGAGTTTTGTTGATTTTTTTCTTTGTTTCAAGACTAAACATTGAAACATTGAAATTTCATTCACATTGGAAGGCCACATGATGATAATTTACCAATTATTCACACGAAACATGTCCTGTCCGATAAAACAAAAACTGATTCCTGAATAATAAATATAAATCGAATATTTCATGTTCCCTGCCAAATCAATACTAATTTTATTCAAATTTAGATTATTATCAGATACAAAAGACACCCACCCAAAAGGGTTCACCCTATGACGCAAAGTACTACTCTAGTAATCAATGACTATTTGTGTCAAGGCTTTCCACCCTTATCCACGTGCCTCACGTAAAACATTTTAAACAATTTTAAATTAAAACTTGCAAAAAAAACCACTTGAACATTGTACCATCGCAATATTGATTGTTTATACCAATTAAAACGTAAATATCGACCACTCATCCACTGATTAAAGTGCAATTCAACCAATTGATGATGATTCAACCAATATGAATGAGTTGTACTTACATGTTCTGGCGCGATACGAGAACAAACTGCGCGAAATCGGGTCTGAACCGCGTGAAAGCTGTGAAAACTCGGCTCGCATGCGCCGTCACGACCAAAGAGCACCGCGTATATTATATCGAACGCTTTTCAAACGCGTATCAAAAGAAAATGAAAAGAAAAAATGTTTATAAAACATTCAATTGCGTTCTATAATAAATGCGGCTTACCTTGACTAATCCATAATCACTAACAATTTATATTATACTCTAACAACTAGCTTATAACTAATAACAAATAGATTTGTTTGGAATTACAGAGATTCAGTAGAATTTATACCTGCGGTGATATTCTGCGATCATACGATTCAATGTATTAACAGTGGGGTGATAATTGATGGTAATCTTCTTGAGTGGCAGGTGTGATAACGTGAATATTTTTGTGTTGCGAAGAAAGCGGTTGCCAACTTGTAATAAACAAGTTAAAAAACAAAATACGCTCGAGTGGATAAATCTAGAATGGCACATGCAGCGCCATCTAGTATTGAATTTCTTAAATATTATGATCTGTCATTTTTTAAACGTGATGTTTACTTGTTTGAACGTTTTATTATACTTTGTTAGCACTTATCTTTTACGATGCAGACGTGTGAAAAGTCATTTGGCATTTATTCTCTCACAAAAGTACATACAATACAATAGGTACATGTATAGACATAGTATATATAGCCGAGTGCAATATACACACCGTAAATTTACTCTAAACAAAGTATTCTCAAGTTATATTTGTTTCACATCAATATTAATCAGATCGGGTCATGTTTCTCAGAGTTTTGAAAGAGTTTCAATGTCCTAGGCGTCCACGTCTACATGAAAGTGAGGACAATTTATCACATTACCATCACAGGGTCAGTTCGGTCAGTTCCGTTCATACTAGGAGAGCAAATAAGGTTGGGGGTATACAAAGTAGAGATCTATAGGATTATAGAATGTCATCGTCCGGACGAGTCTTGATCAGAACATAAGGTATGCCTAATTCAAAGTCATTCCGTGGCCAGTATCGTAATACAGCGCGTTTTTCAGGTCGTTCTTCACGCACGGCGAAATACGCGAATAATACGCACGCGGTATATGATGCGATGAAGATAAAGATATGCCAGAGGCCGTGGAGATATGGGAATTGTATGGAGGACCATGCCTCGCATAAAAGTCTATCGTTTACCCAGCAGAAAACTGCAATACACCATGCGGATGCGCAGCGTATGCCAAGACGATGTATGCGTTCGTTATTCGCTCGGCGGACTTCGTGAATGAGTAAAATGACTGACGGGATGCCTAGAGTCATCAATGCAAATGCATTCACTGCTGGTTGGATGATGGCCAAGACTGTGCCAATCATTGCTAGAAAAACAGCACCCAAACTAAACAGTTTCCTGTAATTTTAAAAATTTTTAATGAAAAATTTTACAGAAAGTGTTTAGCATATTACCTGTCATTGTGTAAAAACGTCGGGAATAATCGCCGTGGGAAGAACATGGAGAACGCAGCGAAAAACACCCATAAAATCGCAAGTTCATCGAGTAATTGTCCAACCAGACTGAGTGTCGCGTGGAAGTACGCTGATGATAATCCGACGACGATGAGTAATACCCAGATGACATGTATTGCTGGATTGATAATTTGTCCATAGCCACGGAACAGGTGCATTAACACCGGTGGCAGGATGAAAAACAACACATTGCTTATCTAAACCATCAAAAAATATAAAATTTTACATTTTTTAGTTGATTTTTTAGTGTTTTACTTACAGTATTGACAAATTCAGCAATCATCGGTGAAAATGTATAGTTTTCTTCACACCAGTCCACTGGAGAACTCCCCGGTTCCAAAGTGGACCACATTTTATCTATTTTAGTGCGAAATTAATTTATAACACGAAATTATTTATATCGAGCGGAGCGAGCGTACGTGTACACGTCCGTACATGTGCACACAATATGTGTTCGCCGCGCTCGTCATTTCGGATGTCGCCCGCGCGCACGGCGGATTATTTATAAACAAAGAACCGAAAACATATGCGAGCGTCTGCTCCACCGTCCACCGTGCGTCCTGCTGGCTGCCGAGTGACTGCTTCGTGCAGGATCGGTCCTCGTGCGCGCACGTAACAGGAAACGCACGTTTTATTCGCTCGCCATCTTCTTCTCACTGGTGTATTGGTATTATACTTGTTCACCTACACGATGAAGAATGAACTGCGCATCTGTCGACAGCGAAGAAATTTGACGTCTGAGGTGCACGAATAAATTATAACCTAATTCTTCAGCTTGAGCTTGGATTGGCTAGGATACTGAGTTATTTACATGACTATCGAACGTATTGTGTGCGTTTGAGTGATAACTCGACAGTTGTTACATGAAATTACACCTAATTAATGTCAGCACACGCTCATTATCTGTGCAAACGTAAACAAGTTGAATGATTGCATGGATTGCACAATATGCTTGTTCTTTGTTTGCGCAGTTGCATGAATGCCATGAATTAGAAAGGCGAGTGGACTTTGTTTAGCTCCAAACAAGTTTATTACACATATTTATGTAATCTGTTTTAATCTCCACCTTTATAAATGACAATATTATTCTCTGTCTCCCAGATTTTAACTTCATACAACAAATCCGGCTGTTTCATTGCTTTAGAAAGATTATTCCACAAGAAAACAGCGAGATTTTCGGTTGTACTCGGTATATTATTGAAATATGGAATGTCCTTGTCGAGGTTTTTGTGATCCGCGACGTCCATGATCGCTATCGCAATATCTTGTTTCAAATCGCTGAGATTATACACCATTCCGGTGCGTGGATCAATTTCCCCGCATAGTGTGACTTCCACTGGAAATATATTCAGTGATTAAGTTAAATATTACATAAAACTCATGAAATAATAAGTAACCATTGTAATTGTGGCCGTGTCCGTTTGGATTGTTACATTTTCCATAGACTTTGGCGTTTTCCTCATCGCTGAGGTGCGGACTAAATGATGCAGGACAAATAAATAAGTCAAATGGTAGCAGGAAATTGTGTACATTTACCTGTGTAGGCGATGACATGCGGAAAAGTGTTCGCGACGCGTGAGGTAAACTTTGCCGGACGATGACATTATCGATCCGAAGTTCGCAACGTGACTGCAAGTGACTAAGCGACCACTTGTTGTGCTACATGTTTACTGGTTAAATATGATAAATGCGACGGATTCTCAAGTTCATTTGCATGCCTGCCGTTCAATCAATAACAGCGTCACAAGTGTTTTTGTTTAGTAAATATTGTACATGAGTCAACTTTACTTTATCAATTTAGTATGAAATGATACACATTGCGCCATCTAGAGGCTAAAAGATTAATGTTTGCCTGCAGAAGCACTTGCTCCTGCTAAGTGGCTACCGAAAGTCATCACTGACAGATATCAGATGTATTTGCGGTGTTTACGGCAAGTGTAAGTTGAGAATCAAGTGAATAATCGTCGTGAATGCTGCATTGACGTATAATCTTGACTAAACAATCAGAATTGTTATTTTGTCGCGATGGCATGGTTACAAAATCTCGCTGGAAAGGCAGAGGATCTTTTGAATAAAGTCGATAAAAATGCAGGACGTGTGCTCAATGAATCTATAGTCATCACGCCGAAATCACTGTAAGTAAAAGTACAAATAAAACTTTTTAAAGAATAACTACAGTGTTATTTTGTTACTTTAGATCAACAAAATCTTCCTCTGTCACAGACCTCAATGGTTTGAATGTGATTGAACCACCACATCATATTATATCAGTGCCTAACAATAATCCAGAAGAATCTGTAAATTCAACAGTAAAAATTGATTTATCAGTGGAGCAACAAGAAGAAGTCATTAATGAAGAGGTACCACAAGAGTTACAGGATAGTATTGAAGCAGACACTTCATATAGTCCTTTTGAACGCGTTAAATCAATGACAGATTCGATCGGGATAATGTCCGTGTCATCTAGTAATAGTTTGAATATTGATGGTGCTGATCCAGGCTTGACTGCAAAGTTAGAAGCGCAACTAGCGAAATGTGAAGGAGAAAACGAACAGTTGAGCAAAGAAATCCTCAATTTACAGCATATGCATTCCGGTTTACTGCATGAAAATTCTAATTTGCAATCACAGCTTGATCGCGCGAATGAAGCGGTGTTGCTGGCACAAAATGAAATGCAAGAATATCGTGCACGTGCGAGAAGAATGTTGGAAGACCGAGAAAAAGCACTTTTACCTCAACAAGAGCAAACTTCGCTTGACATTAACAGTGAAATTGTTAAAATTAATCAAGAATTAAAGTAAGTATAATAAATTTACGTAGAAATAATAATAAATTCATGTTGATTTTGTTCAGAAATGATTTGGATAAAGAATATACAAAGAATCAAAACTTAGAAGCAAGATTCAACGCAGTAAGTAAAGAATTAGCAGGTTTACAACAGCAGTATCTGACTGCACAGAAAGAAAATCAAAGAATACAAGAATCTTTGCGTTATGGCATCACAAACGAGAAGAAAACACGTGAAGACATTGAAGAAGAACATCGACAAACATCAAAAGTATTAAAACAACTAATTTTCCCCTAAACAGCAAAATATTTGCAATATTTTTACATTTCAGGAACTACAAAAAGTGCAGAAATTATTAAACACCGCACAACGACAAGAATTATCCTTCAAAACAGAAATCTCTAATCTAGAGAGTCAATTAAAACTTCGTCTGCAACCCACTACAAATTCACAAGACACCCAACTGCAATCATTGACGCAAATGTTGATGCATAAACAAAGCGCACTGGATACTCTGACAAGCGAAAGAAACGCGCTTAGAATACAGTTGGAAAAGTCCCAGCAGGAATATAAACAATTATCAGCGCAGAGGATTAGCGGAGGTGCATCACGTCCAGCGAATCATTCAGTTGTACATGATTATGATGATAGTAAGTTAATTAATGTGTTAAATTATGTAAAACTATGTTTGTTTGTGTTTAGGTCGTATTCCTAGGTTAATGCAAGTGTCACCATTGGATGCGGGTGTTACCCAACGCGTTAAACACGCGTATTCCACCCTGGATACGTTTAGTATACGAACTGGGGTTTTCCTGAGGAGGTATCCTTTGGCAAGGATTTTTTTAATATGCTACATGGTATAATATTTTTAAAAAATGAGTTTTTACGTGTTTTATATGATTTTGTGTATGTTTAGATGCTGCTGCATTTATGGGTGTTGCTGATTTTGTTTACTTACGTGCCAGGAACGCGCTGATACCTCGCTATCAACGAGATCAACTCATGTGATTCCCATAATTATGTTAAGTTTGTATAGATATGATATGACTATTTATCAATGAGAATTTTACGAGTAGCAATAAAGTTTTTAACTTATTGTTCAGTGGCGCCCCCATGCGGCAATATTTACTCCAGTTTGAGATCGATTAGAAAACATTTTGATATGCAAATGTGAAGTCGAGCGTCGAGTTGCGGTTCTATTTAAAAGCGCTTCTATTCTGAGCGCGTCTGTGAATGAGATGAGAGAGTCGCGCGCTCTGAGTGCGAGATGCGCGCGCAGCAGCTCTCGGAATAGGATGCGTGAGCAAGTGAGAGATGATGGAGAGAGGGTAGAGTGTGTCTGAGCGAGAGCTGCGCCGGCGAGGACGACGGGCACTCGGCCGCTACATGGGCGGCACGATTCCGCGGCGATAGGTAGGCGCGGCGCGGGTACACGGGTACGGCGAGTTCAGTCCGAGCTGCGCGAAAGAAGCCTGCCGAGGCAGCATCGCTTTTCCTCCGTGTTGTTACTGGCGCCGCCGTCAGCCGCCGGAAAAGCACAGGCGAAAGACATTTGCACACTTCTTGTACTCCTCGCAGTGTGAAAATTCCCGGGGTTTCGTGCGCCGCGCTCGCGATTGTTTGTATCGGCGGTGGGCGCCGTGGTGCCGTCGGCAGTCCCGAGTTCAAATTGCGTCGCCGCTAGTCGCGCTCGGGCCGCTCTGCCGTGTGTGTGGCGCGTAGAGCGACTTGCGGTTTGTCGAGTTATTCAAGGTGTACCTGTGTAGTACGCTCCGCGCGCGCGTCAAGCGGGGCGAAACAAAAGTGTACCTGCTCGCGCGCCGACGACGACTTAAGTCAACTCGGGCGCAAGCCCAGTTTGATGCGCCCCTTCGTCGGTGGATGTGGACGCGCGTGTGAGTGAGAGTGTGCGAGATGGCCCTCAACCAGGAGGAGAAGCAGGTGGTGCGCGTCGACATGGACTCGGAGATCGAGCTGCAGGCGCTCTTCGAGAGTTCGCTCAAACCGGACGCAAAACGACCACTACAAGTACCCTGGAGCATGAGGAAGATGCCGGACTCGTTCTTCCGGCCGCCATCGACAGGCAGCAAGAGCATCAATCACTCACGCGAGAATTCAGTGGATTCGGCATTTGATAGTGGTTCAAGTGGTGCTGCCGCCCCTGCGAATCCATCCGCTGGTAATCATCATCGTGCACACAGCTCGCCGGCATCCCTGCAGCAGACTTATGCAGTCGGTCAGCAAGCACCACCGCCAGCCGCCCCAGCGCACTCGCATATGAAACAACGCTCGTATGATGTGGGAAATAAAACCGATGTGAGCCAGCAGCCGCTGCCGCCTGGTTGGGAGCAGGCCCGCACGCACGAGGGGCAGATCTACTACTTAAAGTGAGTATATTACATGCGTGTGTGTGTGTGTGTATGGTGTACGTGCGTGCCACGAGCAACAGGCCCCAACGTCCCAACTACCTGTTGAAAGAGAAGAGTCGTCTACCTGCGCGCCTAGCCTTCGAGTGCACAGGTCGCCAGCCGTCTCTTCTCAACGCGCCGTCCGCTCTCTGTCTTCTTCGGGTTGAACCTGTTCTTCGATGGCAACTGAACAAAACAGTGGCGTACATCTCACAACGCAGACAAGAAGCCATTCTCATTCTGCATGAGAAAAATAACTTCTCTCCGAATGTTTACTTGTTTACATTTACCGATTAGTCGGTGATTACGTCAGAGCAGTTGTGTTTTGTTTTGTGCTCGGGTGCAATGTTGCATGTTGCATGCGGCGTGCGTGTGCTGCGTCCACTTTCTATCCAGGAAGCCCGATGCCTTCGTAGATTCTTGCTAATGGCCGGCCGCGCGCGCGCGGCCAAAGCAAGCGAACGGTGCATTTATGGCCGAGCCTGCTAACGCGCTCCTCCGACGTTAGACGCGCGCACTCGCTTTGCATACGTGTGTTTCCAACTTGGTCATTAAACCGTTGCGCGTTGCGCACACCCGCCTCGCACAATTGTTGCAACTTGCACTCCATGCACACACATATATAAACATCTCTCGGCTGAGATGAGATGCGACATGATTCAGGCGCTTTCGAGCAGTTCAAAGATTAACTTCTAATCAAATGAACTCATGACTCACGCGCCCGCTGTGTGCGCGGGGCTTTGATCTCGCGCATGCTATCGCTGAATATTACAACTCCGGGAGAAGCACACTCATTGCGGTCTGAAACAAAATGGCAAACATACAACATAACCTATAACAACACAACAAGTTGTGGTGCTTGTTTTTGCTACGTTTTGCAATAAACGCGCTTGTCGATGCATGCATTTAGGTGAGGCCGGCGAGAAATTTCGTATGCGCATGCTTTGTGCGCTAATTAACAAACGAAAAGCTAATAAAATCGTAATTAACTGCCTAATTAATAGCGAGTGGGCCGGTATTGTGTGTAGACGAGTGTTCTTACCTGCGCACCTCGTACGAAATTTCTTTTATGCGCGTTTATTACTATTATTATACCATACACGAAGAAGTATCGAGGCCGTCGGTGATTTTGCAGAAACAATTACCATAATATAATAACTTGTAATACCACAACACTAAAAAGGGTTTAATAAATATAAAACCCAACTGTAATAGGTTGTAGTAATGAATACTTTGAGGTTAGATATGTGTTGTTACTGCGCATGCGCTGTAAAACATGGCGTCTGGTGCTTACGTCACACAAATTCAAACCCCCTAGCGGCAAATCGTCTCGGATGTATCCGAAAACACGTCGAGATTGTTTTACGCTGAATTGTGCATCAGCTCGCGCTGGCGTTGCATAAAAAGTCATGAATGGGAGCGTGAAATTCGAAACCTTCCACAGTGTATTCGTATCCTGATAATATCGTCGTGAAATGCACACGAAAAGTGTTTCCAGCGTGCACAGATGTAAAATTAAATCGCGTCATTTCGCCATGGCGTTATAAAAACGATTTAAATTTAAACCGGCGCCTGAATGATATCGGCCGGCGGCGGCAGGCGCGCATACGCCTGCTTATTTTTAACCGAATCGAGTATTTTCGTCCGAGAGCGTCTTGCTTCTCCGCGTCTGGCGTCGCGGCGACGGCGTCGGTTTGCGAAAACGAAAACAGAGTTCATCCGCCGCGGACACAAAGTCCACAAGATGGAATTACATCTAAAATCGATTGTTTAACACCCATTATGCAACGGAAATGTTGTTTAAAACATCAAAAGTTAAATTTTTTACCAATTGCCAAGTTGAGTTGAGTTTGCCACCGTTGGTTGATGACTCACACGACGTTTTTACTATTTCATTCATTATTCCGCGAATATGCGCGATGACTGAGGCCTTAAATCGGAAGCGGGCGGAGGCGCCTCCACCGGTGACGTCATAAAAATCCGCCATTAAAACTCGTCAAGGTTTTCTCCGCTGGTTTGCCGTCAATCGGCGAATAATATCATCGTTAAATAGCGATTTGCTTGCTTGCTTCTCTCTCACCGCGTTGATATAATCAATGTGCGATTGTGTTTATTGCGTTCGACGATTAACAATGGCGTGCTTATCAGCAACGCACACATAACCAACAGGTGTATGCGTCGTGCGGGACGTTGCCAAGTGCGCCGGATTTATGATTCACAATTGGCGATATGAATTTTCGATCACATCCTCCATGTTGATATAATCTCTCGCGCGTAGTGAGAGAGAACTTTGTTCTCGCCTCCGACTTCCGCTTTGCGCGCGTGCGTACATTGAATTAGAGTGTCGTTTGGCCTCGCTGTTTCGCGTTGGCTTTTGCCAAGCGGTGTGAAGACATAACCATTCTAACAGTACAAACTGTGTGCCGTAAATATTAGCATGCGAGGCGAGCGCCACGCGGCGACAAATGATAATTCGCAGAGCCAGCAGCGCCAATGTGGCCTCCCTGCGAAAATCTCCAAAAGCGATGCTAATGCATACACACGCGTGTGCTTTGAATGACTTTCAAACGCTATAAATATCTCCGCGGCCGCAAACGTAACTTAAAACGTAAAAACCAACAGACGATGCTCTCTGCGCGCAGCAGCTCTCGAAAGTCTCTCAACTCTCGACTCGGCTCCATGATGCGGTTGGGCAATGCGCGTTTTCTTGGAAGCGATAATAGGGTCGGTCCGGCCGCGCCTTTGTCTCGCCTCAATTAATCCAATCGATCACAATACACTTCTAAAACACATTGTATACAATGCAGTACATGTATTTATTTACCTTTGTGATCCGAGATAAGCATGGCGCCATTTGATAAGCGTTAATAACGCCATCTTAATGCTGTTTACATAACCTTGAATGTTGTTTGCAGTCACATCACACGCACCACCACTTGGGAAGATCCCCGCAAGACGCTCGCCGCTCAAGCTGCGCAGCAAGCACAGGCGCAACATGCTAGTGCTGAACAATTGTTGACCAACAGTCATCCGGTGGTTGCTACACCACAACAACCCTCACCATCACCACCATGTGCAGGTAAACTTAAAATAAACATAAAATAACCTTAAATTTCTTTGTATTAGTATTATATTTCGAATGTCGTTCTTTGAGATTACATCAGCAGCGCCCTCTGCTGTCTGTTAAATCTATCTTTGTGTTTTACTACAAGATGTGTTTTTTAGCAGGTGGCAAGACTGATGTAGATATTGGACCACTCCCAGAGGGTTGGGAGCAGTCCTCGACAGCAGACGGTGAAGTCTACTTCATTAATCATCAAACACGCACGACTTCCTGGTTTGATCCGCGAATACGTGAGTTAATTCTATATTTAATCAAACATAACCTAATTGTTTGTTTTTGTTGGTTTTACAGCGCAACATCTACAACAGAGATCTCCAGGTGGTACAATGTTAACCCCACAACACTGGGGCCCTAATCCATTGTCACCCTTGTCGCCGTTGTCCTCCACCGCCAAGTCTCAACAAATGCGTTTGCATCTCTTGCAATTGGAGCGTGAAAAATTGAAACAGCGACAGCAGGAAATCCGCCGTCAGGAATTATTGATGGTGAGGTCAAGCAGCGGGGAGTTGCCTAATATGGATCCCTTCCTGCCGAGTCTCTCGGACCACTCACGGCAGGAATCCGCTGACAGTGGGCTAGGTGAGTGAAAATTCCCTGAAAAATCGATCGAAATAACGCTGACTCACGTGTAAAACTATGACTCATCGTTTTTCATTTCAGGTATGGGTAATTCATACTCAATGCCGCACACCCCTGAAGATTTCCTTGCTAATATGGACGACAGTATGGAAGTAAGCAGTGACAGCCACAGCCACATCATGGAAACAACCGATATCTCATCGCTGAGTGATCAGATTGATTCCACGGATGATTTGGTGCCGACACTGCAGCTGGGCGAAGAGTTTGCCAGCGCCATCTTGGACGATGTTAGTGAATACATTGTCTAAGATGGCGGGCAATGCACACGCCCTAATAATGGCAGCTAAACGAGTGCAATCTTACTTTGAATCCCCTTTGTATTATCCTAAATCTAATCCTCATCCCCCTCCACCATACTCTGAAATTCTGTGATTTCACACTGACATACGCCGGCGCTGCCCGTTTCGTCACGCGTACGAAATGTATTAATAACGGCGCAGTGTGTGCGGAACACGTATATTAATCGGATATACTCGACTGATATCTATTATTTATACGACGCGCAATTTGATGACGAGAGTAGTGGCCTTAATCCCGAAAGTCGGCTGTTCTTCAACTTTCGGGAGCGAACGCAAAAGCAATAATCAACATAACCACAAAACTCAAGAATGCTCATTTGACTCAAGCAAAAGCAATGATTCGATTCGAACGAAATCCATCCATGATTTGGTGCCTTATATAAATATTTTATCGATAGATGCTAAGCAAATTTATTTCTAGATGTATCGTGTCGTTGTGTGTCGGCCATCTTGGACGACAGTTGTATTTGTAAATATCTATTATCTCAAACACACATTTTTGCAATACTGAAGTGCTATCATAATCATATCGTATACATAGCGAGAACATAATTAATTTTTTTTCATACATACAGTGTGTTTACGTTTAGTTATCGTTTATTGTATATGTGTCGCGGTAACAATAACAAAATAGCGCGTATTTTATCATTTGTTCACGGTGTTGGTACAAAACTTGTCTCATTGACCACGCGATTACTTATGTTTAGGGAGAGAGAGAGAGAGAAGGACGAGGCGAAATATTTGTTGATCTTATTATTGTGACGATGAGGAGCCGGAATTATCATTGCTCTTTTATTGTATCTAATCTTAAGCGATAAGAATTTATTCGATGCGTTTGAAAATCGCAGCATATTGTATTATTAAGTGTGTATATACATATTAAAACATAATATTTATAGATTTTGTTTTATTTTGGAAGTTACGTTTGTGTTTTTGCAGTTTTAACCTTTAAATTTGCATTTTACCAACAAAGTGCTAAATATTGTGCAGAACAAAGAGTAATTTTAATTAAAAATACTTATCTTACATCCTATTCTAGGTTATGGTGATGATAAACATGGAAAGTAGCATTTTTTAGTGAATTAATCAACAAAATGATAATACATTGATTAAAAAACAAGATAAAAACGTGTATAGACAGGAATTGAGGCGAAATCTTGTTAATTTAATAATTATGACAAAGAAATGCTGGAATTGGCAGTAATTTTGAGGTTATATTTATTTTTCACAGTTTTAACCTAAAAAAGTAGCACAAAACCAACAAATGAGTACATATTCTGCCCTAAAAAGAGTAATTTTAACTAAAAATACATATTTCACATTCTATTCTATGTTTTAATAATGATAAACACAGAAAATAGCACTTTTTAGAGCATTAATCAACAAAATGATAATGAATAGATGAAAACACACAAGATAATAACGTTTAGAAACAATAATTGATGCGAATTCTTGCTAATTTAAAAATTATGACAAAGAAAAGCTGAAATTGTTAGTTTATTTGAGGTTATATTTACTTTTTTACAGTTTTAACCTATAAAATAGCACAAAACTAACAAATTAGTACATATTCTGCACAAAAATGAGTAATTTTAACTTCTAATACTTATCTCACATCTTATCATAGATCCAGTACAAGATAAAAACCAAATATACACTTTTTACTAATAAAATCCTTCATAACCCCAAAATAAAACACAATTAGCCACAAAAACATACCTAACCACAAAACAACATTATTCCTACACAAAAACAGTAATTTTTATTCCTGAAACTAATCTCACTTCCTCTCCTAGATCAAAACCGAATGATATTATACGAAACAAAAGCCTAAACAAGCGCTTCCCAGTGAAATACCCACAAAAACCGATGTAAACCGCGATAAAAATGTGTTTACACGAAATAAAACGCAGTAATCATAGAAACATAATGTGCATCTCGGCGTAATCTACCTAACGATGCCTCTTGCGCCGTTTATCGTTGCTGGTTCCTGATTATTGCTCAGATTTTCTGATTAGAAATGAGTAATTGCTGCGCCGGGACGCTTATAATGGCCTGCGTGCGCGCGGAATGTACGTAGATCATGTTTACGCGATTGTTGAAATACGCTGCGACCCATTGACACAATCTAAGCGCGAAGGAAGGAAGAAGAGAAGAGAGGCAACTTTCACCGACCTTATATTCGATTAGTGCACCGCGCTGCTAGAGCATTTAATCGCAATTTTGCGCTCGACGCGGCAAGCCGCCATTTTTAACATTTAATAAACTCAATCTGTGTGTTTTTTTATTGTTTTCGAGTGTGAAACGTGTGATTTTTCGCGAAATGCCGCATCAGACACCTGAGTCGTCGAATGCTGGGAAGAAGAGGTGAGGTCAGGTGCCCGGGCGTTGAAGTGGGGCTCCGTGGGAGGCGCGCAACACAACACGCACGCTTGTTTACGCTTCCCGTGAAAAGGACGAATGAGTATCACACAAGTGCGCGCTACGACAGCACACCATCAAAGAAAAACCACATTCTGGTAAGAATCAACCCCGCAAAACACTCAAATCGCTATTAAAACATCACAAAAAAACAAAATACATAAATTAAAACAATTAAAATGGTCCTAGATTAGAAATACCGTTAGGTACCATGAGATACAACTCAATACACATGTTGATCTCGTTCGGAGCGTGTAAATGAATCAATTTCAAACGCTGTGCGCAGAGAGATTTCTACGTGGCCAATGTTCACTCGCCCGGAGGCACACGCGTGCGCGCATGTGTGTGTGTGAGTCTCTTCTGCGCGCACCGTTTGAAATGGGTGCGCACTACGCCAGTGGGTCACTAGGTTCGAGATGCAGCAACGCGGCGCATCTTTTATTTTCTTGCGTGCCACTAATCAACCAACTGTTACGTTCTAACAGGCGACGTACCTTGTTGCAGGTCACAGTGATACCACAACCATGGAAGCGGTAAGAAGACCACCTTCTAATAATCACAACCAAGTGAATAAAATAAACAAAATTACAAGTGAATATGTGACTGTTGTGGCTGTGGGAACAAGTGGTATACCACCACAAGAGGAAAAACATGTGGTACCATCAAGTGATCCATCCGGGTTTGTTACAGTGTTAAAAATAGGTGACACACCATCAATATCATCACCTTCTTCAAAAATTATAAATAATAATATTAATAATAATAATATAAAAGGTGTGGATGATTATTGTGTTGAACAAGTGTTAGTGTACCGACTTCCTGGTGAGCGATTAGGTTTTGGATTGAAATTTGAAGGTGGGACCAAAGCAGCTGAGTTTGTAAAACGTCTCTTCATTCAATCATGCGCACCTGATAGTCCTGCTTCACGTGTACGTGGTACCTGGGGTGTATTGACTGAAGGTGATGAAGTTTTGGCGATTGATAACGTCAAGGTCACATCAATGACACGCATAGACTGTGTAAGATGTTTAAAAGATTCAAATGTGGTGATAAAACTGCAGGTACGTCATAAACTAACCTCAAACGAAGCCCCGCTGGTGATAAGTGCTGAAAAAAAGAGGACACCTCCTCCGCCGCCTCCGGTACCACCAAGAAAAGGCCCCCGGAAAAAAGATTTACACGCACCTTTACCCCCGAAAGGTTTTGGTGATAGTGATGAGTCTACACCGGTACCACAAGTCCGCAACATGAATATTACAAGTACACAGGTGGTACACCCACCGGATGCAGAGGTATACCTTGATTTATTCTCACAGGAGCAGGAATCTTACTGTTTGAGTGAATCGGATGATACTGGTAGTTCTATATCGACTGTCGTGGATCGTTTTGGGTCGTTTCCAACGACTACCACGTCTAGTTTTGCTGGTAGCATGCCTTCTACACCCACAGCTGTGCAAAGACGTATACAACACACGAATCCTTTTGATGTGGAGCATTCCCCGGATGAGGAGTTGTTGTTTGAGCGGCTGGTCTCCCTCCAAGCGAAGGAACACCATGTCACGCTGCAACCACCTGCGAATTTCCAAGACGCACCGTTGAGTTACGCGGATGAAGATGTTAGAGTGGTGGAGGCGGCTGTTTTAACTGTGAATCATGGTGAGAAGAGTAAAGGGAAGAAACGGCCACCACCCCCACCACCACCAAGGAGTAAACATGTGGTACCATCAACAGATATTGATTTAAAAGAAAAATTAGAAGAAATAGAGACGAATAATAACGATTATAATCACGAGGATGAAAATGTGAAGGTGTTACCACGACTTGTGGATTTCGTGCCGAAATCTACTAAAGTTGATGGTGAGACAAATGACGATTCAAAGGTCTTTATAGAACAGGAACAAATGCGTCACACTGATAATTTCTACCTGAGTGAATCTCATGATGATGAAGATGAATATATTTTTGGGTGGAGTAGTTCCCAGCCATTGGCTACAATTGGTGAGGCGGACAACGAGGACGAGAGTCTGCAAGACGTCGACACTGCTCCGAGCGACGACCACTCGCAACGGTAAATATATCTTACGCAAAAAACACGCTAAAAAAGCACACACAACACGCGACGAACAAACGCGAATGACCTTCAATGCAACATGTGAACATTCTTGCGCGTTGCGGTCATAACATGGCGGCGCGGCCATCTTGTCAACGCGATGTTCTAGTTTGCGGACAAATGACATCCGTTTTATTATTTTTCATATGCGAAATGAGAGAAATCTACTGCGCATGCGCGTGGAAAGAGGTCACGCATGCAGTTGCATGCTGTGGTGTTAATAAATAATTAAATTGTCGCTAATTGTTGATGTTTATGGAGAACGAGGAAAAGAAGAGAAACGCGTTTTAATTAAGTTTTTTTTAAGTTTTTTGTTCGTTTAGAGAATTGAGGGAAAAGTTGCGGGATTGTAAAGTAAAGATTTCGTCGGCGGTTGTGAAGTGTCGTAATGCGCGTGCTCACAAAAGCATGAGAACTGTACCGCGAGTGTCGCACAATGCGAGAAAGTAAAGCATAATTTAGAAATGAAATTAAATTAACATGAGAACATCAGAATATCGACGTTTCACACAATCCTAAAACAGAAAAGCATTGAATAAACAAATTTCTCGTCGTGGATAATTTATTACTCACCCATTGATCAAAATTTGTTCAAAAACTCATTTTGAAAGTTTGGTTGCCGCCCTCTCATCGTTATATGAAAATATTTTCTGATAAACGCACAATTAATTTCGAAAAAAACGTGGTAATTAACAAAGAAACGCGTTAAACCGTTTTAACTATCAGACCGTTCGCGTGTTATGCACCAATAATTTAATTACGTAAAGAGTTACACTCAGCATCAGCGACAATGTAATTGTTTGTTGAGATTTGCTGTTATGTATTTTCTTCCTTGTGCAGCGCGCCAGCGCGATTACGTCGGCTGTGTGTCCTTGACATTTTCAAATACGTCCGTAATAAGCATAACTGGTCTTTACTCTTTCATTCCACGTTTGGTATTTGATATTTGCAATATTTTGCAAATGGCGTTAGAGTGGCAGTTATGCAACCAAGTCAACTATGTTTACAGGCTCAGCGAAGAGATTGTTCGAACGGAGTTAGAAGGCGAAAAAGTCGACGATGCGGATGGCTGTCAGGTGAATGCAACGACTGAAGATACCTCTAGCGGTGAGTTCATGTATCATTTCTATTCTACGTCTAAACACACACATGTATTGTGTGTTGCCTAACACAGAACAAACACAATTAATGATTAATTATAGCAGTTGTTAAAAGTGGTTATAAATAACTCTAAACTAATAAATATTAATATAAATTATGTTTTTAAGTGGTTTGAGTGGTTGCAGTGCACGCGCATGGAACTATTCATAATGATTATTAGATCGGTAGAGTACGCGTTGAGCGTTGCGCGAAGAATGTACAAAGTACTCAGTGCACAAACACGCAAACATCGCGCTCTCTGCACGAGAGAGAGACTCTTGTGGATGCTGCGATGATGATGATGATGATGATGGTGGCCGGCCACGCTGCCCTTGACTTCTACGTCCACTGACCCGGGCTCTCCGGCTGCTGCCACTCGCGCGCTTGTGACGTCATACGCCATTACCATTATTCATTTTCTATTCGAAATCAACGAAAGGCAAAAACTATCAATTACGCGCCCGGGGCTGACCCGGGTCGAAGCCAAACAGACGCGCGAGTAGAAACCGTAAAACAAAAATTAGGAAAAGGTCAGCGAGAAACTGTTTTATGCTTGTTTCGCATTACGTCTTCATGCAAATATTTTTAACACGCAGAAAATCATCAGTTGTCATATTTGCATAGAGCTGTCACTGCAACTGTCAAAAATCAATGACAAAATGTCAAAATTTAGACATTTGTGATATGTTGGGTTATGAAAATGTGAGTTTTATCAAGTTGTATTGATGATGTTGTGCGATGATTGAAAATCGTACTTGTGTGGTGCTCGCGGCGCGCAAGTCGCGGTTCGCTGTTTCGTCCGTTTCGTCCGTCCGATCCTGGGCGCGCAGTCAGCGGCCCCGCGAGTAGTTTACGCGCGTTCACGCTCGCGTTCACCACGTCGGACGCCGCGCGCCGCACAAAGCGAATTGCACACACGATTTACGCTTTGAAAACAGTCGAAAAACACACAAACTTCAATAAAAACCCAAGCGGAAATCACAGACAAGTGAAAACATCTGACCGTGAAGTGTCATTCATCACAAAAAAACACCAAATCAAAACCGGAAGTTAAAAAAATAAAAATAAAAAATTTAAAAAAAACACAAAGAAGGATATTATGATGATTTTTACTGCAAACTAGTCCGAAACAAGTAAGATTTTTAAAAATTTTTAGTTTTTAGTTTTATAGACTAAACATAAACCAAAAATAAACATTGTTTGGTATTTTCTGTTTGTGTATATGGCGTGGAACAAGTGCAAAATGTCCACCCACTGGTCCCCGGGCGCATAAGCCACAGGCACATGCGCATAGGGCGCGAACAAAGAAAATGTCACGCAACAACAGTATTGCGCTAACCGGTAATACTTAACGAGTTAACGCAGCCGGCCGGAGCAGGCACGCGGAGAGCAACATCACAACTCTATACATTCGCACACACAACGTTCTTGCAATGTAAGGGAACTGCATGCGGCATGTGCAACAAGAGAACCAAAAAGTCGCTCTCCGTACGTGCCGGGCCGGCGCAACCCGGCCAGCTGCGCGCTTTTTTTTTCTCTTCGTTTGTTTGCAGCTCGAATTGCAAGAGTTTCGCGCACGTCAAAAGTCATATTGCGACACGTTTGCATTTTATCAGCAGCGCGATCAGCGACACTCCCGGTTAATTACCCGGATGATAAATATTAACTGCTACAATTAGGCAATTTCCTTATTACATCAATGAAAGCGCATCAGACACATACGCATGCGCATTAGTCTCATGAATTCCGCGAAATGCATATTACACTGGATAAATATTTGCGTTGAAATTCATTTGAGATTACGATCGTAAATCCCAACGCATTAAACCAACAGATAAGTCACAATCGAAGCGGAAATTTCACTTTTTTGACTTAAACATTCGTTTGCACTTAAAATATCAAACGCATCGCGAAAGGTGAAAAGAATTTTGTGTTTTTTTAGCGAAAAAATTTCACTCATGAATTTTTATTATGCGAGTCTTGCCTAATTGTTGTTAACTTTGGCGCGCGGCGTCGATTTCTTGCGTTGTTCTGTAATGCGCTATAAATAATATTGCATCGCGACGTGTGTGCGCGCAACAATACAATATATATTATACTCGGTACAATTATAATTTCCATAAGAGTGAAACGAAAGTGTGTGCAGTGTGTGCACATATGAAACGATTTTACAATTCAGTTGCACAATCCATACAAATAAATAAAGTGAAATAATGTTTCCCATAGATTTATGTATTTATTGCGGTTAGGTTAGGTTATGTTGCGCTTTGTTTGAGCAATTTGATTAATAACAACATCACACTTGAATAGATTCCTATTATTGAGTAAATAGGAGATGTTGATATAGATGTTGAGGGAAACAAAGCAGTGAAACCAATACAAAATGGCGTCTGTGAAGTTACATCAACGAAAACAGTTGATATTCAAGAGATATGTGTGATTATACCTCTAAAGGTGTCAATATTGATATTAGAGGTTAAAGAGGTTAACAAACCAGTGATGAAAACTGATTATAGGTTATGTACTGAGTTTTTCACGGGTAGAAACAATGCAAAAGCAGCTAGTATTACAGATTTATGCAAAAACATACAGAAATCTACACCGGTTCAGTCGAATTTGACAGCAAACACTAGTAATATTAAAACTAACCTAAAAAACGTACCAATAATACTAGTATCACACGTCCAATGCCTAGGGAAACAAATTCTTTGCCTTTTTGTTAGAAAGTTGAAGTTAAGTTTAAGAAAGGAATCTGTAATACCGACGTCATTATTAAAATGTCAAAAAACACTTCTAATAAACTTCCTTGTTCTTGTTTAACACTTTTATGTCAAAAAATACGAAAACTATTGAAAAATAGCAAAATAAACAGAATATAATTGCATAGAAATATTTCCCATAGATATTTATTGAAGTTATGTTACCTATGCCTATATTGGATAAGGTTATGTCAGTTCAGTCGCGCGAGGGTGTACTGCAGTGAGTTTTCGTAGTGTTGTGAGTTGTAAGTTGACCATGGTCAACCGGCCGGTCGCACAGCCGCTCAAAACCGCTCGTCATATATGGCGACTTCCCACTAATCCACTCTGTGTGCACACAGCCTCTGCTATATGGCATATCAAGTCTTATAAACAAATGAGAGTGTAAGTTTTGTCTTTCACAACCTTCGAATACGATTGTCAGTCTGCAGACAGCCTCACCATCTGTTGAATCTACGTTTAAAAATCACTAAACCACTAATCACCCTTAAAATACTTAAAAATTTTATTTTAAGATGGATGTGGTTCGTATTGTGTATTGCAAACCCAAAGTACCACTTAAAAAAATCACCTGTAATGTTTATTGCTTTAAATAAGTAAAATTTGTTTTTTTTTATTAAAATTTTTGTTTTTGTAGATGAATCCGAGGAGAATATCAAAGCGCCTGAACCGGCACCTCGCACCACGTTGAAACAGTCAAAATCAGATGTAGATGACACTACAGACACTGAAAACAACAAAATGGACACTCGCCAACCACCCGACGGGCATGAGTTCCCAGATTATCACCAAGAGGCTACCACACTTATAAAACCAGTGATTCCACGTCGAAGCATCAATGTTTTACCACGTGGCAACAAAGAACAAACAAAAACCAATGTGAAGAATATGATTGCTATGTTCAGTCACAACGAAGAACCCTCACAACCTGCTGTACCAACAATCAATGGTGATTCAACTCAAAACAACGTAAAAGAAACAAAACACTTTGAATCATCTTTTGAACCATCACCTATGAAACGTGGCAGTATGTCTGACCTAACCTCAGAATACACACATACAACACCTTTGAATCCATTGAATCCAATCGAAACCAACAAGTTACACAAACGATCACAAAGTTTAGTTGACATTTCCTCGTCGAATGACCGTTTTTCCCAGATAGTAGATCAAAGACGTCGAGGATTATCCAAACTTAAAGGTTTAATCATTCCTGAACATCCAGATGTCGCTCCGAGCAACACTCCAATCGCCATGATTGATTTACCCGAAATAAAAAGCGCTATTGAGGCTGTTCCTGAATTCCGCCCGCCTTCTATCCCTGCAACCCTCACAGCAAGACCACATCATGCTCGTAATAATTCAACTCCTAGTTTAAACTTTACCACTACACCATTATGGAGCACAGATGTTGAATGCGCCAAGTATTCACCAGCATTCAAACGTAAAACTCTCCAAGTCTATTCAACGAAACCAGTAGAACCTGCAAAAGAAGCCACTTCTTCTGATGAAGAATGTCGATTACCTTCTGCGGATGCTCCTAAATCCCTGGAAAGTATCACATCTCCTACGAGGAGTGATTGTAGTTTTGAATATGCAAGCATGGGTAGTATGGGCAGTGGTAGTTCACCGTCAACTACAAATACACCTGCTTCCAAGATAACGAAATCTGAAGATGAGAGTGATAATGATTCAGCGGTGAGTTCGAGTCAGTCTAGTTACATCTCAAGACAATCACCACCCGCAAGTCCCAATCATCTTTATGATTCAGCAGCGAATCGTAGATTGTTGAAAGCGCAAAGCGTAGAGGCTATAAACCGTAAGAATATACTTGCTTCAGCGAAGTGTCGCAGTGGTAAGGATTTGAATGGATCTCCGTTGCTTATACAAAGAAAATTTGATGAACCGGACAGTCCACCCGTTGATAACAACATCAAACCGGAACAGATTCTTATTGTTGAGCAAATAGAACATGTTGATGTGGATGTAGATGTTAATGTTGAGGATGATAAAACAGTGAAACCAGCACAAAATGGCGTCTGTGCAGTAACATCAACGAAAACAGTTGAAATTCAAGAGATACGTATGATTAAACCTCCACGGGTGTCAAAATTGACATCAGAGGTTAAAGAGGTTAACAAACCAGTGATGAAAACCGATGATAGGTTATCTAGTAAGTTTTTCACGAGTAGAAACAATGCGAAAGCAGCTAGTGTTACGGATTTACGTAAAAACTTTGAGAAATCTACGCCGGTTCAGTCGAATTTGACGATGAACACTAGTAATATTAAAACTAACCTTAAAAAACCTACCAATAATACTAGTATTACTCGTCCGATGCCGAGTAAAAGAAATTCATTGCCTTCTATGCCAACGACTGCGAAAACGATTGTAAAGTTGCAAGATAAGCAGAATATAATTGCGTCGACTGTGAAGTCCTGGGATGATGAGAGTATTTCCTCGGCTGATGTGAAAGTGATTGCGCTCAGACCGGAAATTCCGGGTGGGAGTATTGGTATCACGCTGGCTGGTGGCACGGATTATGAAACAAAAGATATCACTGTATGTTTATGATTGATTTTTATTGTTTTTATGTTTTTATCTTACTTTTTTGTGTGTAGATTCATAAAGTGAGGAATGGAAGTGTTGCGCATCGTGATGGCCGCCTTCGGAAAGGTGAACGCGTGTTGTCAATCAATGGAAAAAGCATGAATGCCATTACACATGCCGAATCAATGGCCATACTAAAGGTAATGATATTTGGTTTGAGTCAAAACATGAATTTTATGATTAATGATTTAATTTATGTATTTAGGAACCTGTTTTGGAGGTTATCATAGTCACATCACCTCCACGCACGGATGTTGCGCCATCTGTGAACTCAACTACCCCTACACGTGATCCTTCACGGATATCGCTTTTAGAATCCATTCCGGTTACTACTTCTTCGGTAGTGACACCGGCAACAGCAGATGTTGTTGCTGATGTAATCCAAAATGATAAACCAATCATTGCTGTGAAATTGATTAAAGATCCTTTATCCACTGCTTCCGGATTGGGTTTTAGTATGGAGGGAGGAAGAGGATCACCGCAGGGCGATGTGCCATTGCTTATCAAGAAACTATTTACGGGTAAGTTAATAGATGTGCACAACACGCAGCTACCAGCAAAAAATGGTGGGGGTGAAAGCTATGTATACCATCCCCTCCACTTTTGCTTGGTATAAACTTTCCGCGTATAACTTTTCTAATAATTTGTGATTTCTCAGGCGGTTTAGCTGATAAAAGCGGAATGCTCGCAGTTGGTGATGAATTAGTAGAGATCCAAGGCACAGACGTGACGGAAATGCCCCGAATCGACGCCTGGTCGCTGATGAAGAAGCTGCCGCCCGGCGAGGTGACGCTCAAAGTGCGGCGATAATAATATACTGTATTTATAAATATTTATATGACGCGCGTACGTAATGTTTTCTTTCCGCTTGTCCGCCTATCACATTGCCGCAGAACTTATACTCGTCTACTATGTATGAGAACATATGATCAGTATTTCTATTATGCTATAGAACAAATGTTATGTATTTTTAATTATTTCTGTATGAATAAATGTGTATTTAAATGTATCCCGGTATTAAAAATCAATTCCTTTGACTTATATGCATAATGTACCAACATGTGCAATGTGTATAATAAGTTGCCTATGATAACTCTGAAGTCAACAGCTGTAAAATAGCGCGAAAAGAAATTACAAACCAAACAGGTTAAAATCAACAAGTAAAACAAAAACATACAAAAATCATGTAAATATCCACTCATAGTCTATAACAATTAATACCATGGATTTTAATGAATCCTTCTGTGTGAATTTCAATGTAAGTTGCTCATGTTTACCATAAAACATTCACTAATTTAATTATTTTTCATGTTAAGAGCTACAACTTTTACTTTCTTCATGGAAGGCAGACCACAAACACTTTGCAATTATATGGCAAATTAAAACATGGCAACACATATAACTCCTGCACCATAGAACTGAGTCCAATCATAAAACGCATCTATGTGAAAGAAAAACCAAGCACATTTAAAACAGGCACACTGAAAGATCGAATAGAAACAGCTCTAAATAACTCCATAAATCACTTAAAAACGTATTCAAGTCAAGTTGTTCAGAGGAAAACTATATACAACAACAAACTGCAAGAATTTCTGATGATTCAATACCAAGTAAGTTGAATGATAGGAAAATATTTTCAAATGCATGTTATCTGCTGAAAGTATTTGAAGTATGAAGTTAGAATAGGTTAGTTCTGTTTATATGCTGAACATTTAGTTATTATAGATAATACTTAAACAATCTACATGCTTCTATACTTTTTTGTCACTGCCGCTGGTATTTCGCTGTAAATTTCACGGAAAAAAACGTTAAACATGTTGAAAATCTAATTTAATAACACATTGCACATAACTATGCATTTCTTACTTTATGCGCGTCATGTTAGTCAAGTTTTACGTCGTTTAGCTACAAGTTTAACAAAATAAGTGGAATAAATTGAACTATGCACATGCTTACATTCATAAAACATGAACATTTTTGTTTTTACAGCTCCCAGAAAAGTTTCACTTTAATAACAATCAAATACCGGGTGAATGTTGTATAGAATATATTTCTGGTTTGGATGAGGATGTTTTTGAAGCATTTCTGTTGGAAAAAGGCATTAAATGTCCTTGCTGGCTTCAAATAGAAACATATAGTAAAGATGTGAAAGTATCTTGTCCATCAAAACTGATTTGTCATCCGAATGACATCAGTGTTATGCCTGAGAATTCACAAATTGAAGATATACCTTTATTCAAAGTATATTTTCTGGATATAGTCAATATTGAGAATGAAAATTGCAGTACACCGTTTGCAATTGCTGTTGGAATTGTTTTATGGAATGGAAAAACCTGCATACATCAATCAACAAAAATATGTAAGTTGGGTTACAGGATCCTGTAGTTAGGCAACTTATTTAACACGTATTTTACAGTTGCTCTTGCAGAATCACCACATGTTGAAAATACTAATTCTAATGCAGGTCAGTTGAAAAATATACCAAATTTACATCTATGCACTAAAAGTGCTTTGATAATTGAGAATTTATACAATATTCTTGCTGAAGAGAATGTCAACATCATAATCTTACTTGACAAGTTAAAATTCACACATTATTCGAATCCGTATTCACCTGCAATTCGAAATATTTTTAACCACAACATCATCATGGATATAAAACAAGCCGCCGAAGAATTCTACCCGAATTTATTACCCCATGAACAACATTTGTATGAATATTTCCTAAACGATACGAATTTTATCAAAATACCACCTGCACATTCAAAACAATTCAACACAGCAAACATAACCAAACTAATGTGTGATCGCATGAAGAAATCTGTACAACTTGTTAATGAAATGGACGTGATTTCAACGTATATGTTAATCTCCAACGTGACCGGATGTCCCTTAAAAGACGTTTGTAGTCACGGACAGTTGAAACGTGTGGAGTGCATGTTGAAACACGAATTACACCAGATTATAATACCTGAAACTTTTATGAAACCTGCAAAGAGTGGAATCATGGGTGGGAAGATAATCAAACCAAATGTTGGATTCTTTGATAATTTAATAGTAATGTTCGATTTTAAGTCGTTATATCCAAGTGTTATTAGAGAATATAATCTGTCATTCACCAGTGGGGATGGTAATGTGTTGCCTAACCTCATGCATCGATTAATACGCATGCGTGAAGCATTACTTGAAAAAGAACAAGAAAATGGAGAAAAGTTAAAGAAAAAATCAACTTTAAAGAGTAAAATTATAAAATCATTAACAAATAGTGTCTATGGATGTTTATGCAGTGAATATTCAATCTTTTATCATCCGAAACTAGCGAATATTATCACTAAACATGGCCGCAATCTTTTAACAAGTATAGAACATGAAATTCCGCCTGCTTTAGAAGCAACTGTCATTTTTGGTTTAACTGACAGTATAGCCATTGAATTATACTCAACAATAAACTATGAAGATGCTTTGAAAAAAGCTGTCAAATATCAAGAATATGTCAACAGTCGCCATAATTACATCCGACTGAAACTAGAAGGAGTATTTTCACATGGGATTATCTTTGGGAAACAAGAATACGCACTGCGATATCACAATTCATATAAAAATCAGCCTGGAAATGAAGATAACTGGATGATAAAAGGCATTCTACGAAAAACTACACCACGCATAAGTCAAGAACTATTCCGCTACTTCCTCGAACGGATCGTGGTCAAACAACCGCGGTTCATCCGAACAAACGAATTCCTCACCGCGATGCAGACAAAGTTCACCAGCGACGATGTGAATGATTATGTGGTGCATATTCAGCTTCAAAATGCGCCGGAAACATACACAACGCAAACAATGTATGGGAATATAATACGACGAAGAAATCTTCAAAGTTGCCTGGGTTACAGTCAACACGACACGGTCTCTTGTTTGATTTGTGACGATGGCACTGACAATGCGTATAATATGCGCGCGTATGATTTGGAAGAGTTTCTAGCCCTCGGGCTGCGCATAGATAAAAATTATTACAAAGAGAAACAAGTTTTGAAGTTGCTGGAGAAGATATTAAGCGCTGCGCCACAGTATGTCAACGTTGATAGTGTTTTAACGTTTTTAAAACCTAGAACGTTGAGTGATGGTGTCAGGACTTTACCGGCGCGTTATAGACATGATAACATTTTGCCGTTTCACTTCCGTTGTTTGAAATGCTCGACGCATGTGGTCGTAAACCAGCGCTGGAGTTACGAGTGTTTTGTGACTTGTCCTAATTGTCATGCGTTGTTTATGGACGATGCTCAGGCGGATGAAATATGCGCAACAGTGGAAAATACCATCAATGAGTATCGCAGATTGGTGTCGGCTGCAGAGAAGTTGACCTTGGTGAAAGGGTCGTTGCGTAAAATGGCGGAGGATAATGTAGCTTGCATGAAAGTGCAGAGTTTTAAGCAGATGGCGCTGTGGAAGGAGGTTATATTATCCGTAGGATTTACACTTGAATGGTTTGCAGGTAATCATATTTTTGATGGTGATAATGATAAAATAAGACTTTTTACACTCTTTAAGAGGATATTATTGTTGTTGGATGAGTATTTTGAACGTGATAATAATTTACAAATGCAATTTGTTGATTTTGGTAAGTTATATTTGTGCGATGATGAGAATAAAGTTGCCTAGGTTAGATTTTGGGTCTAGTTTCAAGAAGATCTTTGATATACTACCTGCCCCAAGCACAAATCACGTTGCGACGCGGCGTGAAAACCGAATGCGCAACGTAGTAAAGGTAAACGGCGTAGATTGCGATCCACCACGAACCGCGAACGCGCAATGAATGAGTTCGTTCCGTGCGCTTCGCGCAAACTCACCGCGGCGAAACGAAACCGCGATGGCGTGACAGGCCGGCCTCGGCCGTGTGTTCGCCGCTGTGCTCGCCGTGGCCGTCCTCGAGCCACCAGTGTACAAGCGCCTGACGTGCGTGTTGGACGCCCGACGTTCGTTTTTCGCGTGCCCGGCGGTGAATAACCGCATTTCTACGCCGTGCGTGTAAGTGTGTGTAGATATATAGTACACGAGAAAGAAGTGCGCATCGTGTGCGTGTGTGTTGTGTTGCGTGCGTGCGTGCGACCGACTGTTGCCGCGTTTGCCCACCGCCGCCGCCGCCGCCGTCATCGTCATCGTCGAAGGAATGCCATGCGGCAGCGACGAGGACTGCACGCACGCGTCCGGTGAGAGGACAACTCTCCAGCTTCTTTTCGCCGCGCTCGAGCAGCGAGAGCGGCCGGCGCGCCAGACGACTGGCGAAACTGCCGCGGCACGAACTGTTTTTGTTATCGCGCGCGCGCGCGTAGCCAAATAATATTAAACGCGTTGTGCGTTCTCGCTGCGCGTTGTGTGTTTACTACCGCGACGCACATCTTCGCTATAATTGACGATAATTGTGTTTTTATGTGAGTGCGCTGCCATGAAAAGAGGATACACGTGAAAATGTCGACTCGTCTTCGGAGTCATCACGAGTTGTGGTTGATTAACGACGCAACGGAATAACATGTAGGTATTATACTCACATTCACACACATAGACTGAGATCTGTAGGCGAAGGCGAAATAAAAAACGAAACGAGTTTGTTTACGACAGCGAGACGCAATAATTAATAAGCGGCTCGAATTAAAACCACCACGCGTGCGCGCGCACGCCATCATTGCATCCACTAATTCTTGTGTTTTGGGTGGCTACTAACATTAGAATGGCAGTGTGAGTCAACGCGTGCGGAAAAACAAAATCACTCGCCGTCTGCCCTCGCCCACCGCCGCGCCGCCGCCTCGTGCCAAACACAAGCACACGTAACAAGGAAATAGCGCGAGCGCGGTCGCACGCGTGCCGCGATGTTTGCCAATCCCCGCGGGCGAAGAATAAACACACGACGTGTATGCGCCGTGCGGCGACATTAACGATTGTCACTTGTTGTTTTGAATTGCGACGCAGCAGCAGCGCAGCGCAGCGCGCTTACCTTGGTTGCCTAGCTACGTGGGTGCACGGGTGATTTGTTTTGCGCGTGTTCTTTTTTGCGCTCTTGCCTCCGCCACCGCCGGCGATATCGATTGCGCCGTGTCGCCGTCACAACACAGACGGGGCCTAGTTTCTCGCAGACGTAGTGCGCGCTGCCACGTGCTGGCCCATGCCGTATTATCCGTTGTACACATTGCTCATTCATCCGTTAATTAATTTACGTCGATTTTCAACGCGCCACATGCGCATATTCCGGTCAAAGTCACGTTTTATGCAGGATTTTACATGTTTTGCTTACTAAATTGTTAAAATGATGTTTTATTGCAAGATTCGCGATGATGGGGTCGTTAACACCACATCATTTCCTCTATTTTAGTTATTTATGAAGCATGCGTCTATGTTTATATGTCTATGAGGTGTGAGTTGTGGGCTGAGGCGATTTGAAAATATCCGAGTCACCTGTCCGGACGACGGTCGCAATCACGCGCAGCGCGCACAACGAAATCGTTATTTATATGCACGCAGCGTACTGCAGCTGCGGGAGACAGTAATTAGCAATTAAGTGCTGAATTCGCGCAACGCGTATCTTACTCGCCGTTTTTTTTTTTAGTGCAGACCTCGTCATTGATCCACGGCCAATTGTCCAGCAAGTAGTTCAACGGGTTAAAATGGGTTAAAATGTCACTTACGTATTTTGAGGTTAGTTTCACCCGCATTTCACGTTCATACATCACGTGTCGGTTGTTATTTCATGGTTGTCGTTAGCAACGTGACACGGCATGATGCAATCTCTTAATATTCACAAAGAAATACATGTGATGTGCGTTTTTAAGGTTAGTTTTACTTTTATATTTTGATATATGATTGACATGAATTATAGGCAACACAACTTTCACCGCAATACGCATGCGCAGTACGTGAATTTTACTGTTAGTGTCTATTTTGACATGTGTAATTTGACAGTTTTGATTGTCAGATTACTTGACATGAATTATAGGCAACACAACTTTCACCCCAATATACACACTTCCAATTTGACATGTGTAATCTGACAGTTGATTGTCAATAACCACGTGACTTTGCAAGATCTATAGGCAACACAACTTTCACTTCAATTCTGTCACTTGTAATATGACAGTTGTCATTCTTGACGTGACTCAGCATAAATCATAGACAATACAATTGTGCAATCCACATAATTAGCGCAGTAATAATCGTTATTTATTGATACCGAGTGAAGCACACCGACATAATTTGGCATATGACGTGATGAAGTGTAGTGTACGTTATTTGCGTTTGCCAAACATTAATTATTATCGAGCCCACCCGCATGTTCGGTGCGCAAAAAGTGCCAGAAAGAGATGACGCTTTGTATCTCCTCCACCGCGCCTGATGACACCGCCCGCGTCGCTGATATTTTTTTTATTCGCTACGGCATTATATTTCGCGCGGCAGTCAACGGCGGGCGTTATGTTACACATTTTATTCGCTCTCGGCGCGACGCTCACTTGTTGTTGCCATGCCGCCGCCGCCGCCTTATTACACGCCAATCATTCCGGCTTTACGCTGAACGGACGGGCGCATCCGACGTGCTTTAATATTTATAAGCACACGGGCATTATCGGCGGGGGTGGCGAGCCGCGCAGTCTGGAATTGTTTACTTGTTTACCGCCCCCGAAAAACGCCCCCATGGGAACCAAGTCAAAAGAAGCCAGGGGCAGTCACAGTCACAGTTCACACAAGAGTCTCGCTCTCCATGCACATTCATCGCTCGTCTTTGCTTCAAGTTGCTTGTAAGTTGCGTTGTTTTGTTGTTTAAATGTGTTTTAAATGTTATGCAAGCGACACGCGCTGCCTCCGCGCCCTCGGTACGTTCATTTAACTTGTTTTTCTTCACTTGATCTTACGCCGTAAACATTCTCCGAAGTTTTATTGATGTTATTTGATGTCTGAAGCGAAGGCTAATTGTGGTGTTGTGACGTTTCGTGAGACCTGTGGCGCCCTAATGAAGAATTTATTTCGTCGTGCACGTGGCTGAAGCGAACAAAGCGCAGTATTGGTAATTAATTATTTAATTATTTAAATTGCATTCGAGACAAGTTGCAGTTGGTGATTAATTCAGAATACTTACGATTTGCATGAAATGTTTACTTGGATTATTTATATAGGGTGTGGCAGGGAAGGAATTTCAAGTATTTGAGGATAATTATGTGTTTTTGGTCATTTTTAAGTGAAAAATAACATTTTTCTTTGTTTTTCTATAAAAATTTGAAATTATTTACATTTTCAACATTAAAAGCCGTCAATTTACGCGATAGAATGTTAAATATACAGTTATATTGCCTAAAAACAGTTCTGGGAAATAATTTATGTACATAGAACTCTATACAGGGTGTTGCAGGGATATATTTTGGTAAATTTGGTTGAGTTTTCATGGTTTTAGTCTATTTTGAATGAAAAACATTTGTTTTGTTTATTTCTGTATCCGAATTTAACTTTTTTTTGCACGAAAACAGTTGTAAAACATATTTGCAACACTAATTGCTAAATAAATACTTGTAAGTTAAAAATAGTTTGCACAGGGTGTGATAACGATATAACGAGCAAAACTTGACAAATTTGTTGTGTATTTACTCAATATTCAAGGAAATCAACATTTTTCTTTGTTTTTCGTTCGATAACTTAACTTTTTCCCCCTAAAAAGTTCAAAATTGCAGATTAACACGAATTGCTTTCAATTTACGCGATAAAATGCTAAATAAATATTTGTATCACATAAAAGCAGTTTATACAGGTAATACAGGATGTGATAACGAAATAACTAACAGAAATTGTTTAAATTTCCATGTTTTTCACCAAATTTTCAACAAAAATCAATATTTTTCTTTGTTTTTCGAAGATTTTTTTGTCAAATGTTTCAAAAATGCATTTTTAATATTTATTATTATCAATTTATGCGATATAGTAACAAATAAATATTCATATTTTCTAAAAATAGTTTATACAGGGTGTGATAACGAAATAATTAGTAAAAATTGACGAAATTTTAGTATTTTTACCAAATTTTCAATAAAAATCAAGTTTTTTCTTTGTTTTCTATACGAAAACTTAATTTTCATCCGTCAAAAATTTTAAAAATGCATTCGCAAATCAAAATTCTATCAATTTACGCCGTAGAATATTAAAATATTTATTTTTGGCAAAACACAAATCAAAACAAATATTGCGTGTTTTTCCCTTGATGCAACGCGCAAATCGTCGTATCACGTGACAAATAACAACAACAACCCTGAAGGGCTTTGTAACGAACCACTTACAGTAATAAGATGTGATCTGATGGGTGTTGTTCGAGCTTTTGAAGGCTATGTTACCACGACAACTAATCTCGATTCAAAGCGCGTCGAGCACTCGTTCGATCAAATGCATTCGCGCACTCGGCTACTTATGTTACATTTACATTTCTATTGTGGTTGAATTTAAAATTATTATCTGTTATATTGTAATTTATAATGGTTTTCATGCACGAACAGAACACAATTCATTATCGTATTTTGCATTTGATCTGAAAATTAACTCTTAAAAAGTGATTTTTATGTTTTGCATTAAAAAAAATAAAGTTTTTTAAAAACAATTATGGCTATAAGATGGAGAATTAATTTCTGAAGGTAACAATATATTTGTCTATGTTGTATCTTTAATATTTTTGAAGATATTCCACTTTTATTGAAAATTATTGAAGTTTAGTTTTTTAGAGTTTTATATTTTTACGTTTTTGCACGTGCATACGGAAATTTTGTACGTTGAAAATACTTAAAATTCCGTCTAGGGGCGTGCAATTAGATTACTTGTGGAAAAATTACGTGTAATTATACATTTAACCGCAATTTACTACAAAAAAACAAAAATTATTAAATACTCACAAAAAAGTTTTATATTATAGTATTATAGTATAGTGATGATCTGTTTCCTCATTTTTACATACACATTTTTAATACGAATCGAATTAAGTAAATTTTGTATTGCCAATGCGTTTATGAACTTTTTGACCGAAGAAAGTTGTGTTTTTGTCCGGAAAAATGTGATTTTCATTCAAAATTGTATAAAAAACACATTTAATCAACTTTAGCTATATATTTCATTGTCACACCGTGTGTAAAGTTATTTTTAAATAATCATTTTAGGAATGCTAACTAATCACCGCATTTCTCTATAATAAACATAAAAACATACAGATTACAACCTATTTTTAAGGTTATTTTCACGTCTAATCTCTAAAAAAATATTTGTTCTGTTTTGTTTATATGACAAACAACTTATCTCGCCCTTATCTAATGACTCAGATTGACACCGAATGAATTATGCAACAATGTTGCATGTTATGCATGTGAACAAACAAGATTCTAATGGCGCGCTGATAAATAACGTAGCAGCAGCGTTCAGCTCCCGAATTTGCTGTGGCGTCTGATAACAGCCAGCGAAAGTGCAACATTTGCGCAACAAAGTTTTATACTCGTTCATTCAATACAACTCGTATAAACTCGTATAAATATCAATGTATCAATGTGTGAATGAAGTACACGCACACATTATCATTGGACGAAATTTCAATTGACCCGACCTTTAATCGAGCGCTCATCAAGCGTGAATCGAAAACAAACAACCGTGCGAACGCACATGTCAAGATGCTCCCGAAATAAAATACTTAATAATCACTTCATTACTCGTATTACTATTTTATACAGGGTGTGATACAGAAATATTTACTCAGATTTTTCATAATTTCTTGGATTTTACGTAATTTTTAATGAAAATTACGCTTTGTCTTCAGTTTTGGTACGAAATTTCAAGTTTTTGCCGCCAAAATGTTAAATGAATAGTTTTATAACCTAAAAGTAGTTTCTACAGGGTGTGATAAAGAAATAATTAGCAAAAATTGCCTAAAATTTTGAATTTTAACTAAATTTTTAATGAAAATCAACTTTTTTCTTCGTTTTCTATACGAAAACTTTACTTTTTGTCGTCAAAATTATAAATAAATGCTTTTATAATCTAAAAATAGGTTATACAGGGTGTGATATAGAAATAATTAACAGAAATTACCAAAATAATAGTATTTTTACCAAAGGTTCTATGAAAATCATGCTTTTTCTTTGATTTTGCCACGAAAATCTTACTTTTTGTCGCTAAAATGCTAAATAAATTCTTATGAAGCCTAAAAATACATTATACAGGGTATGCCAAAGTAATATTTGCCAAAATTTTGAGTATTTTGGTCTGATTTTTAATAAAAATCAACATTTTGCTTAATTTTTTGTATGAAAACTTAACTTTTTGCTGTAAAATATTTAAAAAACGCATTTGCAACACTAATCGCTGTTAATTAACGAGGTATAATGTCAAATAAATACTTATATAACTTAAAAACAATTTATACAGGGTGTGATAAAGAAATAATTAAGAAAAATTGTCTAAATTTCAGTGTTTTTAGCATTTTTTTATGAAAATCAACTTTTTTCTTAATTTTCTCTTTGAAAACTTAACTTTTTGTCTCCTAAAATTTTAAAAACACATTTACAACACTATATTTTATCGATTTCCGCCATCGAATCTCAAATAAACATTCATACAACTCAAAATTCAAACAAAAATAAATACAAATTCAAGATCCCTCTCAATATACTCCCGAAATAAAATAATAATCAATTCATTACTCGTACAACGTGAAATAGTTGCACTAAAAGCAAAAACCCAACTGGAATTAAAATTGGTATGCAAATTCAAACATAAACAAACGAAAGTGCATTGTATGTAAAACCCCAACCGCAATACAAACTTAAACAAACAAAAAAAAAACAACAATTTTGTTACTGGGCCAACATGTAATAAATATACGTTGCATTTTTAATCGAACGTGGGGCGCTTACGAGAACAATTAATTGATAACAACCGATTCTAAATTGGTACCACCGTACCCGAATATAAAGTGCCAATCATTGGCCACACAATACTTCACTCAACTTTAAGCAGGAATCAATCGACACCCATCCATCGCGCCTGCTGGCCTATGACCCATATGTACGCCGTCTTTTTAATATTTATGCTCTCTCCTGCGCCGGTTACACAACACAACACCGCCACGCATCGCGCAGTATCGACACAAACGATGCATAGATTACCAGCCGGGAATAATTGAATCTCGCGTGGATTACGCTTACGAGCGCATCGTTTTGTAAGTGTCTCCAAGGCCGTTTCTGCATTAAAAAAACGTTTTACGACGCACGCCGTAAAACGGTAGCAACAATCGCGTGTGTTTGTTGTTTGCTGATGTGCCGAGAGTGTGTCGAGCGGTGAAAATTCGGCGCGACACGCGTGTATGTATGTGATAAGTTTATTTGGCTAACCTTTTGTGTTGAGACGTGTGTTGTTTATGTCGCGTATGCATGAACAAACAATAAATATATGCAAAATGTCTTATCTGCGCAGCCGACGCCGTCGTCGATAACAATTAGTATGCGCGGCGCGTGTAAACACTAATTACGCCCGCTCTGAATTGCCTTCTTGCATTTCACACATTGCATTATACATGTGTATTTATTTATGTATCAAGCGCCAGCGGCCGGAAGTGATAAATATTTTTTTGTTTGGAATTTTAAATGAAAATTTATGAATGTTTTTTTGTTTGTTTTCAGTTGATTTTTCTAAGATGCATTGACCTGATTGATAGGAGGGTTAACATGATGATTTCCGCCGCCCCTCGCCATTGAACCGCCATGCATATTCATGTCCGGCCTAGTTACAGCGTCGTCCTCGCGACGATGATTTTCTCGACGATGCTGTACACCACGGCGGCGGAGGGTTTTTCCACCAGCGGTTTATCGCCGAAAAACAACATGTCTACCATGCCTGTTGGTGAGTAATCTCACTTTTCCTGCAACGTAAATTTATTATTTATTTATTTTCACTTTTGTTTGTTTTGTTTTTTAGTGTGTAAAAGTATGGATATTCGTAACAATATAAGCAGTTTTGACGTGTTGGAAAACTGCACAGTCGTCGAGGGTTTCGTCCAGATTCTTCTCTTGGATAATGTTACCGAAGCCGAGTTTAAAACTATTTCCTTCCCGCGTCTGACTGAAATCACCGACTATTTGTTACTGTATCGCGTGACGGCGTTGCGCAGCGTTGGTCAATTGTTCCCGAATTTGGCCGTGATACGCGGCCAGACGAAAATGTTCGAATACTCGTTGATCATCTACGAAATGGCGAACCTGCAGGATATTGGGTTGCATAATCTACGCGAAATCTCCTCTGGTTTGGTGCGTGTGGATAAAAACCCCTCGCTGTGTTTCGTGCATAGTATTGATTGGTCCGCGATTGTGCTGGATAAACACGGCGAACATTTCATGAAGAATATTAGGTCTGAAGAGGAATGTCCGCTGTGTCCAAGCGCGGAGGATTCCGCGCTGATGAACGGCGTTGCAGTCACGCAGTGTCCTGGTGGTCGGTGTTGGAATCGTGAACATTGCCAACGCATCTGCCCGCCGGCGTGCAACAATTCGTGCGATTCAAAGGGTAATTGCTGCGCGCCGAACTGCATTGGTTGTGTTGATGACGAGCCGACGTGTCTGGTGTGTCGTAATGTCGTCGCCATGTTGGGCCGGGGATGCATGGACAAGTGTCCCGACGATACCTACATGGTAATTATTTCGTTTCTAATACAATACACGCCTTGATTACATCTTTATAACACGCTTCGTTAGCGTCTATTCTCAGCGAAGACGAGGTCGTAATTAATTTGTTGTTTGCTTCGCAGTACTTAAATCGCAGATGCGTCACGAAGAGCGAATGTATCGCTATGCCGCGTCCGCTACAATTCACCACCGGCAAATCAATGACGCATGACAAATATCACAAAGTGCTCACCACGAAGGATTCACACGGGAATACAATACGCAAATGTGTGTTGGAATGTCCGGCGGATCACACAGCCACGGACAATGAGTGTGTCAAGTGTGAGGGTGAGTATATTGCGAGTTGGTTTTATTCACGGTCATGTTTTGAATACGCGTGTTGTGTGTTTTTTGAATAGCTGGCAGATGTCACAAAGAATGTCCTGGCATCGTCATCGACAGCTTATCAACCGCGCAGGAATTGCGTGGATGTACACACATCAATGGCTCGCTAGAGATACAAATACGCGGGGGAAGTAAGTGTTGCGTAACTAATGTAATCACAACCAGATTAATCTATTGTTTTTAATTATTATCAGAGAATATAGTGAGTAAATTGGATGAGAGTCTGAGTATGATTGAAGTTATTGATGGATATTTGAAAGTCGTGCGGTCGTTTCCGTTGATTTCACTCAACTTCTTCAAGAAACTGCGACATATTCGCGGTAATGTGCTCGATAACAAGAAGTTTGTCATTTTCGTACTGGACAATCAGAATTTGCAAGAGTTGTGGGACTGGACGAATCGCACGCTGCGAATTGATCAGGGCAAACTCTTCTTCCACTTTAATCCGCGTCTGTGTCGCGACAAGATTCGCACGCTGCAGCTCAAAACGAATCTACCAGACTATACCGAAATAGATGTGGCGTCGAATTCCAATGGTGACAAGATCGCATGTAAGTGCACTTGATTTTACTCCACTTGTACGAGCGGATTATTTGACAATGTAATTTTTGATTCACAGGTAACATCACAGACTTAAACGTCACTGCTGAGCCTTCCCGCAAGGCTATAGTACTTAAATGGGATCCGTTTGTTATGAAAGATCACCGCAAGTTGCTTAATTATGTTGTGTATAGCATCGAAGCGCCACATCAAAATATTACAATGTTTGATGGAAGAGATGCATGCAGTGGCGAGAGGTAAATGTTTTTTTTTTGTGTGTAAAATTTTCATTTTAATTCATTTGTTTCACTCGCAGCTGGCGTGTTGAAGATGTCGCTGTCGTCGAGGGAAAAGTAACCCATCTACTTTCAAATCTTAAGCCTTATACACAGTATGCTTTCTACGTGCGCACTTATACGATCGCCAGTGAGGATTCAGGTGCGCAAAGCGCAATTCACTATGTCCGCACGGCGCCCGGAAGTAAGCCTCATTTAACACTCATTTTACACTCATGTGTGTGTATATTATTACTTGCTATGTTTAGAACCGACGAAACCAGTGGGCCTCAAGATCTCCGCGACGAATCACAGTTTCCACGTGACGTGGAAACCGCCAATTTTACCAAACGGTGAAATCAGCCATTATGTAGTGACGCTTACGAGCGTCGATGAGAAGGTGGATAAGTTGCGCGACTTTTGCAGCGCCAAGACCAAACCGATCGTGCATATTCAACCGACGACAATAGCACCGCGAATTGGCGGCGATAATAAAACCTGCGTATGCTCACCGGACACTTTAAGCCCGTCCAAGAGTAGTGTTCATCGAAACGCCACCACCGCCGAAGATCAGATCAACTTCGAAGATTACCTCTATGATTTTGTGTATATTAAACGTGAGGAGAGTCCGCAACACCTACGCAAGACACGATCAATTAGCTCTGCCGAGAATTATGCCAATATTAACAAAACGGAGGAGACGTCTGGGGATAAAGTTGACCGTAAGACTATTTCGATTTGTAATCTTGTTATCTATATAATTATATAGAAATAACTTATTTTTGTGTACAGATTTGGGTCGAGTAATGTCCATTGAGAAAGAAGTCAACGAGACCGAGTTTTTCATCGATAATTTGGTGCATTACAAGAAGTATAACGTTAAGGTGCAAGTGTGTCGCAAAACCAGAAGTAAAGGAAAAGATGAAGAGGAGAAGTGCAGCGCCACAACGGTTGAACAAGTCCGGACACACATGCGCGATGATGTCGATTTGATCACCACTCTGGACATCAAGAACGTGACGTCTGATTCCGCCATTATCACCTGGGAAGATCCGGTGGATCCGAACGGATACATTGAATCCTATCACATAACATACGGAAATCTGGATGATAATGATGTAAGTTATACAATGTGTAAATATTCTTAATATATATTTAATATTTGTGTTTATTCACAGCCCCACAATCAGACACATTGTATCTCCATAACACACGTGAATGCAAAGCGTAGTTACAGGCTGAGTCAACTGAAACCTGGCAATTGGTGCGTGGAAATGTCCGTAACGTCACAGGCGGGCACCGGACGCGCCACTGGTGTCTCCTGCTTCCACGTGCAGCAATCCAACGAGTTTATTTACTATATCATCGCGGGTGTGATTCTATTCCTAGCGTTGGGTGCATTTGCGTTCAAATTCTTCCGTGAATACTATAGGCGTGATGATATGAAGCTGATTACGTCCATTAATCCTGACTACATTCCCACGCCGTACGTTCCGGATGATTGGGAGGTGCCACGTGATAAAATTAAACTCTTGAATGAGTTGGGCCAGGGTAGTTTTGGTATGGTCTACGAGGGTATCGCGAAAGATATCAAAGGCAAGTCGCAGATTCGATGCGCAGTGAAAACTGTCAATGAGCACGCTACGAATCGTGAGCGTATTGAATTTTTAAACGAAGCTAGCGTTATGAAAGCGTTTGATACCGCGCACGTGGTGCGATTGTTAGGTGTTGTATCCCAAGGTCAACCGACATTAGTCATCATGGAATTGATGGCGAATGGTGACTTGAAAACGTATTTACGCTCGCATCGGCCGGATTCCGAAGCGGAGGCGAATGATGGCATCGAACGCAAGCCGCCAAATCTCAAACAGATATTGAATATGGCGATTGAGATCTCTGACGGCATGGCCTACCTGTCAGCGAAGAAGTTTGTGCATCGCGATGTCGCCGCGCGGAACTGCATGGTGTCCGATAACCTGGTCGTGAAGATCGGCGATTTCGGCATGACGCGCGATATTTACGAGACTGATTATTATAGGAAGGGTAGCAAGGGCCTGCTGCCCGTGCGGTGGATGGCGCCGGAGAGTTTAAAAGATGGCGTCTTCACTAGCGCGAGCGATGTGTGGAGTTACGGTGTTGTGCTGTGGGAGATGGCGACTCTTGCCTCGCAGCCCTACCAAGGCCTAACCAATGATCAGGTATTGCGCTATGTTATCGGCGGGAATATAATGGAGCGTCCCGAACAGTGTCCGGATATACTCTATGATCTAATGAAGCTCTGCTGGAATCACAAGCCCAGTGATCGGCCTACGTTCCTGAGACTCTGCGACATGTTGATGCAAGACGCGCGACAGGGTTTTGAGATGGTTTCGTTCTACCATAGTCCTGCTGGTATTGAGGCGCGTAACCAGCGTATGGTGACACGTGCTGGTGATGAAATGGACGACGTCACCATCCCGCTTCGTATCGACGAGCAGACTGACGACGAGTCCGACCACGAGCCGGCTGTCAACGGCTATGTAGTGCATCAGCGACAAGCTAACGGCACGAACGCATAAACAGTATTTACCCAACAACACCCTCTTTCCTTCCCCAAAAGTGTTTGAACAGTTTACAACGACTGTGTGGCGAGAAGACTCACCCCTCATGGTGCTCGATAGTGTGTATTAGACTATGTTCAGAAATGATGTTTTTAATCGGAACTGATGTTAATTTTAAACCACTCAAACCAAAGATAGTGATATTCGGGCAGCTGAATGAAGAACGGATCGGGACGCATCTCCTCTATTACCCTCAACAAGTACACGCAGCTAGTCTCTCTAACTCTAATTATATCTCTCAAGCCTGTACGCGCATTCTCCGCCGATTACCAGAAGCTCTAGTAAGTTGTTATGTACTGCGAATTACATAAAATATGTCGAATTGCCTTGTGAACGTTCTGTGACGATGTGTGCGATGGTTCGGCGTGCTGTACGCACGCCTTATATATAAGATGACCTGATATTACTTTGTGTAGATGTGAAGAAAAGTCGTCGCCCCTCATTCCCGAAGTTCCTCCTACCTATAACATAAGCCTCAAATCAAAACAAATGCGAACGCAGACAGCATGCAAACAAACTATATTTATCTAGTTGCAAAACGCCACGCCATAACTACTATGTTAATTTATACCCTTATCTATTATTTTGTACCACGATACCAATGTGTAACGATTAACTTAAAATAGACACTGAAATTGATCAATTCGTCCATATTCGTCTAGCGAAAGATACATGACTGCGCGAATGAACATATATTTTATGAAATAAACTTGATTTACTCATAAATTGCGTGCATTTGATTGACGGAACTAAACAAAATGGCGATTGATGATTGTACAATGTTAAAAAAAGTGCTTTTGCGCACTTAACACCCACACAATTATGGAGAATTCCAGTAACAGCGTCCTCTGTTATTGCTGCAGTTTAAGTTGCATAGAATCCTGTTCGTGCAAGAGCGCCGACTCATTGCCCCGCACCACCCCCGCGTTGAGAGGTTGCGGTCTCCCCCGGCATCCACGGCACGCACCAGCACGTCTGCCTCGCCGCCGCACTGCTGATTGTGTTGTGCGAGACTCGCGTGTGTGCTGCCGTGTGGGAATGACAACAGCGACGGCACGACGGACAAAAAGACCCAAACAAGACCAGTCACGCACCACCGAATCAAGCGCACACGATCAAGATGAGTGCGTGTGAGTGATTGCCTTCGAAAATGCACCATATTTATATGATTTGCGAATCGTGACACCTCCGACGCGCCGAAATGTCTTCCAAAAGGTAAGCAGCGCATCTTCCTGTGCATCATTTCCACAATTCACGCACATCGTGTATCTTCCTTAGCGGATAACCTCACATTCACTTTTTCAATACGTAAGAAAAACAATCGATTCTCAATCTCGATTAAGTATTCCCTAGCCAAGGCTTACTTCGATCGCAAGCGCTTGTGATTAAAAATTGATAGCGTTGGCGGTGTTTTAATGCTTTTCGATGATTTTGCAGTGAACTGAAAAAGTTGTCCGAGGAGAGTCTCACGCGCCAGCCTGAGGAAGTGTTTGATATAATATGCAAACTAGGAGAGGGATCTTACGGCAGCGTCTACAAGGCGCTGCACAAGGAATCCGGGCAAGTGCTCGCCATCAAGCAGGTTCCGGTCGACACCGATCTGCAGGAGATAATCAAGGAAATTTCCATCATGCAACAGTGTGATAGTCCCTATGTGGTGAAATACTATGGTAGTTACTTTAAGAACACAGATTTATGGATTGTGATGGAGTACTGCGGTGCCGGCTCGGTATCCGACATAATGAGATTGCGCAAAAAGACATTATCCGAGGATGAGATTGCCACAATACTCTGTGACACTCTGAAAGGCTTGGAGTATCTTCATTTGCGGCGGAAGATTCATAGAGACATAAAAGCAGGGAATATTCTGTTGAATTCTGAAGGACATGCCAAGCTGGCTGATTTTGGTGTTGCTGGTCAGTTGACCGATACGATGGCCAAGCGCAACACAGTGATAGGAACGCCATTTTGGATGGCACCAGAAGTGATACAGGAGATAGGGTATGATTGTGTCGCGGATATTTGGAGTCTCGGCATTACAGCTTTAGAAATGGCGGAGGGAAAACCCCCATATGGGGATATACATCCAATGAGGGCGATTTTTATGATTCCAACTAAACCTCCGCCGTCTTTCCGCAAACCAGATCAATGGAGTACAGAATTTATTGAATTCGTTAGTCTATGTCTGGTGAAGAATCCGGAGGATCGAGCTACGGCTACTAATCTACTGCAGCATGAATTTATTGGTAATGCTAAACAACCCAGCATTCTGAGTCAAATGATTGCTGAGGCGCATGAATTGAGAGAGAATCTGTGTTATAAGAACGTGCCGTTTACTGATGCCGCTGGAGTTCTTAAACCGAACATCATGGAAGAGTACCAGTATCAAGAAGCGGACAGTCAAACAATGGTGCAGATTCCTGATGATGGTACACTTGTACCTGGTGGTACCCTACGTGCTGATCCTTCACAATGCGGAACATTAGTTGAACTATCGTCAGACTTGGGCACGATGGTGATTAATAGTGATGTGGATGAGCAGACAATGCGCAGACATGATACAGGTTCCGCACAGAAGATCTACCGACCTTATTTTATGGATCACTTTGACAAAAAAGAAGCTGAAGTGAAGCAGGGTAATGGATTGGCTTCGCCGACCACTCTGGATGCACCCAACAATAATGTAGCGGATACAAATGAAGAGGAACAGCGTTTCCAGAGCCATTATCATCTGCAGATGAATCAGGTACCACCGACAACGGCGCCGATGGTGATGTCGCCTGTGACACCTTCATCTCCATTACAACAACATCCACCACCACCACCGATCGAGAACAAAGCTAATATGATTCGTGGCTTCTCAGATGGAGATTTTGAATTTGTAAGTGTTTTTTATGTTGTAATTTTAAAATTTTAAATTTGTTATATTTCTTGCAGTTGAAGTTCCTCAGCTATGATCAACTACAACAACGAATGACAACCCTGGACGCCGAAATGGAGAGAGAAATTGACGAGCTGCGCCGCCGCTATCAGACCAAACGACAGCCGATCCTGGATGCCATGGACACGAAGCGGAAGCGGCAGCAGAATTTTTAAGCGCGCAATGCCATATGAATAGTGCAAACCGTAACGAATACAGATGGAATCCTGTATGGTGCTCAAAAGGCGAGGCTGAATTCAACAAGCGGCACGAAAATCTCCTGTGTTTCGAATATTTTAACGATCGTTTTAATCATGTTTTGTCCCGCCGAGTGAAGGATTCAGGGATTTTGATTTATATTCTCTTTTTTTTGTGTTCCTAGCGCATGACTTCACATGTACTTATATTTCAAAGTGTCCCACACATTGGCAAACGTATTGATTAGTGGTCGTCAATAGCGAGATTATGCGTGTTTTAGTCGAAGCGCATTCAGGGCGTGATCATTTACGAATAGAATCACATTGCATACCATTGACACACACGTGAACAAAATAGCTAATGTGTAGATTTTAGCGTTTTTTCTCTTATCATGTATTCACACTGCGCGATGACGGATATAGTATTTATTAATTTTTGTGGTTGTATTATTATGTACAGTGAGTCAATCAAGTCGAGTTTTTAGAAAGATAATTACTAGTTACTCGTAAGACGACTTAGGTTATAAGCAGGTACTAATTCAGTACGCTTGTTGTGCCTTTTTAGGGTTAGTCTTGATAGGTAACTACTGTAATACATATTTTTCAAATTGTTCTGAATAATAAATGCCTATATATTCATGTGACACATTAATGTAATGTATTTTATTCGAGTGTACACCGCTCGTGCAAACCTGAGGTATTTAAAACTTCGAATCTTTCCCACAGCCTAATCCCTGCAAAAACTCCCCGAAATTTACAGTAATATAAGGTTTCTTCTCTTTAAGTACCTTAAAATGTCTTTCAAAAAATCCTATTTAATAATTATTTTCAGTTTTTGGTCGAAAGACAGGGTCGAACCCTTTTATTAAATTATTTTTGCCGAAAGATGCTAATAACTCACAAACAAAAGGGACTCGAAGGGAAAATGGAGTTCTGTTCCTCAATTTTGGAAGGATTCTCTGCAAGATAGAAAATAACATCAAATTTCAATCCACTCAAAGATTCAACAATTATAATTATAACATAATCCCAATCCCTTAAATCCTTAGGAAATGCCTTGAAGTATTTTTTCACTATTTTTCAGTGTTATGTCGAATAGTCCGTTGAAATTAATTTTAGTCGATAGAGGGCGCTCATCAGGTTCATTAAAAATATTTTGTGCTGAAAGGCAGGGTCGAACTTTTTTTAATGAAATTATTACCTGCTGAAGAACAGGGTCGAACTCTTTTCTTAAAAAATATTTTGGTCAAAACCGTCGACAAAATCTGACTTTGTCATGGTGATTATTATCAAAACCGTTTTAATAATGTTTTTACAATTTTAATATTATATCCTAAAAACAATAGAATATAAACATAAATTTAGATATAAATTTGTCATATTTGGTTAGATTATGTTCGAATAACAGCTAATGGCTAACCAACAAAAACGATGATATCAAAATAAATTACCGAGTTCTACTATTCGTATGCTACCTTAATTTCACCATCCTATATTAACTTATAATTAAATGTTATGAGTTTTTCAATATTGCATTAACCAATTCGAAACGCATTAAGTTAATTATCCGCATTCAATCAGATACTAATCGAAAGTAATAAAAACGGCAAATTAATTTCCTATTTCTTTATTTCGTAAAATCAAAATGAGCAAAGTGTTTCAAAAAATTATCCTATATTTTATAACATCACTTTTAATTGCTTATATAGTGTGTAAAAAAAATATTAATAATGTAATTAATTTTAATTTATACTATTTTATTGTAGTGTAACTGTGACAATGCTGACTTTTATCAAAGGGACACCAAACTTACTAACGATCATATTGAATTACTTTCCTACAATAAAAGTGTTGCTTCGCATGTTGTTCTGAGAAACCAAAAATTCAATCGTACTACACGAACATTTGGAGGTGACGTAACTACTACGCGTGATTTCGGAATGAAATTGTCGGTGAGCTGACAAAGGAGAAGTAATTATTTCTATTTAACACTTGATACATTGTTTAATTAGATGGGCGTAATTGGATATAAATTCATTTCGAATCAATATAAGAAATTTGCCCCGTTTGCGATGTTTTTCAGCGTATGTGATGCTTTGGTGAGGAACAGTTTTGGTGTCTCGGTTTTAACTACTACGAAGGGTAATTTAACATTGTGTCCGATAAAGAAAGCAAGTAGAAATAGTTATGTTATGGGGAATCGATTAAAATATTTGGATTTTTTATTTAACAGGGGTCATATTCCATTAATCAATTCTCTATGGACGAAAGTAAACTACCACCATATCTGCCAGAAGGCAAATATCGGATTGATCTGTCGATTCATGAAAATGGGCAAGAGCTTGGATTGTTTTCTTGGTATGGAGCTGTAACGAAGAGACGCGTATAGAAACACTTAAAAATTTTTAAAGGAAAATAACTACTTGATATTGTCAATATCAACCGTTTTGACAAAACGGTTCATTTTAGAACAAAATTTTATTAAGATAAAGTATGTAGAATCACATGTTCTTCAATATTACTTAATAAAAATGTCAAATTTCTAATTTAATATTTTACTTAGGAAATGATGGCGAAAATATATTAACCAGTGTTTTGCTCTTATATTGAAAACCATTAACCAGAAAAACGGTTTTCATATTTGTGTGAAGAATTAAATTTTACATGATATAAGAGGTTAAAATTTTCACTTATCGATACTTATGTAATAATTAAAAATGTTCAATAACTTAAAAACTAATTAAGATAACTCAACCAAACTTGGATAATTGTATTTCTGGCATTGTTTTACATCAATGTGGAAAGTTTGAGAAAAATCGGAGTAGTGGTTGTAATGATTAGTTTTGAATTTTCCTCTCATTTTCCGAAATATTGATGTTATCAGAAAACTGACTGGATATCTTTCATCCCAATGGAAAACTCTATCGTTTAGCGTTTTCCATTTTCTTCTAGCGTACAAAAAATTTTTGAGGCCCAAAAAGAGTCAAGTGTAACCTCTTGACTCTTTCTGAGGAGTTTTTATAAACTTTGGAAAATGGAAAAACTAAATCTGCCACTTTATAGATCATAATCAAGGCATGAAGAAAATGAAGAAAGTTTGTTATTAACTTTATTACTTTCCGAGAAAATCATTTCGGAAAATTTTTCACGCACAGTTTATATTTGAAATTTTTTAATTGTTATTTTACCTAGGATTTCATACTGCGCATAAAAGTGTTTTCGGTTTTTGTTTATCTCTTTTAGTTCTCGAGATAATTACCATTTAATCTTCAAAATTTTTTCTTGGTGGAGGCGCGTTCGACGGTTTCGACCTGAAAAATTTTAAGAAAAATATCCGACCCTGTTGTTCGGCGGATAAAAAATTCATTAAAAATTTTTTTACTCTGTTCTTCGACAGGTAATAATTTCATTAAAAAAAGTTCGACCCTGTTCTTCGACCGGTAATAATTTAATGAAAAAAAGTTCGACCCTGTTCTTCGACCGGTAATAATTTCATTAAAAAAAGTTCGACCCTGTTCTTCGACCGGTAAAAATTTAATTAAAAAAAGTTCGACCCTGTTCTTCGACCGGTAATAATTTCATTAAAAAAAGTTTGACCCTGATATTTTTATTGAACGTGTTGAACGCCCCCTACCGAGGGAAATTAATTTCAACGAAATATTCGACACAAAAATGAATAATAGATTAAAAAATGCTCATTTTTAACGAGTATTCTAGGGCACTTTCTAAGGGTTTAAAAGATCCGGAAGGTATGCATCGTGTAGAGGAACTCTTTAACTATCATTTAACGCTAAGATAGTTTAAATTACTGTTATGGTTTCCGAGATACAGGGCGTTTACCACACTGCTGTTTTAAAAATTTCACAAAAGAAAGATTATTAAATAGCATTTTAGGTTACTTCCCGAAGGTTTAAAGGGTCGAAAAGATATACATCATGTAGAGGAATTCTTTAGCTATCATTTGACGTGACGAAAGTTCAAATTGCTATATTGGATTCCGAGATATAGGGCGTTTACCACACTGCCTTTACAAAATTTTAAAGAAAGAACGATTTTCAACGTGAATTTTAGGTTACTTTTCAAGGGTTTAAAGGGTTGGGAAGGTACGCATCGTGTAGAGGTACTCTTTAACTATCATTTAAAGTTAAGATAGTTTAAATTACTGTAAAGGTTTCCGAGATACAGGGCGTTTACCACACTGAATTTTCAAAAACTTTAAAAAAAGAAGATTTTTAAGTAGCATTCTGGTTACTTCCCAAAGGATTAAAGGATCGAAAAAGTATGCATCATGTAGAGGAAGTCTATAGCTATCATTTACCACTAAGGTAGTTCAAATTACTATATTGGTTTCCAAGATACAGGGCGTTTAACACACTGCCTTTACAAAATTTAAAAGGAACGATTTATAAAGGGCATTTTGGTTACATTCTAAGGGTTCAAAAGATCGGGAAGGTATACATCTTGTAAAGAAACTCTTTAACAATCATTTGAAAATAAATTTATCAAAATTCTTCCATATTTTATATAATAACTCATAAATAATGCTTGAAACAAATTTATTTATCAATTTTATCTCTCATCAACAACATTTAAATACATTATACATCAGGTACATGTACTTTTATAAAACTATTAACATAGTTTGCCACTCTGGTGTACACTGTAGGTTTAATTCCACACATTTGACCGCCCCATGATGCAATACCTACCACTTTATTGCCCTGCGATAATGGTCCACCGGAATCACCACTGCAGCCAGAGCTGGGACGATGCCAAATCCCGCTTTGTTTCTTCACACAAATGTTTGTAGTTTCATTAAGTCTCTTGCTATTCATATTATATGATCTTTGACACGCTAAAAATAAATTTTAAAAATTACAACTCCATTCATTTTGACGTTTTATCGGGTGACTGTTCAGAAACTGTGTCACGAGCGAGGTCGATCGCAGGTATACCCCCCTCTCGTTATAACGAGAGAGAGACGGACCGATCTCCCGTCTCATCTCGAGCGCTGCCAGTCATTCCGACCCCCCTCTCGTTATAACCAGAGAGAGACGGACCGATCTCCCGTCTCATCTCGAGCGCTGCCAGTCATTCCGTGCCAGTCATAGCGTTCGAGTGAGTTGACCGATCTTCCGTCTCTCTCACTCTAGCGGCATACAAACGAATGGAGATTTTCTCGTGCGGTTAAGTTTTCGTTGAATGTTTTATCGGCCGATAAAAAGTTTGTAGTGTGCGGGGAGCCTAACAGTAAAACAAAATGTGAAGTGCAAGTGAAGTGTTACAACAATTGCAACAAACAAAACTTATATCACCAATAAGACGTTATCACGTAAACATCTCGATCGTAAACCTACTTTACAAACAACCATTTTTTTTTACTGTTGATTTGTCTCACCTTTCATTTTCATCACATCATAAGTGTTACGACGCAAACGATCCACAGTATTACTAGCAATACGGTTCAAAATGAATCTAGTTGAACCCCATCCACTTAAAGTTGCTTTTCCAGTAGTAATTTCACCATCTTCTGGTAGGTCACATTTGTTTACTTTGTCATTGAATGTAAATTCTGATTCGAGTTTAAAAACGGCAATATCATGTGGTTGGACTCTGAAATTAAACGTAATAAATTAGATCAAGCAAATCCACATATTATTACACTAGGGACTTACTCTCCCTTGAAATCTGGATGAATATAAAAGAATTCAGATCCGGCACTTTTAATTATTTGTCCAGTTTTCTTAGTTCCTCTTAAACTTGTGCTGCCAGCGTAAACAAGTAAAGTATCTTTTTGTTTCTTAGATAATGGTCTGATGCAATGTGCCGCTGTCATAATCCAATCTTTAGCAATAATTATACCGCCACAGAAATGACGACGGCTTCCAAATAGTGTCTGTCTTTGAAGTGATACCTGAAAGGGGAAATCTTCGATTTTGGCGGAAAATCCACCGGCAATTCGAGGTTCCACTTCTTAAAAAGTAAAAATCATTTAAAACAATACACTTTAACACTTTATTTATTAAAATATTCTTACCAGCAAACGCTGAGTTAACCAGAAAACCAAATATGAGTAACTGAGTTAACATTTTCGAAAATACAATATACTAACTAACTAAATGAGTAGGAAATTGTACTTAAAGTAAACAACACACTTTTTGTCTTATATACTCATTAAGAAGACGCGTATTTTGTTTTTGCACTTTCGTTATCAATGAAAAAATGTTATGTAATTATTCATGAATGTGACTTTATCTGTAATTTCGTAGAATTTCTAAACGTTTTCGTGTGTTATGCATTATTATCTATCAAATTTATTTACTTTAGTGTAATTATTACTGTCCTGATATAAACAATCAATAATATTTTAATATTTTAAACGTTTTACGTATTGCAGTGGCAATTAAAAATGATTTGCATTACTTTGTAAACTATTCACGAATCATTAGCGAATATTTTATGTAAGTAAATTATTTCATTCGGAAATTACAATTCATTTTGTTTTCAAATATGAGTTGTGGCAGGTTTAAATATGGTTTGAATTCAATTCATTTATTTGTCAAAGAAAATCGCATTCCTCTTACAAATCAGTAACATATTTCTTAATGAAACTATCAACATAGTGTGACACTTTAGTGTAAACCTTATATTTACTGCGGCAATCACCAATTGATCCAATACCAATTATTTTATTCTTTTGTGTCAATGGGCTACCGCCATCTTGGAAGCAAAGTGTGCCGTACGGACATTTACCGTCAGTTGGTGGTTGAGTGCAAATATGACCCTCGTCGTTAAACATACCTCTGTATTCAATTGAACATTCTACAAAAAAAAGCAAAACATAATTTTATTATTTGTATGTTTTATTTCTTTAATTTTGTTTTTACCGTCAACTCCAACAACTTCTTGAACAGCGCAACGCAAACGATCTACAGGCAAAGAAATCTCGCTGTTATCGGAACCCCAACCGCTCACAATAGCTTTTCCGGTGGCGTTTTCGTTGTTTTCGGGCAGGCCAATTGAGTATACGAGCTTGTTGAATTTGAATGGTGGTGAAACTTTAAAAACTGCAATATCATTATGTGCGTTCCTGTAAATTTAAATGCATTTGATTAATAGAAAATAATATAAATGTCCGCCATATTTTTAGCTTACTTTAAGCTATAGGTCGGATGTATGTGCAATGATTCCAATCCTGCCATTCGAACTGTTTGACCTGAGAAAGCTGCATCAGCTAGGCTTGTGCTACCAGCAACAACTCGGAAATGTTCTAATTTGCTTGTTGGCAAGAATGCGAAACAATTTGCCGAGGTTAAAACCCACTCGGGGGAAAGAATAGCTCCTCCACAGATATGAGTAACTCCGCCAGGATTCAAAGTTTGGAGTGATACCTGGTAGGGATAGTATTTGATATCGGCAGAGCTACCACCAACAATGCGACGGTTATCTAGAAAATTTTTAAAAAATCTTTAAAGTAACCGTTCAAAGTTTTAAAGTAAAGTAATTTATGATTTTTGTAGAATAGACTTACTGGCTAAAGCTGAGGAGACCAAGAGGCCAAAAATGATCAAGTTGGTAATCATTTTGAACTGATAAATGTTTAAAATTTGAACTGCTTTTATAGGCTAAACATTTTGAGAAAAATGGCTTCTTATCATTGTTATTCTAGGTTTTTTTTAATGGTTATTTTATTATTTTTTGTTTTCTTGACATGAAAACTATTAAAGAGGATCGTGTTGTCATGTTTTTAGCATTTTAACTTTATATCCTGAAAACAATAGAATATAAATATAAATTTTGATATTAATATGTCATATTTGGTTAAACTATGTTACTGTTGAGTGACAGCTAACCAACAAAACCGATGATATCATGATAAATTACAGAGTCCTGCTATTCGGAAGTTACCATAATTTCACCATCCTATATTAACTTATAATTAAATGTTATGAATTTTTCAATATTGCATAAACCAATTCGAAACGCATTAAGTTAATTATCCGCATTCAATCAGATACTAATCAGAAAGTAATAAAAACGGCAAATTAATTTGCTATTTCTTTATTTCGTAAAATCAAAATGAGTAAAGTGTTTCAAAAATTCGTCCTTTATTTTATAACATCACTTTTTATTGCCTATATAGTTTGTAAAAAAATATTCTGATAATATAATTAATTTTAATTTATAGGGGGAAGTCCCGTAACGCCGGACGGCACCTAGCACCGGACACTCGTACTATTTAAGCTAGTTTAAATCTTTTCATTTCAAAAAACAAGTGAAAGGGGCGCGGGGGGCTCACAGGTACAGGATCACTCGTCGTGGCTCGCCAGTAACGCACACGGCCCCGGCGGGAGCAGCCGTTTGCTGTTTCAGGCGCAAAATCACGACGTCACCTAAATATCAATGTAATTAATTCTAGTATATTTATGCATTTACATTTGAGTGGTATTCAAAGATACAAGTAGTACTTGATTGTTATCCGTAAAATGGTAGAATATTATTAGATTTTTTAAACAATTTTAGTAGGTACCACCAAATGAACGAAAATGTCTGTCCCTTAGCACCGGACACTAAGTTGTCCCTTAGCGCCGGACAGTAAACATATTGATATTTCTTGTGAGAGCGAGAGAGAGTGAGGAGATGGCTATGTTGCAGTCAATGCATACATTTAGTAAATGTATACATTTACTAGTTAATGCATACATTCGCTAAAATTCGTAGTTAAAGTATTCATTGTAACTGAAATGAACACATTAGCTAGTGGATGTATGCATTCACGGGCTGCTTCTAGTCAGTGTGTTAAATCCGTTGATTAAATCGTTAAATTCTATCACCCCACCCCCCACCGCCCCATAAATAATACCAAACAAGGTAGCCTACCTAACCATATGACATATTTGAAATGTCCGGTGAGAGGGGTATGGCACAAATATGTGTCCGGTACTAGGTGCCACTTTTTAAAACTATACTTTTTCTTACCAAAGTTTAATTGATAGTATTAATTATTTTTTAACAGAGGTTGCATTTTTGTTATTTTAATTTGATTTCTAACTTTGTTATCTACTATATGTCATAATTTAATTAACATTTCTTCAAATATTTTTTGATTTATTTATAAATAACCTTAGGTGTCCGCCACTAGGGGACTTCCCCCTACTATTTTATTGTAGTGTAACTGTGACAATGCTGACTTTTATCAAAGGGACACCAAACTTACTAACGATCATATTGAATTACTTTCCTACAATAGAAGTGTTGCTTCGCATGTTGTTCTGAGAAACCAAAAATTCAATCGTACTACACGAACATTTGGAGGTGACGTAACTACTACGCGTGATTTCGGAATGAAATTATCGGTGAGCTAACCAAGGAGAAGTATTTATTTCTATTTAACTCTTGATACATTGTTTAATTAGATGGGCGTAATTGGATATAAATTCATTTCGAATCAATATAAGAAATTTGCCCCGTTTGCGATGTTTTTCAGCGTATGTGATGCTTTGGTGAGGAACAGTTTTGGTGTCTCGGTTTTAACTACTACGAAGGGTAATTTAACATTGTGTCCGATAAAGAAAGCAAGTAGAAATAGTTATGTAATGAGGAAGAGATTAAAATATTTGGATTTTTTATTTAACAGGGGTCATATTCCGTTAATCATTACACTCTGGACGAAAGTAAACTACCACCATATCTGCCAGAAGGCAAATATCGGGTTGATCTGTCGATTCATGAAAATGGACTAGAGCTTGGATCGTTTTCTTGGTATGGAGCTGTTACCAAGAGACGTTTATAGAAACACTTAAAAATTTTTAAAAGTAAAATAACTACTTGATATTGAATATAGAAAATAAATAAATAATAAAGTTTTTAATTTTTTTAGGGATAATAAAGAAATTTATCATTGATTTATGGCAACTAACTTAAATTGTTATCTTGATATTGTAAAATAAAGAAAGTTGTTCAATAAAAAATGTGTTTAGCAGAGCATGGTTTCGATCCACGGACCTCTGGGTTATGGGCCCAGCACGCTTCCACTGCGCCACTCTGCTTGTAAAAATCTGCAATAATAAATATTTAAAGTTTATGCGTAGATTGTCCCAAATGTTACACATTCTCCAGTCTCAGATTATCACATAACCATGATTTTTGTTTTCTACAAACAAAAAAATATGAATTCATATATGTTTCTAAATATATTCTGCTTTATCTTTAAATAAAAACTTACTGATAAAATAAATACACATATAGCAGTAATTACATCTCCAAGGATCAACGTCAACTTAACTGTTGATAGCATTGCGTTTTTTAAACGTATTGACACATTGTTGAGAAGAAGAACAGGATTTTTTTGAGGAAATACCACTTTTAAGAGAGTTAGAACTATAACTTGTAAAATAACCATCTTTAGTTTAGTTTTAGATCAGTTTGAAATTTTATTGTAATTTGTGTGTCCCATTGAAATGAATTTTTATTTCCACACATCACCGAATTACAATTACAAATTAATGAAACACCAATGAAAAATATTGTATTGTTGATATCTGTTGATTGTGTAAATACCGATAATTAGCTTGAAGTCAATGTTCAAATGTACTTGCGGTGATATTACGAAAATGTTGGAAAACTATCAATGTTATTATTTACATTTTAATTTACACAATACATTTCATTGAAGTATTATTTATTACGCAGTCTTGTCTACTTCATTTTGTAATTCACGTGACGCTGAAAATTTGATTGATAATAAGGTTTTTTTTTGGTATAAAAGCACATGCAAAACTCACAAAATATATCCAGTATCAAATACCAATTCAATCAACAAAAGTTCCAAACTTAAAAACAGTTCAAAATGGTCAAGTTCATTCTCCAAGTTTCTCTTCTCACTCTTTTGGCTATGGCACTAGCCAAACACTCTTCCGAAGAAGAACTCTGCGTTTTATATTGTGACGACGACTGTGTGGATCCTCCGACATCTTGTGAGGATATCAATGGTGTAAAGGGGCAACTTCTTGACTACGACTGTAATTGTTGTCCTACCTGCGTTTACCCAGCCAGTAAGTATATTGCAAATTATAAAATACTAAAAAGTTCTGTTTAAAATCACTATAAATAATTTTTTTTATAGAAAACAAAGAGGGATGTGGATATGATCCGAAAACTCATATTGCATTTGAGTGTAAGCGTAAGTTTGTTTGTGTGGATAGTATCTGCCAACCAGAAAACAAACCGAGGAAGTAAAAAGGGCATAGAAAGAAGATGCCAAACAAAAAATATGTATAATTGTTATTATCATACAAAATGTTTTTGTTTTTAATTGTTTTAAAGCACATAATGTCGACATTAATTAAATTAAGCACCAGTTACATAAAATATTTGTGATTTTATTACAATTTGCTCAAGCAAAAGCACCACTGGTGTTCAATACTTACCCCCACCACATTTTGCGGGTCGCCAGCAACGCTCAGTTGTCAATCAGTTCCAATTTCCAATATAAACCCAACTGAACATTTTTTATATCATTTTATTCACTCTAATATGTATAAGAATATTGTATCATTGTAAGAACTTAATTTATTATTAAAACAGTAATATCCTAGCCTAAATTAATCCATACTGCCCAGCCGCTGGAACCTGCTGTGTCCAATAAACTTGTTGATCTCTGTATATTTATAATCAAACGGCATAACGAGCAAATTAAACTGATCATTGAATTCATACACGCCATGTCGCAGCAGCGTAGTATAACAACTGGCGCAGTACTTGGACATTTCCGCCACGACCATCACTTGTCTATGATCAGATATCGAGAAACTTCTGAGATGCATCAACAATTGATTCAACTCCATGTGAATAGCTGTAATCTCTCCAGGCGGCACATCTCTGCGTTCCTGAATTATATTCATATTGCGCCAGAATCGGATAAATTGTGTAATAAGACCACCTGCGTACTTCCATCGGGTCATATGTGCACGATCATCTTGCATATCCTCTAAAACTCGTGATAGAATGTCAAATTCTTGATTTCCCACTAGGACTGGTACCAAATCACGCATAAGTAACTCGTGACTATCGCTATGTTGTCCAGAATAGGAAAGATGTTTAAACGCCTGCCAATGGTTTCCTAGAAGATTCGCACGGGCTGCTAAGACTTGATGCATCCAAGATGACGGAATGCGGAAAGCCGATACAATGTGTTCCATAAGATCCGCATCCATATTACCCAACTGACGATCCAGCACACCCATCACGAGATTCTTCCGAACTCCAGTGTCCTTCAAATGCAGCAATACAAAAATAGACCATTTATATTGTTGATACTCTTCTAATTGTGTGGCAAAACTAGTTGTAGTCTGGTAGTGACATTCATCACTAACAAGACCAACTCCCATTGATAGAAAAACTTGTTGTAAAAGCCAACTCAATCTGTAGTCATTCGGATCAGACGTGTGTGTTTGCGGTGAGAGCAAAATTTGTAAAGCACTTTGATTGTTACAATACAACTGCATAAGATGATACAGAATATCCCAAGTATCCTGTATGGTACCATATTTTGATACTGGAGGTGCTGCATCACCTCGCTTTTCAAAAGCATCTTCAAAAGTAGCCAAAGCTACTTGAACGTTCCTCCACGATGGACAAATGTACCAAAATACCACACCCAAACAACGTAACCAATCCATACCTTCCAAAACATTAATACCTGCATAGGTTATTGTCCCCGCAGCCAACATATACATCCTACGAACATCATCCGCAACAAACTCCAACGCTCCAGTGGAATGCCAATGATTCAACTGCTGTTGCATACAGAATCTTGTCATATTACAAGCATTCAATTGTGAAATAATCATAGACAGCTGCGGATGATCCCCGCGTATAGCCATCTTCACAGCTTCGTTGATTTTATGCGCGGAGAGACAAGTCAACATGTTATCATGCTCCGACCGCCCGGCTTTATCACCCAGAATACGATCCGCGATGGGTCCAGTCACATGTTCCAACCACCCGTTAAACATTTCCCTCCGGAAGTGATCAACATTCGGGCCGAACAACTCACTGTCTCTACCCTTAGGCGCATCCCAAAATGCAACCATAAGCTTCCAGATGCTGTGGTAATACGACATGTGCTTATTTCGGGAATATTTCAACGACATTTCCTCGGAGAGAGTGAATAATCGACCCAACAACGAAACACCATCAGCAGTTTGATACCTATCTTCTGCGGGAGTTTGAATCATCTGGAAGAACGGAATGTTATCACCACTCCCGTCATGATCCAACTGCAACGCTGTTTCAGAATAAATCAAATTGATGAATTTATTGAGGTGTGCATGATCATAGAACGGATCCGTTTCTTTTTCATTTTCAACTGGAGGAGATACTCGCACTTCAGATACACGTCCGTCTCCTGTAAGTGCCAATAATTTCAAACCTGCACCCCATCCGCATTTGAAACCACGTCCTTTGAAGATAGCTGCATCCATAACCCCGCGATCAACTAACAAAGACTCGCTTTTCGGGACACGTCTGCTAGGATTACGTAAAACAAACATATCAGGCCAATCTCGGTCTTTCACATGACCTATTTCAGAAAAAGTGACATCATCCTTACTACCTTCATCCGGTGTAGTCTGTTCTTGATCACTTAATTCAAAACAAGACTGTACACCGTCCATATCCACCACTCCACCTTCAATCATTTCATCGGCTTTATCACGCTCATCATTGTAGAACATATACTTCATTTGCATCAGGTGGAGATTACGTTTTGGTACTCTATCTTGTTCCCAGCGTGAAGGTTGTTCATCCATGCTGTGCATACCAAAGGAAGTTGTAGTATTCGTTGGAAAAAACGATGCTGAATCAAGCGGTGTCATGCGTGGTGGTTCTGTTGCTTTTTTTGGTGCTCCACCAAGACCTCTATGCAACGTATTAGAAGCATTTGACTCAAAATCATTGCTTTTATTCATTTCGTACTCAACACGTGGTTGTGACGCTTGATTAACCACTGGTGGTGATTCTGTTTCTTTCTGTTTAACCGCCTCGACTGTTTTACGTCCTTGTAGAGCCTCGCGACGAATTTCCTCTTCTTCTGGATCTAATAAATCATATTTTGAAAAATGATGGACTTTGAATACCCATGACCCTGTCTCTGGTCGATAATCAACGAAAATGGTCCCAGCACGTACACAGGCACGTCGTAAAACCTCTTCAAATTCAATTTCAGCCATTGCTCTGTTCTGCGCATCTTCTGATTCCCCAGGGTCTTTACTAGGAAAGACACGATCTAGTGTTACCTGTGCGGGGCGATTCAAACCTTCACCAACTGGTGGTTTGGTATTATCATCCAGGTAGATACAAATTTGCTTATGACGAAAATGCACCAACTGATCAATGTTCAAGTTGGCTACATCAATTACATCCGGAAAGTGTACATTACCATAACCATGTCTTCCAATAGTAAAACCTTCAATAAGACAAGTCCCATCGGAGTTTTTAAACTGCGCGAGTTTATCCAACGCAGGCAGGGTGTAGTATTGTGAACGCGTGCAGATCACACCGCATGTATCCGGAATATCCGCAGAGCTTTGAAACTTTTGCTGGGAGGCATCGCCCAATGTATCGATATTTACAACTCCGACATTACGTTTTTCACTTTGTCCCTGACTGGTGTCCTGTTCATTCTGGGGTGAGGGTATGCCTGAATTATTAAAAGAAGTTTGCGCATCGGGTGTAGTCTGTGAATTTTTCGTCGCTGTACTATCTTTTTGTTGGGTGAAAGTCGATTGAGTTTCAGTAGAAGTAGAAATTTGTAGAGCTCTAGGTGGAGTCATTATAGGAGTACCTCCATTGCTGGTATTGCCACCTTGTGTGCTTGTTTCAACCAATCTTCCATCTTTTACAACGTAAATCGGCCCGGGTTTCTTTAAATTCGCATTGCGCGGAATATTAAGACGTTTAATACTCTTACTAATCGTCTGCCCACCGGGACTTGCGCTTGCATCATCCGCATCGTAGGAAGATTCAAACATTTTCCACTTTTCCATCGCGCAAGGACTCTTCACCTGTATCTTCTTGGATTTTGGCGCGGTAGTTGATATATTATTTTCGGTTTCCTTCAGATAGTTATCAATATCTTTAGGGTTTGTGACATAGTGGGTTCCTCCGGATCCACTGCTCGGTTTGAAACTGTCTAAATTGTCAAGATGTGGGGAGTATCCATACGGATCGGAGTGGGCAATCATCTGGCGCAGGTCGTTCAGTTGTGTTGAAGTGTTTAAAGTCCTGTAATAACATTTTAAACACATAATTATTTCAATAAAATAAAAAAATTACTTTTACTTACACTGGTTGTTGCATGTTAGGCTGTTGTAGACCAAAACTAGGTGCTGTTTGATTATTCGTCGATCCAAATATGCTCGTCCCTGTCGTATTCCCAAACGCTGGTTTATTCCCCAACATTCCAAACAGATTCGTCTGTGGCATTTGCAGCCCTGTGCCGAATGTGGATTGTGTCGGTTGCCCGAACGCAGGTTGCGCTGGTTTAGCAAACGCATTCGTCCCGAATGTATTAGTGGCAGGCCATGCGCCTGTAGCTCCCGCAGATGGTGTAGTCGTAGTAGTGTTAAACAACGAGAATCCAGTCGTTTTCGGCGGTTGAAACAACCCGGTACCTGCTGTCGATGAAGTCGGTTGTTGCCCAAACGCAAATCCACCGGTGAGAGGCGCAGTGAATGTCGTTTGCACTGACTTGAAGAATGAACTCTGCGGTTGGCTAGCAGCGGGGTTTTGTCCGAAGAAACCGCCTCCTGTTTGCCCGAAAGCAGGCTGCGTCTGAGTGCTACCAAAGAGCGGAGTTGCTTGCCCGAAAGGTTTGTTTTGTTGTGGCTGCGCTGGTGTTCCAAACATATTCGTCGCTGGTTGTTGTTGTACAGTAGGTGTTCCAAAACCACCGAAGCCAGTATTCGCTGTGCTTGTGGTTAGAGTTGAACCAAAAGCTGGTTTGCCGAATAAATTCGGTGTACTGCTAACAGCCGAACCGAAAGCTGGCGCCGCTTGACCAAAACTTGTACTTGTCTGACCAAACGCAAGTTTGGGATCAGAACTTTGTCCAAACATGCCTCCGCCAGTGGAAGATGCAAATGGTTGTGCATTCGGAGTAGCTCCAAATGCAGAAGTACTTCCAGCCTGTGGTCCTTTGCGATTCGCAGCGTAGTCCTCCATACGCAACTCCTCGAACGATTTATTCTCGTATTCTTTCATACAGGTGATGCAGTGATGTTTGGTGTTAATCACGGTGGTGCTACCGCTTTTCTGCATCGAATCCGTGCCGGTTACAGGCGTGAATTTAATCGTTGTTCCGGTTTGCGGTGCCATGCCAAATCCGCCTGTTGACGCCCCAAAAATATTACTAGATGTAGATGGTTGAAACATGTTACTTGGTTGTTGTGGCTGCTGTGTGGTGGCCGACTGCCCAAAGAGACCACTCTGGGGTGTGGGAAATGAATAACCAGGTTGTTTATTCTGCTGGCCAAAGGTTGATGTGTTGCCAAACAATGAAGTTGAAGCTGCTGTGTTTTGCTGGCCGAAGAGAGGCGTCGAGCCGAATGCATTTTGAGCCGGTGTACCGAATGTAGATGTGTTTGCTGAGCTGAAGAGTTGATTTTGCTGTGGTTGTTGGCCAAAGACATTACCTGTGGCTTGGCCAAATGTTGGAGTGCCAAAGGTGGATGTTGTTCCACCAAACATTTGGGAAGTGCCTCCGAATGGGTTCGTTTGTGCTGGAGTCCCAAACGCTAATTAAAAATATAAATATGCATTGATTATAAATGATTTTAGTAAAGAGAAGTTTAAAACTTACAAGAATTCCCTCCAAATGCGGTCCTCGCCGTGTTCGTGAACATTGTTGCTGCGCGCACTCGGCAGTAAACAACGGCGGAGAAACAATCGAATGACTATTTTACCAACAGAAGTACAATCAGGCAGATTTGAACATGATAGTGAATCAAATTCACGTTGCACAATGTTGTTAAATGATAGATAAGGGTAAGAGATACACACGCACAACTTAGAGGTTGGAATTTGATTGCGCGTTTGATTCGGTTCTGTCCGTTAAGCTTTAAATTTCTGATTGCTCGCTAGATGGCACTACCAGTATTGAAATGGGAATTAAATGCAACAAAAAATTGTTTATGTTTTAAGTTACAGAAATACACTATGCATTTTTAAACTCTACTATCGCATATCAGAAAAATGTCACGTTTGCAATTATTATAATCTAAATTACAAATAGTTTGTTATGACACAAACACTCTGTTTATGAAATAATTATTCTGAACATAACCCTAACGTTTTAGAACAACAAATATTTTGTTGTTTTGTTTGATTTATTTTGTTTTATTATACATAATAACACTAAGAAATGGATTTTAAACAAGAGGATGATTTTTGGAATGCTACATCTGGACGTAGTTTTGCTTTCGATGATGAGGTTGTACTAATTTAAATTTTATTGAACACAACATAAATATTGTTTGTTTTATTCATTTAGGATGCTGATTTGAATCAGATTAAAGAAGATGATGATGTTTTTCATTCTACACTTCAAACCTCCATCACCTTGCCTTTGCAGTCCATCATTTCAGCAGATAACTTAAAATTAGGTACAATTTACTTCTACTATTGTATTGAAACAAATTTGTTAATAATTTGAATTGGGTTTAGTTCTAGATGATATTATTCTACCATGTGATATTCCTCTAGCAACAAAAACATCTCAGATGGATGATATTATTAAGAAGTTGTGCCTTGGAATAAATTGCTCATTGCAAGACTATAAAAGTCAGGAAGATAAACTTTATCTGTTAGATAAAGCAATTGATTCTTCTGATGGAAATGTTATATTAAAAGTAAGCTAATGTTTTCCATATTTAAATTTCTTGGATTATTATTGTCCACTTATTATTCTAGGTTGTATTGTTTATTGTTGGTACATTGAAAAAGAATATTGTCTTTAGGCACTTGGCAACAAGACCTGTTGCATTACAACAATACAGTAATTATTTAGCTAGTATGAACAAGCTTGACGAATTGCATCTTTTATACATGTAAGTTTTCTCCCATTCCATTTATTAGACAAATAATTAAACATTTAATGACTTTAGGGCTACAGGGAACCTGAGAAACTTGGTATGTAATATTTTGTTATATTATTATTACTATATTTATTGCGAAATTACATTGGACATTCATATTTTCGTTATTTTGATAAAGATAAAATTGACTCTTACCTTTACAAGGCAAGTAAGTAATAAAATCAGCTGCTATTTAGTTGTTACAAATTTTTGCCGCTAGATGACACTTGCAGTACTGAAGGATCATTTAATAAGTCGATTTTTGTTATTTGTTTACTAACACAACGTACAACATTGTTGTCTGCCTGTACGTTGATTCATGAGATAATAAGTTATCTGACTATCAATTGCACCTTTTCATGCATTGTGTTTTGTGTTTCATATTGATTGTGTTCCGCAAATAATCATCCATGATATTTTATCGCCGACAATTGATATAAATACAAAATTATTGCTATAATACATATAATATTTCAATATTTGAATACTTTTGCAATGTTCTAGTCAAATTTATTCTATCTTTCTGGCAAAAACACATCTACATCGAGCATTCATAAAAAGTTAACGCAATTCATCATCGAGCACTTGGACAGTCTTGATGATGAGTTTGAGAAAGAATTGTTCAAAGAGCATAAACGATTTCTTGGTAGGTTTATCCACTCATCACAATATAACTAATAATTTATTAAAATATTTTCCTTTCAATGTACTACTACAGATTACAAACTTGAACACAAATTGCCGGATGAGTTGACAACGCCCTCTGCAATATTCGCGCATTTATGCAAGGTTAAACTCGATAAACTATCTGTCGAAGATCCAGAACTACAACAATTCCTGAAGTTAACAAAGATATCACCGTTTAAAAGCGAATGGATAATGTTAAACACAATCGCAGCACACGAACGCTGGCCAATGCTCGACAACATCTTCGAAACTCAAAAGTGGTATAACCTCAAAAGCGTCGGTAAAAGTTCATCACGCAAATACAACGTAAATATCGAAACAATCGTCAGCGCTTTGCACAAGCACGGAGCACCTAGAAGCATCATCGAAGACTTCCTCAAACGTATGGACGACTCCGACAAAGCTTTATACTTGGGTAAAAGGTATGAATGTCATAGTTTTGTGGTAGATACCCTTTCATCACGTCGAGACCGCGTCGGATTGATGGAATACAAAAGCTCAATCATCAATCAATCAGATTGGGTGCATGTGATTGACAAAGCACTGCTATCCGATAAGAAATGGGTGAATTAATAGGTAATTACAAATTTATTTATTAATAAAAAAATCTATGCGGAGCGCTGATTGCACATCCTGTGTATTAAATACATTTAAACATCGATCCCAAATTTCTCCTAGAACTTATTACAAATAGATAATAAATTATTAAAAATGCATGGACGGCATCGTAAATACATCTCATCAAAGTGTTTTGACTACGCATCAAAATTAATCATAAAGGAACATTACGAACGGCTCAATGCACCGTCCAATTGAACACAACGTTTTGTATAATAGGAAACATTTGGTTTCAACAAACGTGTTTTAGGTTAGAAAAGTACGGGCCTGTATTGCACTGATTCTATGATGTTGGTTAGTATTTCACCCGCTAGGGTGTATCACGATCAGCCGATGATTCGGACCTGCCTGCCGGATGAGGTTGATGTCGTTTCGGCGGTGGTTGCAACGGAAACAGACGATGTTCACCGACCGGCGGCGGCCATCCATCCGAAACATCCGCTTCTGCCAGCGAGGAGATTGTAGGCACACTCACACTGGGCACGTATTGTTCCGGTGCCCAATCGAATGTAAACGTATTCCCATGATGGTGTGTACTAGGCGTGGCTGTTGGTGTGGGAGGAGCACTGCCAATATAAGGAGATAATTCTTGCTGGCATAGATCCGGTACTTTTTGTAAAGTATCAGACCAAGGTGGACTTGGATTCCATTGATCCATCATCTCGCTGGGATCAGTTTTAAGGGACGCACGTGATGCGCGCCCCGAAGAAACATGTGTTAATACCAGCAGACCACCGCCACCTGCACCTCCACTGGTATTGGTATCATAATCCATTTGTAACTCTAAATTACGTAGATCTTTAGGTTTACGACGTCGTTTACTATAGGAAGAGTAATCTACAGGTTCAGCGCTGTCCCCAGCACGTCGTTGATGATGTGGGTGTGTATGATGCAACGGGGCGGTCCCTTGTTGATGATGGTGATGCATACCTAAATGTGGGACATGGTGGGGGTAAGCTGCACTTGTAGGTTCATGCTGTGCGCCTGCCTGGGGACCAAATTCCGCACCCTGAGGATGATCCGGATAGTATAGTAATCTGGTACTTGGAGGTGGTGCGACGTCGTATGCTGCTAGGCCATATTGGAGTTTATTCTGGATGGAGTAGTAATGGTACAGCCATGTGTTGGTGCGCATGACAGCTGCTTCGGCATCGCTTAACACCTGGTTGGTGCAGACGATGATCGGCTGTTGGCCACCAGCGCCACCTTCCGTGCCTTCTTTCACCTGCAGCACGCAATGCATCCAGATCCACTCCCCGGCGCGGTTCTGGAACTGCGCGAGTAGAATACACGAACGCTCCTGTTCCGATTGGGTAACTGGAGAGAGAAAAAGACGACAACGATAACAATGAGACAATGCGCCATGCGACATGCACGCCGAGCGCGCAAACAATGGCTTACTTAATCTATGTTTGGTCTGCGCTTCTCTGGTACATTCCCAATGCAGCAGTCGGTACCAGGATACCCCCTGGAGGTCTTGTCGCGAAAAGCCCAAGTAGAATTCGCCGCTGAAACACACAACACACCGGCATACACGTCGTGATTTATGAGTACTACACCAATACACATGCGCAGTTGTAGTGCTTACTTGGTGTCTATGTGGATGAAGCGCATGTCCATCGAGTGTATCGACGTGAAGACATTGGTGGCGCCTTGGACGACGCACTCGCGCGTTTCAGGCATCGCGACCGGCGTGCACGTCGCCAGGAAGACAGGCTCGTTGCGACTGCAGAGAGGCAGGAAGGATAGGTACCTGCCCTGCACCAACACCACCTGTGAACAGCGCACGCCGAAATGCGTGGGCGTCAGTTATACGTAATCGCAGGCAGCCATCGCGCGAATGGCGAATTTACATATTTTACACGCTACTTAACAGCTACTGGCGTTATATAAGCAGAAAATTAGCTTGTATTTAATATTAACTGTCAAAAATGACATAAATTTAATTTTTTGCTTATAATTTTTTTTTTGATGAAAAATTTTGATGTTTTTATGGTTAATCTGTTAGTTGGGAAGAAGACTAATGCAAAACATAAAGAATCATCAAAATCTGTCAAGTAGTTTTTGAGTTATAAGCTAAATAACATCAAAAATTTTGTTTTATATCTGTAGATTGATATATAGGCAACTTTTCACGCATAAATTCTCCGTAAACACTGTAGATGTCGCTGTTGACATAACTCTGTGACTAGAATACCTTATTTTTCGCTTATAATATTTTTATTCTTCTAATTTGGTGATATTTTAATAGTTATTCTACTTTTGGACACTCCAGCACTTCCAAAACATCAAAAATCCTAAAAATCACCTCAACCAATCTTGAGTTATTAACATAGGCAACTTTGAATACACCAAACCTCCAACCGCACATCTAACCTGTGATAAAAACTAAGGTTAGGAGGTCATCCACAGCGCATATTGCAACACCATCGTATTTATTCACTCGAAGGTTGCTGATGAAGTTGAAGTGAAAGGCGCACGTACCTTTTGATCACCGAAGCGCATTTGTCGACGCGCGTTCCGGGATACATTCATCCGACACAAAAAGAGTCGCACCTCGTCGCCGACCAAAGCAGCTCCAGCGCCGCCGCCACCACCAACAACACCCCCTGTCACACCACCGCCGCCATTGCCCGAATTCACCGGTCGGCCCAGCTCGCATTGGATCGCCTGATGATCCTGCTTATCGATGATGTCGTACACACTGTCGCCGTGTATCAGCAGATCCTCCTGTGAAGAGCAACGCAATCAACAACGTTCACACATGGCCAACTTCGCAACGAAAAACGCTGCGTCATGCTAATTGATGGCCGCGCACGTATATAAATATTTACATCCACGTTTACCGACGTTTAGTTAACATTAACATTATCATTATCATTAATTCGGTAACTCACCATTGAATGCCCCAGGTATTCGGCGGCGTTGTCGGAGATATAGAGCAGTTTACCATTTTGTGTCATCATCATTAGAAAACCACTCATCGCCTGTAAACAACACAGCATTATCATCACACAATGGTAAATTTTATTACTTATCGTGCGCTCGCTGGGTAAGAGATACGTGTGTGCACTGATTTCGTTTTATTGCACCGCGATATCGAATTTCTAAATGTCTGCTTTTATTTTATTTTATTTGTGTGTTTTGTTTTGCAGCGCTCGTAAAACGCTGGCGATGTTTTATGCATTCGTTATCGGCGCTGGGATATACACCTTGTGCGCAAAGTGCGGAAAGCCGACGCGTCGCAAATTATCCTCTTAATTAAGCGTCGCGAAAGGACATCGATACCAATTAAATTCAATTCGCGAAAAGTAAATCAACGCTACTTGCGAATAGGTACAAAATTCACTACTGGGAATTGAAATAGAAGTTTGTTTGAGAAAATGTGGGAGAGATAAATATTTTAGGATAGAATGAAACTTCATTTTGTTTCAATTAGCAAGTTTGAAATGTCAAACATCAAAAAATGTCAAAAACTTTGGTTTTTGGTTATGTTTATGAAAGATATTTGAAAATTTAGTGGAAATTTCTTAAAATAAAAGATAAAATAATTAAAATTGATAGATTTTTTGGTATATTAAAGCTAATTTAGTCCAAAATAGGTAAATTTTGAGGTTATGTCACTTTTTGACACTATTTTAGCGAAATTCTCGATATAATTGATTTTCTAGACTTTTTTATTACTTATTTTAACGAATTTTATCAGAAAAAAATGAGAAAATGATATATTTCGGGAATTTAGCTCAGTTTGAAATGTCAAACATCAAAAAACGTCAAAAACACTGTTTTTTGCTTAAAATTGATTTCTAACACATGTTTATGAAGGATATTTTAAAATCCTTTGATAATTTGATATAATAGATGATAAAATAATTAAAATTAGTTGATTTTTGCTCATATTTGTACAAATTAAGCATAGAATAGTTAAATTTTGAGGTTTTGACACGTTTTGACACAATTTTAATGAAATTCTCGATATAATTCAATTTTTTATTACTTATTTTAACTCTGTTAATAAGCAAGAATGAGAGAACGATAAATACGCGGATATTTTCGAATTGAATGTCGGTTGTTGGTACGCGTTCCTTTCTAAGTCCGTTCAACGCGTGAGAAAAAGTGTTTTGCATCACAAGATCAAATTAAAAATTAACTTTCATTTTATTTTATTTTATTATTTTTTAATTCAAAACAAAAAATCTAATTAATTTACAAATCTTTAAGGTGGATGATAACTTTTTATGTTTTTATGCTTTGGGGGTTGTCTATGTTTAATTAAAATTTCGATACTTTTAATCCAGCTGTGTTGTTCTAGGTGTGCTCTTGATATACGCTTAAAATTCGATTAGGTTCACCAGCAAAGGGTCCCTCGTATACACTCGCTGCACACGGTGTAATACCGTTCGGTGTGCGGTTTGTGGGGGGCGTGCGGGCCGCGAGAGCAGCGCGCCGGGGTCAGCGCGTGACCTCAAGCCAGAGGGGTACGCGCAGCTACTTTCCCACGGAGCGCGGGCGCGCGACCGGCCCGCCGAGCGCAATATCTGCGCTCTTCATCTCGGGTCGGAACGCGCGCGCGCGCATGCTGCTCTAAGCTAGTCTGTCATTAAATATGGCAATATGTGCTATGCGGCCGCGGCTGAGCTGTCTCTCGGTGAGGCAACACAGCAACAGCAACAGCAACACAATCCAGATATGAGCGGCGAGCGCCGACCGCCGCAACTGTATCGATTAAGAGCGACCAGAGACCCAAGACGTACAATTTCGGATTAACTATTAGGTAACGTATATACCACAGCAATGAGTATTTCTTCAACATACTTCAAAAACTAACGGTGTGTTATGTAGGTATGTTTATCTCGAGATGCAGAGCTGAAGAGTAAAAGTCTGGGAAAATCCAATCCGGGGGTGGTACCTCAACGCAATCATACCATACACTTGGTATATAATTGTAGCGGTGCGCGGTACGCATGCGCAAAAATCCAGCCTTGCGGGTTTGTAAAAAGTAGCAGTTTGCATTTTTATTTTTCATTTTTCATACCCCAAAGCTGTGATGATCGTGTGAATTTTAAATTTTACGCCGGTATAAAACAAACAGCGAGAAAGCTCTTCTCTTCTCTTCTCCAGCGATATAATGTGATGCAAACACGCAACTAGGTAATTGTTTCATTTACGGCGGGGCACGGTCAAGACGCGATTCCCACGAGACCAGCGAGTCTCACATAATGCAATTACGCATTTTTGAGAAATGCGCAAGGGTGTAAGTTGGGTTGCTTACCTTTGAGAAGCCGATGTTTGGCGTTGGAGTTGTGTGCATCCCGACGTCGTGGCATTTGAAAGCTGTGAACACAAGCAAAAGGGCTGTAAATCTACATAAGTGTTTGTCACTTAATTGAAAGTCGATGACGCGCAGTGGGTCCAGCGTGAAGGATGGATGGATCAGATAAGGCGGGCGCGCAGCGCGCTCACGCACGTATACATGTCACGCCAGGATGCGGGAGTTAATTGACAGCCGCAATCAATGGTGTGTGCGCCGGCGGCTGCCATTTTGTCACCCGATGATGCAGCGCGCGACATTTCCATGCTTGGGTGTCTCTTGCGCGCGCGCGCGCGCGGTGGGCATGCGATGCATCTTAATGACATATCGTGCATTCTTAATTACGCGCCTCGCGCGCATGCTAATTACGAGCACGCGTGCGCTTTTATTGTGCACGCGCGTGTGGCGGCACACGACGATGCGCTCGCTTAGGTGCCAAACCGAATAAAACAAACAACCACCTCGGTGTGGTGTAATGAGTAATGTTGTTTTAATGTTGAATGTTTATGTATGATATTTGGATTTGAATATTATTATTGTTTGTTTGTGTAGTGATATGGTGAATTACCTTGTTGGAAATAGTTGGCTTTCCGCACGTAGACGCAGACGAGCGCCATCAGCTGCAGCTGCGATAGGCGCTGGCGCGTCGACGGCGGCAACGGCAGCAGTTCGCGCAGATTCGCTATCTCGGCGTTGATCAGGTCGCGACGCAATTTACTGGCCCCTTTGGTCGACTTGTTCGCGTCGAAACTGAAACAGAAATATCGGCAGTGGGTAAAAATTCGGTTCTAATAAGATATCTTAGTGTTTAAAAGTTAAATTTCAAGAATTATTATCAAAAACGTTGTTTTCAATCATTTTTGATTTATTTTCTTGTTTATTTTCGGTAAAACAGGCATTTTATGCACTATAAATGCAAAAATTTAAATTTCCAACATAAAAATTCAATTTTCACGCGTAATGATCATAATAACTGTTAAAACATAACCAAAAACCTAAGCTATCTTAAAATTATTCGAGTTAAGCTTTCATTTAACAAAACTTCTTCGTTTTTCTTTGAGTTGTCTTCTTTGTTCTTAGTAAAAAAAAAGACATTTTAAGCGTTCAAAAGGCAAAAGTTTGCATTTTCAACTTAAAAATTCATTTTTTAACTAAAAATGATTAAAATTATAGCTTAGTCAAACAAAACTTGATCATGAAAAACAGAAAACGCATTTATGTCTTTATTAAGTGCAAGTTTAATGATTATTTCAGTAAAAACAAACTGAAAATTCGACAAAAATCCAAAATTTGTCGAAAACTAATAAGAATGAAAAATTTTTGCGAAAGTTCAGTATTTTTTGTTGTTTGGGAGGTTTGTGATTGTTTTAAGTAAAAAGAAACGGCGAAATTCAAAAAAATCGCAAAGATATGTAAAAGACTAATCAGGGCGAAGAACTCAACACTGACGTCACTCCCCCTAACGTGTCCCATCAAGTGTGGGGAGATATGACAGCCACAAGCAACGCAATTGTATTTTATTTAGTTTAAATTTTATTTTCGAAGATTTGTACCGCAAAATCCAAGTTTTCCGTTTTGTTAACTCAACATTGACATCACAAGCAATACCAAGCGTAAAAACGCGAGTTACCAACTAAATTACCATCTACAATGCCATTTTTACTAACTAAATTAATAATTTTTACAAAAATATATTTATTCATGGCGAATAATAAATATTTCCGTGGATAATAACACAATTTTACAAAAACAATCAATTTTATTAAGAAACAATCACGTTTTAAATATGCATTCAACAATTCTCAATCCAGTACAACAAGTTTTACATAAATAACAATTCAGTAAATATCTAATTTTGCACACTTTGCCGCTGACTCATAGACCATAGCCAACCTCCATTGTCTTTTAAAATATCAAACACCAATCCAATTAATTTAGTATTTTGTAACGCGTAATGCAATCCGCTTAAAAGCGTTGTTGTACATCATAATATCATCACTATAAATATTGTTTTTAACATTCTCCACGTACCCTCCCTGTGATTATGTGCCTGGCGTGGTCCGGTGATGCGCATTTAATGACCAACAACCAGCGCGGAGCGCATTTACGCACGTCCGAGACCGCAAACGCAAACGCCTCTTTTAATACCTCTCGTACACGGGTACAGGTACACAGCGCGCGCGCGCGCATCGAAATTAAACCGAATTTAATCTCGATCTCTTGCAGGCCTCGGCGCGGTTCTTTGTTATCTCGGGCCCGGGACGGTGCGCTATCCGCGCTTCTCATACTAGGTCACAACACGCGCGCCTTCTTCTCCTTTCTCGCCGCCGCCCCCACCATAACTTCCCATAGCGCTCCGCATTAACAATTAGCCAATATATAAAACTAATGCCGCGCACTAATTGCCGTTTAAATCGTTGCGTAATCGATCAAAAGCGAAGCGAACCGACGAGAACCATACCTATATACTCATAGCAAGTAATGTTCGTCTTAATCATCTTAAGCTCTGTGTGTATGTGTGTATGTTTTTTCTCTTCGGTTCTTTGTACGCTTCATAAAACACTCGCCGGATGGCCGATGGCCGGCTGATTAGTAACTCGAGTCATCAATAAAATCAACCGCCTTCTCCCATCGAAATTACCAAACGATTGCTAATTGCATTTCAATCCAATGGGATATCACAGCGAGTTGAGTTGAAAAGTTGAGTGCGCGCACATTACTTAAGTAGTTAGCGCCGTCGCGCGTCGATTGAAGAATGAGAGATAAATCGCAGTGCGCGCGAGCATAAATCGCGCGGAGATTTATTACGAATCAATAAAACGCGCATTGTTCGTCGATCCGGCACATATCTCTCTTTCGCTCGCGGTACGCCCGCCGTTGCGCCGATATAAATTATTTGGGAGCGCGCGCGCGCGCGGTGCCGTGCGGCGCGGCGCAAATTTATTTATTCTCAAAGGTTACCGCAAGCCCCGGGCGCTTTCCAGCGGTTCCCGCGCCGCCACAACGTGTACGTTCTCATATATTGCCGAGTGCATTCATAGAATCATCTGGTTTCTATTAAATTATTTGCGGAACGTGAAAAAATCCAGGAAAAATCGATTTGTCATTTGATTTATGTGTTTTACTGTGAAAATTCGCAGGAAAGTAAGAATTATTAACAAATTATTTATTTTACATCCGGATATTTGTGAAAAATTTGTTTTTTTTTGTAATTTTTTTGTTGAATTTTCAAAAAATTTCATGTTTTTTGCGAGATTATTCAATATTTTGATATTTTACTTAAATTTTCTTGTTTTTTTCTATTTTTTAAAGGTTTTTCTTGCTAAAAACACTGGAAAAGACTTTTTTTCATTAAATTTACTTATTTAATGTGTTTTACAACGTAAATTATTCGAAAAACTACGTTTTTCTCTTAAATTTGGTAATTTTTTCAACCAAAAATACAAAATTTAGTATAAAAATGAATAAAACAACTATTTATGAGGTTAAATTTTTGAAAATTCAGTAAAAAACAGTTTTTTCTCTGAAAATATCAAAATTTTCAATTTTTTTGCACAAAAATTTAATATTTTGAAATTTTTCTCGTTTTTCTACAAAAAATCATCAATTCTGATTGATTCTAACCATAAAACCCATAAAAACTATCTTAATTAGCAACCCGGATGTTTTCACAATAATTTTTTTCTGTTCTTTGGTTGTACGCGCCGCGCGGTTTGCGTGTAATTAATTGAAAATGTGCGTTCGCGCGATGTAATTCACTCGCGCCGTGATGGATGGTTGAGTGTTTGCTTAAAGACGCTTTTAGCCGTGTGCGTGATGTGCGCAAGCGCCGCGCGCTTTTTGTCCGCGCTGTCCGCGCGCGCACGCATATCCTCGGACGTTATCGCAGCAGTCACATTTCGATTTAATCCCGGCTGCGCGCGCGCGCGCATATTAATCTTTTTACTTGTCACTTGTCAGGAGATGAATCCCGAGCGTCCGAGCGCTCGTCAACCGAATATACATGTTCGGATTTTTCGACATTGTTGAGCCACGATAACGCACCATGGGTGCCGCTATGCTCTGTCAGTGTTTGTATTTCGTCGTTGATTTTTTTTCCTTCTAGTCGAGCTTAAGACGACTCACGTGCACAAGATTTGTGTGTTAATCCCCAATGTTAGAGATCGAGAATATCTTTCAGTATGAATAATTAAGAAATGTGCTTGACCTTTTTCTTTTTTTTTTTCGCTTCGTGTATTATTTGATTTGGTGTTAAATTTAAATCAGCTATCGTTTAAATTGGGACGGTGTGTAGTCCTTAAGAACGTATTCGTGTTCTTTTAGATAAGATTTGAAATGTTGTTGCCGGAGTTATTAAAAACGAGTAAATTAGAAAATCAAAACGGAATAGTCGCGAGAGGATTGTGGCCGCTGGAATTTAATAAGCGCATAAAGTGACAGCGTGTGCGACGGGCGCGCACCGTCGGCGCGCGTTTTACGACGAAAGATGCAATTTTTACGAGGCGCTCCGCGTGCGCGCGAATTAAAATTACATTGAAATCTTTAACATCCTGCTGACAATTTCGCGTCTTGTTAGGTTTGAATGTCGGCGTGGAATTCCATGAAAATTCAAGTTCAAACAAATGTAAGCGCACTCATTACACGAATCGGTAAGAAATTTTAATTTCTACGCATTCCGATGGTACTGTTTTTAAATGGTTGATTTTCGCGCGTTTTATTTATAATTATGAATATGTTTATTGTGGAAAGGGTGGTTTTATGAGTAATTTATCACGGCAGTTAATTAAGGAGGTTTTATTTTGTGAGAATTTTAGTTTTTTTCTGCATTTCTTGGAAAATTGATAATTTGTGTTTAAATTTTTTTAAATAAAATTGTGTAGTATTAAATTCTGAATGTTTCGGTGACAAAATTTAATTGATAATATAATTTAATCAAAAGTTACAGAGTAATTTATATTAATCTGTATTAATTTGGTTAATTTTTGATGGCCAGACTTAAATTGTTCATAACTATTGTCACAGATTTTTGATTAAAGAAATTCTTCCGTAATTATATATAAAATTTATTTTAAAATAAAGTTCTGAAGGAATTATAATTCTAATACTGATGGTTTTTGAGTAATTAAATAATAAGTTCAATTTTTCAATTTTAGTTTACGAACGTTAACGTGGCGAAAAATTATTCAATATAAATTGTAGTTTTTCTCTGATAATTTAAAAAGTAATAGACTTAGGTCAATTATTCTTTCTCAAATCAATTCAGTATTCATTTCTGATTCTATTTATATAAATATTTAATTGGTGACTAAATTATATCAAGAGTTGCAGATTAATTTGTATTCATTTGTATTTATTCGATTAATTTTTGCAAGTTCAAACTTGAATTGTTAATAACTATTTTTGTAGTATTCCAATCACTACAATTTTTACGCAGTTAGAGGTATAATTCAACTACAAATCTATTTGTCAAAGAAATACAATAAAATTATCAATACCTTGTAAGTAATTAATTAAAAACTGCAGGTTTTCAACTTTAGTTGTCTAGCGCTTACGTGACACTTAAATAATAGTACAAAACTGTACTTTTTCTTTAATAATTAGAAAACTAATTGACTTAGGACAATTACTTCTTCAGAAATCCACATAAAATTTAATTCTGATTTTTTTCAATTATAAATTTAATTAAAAACTTTTTCAATTTTTCTGTTTTTACAAATTTCAACTTAAAGTCTCTTTAATTTTATACCAAGTAATTCAAACATTAAAATTTTAACAAAATTAGATGTAGAAATCACAACCTAATTAAATTATCAAAGAATCATAGCTTTGCCGCCGATATTTATCGAGTAATCAATCAAAAACTGTAACTAATGAACCAACTCTCAACGCCATGTAAGGGTACCGCGGGTATACAAACATTTTTCATCGCATCTTCATGAAAATCGATGTAAAAAACATAATAAATCCACAAACCAACGGTGCAATTAACTTAACTAACTAACTTATTTTGCCAATAAGTTACTAAAGACATTTATCTTTAATACAAAGGTTATTGCAATTAAATGCATAAAACTCGCGCAAAACTTTCAAAAAACGCAGAAACAAAACTTAAAAAATTAAATTACCTAGATAATTACTTTTGTAGTGGAAATTAGGATAAATAACGGTCATCTGTGGATTTACCCCAGTAAATAATTTTAGTTAAATCATAAAAATATTAAAAATTTTATCATTTTATAACAAATTATTACAAATAATTTGATTTTTTTGATTTTTTGCTAGTTTTGCTTGATTATTTAGATAATTACTTCTCTAGTATAAATTAGGATAAATATCGGTCCCGTGTGAATTACCCCAGCAAATAATTTTAGTTGAAACATAAAAATAATAAGATTTTAATCATTTTATAGCAAAACAAATTATTTTTGATTTTTACTATTTTTTGCTTGATTATTTCAATAACTATTTTTGTGGTATAAATTAGGATAAGTAACGGTCATGTAAGGACTTACCCCAATGTTTAAATCTGGTTAAATCATAAGAATATGAAGATTTTAATCATTTTATAGCAAAAAATATTATTTTTGATTTTTTGCTTATTTTTAGTTATTTTCTAATATAAAATTATATCTCCTTATTCCCATTTTCAGAACAAGAAAATACCTCAGTAATAACCATCTTTATAAGCTCAAGAACCAACCTATTTGAGTAATAATACGTTTAAATTTCCTGCTGTCTCTGATTGTTAGCAATCGCGCAGCGCAGGTTCGTGTCGTACCGTCGCATTGAAATACAATTTTTGCACTCGCACTCTGCGCCAACTTAACGCGATATTTATCTATTTAATAACACGCTCTGCAGCCACAACCAACGTACTTTTACAAATACAAATACTTTTTCCATTAGATCACTCTTATTATTACAACCAATAAAAACAAAGCTGCAGCCACCTTAAAATCACCCAAGACGAAAAACCAAACAAAAAAACTCAAAACATATTCAATTACTGCTCGTAAATCCGAATATTTTACGAGACTATTAATCCCATAAACAACATCCCCTCGCGCAGGATAACGGAAGTAATTTCGAAGAGGTGAGATGAGATGGATTACCGTGTAAACATGTTGTCGTCCCGTTTCGGCAAATGAGTCGTATAAATCGCACGCACGTCCTGCCACACATTCAGCACACATGCACTCATATAACACGCGCGTAAAACTCGCGAGCTCCGGAGCTCTCACCGTCCGCACGTGAACACCCGCGCAGCGCGCACCACTTTATGCGCTTATTATGGTACGGCGTCGTCGAAGGTACCGCGGAGATGTGCGCCGTGCGCCCATAAGACACACGCGCGCGCGCGTTCACCGCAAGAGATGTGCTCTCAGTAGACTACTACTACTACTACTACTACTCTGGTGGTAGGTATATTACAATGTGTAATGTGTAATGCGCGCAGAAAAAGTTTTGGACCCCATAGGTGGTACCATGTTGTATGGATATGAGTATCGAGCGCAAAATTGTTGCGCATTGTTGTTGGTACGGTGCGATACTGCCTTCCGTAGATAAGCTGGGGATACATCGGATGGCGTGCCATACCATGTGCGGTATTGTCCGATGGGTGGCCCGGGTGGCCGTGGCACAATACAAACATCTTTCTCTTCGCGTAGGTGCGCGCGCGCGACCGACGGAGGAGCGAACAATGCGCTGCGCCGAAATGGCCACTTATCATTTTATCAGCGCATCCAATCGTCGCCACCAACAAATATTCAAAGTGCTCCCGTTCGGGCTGTGGATGCTGCGAGTATGTGGCGAGGGTACTACTCGTACCAGGAGACGTGCCAGACTCGTATCGCAAATCATTTATTTGCACATTGTGTCTCTGGAGGATAATGCTGTGTGTGCTGGTATGACCTGCATGTGGTAATGTGGAAGCAGGTTGAGTTTTTTCTTGAGGTGCACCACTTCTTCGTGGTGTTTCTTCATTAGCGCTGCATAAATTTTCGGTTTGTTTCTAACTAGACTGCTAACAAACAAACAAACTAATGGGAACAAAACAATTTAATTATTTGGATGATTTTTGTTTCTGGGCGTAAGAAGGTATACCTTTAGTTTGTATTGGGTTTATTTTTTACTAAAAATTTGTTATTTTGTGTTAAAAGCGGAGAATAAACTAATAAGATAAAAATTAAGTACAATTTAATTGAAATATTCATTTTTTGAAGGTATACCTTCAGTTGGTATTGAGTTAAAAATTGTTATAAATATATTATATATTAATACATCAATTTTGAAGCAAGAATTTTCAAATAAAAACACAATAGAGATATACCTTCAGTTTGTATTACTAGGAAGGTATTATTTCAGTTTAAAAGCGGGAAATTAACGAATAAGAAAAAAATTAGACACAATTTAATTATAAAACCCATTTTTTGAAGGTATGGGAAAGAGAAAAAGGTATACTTTCAATTGTTTTGGTTTTAGTTTATTATTTTACTTTAAGTGCAAGAAATGTTTTAAAAAAAAATTATGGAAAAGTGAATGATAAAAGTATTTTTTTGAAGGTAGGGAGAAAAAAAAGGTACACCTGCAGTTAGTATTGGGTTCATCTTTACTAATAATGTATTATTTCAGTTAAAAACAAGAAATTAAGAGTATTTTTGGTATAATAATTATGTTTGGAAGGTATGGAGGGAATAACAAGGTATACCTTCAATTGATTTTGGGTTTACCTATACCACAAAAATATTAATCCACTTTAAAAGCAAGAAATTTTCTAATAAGAACAAAATATTTATGGAAAATGAAATAATATCGGAATCTTTGGAAGGTATGGAGGAAAAAAGGTGTTCCTTGACTTGGTATTGTGTTGACCTTTATCGGTAATACATTTATATATGTATTATTTTATTTTAAAGACTTGCCATGAAAGGTTTTTGCTATTATTGTTCAAATTTTATGGGCATACCTTCAATTGCAGATAATACTAACCTACAAATAAGTGTTTTTTGAAAAACTGCTCTATAAACCGCGGAAATATATACTATTTGCCATGAATAAAATATTTATGCAAATATTGTTAATTTATTTAGTAAAAAATGACATTTTAGTTGATAATTTTGTTGGTAACTCGCATTTTTACACTTGGTATTGCTTGTGATGTTATTGTTGAGTTAACAAAACGGAAAACTTGGATTTTTTGGTGCAAATCTTTGAAAATAAAATTTAAACTCAGTATAATAGAATTGCGTTGTCTGTAGCTGTCATTTCTCCTCACATTTGATTGGGTCACAATATGGAAAGTGACGTCAAGGTTAAGTTCTCCACTCTGATTAGATTTTTACATATCTTCGCGGTTTTTTCGAATTTCGCCATTTTTTTTTACTTAAAACAATCACAAACCTCCCAAATTACAAAAAATACCTGAACTTTTAATAAAAAAATTTCACTCTGAATAGTTTTCCATATATCTACGCTTTTTTTGAATTTTTAGTTTGTTTTTATTAAAATAATCATTAACCTTGCACTTAATAAAGACATAATTCTATTTTTTATATTTAATGACCAAGTTTTGTTAGATTAAGATACGATTTGAATAATTTTCTGTTAGTTTAGGTTTTTGGTTATGTTTTTACAATTATTATGATCATTACGTGTGAAAAATTCAATTTTAAAGCTGGAAATACAAAATATTACTTTTTGAATGTTTAAAAATGTCTTTTTTACTAAAAATAAAGAAGTGCAAAGAAAAACGACCAAGTATTTTTAAATTAAATCATAATTCGGATCATTTTTAGTGAGCTTTTGGTTATGTTTTTATAGTTTTTCTGGCCATTTTGCGAAAACTACATAAATTTTTTTTCGAATTCAGCGTTTTTTACTTCAAACACTCACAAAACTCACAAATAATTAAAAAATAAGAAAACAATAATAAAAAATTAGAAAATTCACTAATTTTAGCCACATTCATGGTCATTAAATCAAAAATCTTGTGTTAACTATCTCTATCTTAATGTTTGCCTACACTTTGTTTTTGTTTATTGTGAAATAACCCGCCGCTGACTATCATCATCAAGTTCTCTCCTCATTTTCTGCACGTAATTCGTTTCGTTTATGCGCGCTGCAAGCGCATGCAAATAGAAAAGCATCATCCGCAGAGCATCCACAGCGCGACCGAAGGTTCGGCGTTCACTTCGCATCGCGGCGCTGGTTATTACGTCTGTGAGGCTTGAGCAATAATCAATGATGTCATTATGCGATCATTCCGGGCCCGGATCGCCGCGATAAAGGCACCGAACAAACGAACAGCGATACCATCCTCCTCACCAACCCAAGAGAATATATTGTATATAATATTGTATATAATATATTTATATACACTACAACAACGATCTCCACCATTCCGCTGGGTTATTTATTATAAAATTACACGTTGTAACGCCGTTTAATTTCGTTCCTCTGCGCCTGCTTAAGCCGCACATCGAAGATCATTGTTTATTCCCTCGCTGCGCGTTTGTTTCGCTTGTTTCACGCCGTGTCTATTTCGCTTTTTTGTTCAATTCTCACACGATGTGTACATGTACGACGTCTCGATTTCGTTTGGACAATGAGCGGCACGTTTTACGATTATTGATTACCGCTTCATTTGATGCATTGAATTTTAATTTTTACGGCCGTCGAATTTGTGAACAATGAGCGCTCGCGTTTACGATGACGCTGATATGATAGTTACTGGTTGAGGTTAGGTTGGGTTGGATTGTGGAGTGATCCATTTTCGAGGAAGTTTTCGGTCGGATCTTGGCGCGCTTGGACAATGACCATGCATGACCATGTTGCACCGCATTGGTGCAGCGGGAGAGTAATAACAGGTTTACGCTTTGCGCTATATTGCACCGCGGCTCTCCACCTACAACTCGCGCGCCGGACAGCGGAGAGCACGATGCGCGCACATCTACATTGCAAATTAACGCTAGAACAACAACGGCAAACATTCTAGGATTTGGATTATACGTTGGTACTTGGAAGCGTGTCATAGATGCAATAGTTTATTTTGTTGTTTTATATTCGAGTTGAATTTTATTTTATTCTTAAAAAACGTTAAAAATCGATTGATTTATTGAAATAAAAATCAAAACAAGTTGAAATAATTTAATATTTCTGCAGTTCTTTCTAAATTAGCTGTCAAAAAATTGTGTAAGCAAAGTTGCCTATAATTCAATTAACATAACTTCACTCAAAAACTTCTTTTTCTTCTTCCACCAGTTTAGACAATTTTTAAAGTTAGAAATCTATTTTTTTAATACAAATATTCCTTTAGAATAATTTTACAAATATGCAAATCAAGTCAAAATAATTCACGAGAAAAAAACAGTTTTTTATTAGTTAATCACACCATCTAGCGATGAACGCGCTATCTTAAAGCAGTAGTCTATTCCCCTCTGTAATATAAAACAGTTTGCTACCGACTCCTCTGAAACAATACGTAATTATACACGAATTAAGTTTCAAACCAAACTAACTCTCAATCATAGGCAACCCACAATACACTAGCGCACAACTTAAAAATATCTTTTTGTAATTTTTAACTTTACTTTGTTATATCTCCTAAAGATAACTGCTTGAAATGTAAATACTTGTCCTCATTTAATTATCTACTTTGTCAGTAATAACGCTTCAACAATCGCAAAGATAGAATTACAAAGTTAACATAACTTTTAAAAAAAGACATTCATGTATATTCAACGCTTTGTGCAACAACACAATGGCCTGAATAAAACAATGCAACAATTTTAAAGTAAAATACAAATACAAATACAAATACAAATACCAAAAAGGAGTAAAAACATAAAGGTAATATTTATGATTCATTCTTTAAATTCCAGACGTTTTTTACGTGCATTACCGTAACTGGTACATCGTACATAAAATCAGGGGAGAATCGTGAAGCATGAAGCCCCATCTGTAGCCAAACGCGCCCGGAAGCAGACTGCTACCTGCAACCCTCGTAATTCCCCCCTGGCGTCGCGACGTCCGCACACGACCGTCGTTTTATCGAGCGGCACCGCACGGCGCACAATTCAGTGCCAGTGTCGGTGGCGCGGCGGCAGTTACTCGCATTCGCGCTCGCTACGCGATGTGACGCACTGAAAACACAACGCGATCAGGAAATATCATCAACCGAATTTATTCCATACCTGAATTAATTATAAAATGGTGCAGGATGAGTGTATGTCAATCACGGTGCGAGATCATCCTTGGTGAGTGCAGAATATAAAATAAACTATTTCCTTCATCTTCTTCCGGGTGGTCAAGAAGTGAATTTAATTCATTTAACAATTTTTGATTAAATTAAACTTAACATGACCATGAATACTCGTACATACAATACAATAACACAAATTGTAATTGAATAGAATTTAACATAATTTAGTTATAAGTTGAGCCGAATCGAGACGGAGAACATTAGAGTGGATCTATCTGGAGCAATTTGCATCTATTGTGGGATAATCGCCGTGGATGTCACGCGAACACGCAGACCGGAATTGTTATTAGCACATCTCGTTGGTGAATATAGAATATGGGACACGAGAGCACTGGGGCAAGCATAAAATCGGAATAATACGCGAAATTAATTCAGAAAAATAAAATTTCAGCCGTGATAGCAAGGCTGATAACAACTCTTGTGTCAACTGTTTTAAATTACGATGTTTGCCACGACAATAAACATTATGAAACTTACATGTACTCCACTAGTAGTATCACAAAATGTTAATTTATTTCAAGTTGTGTTTATGTTTGAATGGGAAATTGTGGGCGTTGCGTTTTCCGTTGATGAATTCCTGAAATATAACTTTTATCAGTTTACTGAGAAATACTGTATTTTCTATTTTACTGAATGAGTTAAAAATTTTATGTTTAATTTTTGTGTGTTTAGCATAAAATCAGGTGCATAGTGGTGATATGTGATGACGATGGCCACCATGAAGCTGCCTCTGAAGATGTACATCCTTATCTTACTCGGCGTGTCTGTGATGCTCTATCAGTACAGTTTGTCCAGTGTGATTGCTTTCAACGGGGCGCCTCTGGATGGTGCTGATGTTTTATATCGGGGGACGCAGAATGAGAGTATGGGGCATGAAGCCATCAAATCTGGAGCTAGAGTATGTAAATCTATTAGTAATAATATTTATTTTTACTATAAAATTGCTTGAAAATCGTTTTTTTTTTTGCATTTTTATGAATATTTTTGTAATTTTTGCGCGTTTAGTAATTATATTGATAAGTATTGCAATATTTTGCATAACAAATTATTGCATTTTATTCAAAAATTACAATGCAATACTTAAAAATTTAAAAATTTTGCTTTTTTGCTTTAAAAACTTTGTATTTTTAAGTAGTTTTAGTATTTTTACTGGTTTTGCAAAAGAAAAACACATTTTCGCTTAAAATATTTAACATTTTCAAAATTCTCTTTAGTAATACTTTAAAAAATAAAATATTTGTTTAAAACTTACTAGTGATTTTAACAATTTAAGTAATTTTCTCTAAAAAATGCAAAAACTGCTAATATTTTAAGTATGCAGCCCAAAATACACATTTTTCGATTGTTGTTAATACTTCCCTGTTAGTTATATTTAATAATTAATTATTATTAGCGCCTGGACGTTGCCATGGCCCTTCCGGTTACAACAACCGCCGAATCCAAATTGCCTATGCTCTACATCATCACACCAACGTACACTCGTCCTGAGCAAGTAGCCGAATTAACCAGACTGTCCCACACATTGATGCTTGTCCCCAATCTGCGCTGGATTGTTGTTGAGGATGCTACACATAAGTCGCCGAAAGTCGAAGCTATCTTGGCGAAAAGTGGTTTGCCATATACTCATCTTATAGGTATACTATTCTATAGTCTGCTTGAAAGTTTTCAAGTTTTCTCTTATCCTGTGACTTTGTTTGTGTCACCTTTAGCCCCGATGCCAGAAGAATTCAAAAAGAAGAAAAAAGGTCCCAAGCCGCGTGGAGTCTCAAATCGCAACAAGGGCCTAGAGTGGATCCGGCAGAACGCCAAAGATGGAGTACTTTACTTCGCCGATGATGACAACACCTACGACCTGGACATTTTCGAGGAGGTGAGTGTTTGCCTACGGCTGTGATCCTCTGAACCTCCGCACTTGGCAGTGTGCCAGTGCCGCAATACGTAATCGGGTCGAGTAAAAACAAATCAATATTCGCGTGTCTTTGAATCTTTCATCGCTGCGATTGATTGCGATTGCAGATGCGGCACACCAGACGCGTCTCCATGTTCCCAGTGGGGCTCATCACGAAGCTGGGCGTGAGTTCACCGGTGGTCCGAAATGGTACGTTTGCCGGTTTTTACGACGGCTGGATTGCCGGCAGGAAGTTTCCTGTAGACATGGCCGGATTTGCTGTTTCGGTGGTGTTTCTACACCGTCGGCCTAATGCCACCATGCCTTACAAACCAGGTTATGAAGAAGATGGTTTTCTGAAAAGCCTGCGACCCTTCGAACCGAAAGAAATCGAACTTTTGGCCGATAAGTGTACAAAAGTAAGAAAAATTAACCTTATGCAACCCAAATTACATCTGTGTACATTTCAGATTCTTGTGTGGCATACACAAACGAAGAAAAACGAACCCTCCCAGCCGGTGGACACTAGCAAGTACAACAATACGAATATTCTAACGCTGAAGACGATTCTAGTGTAACGTACACACGTGTACTTTGTTGAAGACGTTTCGTTTCTTGTACGGAATACGGAGTAAGGTAAATAAGGCTGTGCACAATTTCATTTTCGGCGTGTCGCGTGAGTAATCACTATATACTTCCAGTCAAACACGAGCAAGAAACGCATGCGCAATCAAAATCAACGAAACCTAACCTAAAAACAAATAACTTATATCGCAATAACTTTGAATGCCTCTCACACTATTGCCTCCAAAAATAAACCACAGATAAAACACAACGCGGGCGCATTAATTTGCAAATGTAGTTGGGCACCCGCACGATTAATTTGCAAATTAATTGCAGCGGAAGTACGGCGCCGCGTGTACGAGTTTTGTCCCGAACTTATATAAAAAAAAAAAAAAAACATTACGTAACATTCCACAATTTTATTTCGTGCGCCAGATGGTTCTTGGACGCGCTCCAAGAGTGTCGCAGCGCAAACACGCACCACTTTAAAATAAATCGTATCATTCCTATCGATTTTTAGCTTGTAAGCTGTTCATACCAACGCCAAAACAAACACTCATACATCTACCATGTAACGCAAACAGTCCATGAGTTGTTTTACGAATTATTATAGATTTAAGTCGATGAGATAACGTTTCATAATTAACGCACTACCGGCAATGCGCGCGACATTGCAATACCCAGTGGAGAATGTTTTTAAATAACCGAGCATTGTATATTTTCGCACAATAGGTTAAAGAAAAACAAGAAAAACAGGATTATAAGATAAAAAGTGAGTTCTAGTTAGTCATGTGAGGATAAAAAGTTGTAATATTACAAAATATTTGCATTTTTTAAACTTTCTATCTGTCAAAAAGGGTTTTAGATGAATTTTGACAGTAAAAACTGTCAAATGTCAAAATTTTAACCTCAAAAGTTGAAATTTAAAACTTAAAAGTGCAAATATTTTGTGATTTTGTTACAATTTTCACGAGTGACATGAAACTCGATAGCATCTTACTGATTCTTACGAATAGTACTTAACGTTCGAAGACGTTTCTTATGTATCTACCGTACCTATAACACGCAAGTATTTATTAAGAATTTAAGGATTTGACTAAAAGCCTAGGTCCGACGCCGTCGTTTTGATGAATTTGTGAAGTGGATATTAAACTTGTTACATTTCTTACATAAATAAAGAGACAGAAAGAAAGTGAACGCAACGCCTTCCTGCTTTCGGTTGTCATCATCTTTTTGGAAATCTTTATTTTTATTCTGGCATTTTAATCATGACGATCATTATGTATAATATGTACATTAATCATGGGCTCGTGTCATCGGGGCAAGAATGGCAAGTTGATTTGTTCCAGCGCAATCAATTCCAGACTTGACTCCATTCCTTTGCAAAGGTGTACAATACACTAAATGATTGTGATAAGAATGCGCGCGCAGGCCGGAAATGTTGCACTTTTAGCTGCTGTTTCGAATGCATCAGCTTGAAGAAAACAGTGTCAAGGTTTGTCGCGGTGCCAATTAGTGCAGCATTCCACTTGGAGCGCTTTTGTCTATTTTCGCTAAGGCTATTTCTAGATTTCATGAGACTCGCACACTTTTCTTTGGTGGCAAAACACAAACAAATGAACAATTGGCATGAGAAGTTGTTTTGATTTGTGTACGTTTGATGGTGTCACTTAGTTGTAGCCACTTGCGGCTAGAATTCGCTATCGAAACATAAACAGCGCATATCATCATAAATTTATTAAATTTCTTGTTTGTTTTTGTTTTGATAGTGAAAACTAACCGCAAGTTCGTATGATTAATCAATTTGATTATTACTAATCTCGCTATTACATTTAAAGCTTATTCGTTATGATTTTATGTGACTTCCTTACTCAACTTAACAGCTACACATGAATTTTGTTTTGCTTTGATTAAATCTTCCATGCCCCACACGCATGTTCCATCGGTTCCCCAATCGCCGAAGTAAAAACAATCAACGCATTTGTACATAGAACATTACGTTAACAATAAGTCTGATAACATCAAGAATGAATATTGCTCACAATATCTCTCATCGGTTGCACCGCTTCGTTATTCGCAAAAACTGAGAAAAGGAGGAAATCAACGTACCGCCGAAATCAACAATACGCATCATGCAATCAAAGATGTGATTTTTACAACATTGGCAGTGTTCAAAAAATATTTATATTTATATATTCCCGGATGAAATCCAGTCACCCGTATGTGTGTATTATTGTTTCAGAATGAAACGCATGCGCATCAAACCCCATTGAAGAGAAATTAAACTTATGTGACTTTGAATAAGAGATAATCATATGGCACAGAACATATTTGTACTTTACACGTAAGTAATATTTACACACATAAACAGAATGTGAACAAACACACGCTGATGATGATAATCGTGATGAGAATAAATAACAAACACACTCGCTGCAGCTTCTCTGCGTTTATGAATTTTTTTTTTCTGCTGTGTTTTGTGTTCCTTTGCTTTGGTCAGAAGGAAAACAAGAGTGTGAAAACGTATGAGAATGCAATGTGCAAGAACGTCGCCTGAGTTACGGGCGCTTTTGGCTTTTTGTATGTATATCGTCCAGGAGACAGTGACAGAACGGGTGAGAAGGACGCGGACTCGTCACAACACACAACTAGGTGATTGTTTCTTTGCGCGCGGAGAACGAGACTATCGAGCGTATCCCTTTCACCGACGTCTAGAAACAGAAAGACAAAACACACACACTTACACAGAGAACAAACACAGGTTGACACACAAGGTGGAAAAGCATGCGCAAGTTGAAAAGCAAGATCATTCACTTGTATAATACAAGATGATACAACAGATAAGAGAGAGAGAGAGAGGAAAAGTAGTGCGTTGGAAATGATGAAAAAAGTGTTAATTATTTACCTGAGCTATGTTATCATTATCATGCATTGCGATTGGAATACAGCAAAAGAAAATTCTGTACAATGTGACTTGACTGACGGTACGAAGAAGTTTTTTTTGGCTCCGACAAATTAAATAAGCTTCGCTAAGAATTTACTTACGCTCACCTTTTTCTTGGAACCGTTTAGAAATTCTTTGTACATTTCGGAGCGTAGATAACGCGAGTAGCTGTCGGCTTTCATCAGATGATAAACGTGTGACTGTAAAATATTTAAAAAAAAAAACATAAACAAAGTATTTTTTAATAATTTTGTTGTTATAATTAATTTACCGCTGCTGTATCAAACGCCCAACGATCAGGTGTCTCCATATTCTTTTTGGTGACGTCATAGGAGCGTGCATCCACGTTTATCGGGCAGCTGGCGTCAGATGCGAGAAATTCTGTCCATATTTCCTGCACTTTGTCTTGAACTTGACTCTGTGGCAGGGTTTTTAGCACCTGGACAGCTTCCCAAAATCTATAACAAATTAATTTTAATTTATTTCATAAAATTTAAGTTTTATAAGATTTCTATGTTACTTGAGATTCTCGCCGCTGAACTCTTTATCCAAAAACTTAACGAAATGCTCACGACCAATGGAATCCTGCAGAAGTTCCTGTAAGCTAAACGCCCAGCGTTTAACCCGCCGCGCGGATATATCCTTCGCCAGTTTCTCCTGCTCCCACATCTCAATACTATCCGCAACCCATGGATTTGGCAACTCGGGCGCGACGAAAAACGAATCGTACTCTAAATACTGCTCGTAGTACGCGAGCAGCGCCTCAGCGACTTTGGACACTTTGATATTGCGGCGCTCCAGGCGCGATTTGGTCAACACAATCTGCTTCTTGAGGTTTTCCTTGGTTTTCTCTGTGGTATCCGACGTGGAAGGTGATACCTTCGGCCCGATCTGCATGGTTTTGATCGCCTGCAGCGGTGGCTTATTCATTTGGCACGCTTTCTTAATATCAATCTCGGTTGTGTTTACGCAGCCGGGCATCGGGCGATGCACGTCCCAGAAGGCGCGCTCTTGACTATCGAGCACTTTACGTTCGAGTTTATCGCGTTTCTTGTCGACTTTACTCTGCGCTTCCGCTTGCATAAAGATAAACTCCCACTTACGCGAGAACATCTTCTGTAAACGTGCGAGATTCTCCGCCTCGTAATCGGCGAGTTCTAAGCGCGTTTTGTTCTGCATCGTGCGCTTGCAAAGATAGACAGCGTAGTCGGTGTTCTCGGGCTCCCAGCAGTTCGACGGCCAGAAGTATGGCGTCTGAAAGCGGTAGAACGTGTTGTCGTTCTTCACCGTGAGGACGTGGTCGTCGATGGGGAAGAAATAGCCGTGCGCAGCCATTAGATGCGCGAGATGCAACGCTTCTGTTTGTTCTTCGATACCGAGATTCTTGAGCATCCACATGATGAGGTCGGAGCCGGTGAAGACGGACGGTATCTTCGACATGAAACTTTTGACGGTGCGCACGGGAACACCGATGGTTTCATCTTGCATTTGCTCGACAATTTTCTCCATCTATACAGAATATATTTAGAAGTTTTATTTAGATTTATATATTAATGTTACCTTTTTGTACAAAAGAAGATTTGGTGAGTCCTCAGAAGCATTTGTCTGTAGCTGTGGCTGGAGCTGATTGGCAAGTGTGCCTGGTTCATCAATGCTGCTGTTGCTAGCGCATCCAATGCTCGCCTCCGGCTTGCGCTTGGCAGTAACCTTGTCTGAATTCATGGTGACCATAGCAGTGGTGCTGGAGGTGCAAAGCGCCTCCTCGGTCTGCAACCGCATGACAATTAATAACTCCGCTGCTCCGAAATCCGCAATCAAAGCAGGAAACCACCGAGCGGAAGCAATCATTTACTTCTACCAATCGGCATCATTTCCACCACGCATTATGCATTCAGGCGACTTACCAGAGGTCAATATTCCTGCGTTTCACTCCATCAACGTTGATGTTTTCTAGCGAGCGAGCGACGCTTGCTCCGTGCCGCCGCAGCAACCCTTCGACATTTTTCACGCTTACATATTCCCTACAGCAGACGCGAGTTGAGCTGATCACCAGGTCGCGGGCGAGAAAAACATGTTCAGCGGCCGTGTTTCCCGTCGATTGCGTTCGATTTTCCGAACGGCGCGACCTGGGCTGCCTCCCGAGCTGCGACTGCCACTGGTTTGCTCTCGTTTTGGGACGATCGGGCAGATTTGATGCATAGATTTATGCGAGACTGTGGAGGCGAAAGCTCAGGCGTCGACTAGACGTAGCTTTATAGTGGGGGCAGTGCTTTATGGGGAGGAAAACTGCTAGAACCCTTCGGTAATCGAGGAAAGTATAGAATAACCATTAGAACTTACAGTTTTCTATTATTTTGTAAGTTGTAAGCTTTTGTAAAAGCTTAGGAAAACAATATCGTTTTGGCGATATTGTGAGGGTACAGCGTACAGTAAGTGTTTACTTAACTTTACTTAGAAAACATTTGCTCAAGTAAGTTATATGTTATGAACATAAAAATATGTCGCAAAGTGTTATTTTTAACGAATAAATTAGAAAAATCTAAATTAAATCGGTTAATTTAGTTTTCCTTTATTAATTGAAGTCCAAAAAAAAATGTAATAGAATAGAAGCTTGAAGTTATTGCTTGAAAAAGCTCAAAAATCTCATTGCTTATATTAAGTAGTTGATTCATTCGCGCCGAGATGGCGCTGCAATGCACTTCGGAAACCAATATGTTTCGGTATTTAATTGTTGACTCTCACAACAGTCGAGTTCGAACGTTTGAGATAATATCGCGCGTGTTTTGTTATTTGCTTCAAGAACTTTGTTATTGTTTTGATTCGGAAGTGAATTCTTTTCAGGTGAAATCGCAACGTTTCGCCGTGTGTAATATTATTATGTAATTATTATTAACTTTCGATAATACTTTTTAAAATTTTTGTTGATACTATTAAACAGTTTATTTTATAAATAATACAACATAATATTTAAATAATGAGTGTGTACGGGAACATGTGATGTTGGTGTAATTATAGAAGATATGGTAGAATTCGGGGTAGGAGGCAAATGGGGGGCGCATCCAGCGCGCTTGGAGAATTCCCAAGAGACGGAAATGCGCGCGCTCGACGGCGGCAGCGGCAGCGGCGGCGCCGCCGAACCGAACGCGCCGCACAGTCGGCCGGCAACGCGCAAACCATCCAAAAGCAAGAGCGGCGCCGCGACAACCACCAACCGCGCCAGCACAACGTGCTCGCCGCCAACTAACCTCCGCGCGCACGCCGCCGTTCGCGCGCGCGGCCGGCGGCAAATCCAAACCCCGCATCGTGTCCGCGCGCGTCCGTGTTGAAATGTGCTGAGGACGGACAGCATGTCGCGCAGGAAGCAGGCGAATCCGGCGAAACTAGGTATGTGATTAAAAATTTAGTTCGACTCCAGGTGGCGGCGAAATTAATCGCGCGTACGGCTCTGGCGCGCTGCTCCGGCGGCCTGGTCGATGCCATATCGAGTACCCCAGAGAGCCGGCGTCGAGGGGGCAGCGCGGCGCAAGGGACGCGCGGGGGGCGGCGGACGGGGAAATATGCGCGCTCCCATGATACGCTCCCGAGGGAGTCGTATACCTCGCCCGCTTCGGGCGCACATTCGCAGCGCCGAGCGCCGCGCATCGCGTATAAACTACTAATATTACGAGCATGCACGCTGCCGCCTCCACACCGCGCTCTTAAAACCTACACGAGAGGAGATCCTTCAATTAAAAACGCGCACGTACACAACTTTAACTTGCGCATTGTCCGCATACAAATTATTTTATTTTTTGCAAAACTACAACTTATTATGAAACATTTTATTTTATGTATCACTTTGTATAAGTTCTTTACGTCGCGCATTACCGGACGTTGAAGTCCCGTTGGAGTAGAAAAACGAGTTGCAGCAGGTAGCAGGAATACCCAATGCACACGGGTCCTGTCTCCTGGGGTGCGAAAAGTCACGGAGCGTCAGGACTGTCGCATGTCACGAGGTCATTTGCACATTTGCACGTTGCAACCAACGAAAAAAATTCTAACCCAAAGAATCTGCGTTTAAATATTGAGAATCTAAAAATGGCTCGCCGGGATTTAATCCGTACGGTTCATAATTTACGTGCATTCCTAATCCTAGCGTGCAAAAAGACAACTAGTTGCTCTCAAAGGAGTTGTAAACCTGTACCGAAATCTATTTAAATAACACCAGATTCAATGCTTAACATTTTGAGGATTAAACTCTTATTTTAATAACAGCGGTGTCTTAAAATAATAAAATATTAAGTTTCAATATACATGTATGTATATTCAGTTGCCTACATTTGGTGTAATGATAGAAGTATCCTTCGAGACTTGTGAAATAAATATTGGTTGCATTGGCATTCTGTGAATAATATCTGAAGAAACAAATGAATGTCACACATATACAATGTGTTCGCATTGTAGTAAATTTAATTTCAACCCACACGTCTGTATGTTTCCGGTTAATCCACACAGGTATCGAATAACTAAATAATACACAAGGTAACGCGAGGCTATGCAAAGGTGTGGGGGCGGGTGAGCGGGTGGCGGCGAGGAGTCGCTTAGCCCGCACATGGAAATAAGTCTGCGAAGGGATTGGAAGATTGCGCCGCCGCCGCTCCCGTTGGGACATACATAAGAAATGAGATAAAATAACCGGCAAAGGCGGCGGCGGCAGCGGCGGCGGTTGTGATGGCACGCCGGCACCCTGGCAAATTGTCATATTTCCGTCTTCGTCTAATTAGCATTCGCGTAGAACACGGAAGTAGTAGTAGTCATCCCGAGTTCAATCCTCATGAGAATATAAAGAAGAATGCATTATGATTGTACAATATATTGACCAATATTATTAAGATATCATTACGATTACACCTGCATGTGTGATATGGTTGTGAATGTGGATGATTTAGCATTTCGCAATTTGGGCGAATATGACAAAGTTGCGTCGATGTGATTAATGGCAGCGTCCCGCGGGAGGTGGCCGGCAGATGCGCCCACCGCCGTCGGCACCGCCAACTCTCCGATATCAGCCCCGTACCAAATCCACCGACAGTTCCTACCTCCAGAGAACCGCCGCGCGGCACCGAGTGAGAAAGAGACGGAAAGTGAGTCCCGCGGGACACATGCTTCGCGAGTTGTCCAGGACAGGACTCGTAATATTCCATTCGAGTGTATACCCGGTGTCAAAGAGGAAAACACGTCATATAAGGTGTGACAAGCGGAAAAACACTCGGTTCCACAGCGTAGGTGTGTGTGTTGTGTTCGCCGGGTCCCAGGTTGGTAGGTAACTCTGGGGATGGTCCCGTGGGAGCGGGCGCTCGCCGGCGGCGGCGGCGGCAAAGTACGGCGTTATACAGCTCTCGCCATACGCTCGCATGAATTCGCCGTTGCGCGGCGGCAGCGCCAAAAACTCTGATTAGTTCAATTCCCACGAGGGGGGAACGCGAGCGCACCGCGCCGCCTCCACTGCCTTCGCTCTCCCGCCAGGGCGCACAACATCCGTTACTTTTTAAACCGGTTTTCTTACATACTTATATATACAAACTTTTCCGGCGTGGCGCATAAAAAATGAAAATCCAATAATACTAAAATTCAAATTCTAAAAACATAACCTAAAAATTACATCGCGTTGTATTATTGTAGTTTGAGGTTAGGTTGCGCTAGTTTTATTTTATGTCACTTGAGGGTGACACTGTGTTCTTAATTAGGTCCCTCGGGTACCTTTCTGGAACCATATTGCAAAACATGCGACTGTGAAAAGAACACAACGGCATAGTTTTGTTGTTTTGATTATATTAGTCCACTGTCAAATAGTGTGCAGCAAACTGATTAAGTAAATGAAGCACGCTGCGAATAAACAAAACGCAAGGTGTGAGGATAGTTTGAAGTCAAGGTGGAAGGTGGAGGCGGCTATTGCCACCGCCGACGGCAACGCGAGGCCGGGTCACTCGAGACGGCTCGCGCGCGCTGCGGCGCGCTCGCGAGAAGCTTCGATTTCCCCGAGGACGGCATTAATTTTCTGCCGCCTTGCGCATATACTGTACGCGCGGGAGTTGCGCTCCAACGCCATCTACAACTTGCATAACTTTCATATATTGCCGGCGCCATTTTCTTATTATTTGTTTAAAAAATGATTCCAGGTGAAGCCGATGGTGTCCCAATGGTTCCCATTGGATCGGATGGTAAAGAGCAGACAAGTGAAGAATTTTCTACGATTGATGTGAAGGAAGAAAATGTGGATGATGAAAATGACAGCAAAGGGCAAATACCTAATGGACGTGAAGATGACGATGAAGAGGAGGAAAACGACGACGATGACCTCGACACTGACGATGACGACGATGGCAGTCTGCTTAATGGTGAGTGTTCGTTTCGCACAGACCCTTTTTGTGACAATTATCAGCCATGACGTGTGACAGCTGCATTAAAATTGTAAATATTACATTAGCAAAAGAAAAGGGTGATTGTCCCTTTGTCATATGTCAAAATCTCTCCATCTCCAAGGACTTCCAAAAATACATTCATTAATTCTAAACACATTTTTGCAACTAATGAAGATCGCAACATAACCTTCAACACTACCCCTACTCGGGTGTGATGTGTATGGTGGGTTGCCGATCGTCGTGAAACATTCAAATCGCATATATTTTTCAACTTTGGCGACCTCCGAGATTGTGTGAAGGGTCCCCCGTTGGGATTAAACCACCACCCGCTGGCAGGCCCACCCTTGCTACCCCGCAACCCTCCCTGCTATCAACCTACCTACCTGCTCTGCCGGAATACGTAATCAGTGTAAGGAAGCATCGGCGCGGACATTCAATAATGCATGCGCGCTTCGCGTGTGCAAATATTTTCGCCGGAAATGCATTCAACATTAATAAACGCTCGGCGCCTAATGAATGAACAACAAGTGCATGCCACTTGCCAACGCGGGCGGCGCATTTTCGCGCATTAGTCTCGTGTTAATTATCGCGCAGCGTTGCGGCGGACGAGTTTGGAAAACCTCGTGATCTCGCGGACGTGTTAAGTGTAAAATGTTGTTACGTCCGGCTGGGACCCACACCGCTGGATTTAATTGAAACTTTGTGACACCGATATGCCTACGAATTCACTAGCTATCTACGTGAGCGGCGGGCACTTTTGGACGTGAAATGACCATGCGCCATCGTCCATCGATTTGGACATGGAGTCAGTGGGAGTCGGGGGACGTGTGTGCGGTGTGCCGACATGCGGTGACACCCCATAAATATGTCAATGGTTCAATCTGACGATTAGTGTGATTAAAATTTACGTTTTACAAAAAAACATTTTTTTTTATTATTTTTTGTTTTGTACTTATGGGTGAACTAGCTTTAACCCGCGGCTTCGCTCGCGTTGAATCCATCAAATAAATATTAGAAATCATTATACATAGTTGAAACGGATTGATAGAAAGAATGTATATTTCACTGCTTGGCAAGGATTATCTATGTGAAAAAATTACTACATGCAATAAAGTTTTAAATTTTAGATGGAATGCTAGATGGCGTTAAAGTAGTCAATTAGCCCGATGCAGAGGTATTATTGGCTAAACAATTTCTTTATTTTATTTAAAAAATATTTTTTTATTAAATAAAAAAGTAGCCTATAGCCATTCCGGGACCATCGGGGACCACTAAGAATATGTGTACGGATTTGATGTTGACGTAGCTGTCGGTAATACAGTGTGATGGTACTATAGTACTTAGGTGTGAGCTTCATTGCTAAAATGCTAGATGGCGTTAAAGTAGTCAAATAACCAGATGCAGAGGTGTTAGTGACTAAACAATTTCTTTATTTTAATTTAAAAAATAATTATTTTTATTAAATAAAAGGTAGCCTATAACCTATCGGGGACCACTAAGAATATGTGTACAAATTTTCATGATGATCTGTTAAGTAGTTTTTGCGTGAAAGCACTATAAACTTCAGGACATACGCATTTATAATATTAGTAAGGATAATGAACCGGAAGTAAATTAATGCATGGTGATGGCATTGGCGGCGTTTGAAAAATAAAATTCCCTTTTTCGATTTGTTGTCAGTTGTCACACACATATGTTGTCGCTTTGTGCTTTACGCTTTATTGTTTATTGGAATAAGCGTTCGGCGTCGCTGCGTCTCCTCGTCGGACAATTGCGGCGGTGGCGGCTGGCGGCGGCGGTGGTGGTAGCGCGCCCAACCCCGAACGCAATAGCCACCCGGGGACCAGTTACAAGGCACCAGTAATGCATTGAATTAGACAGTAATACAACGGCGGGCCGATTGCTCCCCGGGCGCACGCGATGCCCATCCAGAGACGCTCCTTCATAAACCCTGAATTAAAAAAGGAACTCGCGCGGCGGTTATAAGCTTCGATTTTGAATTCATTTCCAGCGGCTGCGCTGGTTAATCTGAGAAGTCCGAGTTAAATTCAAGTTTGGCGCTAATAAAAAGCACGTCCCCGAGGTGGGCTCCCAACTGAGGTGTCATAGTAGCAGCGTGCAGCGTATAGAAACAAAACTTTAGTGCTGTTTTGTGGCAATATCGGCTTCTCTGCGGGCCCATTGAGGCATTGTTTCGCCCGACAATAACAACGCCGACTTACAAGCCCCTCATCGTGTTCGCAACCCGCCCGACGAGTGTTTCATCAACGGACCGCACCACCATAACCTCAATAATTTTTTTTTTGTTTTTCAAAATAAGTCTTTGTGGATTGACTCAGGTGGTGTTCGGTTGGTCTAATTACGAACATCCGTATGCCTTAAGTTAATTCCTTCTTTCGAAGGTAGTATCTGCACTAGAAGGTAGAAAACATTAGCAGTGGCATTATGGGTGTACGGAGGGCCATTCCGGACGCCCTGTTATGGTCGCATGGGGAGCGCGCGCTCGGCCGACCCGAGCAATCAAAAACGCGCCATCCGCCCGCCCCCGCCGCCTCCACCATTTCTGCACACAGATTCCGAAAAACATCCACCTCTGCTCTCTTGCAAGCTAAACGGGGAATTAAAACTTGGCTAACCCGGCTAACTTTCTTACACTTTCCCACCTTAACTCGCTCGGCTCACCCCCAGTGGAGAGGCACTTTCAAAAACTCTTGTCAATCACGCGATCAAAAGCGCTGTAAAAAACAAAGCGCAAAGGTAGACGTAAACTGCGCGCCGCAATCAAGAGGCACCCCTTGATTGTTCGCGCACATTAACAACACACAACACACAATATCAACGGGGGGGTGCTATCATGTTACCCTACAACCGGATTGACGCCACAATGGGCGTCCGTTCGACCTCGTTCGTATTTATCTTGTGGGAGTTTTATTTGCGTCGATCGAGTTTAACTCGCGCGCTGGATTTAAAATATCAGATTACGGCGGATATCAATCATTCATTAAGGGATTCTTCTATCACGACAAGAAGAAGGAAAAGAACACCAGAGAGTTATGGTTAATAATAAAACAGGAGAATCCGGATCTCTGGATGTGGATCTCATGCTGCTGCCTCCGGTCGAACATGAGGGGGTTGAGGCCGGCGGCGGCGAGAAGGCGCGAGGCGGCCGGCGGCGGGGCGCACTTGCATATCATCTTAAAGTTTAATTGAGTCTTTGCGCTCGGGGAGGAAGCGACCGAGATTGCTTGGGGATTCCCCAAGGAGGCCGACGAGCGCGCCTGCTCCGACACCCGCCGCCGCCAACACCACCACCCAAAAATACCCCCACACATATATATAGGTTGGTTTAGATCAGAATGACTTACTTAACAATGTCAAAAAATGATTACTTTTTCCCGGTTACCTGTGAATTATGAGTGGTCTGTGCGCAAATTACAGATCTACATAGATCAAAAATGAACTTCTTATCACTCTCCAGAGGGGCGGAATAATTAGTAAAGATTAGATTTGTTCGAAGAGCTGGGAAAGTAGATAATGCTCGCGGGTGGCCCGCGGGAAAAGAGCGCGCGCGACTTCTACCTGCTAAAATATTACAGATTTGTCTTGAGATTATCATATTAGAAACTGCCGCCTTTACTACCGCCTCCACACTGTAAAGTCGCAAAGTCAGTTCCAGCAAACCATCTAGGGAATCAGTCACGGCTTTGCAATTTCGACGAATCGCTCGTGTAAGCTGTTTGGAAAATCATTTTTCCACTGAATTTCGCCTCGGCGCGTGAAACATTTTTTCTCTCAATGTGAAGCAACAGGTCGAACTTTATCAGACGCCAAATGGACAATGTCAATCGTTTTAAAAAAGCTTATGTTTGTTTTCAGTTACTTAGATGTGTTAGATGGGTGGTTGGTACTTGTTGTGTTTTGTGTTAAGGACATTGTACGCTAATTTCGCCCCCGATTTTCAGCCTCCCCTACGGATAGTTGCGTTAGTAATGCCTCATGTACTTCGCCATTATTACTTGCGCAATGTTTGCACTTACAAGGGCGCCCGCCGCGAGCGCTTAATGAAGATGTAGCTGCCGATGTCACGTGGGAGCGGCGTGCAGAGGCGAGTGGCATTCTTTCCGTTTCGCATTTCCATTCGTGACCGTATTGATATATTGGGAGGGTGTATGGTGCATTGTAAACACTGGACATTATCCACATTCAATTTTCGATTCAATTCTCTGGAACTATTCATAGCCCATTTATTCTTCAGTTAAATACTCATAGGGAACAAACAAACACATAAAACTACTGAAAAATTAAATAAATGTTAAGTTTGGTTATGTAAAATGTATTTTGAGGTTATGTTGATGTTTTTTTGTTTAAATTTTATTTAACTTGATTGAATTGGCAGGTGTTTCCCAAAATGTGCAAACGCGTGACGAGATTACAATACCGGTGTTAATTTAAACGATTCGATGATGCGCGGCAGTGATTTTCACCTGTTTTGGTAAATAACACGCGTCGGCGTGTCACCTATTTGAGGGCGTCTTCATGCATAACGATAACGCACCTGCTCGTGTTTAATCATCCGCGACTTTTTTGTTTCAACCGCAGAAGAAAGGTTGCTTCTGCAGAGAAGAGAAGACATTACCGATTGCGTCGGATCGTGACCGTTAATCGAGCTGCATTCAAGCGTAACTCACAACTCCACATGATTAAAATTTAATTGAACCAATTTACAAACTTTAATACTACAAGAAAACAAACAAAGAAAATGAAATAAAAATTTATTTTAAGTTATTTTTTTGTAACACGTCCAAAAAGCTCTAAATTCATAAGATGACATCGATTAGAAGAAATGCACGCAACACACGATGCACATCACACAAGGAAACGTGCGACGTGTGTGGATTATTAACGACGCATTACTTTTTCCCCCTTTTTGAGACGTTAATTCAAACATCTGAGTGAATGCGCGGCGCGCTGCGCGTAGTGATTGACGATCACAACTTTATTCTCAATGTGAATGTGAATCTCGATGACCGTCAGTCCCACCAGCTGTAAAAAGAAGGAGAAGCAAAAAAAAGCGTACCTCAACAACACACAGAGTAGTAGTGACTTATTTGTAATTTGCACATTTTGCACACTTCATTTTCATCTTCGGACGCACATCGTTTTACACTTTAGATTTTTCGATCTGTGCTGATCTGGTCTAGGAGCAGGGTATTAGATGTGATCGCGGAATCTCGTTTCTTCCCACGCTCTATATACGGCAGTCGCCGGCTCCCGAGCAAGTATACCGGTAAAATTGCTAATGGCGGGCAGCGCCGATGAGAAGCTGTTGGTACACGTATGTGTTGCAGAGCGCTTGCTCGCCGATGTGATGTGATGTGAAATTGCCGCGGTGCGAAACAAGAACTAGACCTAGGTACTTACTTATTTACGAGAACGTACTTGCTCATTGCTATTATTATTGCGCACCAGCGCCAAATAGGAGCTAAATTTACACCTCTCCGCACTTCAGCGGAATGTTAATCATGAGGAGAGACTCTTCAACTCGAAATCAATCACCTCATTGCTGTCTGATTGAGCATTTATTGGAATAAAATAAATTTTCATAATTGAATAATCAATTTATTACATATCTAATTGGAGTAATTCTCATGTGATCATCATAACCTTCGATGTGGATTATTTTGTAGAAGTTATATGTAATGTTTCGTAGAGGTGGTACTGGTACTTAAGAACGCCTTCTTCTTGCACTTTCTTCGTGAGTGCATGCGTGCGCGACCGAGCGTGTGCCCCATGCCGCGAATGGGGTGCACGCGTGTCGGAGGGGGCGCGCGAGACCCCACAGACCGGAGCCAGGCTCCCACTTTCCTCTGCGCCGAAGAGGCCACGCGAGATCTCCAACAAACAAACAAACATCAAACGGTCTCGCGATACCAACCCGGTGACTTCACTTTATACCTCAGAAAGTTTTTACTTAACTTAATACACTTCAACTCCATTCAAATATAAAGTGATTTAATTTAAATGGCACTTTAATGATGCTTTTTAAAATCCAACCGGAACGCGCAAAAAGCACTCGATTAGAGATGCTCATCGAGAAGATCAACCAGCAGTCCGGTAAGGACCAACCGGAAGTGCAAACAGGGCCCCAGGTCGAAAGTGATACCAACACAAGAAAATCGACAAAATCAGGTACCATTTCGATATATGTTGATAAAGCGTTCGATGCCAAACCGTAAACGAAAATAAACAATCTCCTAAAAGGATGCGCCTGTAGATATATATTGTAATGTGTAGCGTAATGTCAAACCGTGAATCATGATTCGCATACGCACGCACGGCCCCGCCACTCTTTATAACTATCCATCTCAATTTCGAGATGGCTCGTCGCCGTGTGGCATTTCATCAAGCCATATTTCACTCGATTACGTTTTCGTCGGCGCATGGAAATCTCCCCTTATTTCGGAAAAATAACAACCTTAACGAAACGAACGCGAAAATGGGAAACCATTTGTCTGCATTACACGAAATTCCACCAGACGCCATTTCTTTACGTTAGAGGTTAAAAATATCAATGCGTTAGGTTATGTTTTGTATTTCATTCACAGGCCAAGGAAGTTCACCACTAAGTAGTTCCGATCAAGCATCACCAGCGTCATCATGTCAGAGTTCATTGAGTGACGCTGCTGATACCGCCGAAGAGGGTGGGTACACCCTTGGTGCGACACCTACCACTCCATACGAGTGCGACGTGTGTAAACGTGCCTTTGCACGCTCCTCACAACTCAGCAAACATATACAGGTCAGTTAAATATTAAATGTTACCAGGTGTGTTGCATGTCGGCATGTACCTGAAGTCAACTCACGTCCGCCTATCAATGGCACCATCTTGGTCCCGAAATAAAACGGGCGGTGTCCGAAAGATGAAACGCGGTAGATGGTGTATCTTAATATGTACATCATGTTTGCACCGTTTAATGTGATAATACGATGTAGATAAACGTAAGGCACCGCATAAACATGTGTGTTATGAGTGTTTCTTTTGTTTGTCGGATCTCTGGCGACAGACCCACACCGAGCAGTTGCAATTCAGTTGTCCCTACTGTCGGCGATTGTTCAAGCACAAGAGATCACGTGATCGCCACACCAAGTTACACACCGGTGATAAAAAGTATAAGTGTTTACATTGCGAGTCGGCATTTGCAAGAAGGTACGTCGAAAGTTTATTACTTGAAAGTTATCTAATTGATTGACATTCGCAGTGATCATTTGAAGATCCATATGAAAACGCATGACAATAAAAAACCGCATCAATGTGATTTATGCAATCGTGGATATAATACTGCGGCGGCGCTGGCGTCGCATCAACAGCATCACTCGAAACAGGAAACGCGTCGGTGTGGTAGCAGTAATAGTCGTAGTAGTATTTCCGGAAGTTCCCCGAGTCCCGTAACGCTTCTACGTTGTCCCAACTGTAGCGAATCTTTTGATAAGACCGAAACTCTGCAAACTCATCAACAAACCTGTCGAAAATCTTTAGAATCATCCGAAACACCTCCAGTGACCAACGCAGCGTTGAATTTACCTAAAATTGCGTGCATGTATTGCGGAAAAGATTTCCTTAGCATGGCTCACATGTATTCTCATATTCACGCTGAACATCGCGCGATTTATATGAATAACTCTGCTACGCCACAGCCAGCGCCATTAGATCTCCACTCACCAAGTGATACAAACGTTGAAGATTTGTCGCCGAAGACACGTCCTAGTTCCACACCTACGTATGCGTGTGATCGTTGCACGATGAGGTTTGATTCCTCGCCACTTTTGCAAGAACACGTGGATAGCGTGCATTGGACACGTTATAAATACGAATACGATCAGAAACCTACGGATTTAAGCCGGAAGCGACGTCATGAGGATGATTGCGCCAAGTCAGATAAACGTCTGGCGTCTGAAGCGGCTAAACAAGATGGCGCTTCACCGTATGAGGCTAATGATAAGCCTTGTATTTGTAGTTATTGCTACGCGCAGATGCCTAATTTTAAAATGTTTCTATTACATATGGAGACGCATGTGATTAACAGTGTAGCACCTGTTTTACCACAGAAAGCACCAACGTGTCCATTATGCGGAGAATCCGCGAAGAATGCCCTTGAGTTAGGACGGCATATTTTTGGACATGCGATAGCTAATGTAGCGGCGTATTGTTGTCATGCGTGTAAGAAACCATTTGATAAGGTGGAGCATTTGAGGAAGCATCTGATGGAAGCGCATGCGCAGACAATATATAAATGTACCATTTGCAATGAGACTTTTGATAATGATCAAAGCTTGCAGGTATAATATTATTATTTTTAATATAAAAATAAATATTTATTTTATATATTTTTGTAGGTACATTTTGGTAACAAACACGCAGTTGAATGCAAACACTTCCGGTGTAATTTATGCACTGAGCAGGTATTCCACGATCGTTTAACAGCCGAATTACATGTGAATATGAAACATTCACTTGCATCTCCACATCATCCCGCAGCTACTGTAGCAGGCACCCCAGGAAACCCTGCGTTTTTAAATTTTCTTCCCGATTTGGACCATCATGAACGCAGCGCTCCATATTACCAATGCCCGTTTTGTCAAAAACTATTCAAGGACGAGTACCTACAATATGTGCATATTCTCCGTGAACACAATCATCGCCTTGCTGGTGGGATTCAACCAGAGTCTAAACAACAGAAACATTCGTTAGACTCTGCAAGATTTCGATGTAATGTCTGTCAAAAAAGTACTGCATCTGAAGCAGATCTAGCCACGCATAAAAAACTACACCATGCAAAACTGCGCACTGTAAGTTTACAATGTGCGTACTGTAATGAACACTGTAAATCAAGGTCTGACCTGGAACACCATATGAAGACACACCAGGTGGCTGCGTCTGGAAAAGGCAAACATAAATGTAACATTTGTGATGAGATTTTCGCCAGTGCAACAACACTAGCTGAACATAAATTATCACATTGTAAAATAGTAGCTGGGAATAATTGCACCCAATGCAAAACACTTCTCACTGATGAGATGTGTTTCTATAACCATCAACTACAACATGGTACATCATCCTCCGGTGGAAATTCAACTAAGAATATGTTGTCACTACCTGCTAATTGTATAGTGTGTTGTCAAACACTACAAACAGACGTGGAGATAAAACTTCACGCGAGTTTTCATCTCAGGCATTTACGTCAACAACCACAGACACAACATCAGAAGGAATACCTCTGTGCTGTTTGTAATAAACTATGTGATGCTTCGAATTTACATAATATGCATTCGGTGTATGTGTGTAAGGATTGCGCAGCAATGGCGCCACTTGCAAATGGCAACGGTAATAAATCACCGTTGAAATCGCCTCCCTCCAAATCACCTTCGAAGACCAGCTCACCCCAAATTAACAAAGAGAAACATTTATTTGCTTGCCTGAAATGTCCACGAACATTCACCAGTGAAGAAGAGACTCAGAATCATGCAAGTAGTCACTTACAGGATGAATCAACAAGTTCATTGGAATGTCATCTGTGTAGGAATGTGTTACCTTCAGCGCTCAAACTGCAGGTACACCTTATCGAACACAACTTTATGGGAATAGGGCAGTACCGTTGTTATGTTTGTTCATCAGTATTCACAACCGCGACTGGATTACGGGGACATATTGTAGAACATGGTCCTGATCATCGTCCCTATGAATGCTCAGAATGTACAACCAAGTTTTACTTTGAGACAGAATTGGAAAATCATAAATTTATGCATTTGCAACAAGCGAAGATTACTTATGAGAAGTACATTGAGTGTTCAAGGTGTGCCACTTCAATACCAGAAGTCACTTATTACTCCGAACATGTGCATACTTGTACTGCGAGTAACGGAAGTAATCACACATCGATTGTAAATATTAAAGTGGAAAACAATGTGGAGTATGAGATTCGCAGCGATATTAAAACTGAAGCCGGTAGCGAATGTAACACGCCATTGGTTTAAGATTTTAAATTTATATTTAAACATTTTTTAGTTTTTTTCTACGAGAGAGCAAACAGAGTAATATGTACTTAAATTAACGTAGGTAGAATTTGTGATACTGCATCTATTAGTTGGCTGCGATATGGTATGAATATGATGATATTCGCACGTCATTTGCAAACATAACTTCAATTCTGTAAATATCACCGTGCATACATAATTGCGTCAGGGCGACAATGTTAGTTCCTCTTGATAATATTTGATGATGACGCACATTACATTATTTTTTACAGCGCATTGGGGAGACTGATGCGTTCACGTTAGTTCTGTATGCATTCGCGCGTTGATTTTTTTGCATTGTTTGTACAAATTGTTTTCATGTTGAGATATTGTTGAACGCGAATTATTGAATATCGTATACATACAGCAACCGTCCACATCCCAAGGTCCATACACGTCCAATCTTCATTTTTGTCACATACATATTGTGTTATTTATTTCGATATGTCAATAAATCTTTGAACAAATGTGTGATTATTAATGAAAGGTTAATTAGGGTGATAATGGCATAAAATTGCGACTTTCTTGAAAAAAAAATGCATTAATGATTTCTTTCAAGTTCATTTGTTTCTACGTTTTGAATTTATGTTTCGCGTTGTAGTGTGAACCTGTTTGTGCCGCAGATAAATAAACGTAAATACCTAACTTCGCTTATCGCGTTCAAGGTATGTAGTACGATGAGTTGCCGTGGGATGTCGCTGTATGTACCGTTTAAGTCGCTGCTGCCCGTCGTCGGGCCGTCTTTGCTTCGCGTAGTGTCTTGCCGTCGGATCGCGCGTGAACATTCCTTGCGCGTCGTCACGATTATAGTAACTTTTAATCGGTTTGTTCGGTAGTTCCTGATAATAGAATAAACAAGAGGTTGTTTAGTGTTTTACAAATTAATTATCCTTTGAGAAACGATCGTAAATTGTGGAATAAGTGTTGTGTGGCTTGTGCGTGAGTGTAGTCCGTCGGCCATTGGAATTTTATTCGGAATGTTCTGCGAGTTTCGGAGTCGTTTATCAAGTAAGTACGGAATCAAATAATTTTACTTAGACAAATTGGCATAAGCTCTATAAGTCACGGCTCCGATTTAAAAGTTAAAACACGTCTATTGATTTTTAATGACAGGCATTGCAATAAAAAAAACATTGAGACGGATAGAATAATTGTTTTCTTGCTTGTTTCAGTACTTGCCATTGGTAAGTTTATCATTACATAAATTATTCTATTTCTAAAAATTTCCCGTCTGAAAATCTCAATTATCGCGCATCAAAATTATCATACGTTCATTAAAACGAGGAATTAAGTGCATTGCACTTGTTTTATTTATTAAAGTAAAGATTCCTATATTTGGTATCGCATAAAACGTAAACATCTATTTCTTATCGCGCTGGAATTCGCATCGACGACCGTGTTTCTTTGTCATATGCACACAAACCAGTTTGCATTTTATTGCACATTTCTTGAGATATACTTGCATAATGTAGCCATAAATGTCTGTAGAATACAGTGTTTTACATTAAATTTGGATATCTTTGCTAGTTGTAGAATGGCACTCGTGTCCGTGTGAGATCGCGCGACTTTGTACAGCAGGTTTTGTTTTTGTCAGTTGCTTGTTTGTTTACGGTCTTGAGTCTGTGTGACGTCCAAACTCACGTGCTGCATGAAACTTAAGTGCCTTGCATTTGTTATTTTGAATAACGTGATATTCAGTTAATCGAATTAATGTCATATCTCTGGAACTACCACGAGGTTTTGACTTTTTTCTATGTCCACGTATGGGGAAACAGTTGTTATTAAAATTGAAGTTAATCGGCTCAGTTGACCTGAACTACCCGAAAAACAGCTACAAGTTTAGCCAATATTTTGCACATTTTCAATGTTTTGCGATGGAAATTTTGTCATATCTCGTGAACTATCGGAAAATTTGCCGTTTTTTCTTTTCCAACGTGTAGAGAAAGAGTTCCTGGTTAAAAATAAGTTTGTATCAACCCCCTCAGTCGATCAGAACTAGCCGAAAAACACCACCAAAGTTAGGCAATATTTTGTACTTTTTCATTGTTTTGCGATGGAAATTTAGTCATATCGCGTGAACTATCGGGAAATTTACCGTTTTTTTCTTCTCCAACGTGTAGAGAAAGAGTTCCTGTTTAAAAATAAGTTTGTATTAACCCCCTCAGTCGATCAGAACTAGTCAAAAAACACCTCCAAAGTTAGGCAATATTTGGTACATTTTCATTGTTTTGCGATGGAAATTTGGTCATATCTCGTGAACTATCGGGAAATTTCTTGTTTTTTCTGCTCCAACGTGAAGAGAAAGAGTTCCTGTTTAAAAATAAGTTTGATTCAACCCTCTCAGTCGATTAGAACTAGCCGAAAAACACCTCCAAAGTTAGGCAATATTTGGTACATTATCATTGTTTTGCGATGGAAATTTGGTCATATCTCTTGAACTATCGGGAAATTTGTCGTTTTTTCTGCTCCAACGTGAAGAGAAAGAGTTCCTGTTTAAAAATAAGTTTGATTCAACCCTCTCAGTCGATTAGAACTAGCCGAAAAACACCTCCAAAATTAGGCAATATTTGGTACATTTTCATTGTTTTGCGATGGAAATTTGGTCATATCTCGTGAACTATCGAAAAATTTCTTGTTTTTTCTGCTCCAACGTGAAGAGAAAGAGTTCCTGTTTAAAAATAAGTTTGATTCAACCCTCTCAGTCGATTAGAACTAGCCGAAAAACACCTCCAAAGTTAGGCAATATTTGGTACATTTTCATTGTTTTGCGATGGAAATTTGGTCATATCTCTTGAACTATCGGGAAATTTGTCGTTTTTTCTGCTCCAACGTGAAGAGAAAGAGTTCCTGTTTAAAAATAAGTTTGATTCAACCCCCTCAGTCGATCAGAACTAGTCAAAAAACACCTCCAAAATTAGGCAATATTTGGTACATTTTCATTGTTTTGCGATGGAAATTTGGTCATATCTCTTGAACTATCGAGAAATTTTTTGTTTTTTCTGCACCAACGTGTAGAGAAAGAGTTCCTGTTTAAAAATAAGTTTGATTCAACCCCCTCAGTCGATCAGAACTAGCCGAAAAACACCACCAAAGTTAGGCAATATTTTGTACATTTTCATTGTTTTGCGATGGAAATTTGGTCATATCTCGTGAACTATCGGGAAATTTGTCGTTTTTTCTGCTCCAACGTGAAGAGAAAGAGTTCCTGTTTAAAAATAAGTTTGATTCAACCCCCTCAGTCGATCAGAACTAGTCAAAAAACACCTCCAAAATTAGGCAATATTTGGTACATTTTCATTGTTTTGCGATGGAAATTTGGTCATATCTCTTGAACTATCGAGAAATTTTTTGTTTTTTCTGCACCAACGTGTAGAGAAAGAGTTCCTGTTTAAAAATAAGTTTGATTCAACCCCCTCAGTCGATCAGAACTAGCCGAAAAGCACCACCGAAGTTAGGCAATATTTTGTACATTTTCATTGTTTTGTGATGGAAATTTGGTCATATCTCGTGAACTATCGGGAAATTTCTTGTTTTTTCTTCTCCAACGTGAAGAGAAAAAGTCCGTGTTTAAAAATAAGTTTGATTCAATCCCCTCAGTTGATTAGAACTAGCCGAAAGACACCTCCAAAATTAGGCAATATTTGGTACATTTACATTGTTTTGCGATGGAAATTTGGTCATATCTCGTGAACTATCGAGTAATTTTTTGTTTTTTCTGCACCAACGTGTAGAGAAAGAGTTCCTGTTTAAAAATAAGTTTGATTCAACCCCCTCAGTCGATCAGAACTAGCCGAAAAACACCACCAAAGTTAGGCAATATTTTGTACATTTTCATTGTTTTGCGATGGAAATTTGGTCATATCTCGTGAACTATCGGGAAATTTCTTGTTTTTTCTTCTCCAACGTGAAGAGAAAGAGTTCGTGTTTAAAAATAAGTTTGATTCAACCCCCTCAGTCGATTAGAACTAGCCGAAAAACATCTCCAAAATTAGGCAATATTTTGTACATTTTCATTGTTTTGCGATGGAAATTTGGTCATATCTCGTGAACTATCGGGAAATTTGTAGTTTTTTCTTCGCCATCGTTTATAGAAAGAGTTGGTTCACCCTGTTCTTTGGCCGAAAAACTTTTAAGTAAAAAATAAGATCCGGTTTTTCGCCTGATAAAATTTTAACAAAAAAATTCGACTGAAAAATTTTTAACAATAAAAATCGAGCAAAAAATTTTTAGTAAAAAAGGTCGAACCTGTTTTTCGACCGAAAATTTTTTAACAAAAATGATGTGCGGCTTCGTTAAACTCGGATTGCATATACGCAGAGGTAAAGCGTGAGTGAAGTTCCGTCGGTTACTATTTTGCATTATGCGCGCATTTCATCGTTCCTACAATGTGCGTAATTAAGGTTCTCACAATGACCGGGAAAACCCACTCCCCACAACTATTCCAACTTTTAATTCCAAAAACAGAAATCTGAAATAATTGGAATTTTTAAATTGTTTTCGGATTTTGAAAGAAATTATTATTAATTATATTACTATTAATCATTGATCATTTAGACTCTATTTGCAATTTTAATAAAAAGATTGTTTGTACATGCCAATAGGGCCTTAATATGTAATTGTGTTACTGGTTTCCGATTCAGAATTTAATCGAAATTAAAAGTACCATGCATAGTACGAGTCCAATTCTTCTCATGTTCTGCACTACCACACTGAAAGTATCAGTGTTTACAAACAAACAAGTTTTTGTTATCTCGTGCAATTTTTGTGCGGTCGCCATGCGGTCGCCATGCGGTTGGCTTGCTTACCGCGTTAGTCTCATTTTTGTCGTCAGGGGTTCTGCACGCACATTTTCTTCATTATTCTTGAGTTCCTTAATTTATCTACGCATTGTTACGTAATATTTCGATGCATTTTCGCGATTGTGCGCGAGTGATGTCCAGCGTTCGTTAAACGCTGATTGTACATGCGTGGAGGCAAAGCGTGAGTGATGTTCCGTCGGCCGCGGATACTATTTTGTTTGATACGCGTATTTCATCATTCCTATAAAGTGAATAATTAAGGTCTTTGCAAGTTATTGGATATGACAAAACGCAAAAATTTATTTTGCATCAAGGTATGTTTACGTATTTCATCAGGCATTTGCAAATCAAATTAATTTATTAATTGACTTTACTTGTTTTTACTTTAACCGCGTGGTCTTCAAGCACACAAATGATTTATGTCGCTGTTGCAACACCTGTCGTTGATTTGCATTACGAATTCAATACATTGTTTCATTTCGTTTATCGGCCAAACTAAAGAGATTAAAATTGCCGTCAACTGCGTTCTTTATCTTCTGGCGGCTTTCCGGGCTGGTCGCCAATTGCTTTACATGATTAAAATGTTCTATTGTTATGTTTTGTTCCTCTTTTACTTTTCTTTGCTTTCCGTTGCAAACATTTTGATTTTTTTAAATATTCCTATAGTTTTCTTCTTATATTATCTTGTTATTATAGCCTTGTTAATTGTTTCCATCCGCTTTCCCACTTAAATCTTAATTTATCTTTGTGTATCACCCAGTAGATATATTTTCTTTATGATTTAATATAATAATATTTATGTTTGGGCGTTTTACTTTTAAAACTTAGTGTTTTCTTTTGTAACACCCTGTATACTAATTTCTCGTGGTGAATTTGTCAAAAGGGCAAATATATATGTTATCCTAATTATAATTAGAATTTTCTTTTAAAATATTGTAGTATTCTTTTTGCATCACCCTGTATATTAATTTCCTTTGATTTTACTTTGACTGTGGTTTTAGATATATGTTTCCCTTCTTGAATTTTGCATTTTCTCTTTTAATGTTATTTTATTGCTTTTGGAACACCCAGTATAATAGTTTTCCGCAATTCCGCGAAAATTATGCAATATTTGTTAGTATTTTATGTTTTTTATTGTTTTGTTTTACCCTTGGTACTTGTCTGCATATACGGGGCTATACTGCTCGTATAACTAGATTCAAAATGGCGGCCTATATATTGTTTAGTATTATATATTCCAGGTTTTCATTGTATACATGTTTCAATAAAGAAATGTTAAAAGTGACTGTGCGTCTTATGATATGCGTGTACCCCTTCTATCATTTCAGGTACAGAATATTTCTAAGTGTCCTGTTTCAATATGGTGACATGTACTCTGTTGACTTGTATTCTATTGTTAATAAAGAAATAGTAAGATATATTGTCTTCTTTGATTTGTATGAACGTCTTCAATCATTGCAGGAAGAGTTCCCTCTCTCAGGGGATGATCCCCTCTATAGAAATTGTTAAGGTAACCTGTATGATTTGTGTACTCCTTCTCTCATTTCAGGTACAGGTCATAACTTGTAAGAATATTTTTAAGTGTCTCCTCTCTTGAGACGACTTAAAACTTAGAAATATTCTTACAAGTCCTTATCAGGATTGTCCTTATAAGGAGTTCCCTCTCTCTGGGGATGATCCCCCACCATAAAAATTGTTGATATGCCTGATAATTCCGGGGATGAAGCGCAGAGACATCGTAGCTGTAGGTTGGGCCGGGAGCAATGGACGCATCGAAGCAGTGGGCGATCGACCAGAGCTCTCTGGGAGATCGACCTGCAGACTGTCTTATAACGACACGTGCCAAAAAATTTAAAAATCCGGCCACCCCTGTTCGGAGTGGCTCCTTTCCTATTCTCTCTCTGCTCTCCTTCTTCTATTCTGGCTCCTGCTTTTCTTCTTCTTTTCTGTTGTTTCTTATTACCCCCATTCTCTCCGCTCCTGACTTACTTCTTTACTTTCTCATTTTCATACTTGAACTTCGTCGTATTTATATTTTTGGTTTACATATGCAACCAGCATTACTCGAATTTATTTTTATTTTTTAGAAAAATGCCCGATCTGGGATTCGATCCGAGGACCTCGAGCATGCTAACATATGCATGTACCACTCGACCACCGAGTGTTTATTACTTAGAGAATTTGTTTCTTCTATATACCTATATCATTTTTAAAAACTACATGCCTCAAACCCACCTGTGCTTGTTACTACTTAGAATCAAATGTGACTTAAAAGTAAATCTGAAAACGCCAGAATGAACACGAAGGATAAATAAAAGCAATAACATACACTCAAATTTTGCTTTCCAGTTGGAACTCATTTATTAGAAAAACAAAAATTGTAACAGTAAAATTATAAAAAGTTCAATATGACATATTATTAAAATGTGTTTTACTGACCAAACAAATCAAACGACACAGATACTAACATGAACGCAAATATTTAAAATTATTGGTTGACAATCCAATTGATGCTACTAATTCAATTACACTTCACTTAACAAACATCTGAATTAGTTATTTCCACGACTGATGCGCGCTCAGAAATTAAAATGACAATTGGCGTTCGCGCGATGAAAAATGCCATGCCACTGTTAATGCGGTCAACACAATTGTCGAATAAAAATCTTAAGAAACTTAATGCGTCGTGCAAAACAAATGAATAGAAAACGCGTGCACCAGACATAGCAGCGCATCGTGTTCTCAGCAAAGAAAACGTTGGAAGGAAATATCCGGGTGCCGGTTGCCGTGGGAACTTATATGAATAAACCATTTTCGCGTATGCACGCATTAAATGAATGCTCTCCAAGCACGTAAAAATTTGGAAACAAATTTAACCGACTAGAAGCTGAATCAAACACGCGAACAACACAACGGCGCACACCAGACTAAACAGGTGATCGAATTGATAGCAACAACAAATGATGGCGACACTAGCGCCATCTAGGTGTCGAAGTCTAAACCTATTTACAAACTGTAATAAATTGTCAGATACTAGTGCCATCTAGGTGTAGCGGTCCATAGCTAGCGACAAACTGTAATAAATTGTCATTCGCTAGCGCCATCTGGGTGTATCAGTGCAAACCAAATGATAGCAATCCTCTAATTTGCAGAAAGCTGTAATTCAGCCATTCACACTTACAGCTCGGCCTATTTTATATCTAGATTAAGCAAAATTTAAATTGGAATGGAAATTACCTTACCGTTTTGATTTCTGCTACTCTGCAAGGCTCTGGGCGGAAACCAAACGCTACAAAAATAAATACATACAGAAAATTGTTATATAAATTGTTTTTCTGGTTGTAAATGTTCTTTATTTATGAAAATGCTAAGTATTTCGAGGTGGCATTCGGTCACTAAAGCCCTAAATCAAAAAAAAAATCAGTGCCCCGAAACACAACAATGCAATTTTAATGAGTTCTGCGTGTGCAAATCACAAAACTAAGTCATGAATGTAATAAAGAAATACAATACTTACAATCTGAAACAAAGAATGGCTCTCCTGCAAATATCCATTCAGTTGACAAAGCCCTAAAAAAAGCAAAAATCAGTGCCTCAAAACACAAAGTAGATATAAATAAGCTTATGTGTTAATTATAAACAATATAATGAAGAAAAACTTAAATTCTTGACTCACGTGTATGTGAACAAAACCGCGATGTAATCAGGTGATCATACCAACACTTCAAAAAAAGAATATTGTTAGAAAAACAATAATTTTAAGAGATGGTGAATATTAGTATCGTTTAACGACAATAACTAGTGAGAGTACAGAGTTTACTTTTGCAATTATTATTAAAAAATAGTTGTTATTGTACACTCAAGCATTGTCAAGTATTGTGTCAAGTATTGTTGTGCAAATTGTCATGACTTACCAACTTCAGCGATGGACAGGCGTATTAACAGAAAATGACCACCGATATTAAACTCGCACCCAAGTGTATCCACATTTTGTTCGCGTTTATCGACAATTACACGATTTACTACAAATAAACACTGTCAATTGATCAAATTTAATACGACATGCCGACTCGAATGTACGTATAACCTACACGCAAGACACGCCGCGACTGAAAGCCTCGCAAGCGTGCGCCAGCAGCTCAAAGAAGCAACGCATGCGCCAAAGCATCCAGGTTCAACTCTGCTCTGCAATGTCTACAATGTCTGACCTTGCAATTTTTACACCCCAAATAATCTGTATTCAGGGGTCATTACGAAAGAAACGTAATAATCTCTTAAAATTGTCTATACAAATCCATCGCATTAATAACAAGTGACGCCTCGTCATACATAATGCATTAAATTTACATGACTTCATTTTGATATATAAATACAGATAGACCAAGAGCCAGTGACGGCCAGACTTTCGTCATTTTAGGAAAGATGAAATTTTGTCCATGTGTTTCTCCAGCACAGGTAAGAACGATCCCCAATTATGAAACCTGGATCGTGGTTCCTTTGGCAGTTAACAGCCAACAAAGATGTACACATGATGACCTATGTTTCGTTATTTTAGCAAACTCCATTTTTGCATATTTTGTTTGTCACATTATTATAACATGCGCTGCTCATTGCCAGTCACCTGGTATGGTTCCAACCTTAGCCAGACACCCCTAAAGTATATTATATTTTAACTTTTTTTTGCTTTCGTTATATTAGGAAAGCTGAATTTGATACACATTATACAGAGAGCTATGAAACTGTGTTTTCCAGCACGCCAGACAGTTTGGTCGGTTCTATCATCTTGCCAGACGCATTGAAAGTGTATAAGAGTTGCAAAAATTGAATTGTTTATACATGAAATTTTCGCATAATAGTAATTTTATTTCAACAAATATTTAATAATAATCCATATACAACATATATGATTCGCTCGCAAAAATTGTTGAAGTAGCTCACTCTTGCAAGGTGGTAAGCTGCTAGCATCAAAGTTGCGCAATTTTTTTTATTAAAAGCTTCAGTTAAATTGATTTTATTTTATTTTTGTATAAACGGACGGAGCAGGCGATATTGATAACGATCAAACATCGGACTGGAGTTGCAGTGATGGCGAAAATGGAGATATCGATAACAGTGATGATTATTATTAAATATTTGTTGAAATAAAATTACTATTATGCGAAAATTTCATGTATAAACAATTCAATTTTTGCAACTCTTATACACTTTCAGTGCGTCTGGCAGGATGATAGAACCGACCAAACTGTCTGGCGTGCTTGAAAACACAGTTTCATAGCTCTCTGTATAATGTGTATCAAATTCAGCTTTCCTAATATAACGAAAGTAAAAAAGTTAAAAAAAATATACTTTAGGGGTGTCTGGCTAGGGTTGGAACCATACCAGGTGACTGGCAATGAGCAGCGCATGTTATAATAATGTGACGAACAAAATATGCAAAAATGGAGTATGCTAAAATAACGAAACATAGGTCATCATTTGTACATCTTTGTTGGCTGTTAACTGCCAAAGGAACCACGATCCAGGTTTCATAATTGGGGATCGTTCTTACCTGTGCTGGAGAAACACATGGACAAAATTTCATCTTTCCTAAAATGACGAAAGTCTGGCCGTCACTGGCTCTCGCTCTAAGATATGTTTCAAGCACACATAACTTCTCAACTGGAAATTTAATAGGAGTATCAATAAATAACTATGCAATTGCTTTCGATAACTAAGTAATATAAGTAAGGCACCTATCAGCTATAATTAGTAATGACTGTTTGCGTTCCGCCGCACGCTTTGTTGCATTTTATCACTGCATCTCACTACAAATATTAAGGCTATCACCCGCTGACCCGAGCATTGTCTCCCTGCCCAATTTGTGTTTGCGCATTTTCGGTGTCGGCGCCTTGTTGCTATCCAACTGGTCGCAGGAACCAGTGATGAACAACGTCGTCTCAGTACACTGATGCACATCCAGATTATCAGTGGATCCTGCGATGAATATAGACTTCCGGTCAACGTAAGCCACATTATCAGAATTGCAAATCACATCGACATCGATATCACCATTATCTTCCGGTTTCTCTTGCTGTACGTCAGTAGATACAGTTGTGTTGTTTATTTCAGTTGACTTTTCATGCTCGGGTGTATCACAGTTTACTTTATCTTCATTTTTCCTTTCTTCTGGCGTCGGTTCTAATTGCTCTTTAATTTCAGTATGACCATTGCTTATTACTTCATGGTGTTCTTGGGATTTTGGGGTTTCATCTTGTATATTATTATTAATTTCTTCAGGATGCACATCTTCCTTTACATCCACTTTTTCTACCACTTCTTTATTGGTAGTAGTATCATTATCAGCTGCATTTTCATCTTTTTCTTCTGTTTCCGGTTTGCTAGTATTTTCTTTAACTTCAGTTTCACTCTGTACATCACCATTTACTTTAACTTCTTCCGTTGAAGTTATTGTTTTATCTACTGGTGTGTCCGTGTCTACGGAAACAGGTATAACCTCACTTAGAGGTTTATCATCTTTACTTTCTTCGCCTGTTTCATTCACCTGCTTATCCGTAACTACTACATCAGTAGTTTCTGTATCACAAAACACCTGCTGAATCTCTTTACTTATCTCTTGAATGTCTTTCAGTCGCTCAGCATTTTCCGAATGCGCGTCTTCATTCTCTGAATGCGTGTGCGCAGTCGTCGAATAATCAGTGTCATAAGATGTATAAGAATCTATACTCCACTGGGAATTATTATGCTCACCCGGAACGGTTAAATTATTTCGAGCACCCTAAAAAAACAACAAAATCATTATAATTTAAAGGGTAACGAAACTAGGTTATGAAATTAGGTTATTTACCGGTGGTAGTGGTGCTCGTTTCTTACGTCGTCCCCGCCTCGCGGTATCCGACACTTTTACTGCCACACCACCCTTGGTATTTTCTGATTTGTCATCTTCGTCGAACGGATTGGGATTATTCACATTCCGTAAATCCATGGTGTGTGACCGCGCTACCCGCTCCGTAAACCTCGACCGGGGCAACATTTCCGGCGTCCCGGTCGTCCCGATGATTGTCTCGCTTCGCGGCACTTGCACGCCATTAGTCTTCTCGCCATGCCGTAATCGCGCTTCTAAAATAAACAAAATCGCAGGATGTACACCTACTTTTCGCACTTATCAAATAATACCAAAGACAATTTCATGAAACGAATTCAAACACGCTTATCAGGGCGTAGAAAATATAAACCACTTGAAATTGCACATGATTAGAAGCAATCACATTAGTTTTCGTGTGTAATGTGTATAAAAATAGACTCCAACACTCCTTAAAACTTATATTACATAGTATATAATACCTGTTTGTGAATTTGTGGTCGAAACTGAATTACGGTCCTTTGAACGATCCTTTTTTCGAAAGCGTATATTACTGAAAAATAAAAAAATAATGTTAAATACATAATTAAAATGCACGAACTCTATTCTAACACTAATGTTTTCGGTGGTTTGGTGTTTTGTTTACGTAATCAGCGCCATCAACGAAAATAAAACCGGCGCGTTAAATCGAAACGCAATGCAAAGGTCATATCAGTCAATGCATTGTTGTGACTGCGCGCTCATTAATTCATCAATTCATCAACTCATCAATTCGTCGTCGACTTAACAAGCGTGATTGTCATGTCTTATCCTGTCACGCGTCGTCAATGATGATCTAATTTGTTCATAAATTTGCATCTCTATAAAAATTAGTCATGTTTTTAAAAACGGGTACTTACAAAGCGCTCTTCATAGACCGGAAGGATTCGCGTAAACCGCTGCGTTTGAACGGGTTGAGATGATCCGGGTATTCCGACATTTTGTGTATATTATTATAATGTAAACTTTCCAACCGCGGCGCGACTTGGCGGAGAAATTTTTAACACTCGTTTTCTAGCGTAAATACCGTGGACGCGACGCGAAGGTTGGCTCGAAATTACTAAGCGAATGCCAGATAATAAGTACGAAGGCGAATCGTGTGATCCCACTCCTTTTGGCAAGTGACGCAACGATGACGCATCGTATATATCGGCTAGATTGTAATAATAAACAAGTCAGAAATTGATTATTTTTTACCTGCACGGCGCGGTGTTCCAGTTTAATATCAGTGGTACCACGCACGCAATAGTGTCGCGTGTGTTTAATACAAAATCAATGTTGTTTAAACGCAAGAAAGTTTTTTTTTTAAATTTAATTCATGCAAACTTTCTGGTTGCAGTGTGCAACAGTCTTCCAAGGTCAATAAATTCTTTCAAGGTCCATTTGCCGCAAACCACGCAAAAGTTATTTCTTAGATATGCAACCCAATATACACGATATTTATTTAGGCATGTAATTAAACGAACTTTATTTTTTCGATATTTAACTTGTAAATACATTAAATGCACTTATAATAAATGTTTGCACTTAAAAATGCAGAACTGAACTTAAAAATAAATATTTGCACTTTGAAAAATGGATTCCACTTGAATAAAATGCTTTCCACTATGAAATTAATACTTCGCACTTATAAAACTTGCAAAGTATGCAACCAGCGCATAACTTTTTTCAAGGTTATATACAGGATGTTACGGTAGTGTTTTACGTGTGCCCCACAAATATTACCAGACAAGGTAGCCTACCTAACCACCACCCCCCACCCCAAACCCCCCGACCACCCCCTCGCCCCAACCCACTAATCAAATAACTAAGCTTCCAAACTTTGCATTGCTAAATTTTTCTTATTACAAATCATGCGACTTGCCCTGTATGCTCTATGCGAAGAAAGCTCTACTCATTCAGTGAAATAATTATAATAGTTCCGATTTAGAATTTTTTAATATATGTTTTTAGGTTTTTTCATATTTCCAAGAGTTTTATATTTTTATATTTTTTACATTGTATTTTACGATATTTTTTATATGCAATATACAATACACCTATTTTTAAATTTAACTTTGTCGTAACCTCGTAACACCCCTTACATTACATTACCATAAGATTTGTGTAACAAAATTATAAAGTTTCAATTTAAAAAGTTGATTCAAAGCAAATTTAAGCTTAAACCTGAATATATAAGTTCATTGTATTAAAATATAAGTTATACAATCTATAGTGCATAGTATGAATTTCTTAGTGCAAAGTATGAAAACTAAAGTGCTGCCGTTCAAGTGGGTTGTATTTAAACTAAAGTGCATTTAATATATCCCCATTTATTTATAGCCTGTAGATGGCGCACTTATGCAGTAATCTGTAGATGTATTGCATGTATTTATATCGATTTATATCTTCTATTTCCTTTGACGCACATTCGTGATATGTTTTTGTCTCCTTCACAGTAATTGATTAAAATTAAACGATGCCTGCACTGATTAACCTTATCTAGATTTATCAAAAATTATACCTAATGTATTGACAGTGTGAGCAGCATGGGGCCTCAATACAAGGTGTAAAACGCGCTGGTAAACCCCGAGTGTAACGTCATCTAATGACAACGTTCACTTGTACACTCAGCAGGATTATTCTTGTCGCGCCAGCAGGAATCTACTTCAGTAGCTAGGTGAGTGGCAAGTGAAGTCCGAGCAACGGCAAGCAGCTGTGGTGACACATTGCGAATCACGAAAACAGTGATCCACCACCATTGCCTTTGACTTGCATTCGCGTAGGTTTCGGCGATATTAACCGCACACTTGAACCTGCGGCTGCTCCCGTTGCATTCGTATTGTGATAACACATTTTCTCTGCTTCAGATACGGCGAATTCTTACACTCAGTGGATTCGGGTTGACGACGAAGGGCAGATTACAGCGCGATTGCATACTAAATCAGAATATAATGAGTTATTGAACGGTGAACTTGTGTTAAACGGTTAAACGCAACACGTACCAACTTGTGTACACGGATTCCAAGCCTACCGCTGCAACGTAGATATAGTGTACGCGGTTCACACTACAACTTACATAGTCTAGTCTAGTTCTAGCAGATTAAAGGAGAGCACAAGGCGCAAAAATGTCTGGTTTTGACGATAATCCGTTCGGGGATCAAACAATTGACAACCCATTCGCTGTAAGTACCGAATTTGTAGCTTTAGATGTTTCTAGAGTTACAGTTAACATTTAATATCTTATCAAAAGGATCCTGCTGTGCAGCAGGTAACCAGTAGAACACAGAATCAAATCCGTGTGGAAGACTATAATCCCTTTGAGGGGCAGCCTGCAAACAATCATGCAGTTGGTTACAATCAGGGTAGCAATGCCAATCAGCCAGCAGTGATGCAACCCACTCAAGACCCACCAATGTACACACAGAGTGCACAGCAAACACAGAGACCTGCTTTGAATACAGCTGAATTACAGGTATGCTTATAATCATTCTATGTAAATATCTAGACTTTAAAATTAATTACTTATTAGAGAAAACAAGAGGAGCTTGAAAGAAAGGAGGCTGAACTTGCCAGACGCGAAAATGATATGCTGAATAACCCCTACAATGTGCGCCGGAACAACTGGCCGCCATTACCTGAACAGTGTTGTTTCCAGCCATGCTTTTATCAGGACATCCAAGTGGATATCCCGTTGGAATTCCAGAAAATTGTACGACATTTGTACTACCTATGGTTGTGTAAGTTGCATTGCGTCTGTTTGAAATATCAACGCAATTATTGATTGATTTTCCTTTTTTTGTAGTTCATGGTCTAGTGATGCTCATGAATGTGGTTGGCGGGTTTGTCTTGTGGAACTTCACCGTGATTGGCATGGGTATCCTCTTCACGATCATGTTCACGCCGTTCTCGTACCTCTGCTGGTTCCGGCCGGCGTACAAGGCCTTCCGTTCCGACTCGTCCTTCAACTTCATGGTGTTTTTCTTCGTTTTCTTCTTTCAATTCGTGATTACCACTATTCAGACGATAGGAATACCTGGGTCAGGCACAATGTAAGTATTTAAAACCTAAATATTCATAAAACATTAAATAAAACTAAAAATTTTGTTGCAATAGTGGAATTATCACTGCTCTGGAACAGTTCGACAATGAAGTAAAGGGTATTCTTCGAGGATTATTCGCTCTGGCGGTGGCAATCGGCTTCGGATGTGCTGCAGCAGCAGATTTGTTCCTGATCTCTAAGGTATTATCAAAAAAACAATTAAAAAACGAAAATATATCATAACATGATGCAATGTTACAGATACATCGCATGTATAGAAGTACAGGCGCATCAATGGCGAAAGCCCAGGCGGAATTCACATCCGAAATCCTCGGCAATCAGCACGTGCGCGACGTGGCGTCCAACGTCGCCTCCGCGGCGGTCGCGTCGCAGTTCTCACAGAACCAAACCCCGACGGGCAATCGATACTAAGCAACTAAACTAAAAACTTATTCCACCGGGTTACACACGCATTAATTCTACACTTAAACAAACGAAGCAGAGTCGTCATTTGTTCTTAACTTGTTACTACTACTATCAATCTATATAAATATTATATTATATGTGAAGACAACTGACATTACTCTCGCATATTTACCAATGTTCGCGTTGATGAACGTTAATCAATTAATTTAGTTACATTATTACCACGCTTTGGGTCGGATCTGTTATCGCGTGAACTGTACTGTATTATGAATCATGAGATTAGCGGCGTGTTTGTTTGAAACCGAGATAGCGCATGAAACTGAATGGTTTCTATATATTTTTTTTCTAAAGCACGAGATTCAAATATTTGTGTTTGAAAAAATTACTACAGCCGCGAATCGAGTTGTGCTGGATTTGTTTACGCATATTGATTATACTGTGTACTGATTAGTGTACATACATATTATATTATTAATATTTAAACGACTGGGCACTAAATGAGACAATTGCTTATCTCATTAATCCTGTTTTTCCTGTAGATGTAGATGTTCTACTTTTTCTAAGCTACAAATTAATATTTTGGTAGCGTTTTGTTTGAATTTGTATTTAATGCATTTCATACATTCCCGAAATTATTTGCGAACGAAGAATCCAACCGAAAAATATAATAACAAACAAATTGCCGACTTGTCGAGCCGCAATGTACATAAATAAACAGAAAATAAATTGCTTATCGAGTTACAAATCTACCGAGAGTTAACATAAAACATTCGTCCGCGCTGCGCAGCCACTACAAGAGAAACAAACATATACCGAAGTGGGCGAGAGAAGAAAAAAAAAACGTAACATTACATAATTCGTACGTACACAAAAATACACATAAACAACAAATGTAAAATCGAAATCAAAACATTTACAAGTGCGCGCTTACAATTTGACTACACATGCGTTCTCATCTCATCTTATCCGCTCTATTGACATTATTTTCTGGTTGTTGTTGTTGTTGGTGTGAAAACTTCGGGGCTGTAAATGGCAGTGTACAATGTTACTGATCGAGATATAAACATAAAGCATGGTTCCAATCGCAAATATACAATGTCGCATCGAAAATGAACATGATTATTACATAGGGTATATGTAGTCAATATAGTCAATTGTGTCATGACGATTATTTAAATGACCCATCTCGCGAGTCATGCGATGAAAAACTTTGTTTTCCAAGGCAGTGTTTCGTTATAATTCATTAATTAAAATTTCTCTAATCGCGGGCCTGGCCGTTGCTTAACATTTTACATCTTAGCCGTCCTCCATCCAATAAATTACTTCTTTTTGTACAAAATTATTACATGCGTCATACATAATTTTAAAATGGTGGCCCGAATAGATTATTAATATTATATTAATATAATAGATAGTTTTCTGGTTAGATCCTTTGCCTAAAAATTGAACACAACTTTACAGTCTAATAATACAGGTTATGTCTGCGACCGCGTTCCAACTACCGCCGAATTGAATATTTACACAATTATTTAATTAGATTTAAATTAATGTGATTTTAATGAAATCGAATGAGAAAGAGCACGCTCTCTCGTCTAGTTATACCTACAGTGCCATTCGTCCTTACTGTGCCAGTTCCAGTCCTTGCCCTTGGGCTTGAAACGCGTTTCATCCGGAGGCCCCGCCCCTGATTGCTGGCGTGATGGCCGTTGCCAGCCATCGTCCCGCCATTGCTCTCGATAGTAGAATTTCTTTTTAAAGTGCGCGTCTGGTTTGGATTTCTTTTCTTCGGGCTGATGGCGTTGATATTTCATCAGTGCTGGGTTACGACTTGGGCTTTTATCGCGTTGCGCTGTTTGTACAGGTGGCGCAACGTTACTTATCGAACTGTGGCTGTAATGCGTTTGTTGCGGGGAGGAGCCTGGTGATGGTGTCCTCGGTGGACATCTGCCATCATCTTGTTCGTGTTCGTCGCGTTTACTGGAACATTTGAATAGTGTTGGTTTGGGGTTGAGTTTGATTTGTTTCGCTGGTGGTTGTGGTGGTAATGCGGGTAAAGGTGGAACTACAGCCGGTAATGGCGCAGGCGGTGGATCACCGTGACCAATACCAGAATCAGGCGACGTGTTGCAACTATCTGTGCCTTCTGTTGACCTCCGTCGTTTATCCAGCTCTGTAGAGGCGAATGCAACAAGACGATCAAAACCAGAACTGATGCGATCCTGCCATTTTGATTCTTCGCCTTCCTCTTCGATCGCCTCGATCTCAACAGGCGCAGGTGGCGCCACAGTCGGTGCTAAAAACATGACATTGCATTAAATGCATACAGCCAGCTGCGCGCGCAGTATGTAAACATGAACGGGAGCAAATTGAACCATCACCCAAACAACTCAAAACTAGATAGAATATTAACGAAACAAAGTAATAAAAAAAAAGGTCAAACTAAAATCATAAATAACAACATAATAGTAAAAATAACAACAAAAAACAAATGCAAAAATCGAATTGAAAGGACGCCGACTTGTTTACTGATTACTGAGAGACACAATGATAGAGAATTAAATAGCACACAAAGAAGCTACTTACCACCAGAGAGGTATTTCGTTCAGTTATCGTATCGAGAGACAGAGCGAGCGCGCGCCATCTAAACTAGTTTGGTATTTGGGAGGATAATACGCATGCGCGATTGTGTGCGCTAGAAATTGTGCATGCCCGTACGGTGCGCGTGTGCTGCCTCTCCTATATTTGGTTGCACAAAAACGCAAACAAACTACATGTCAATTCAATCAATTTCAAACACTATAACATCGTGTGTATGTCAACAAGGTCTCTTCTCTGTCTGTCTTACTCTCATTTTTCATACGTTTGTGCATCGCTTTGCTCTTCGTCATTCGATAATCATTTTGTTCAAATTTGTGCGATTGGTTTAGGCCTTGCAATTTCGAGCGGTTTTCGACATTTCGACACGGTACATGTACGCAAGTTTCCACAGCCAGCCACGTCGCGTCGCTGTCGTCGCTCGGTCGCACACACCACCCGCCCCCATCATCGCTACGTTCGTCCGGAAAACTTAGTGCTGTACATGTATTTTGAATCTGAAGGAGACCAAAACGTCAATTTGCCAATTTCTCATCAACTAGTCAAGAGATATAATATCGGTTGCAAATGGAAACAATTTCGAATCATATAGAATATAGGTATATCATCTTGCCTTTCAACAATGAAATCATACAAAAATCATGTCAAAATGAATGTGAATGAACGAAATGAGAACGAGAACCAAATGGATTGAAATGGAGTAAACGAGTCGATAACGATTTGCTTGTTATGCGGAATGAATCAATCTAGATATGCAATGAGATGTATATGATGATCAATGTCGTTGAGTTGCGTACGCATGCGTGTCGTGTCCGTGAGTTGCGTGTATGTAATTTTATACAATATTTCATCTGTGTTTGTGTGTGTGTGTAGGTGTATGATGTGTTTGGTTATCAAAAAACACAAAAACAATCTATGAGCAACTAAGAAATAAATACGGCATGCAGTCAGTGCTTCCACACCTCAGTCAGCAGGTTATCGGCATCGCAAGAGAACTAAACTCAACCAAAAAACCCAGAAACAACAAAATAACCAACTAAAAAAAGATATAGGGGTCAAAGTAATGAGAATCGTAAAGTATAAGAGAAACAGTCCGGCGTCAGAGAAAAATCGTCGTCGGCTCAATGAATAAATAAATAATCAAACAGAGATGCATGCGTACCTTCCACCAACTGCTTCCCGCCGGGATCCTCGCGGTCTCGATGTCGATGATGATGATGATGGCCGCGATCATTCGATCGCTCCCTGGAGCTGCCTTTGCTCTCCGATGAATACGTAGACGATCGACTCAGCGTTCGGAGAGGTCCTTGTATGATCGGCGACTCTCGCTTGTACTCGTTGCCAGTTTCAGTCTTGATCTCCGGGTACGGCGCATACCTTCGCTCCGCCCTCTCAGTGCGCTCCAATCGCTCATCAACCTCTTCCTTTATAGGCGTGCCATTTAACACACGCGCCGCTAATCCTTCAGGGATAAAATTACGCCGCTGTTCCTCGACTGCTGGTTTAACATCAGCGAAATATGATTCGTGATACGGTTTTATATCCGCACGAGGGAGAGGTGTGTACTGTTCGTAACAACGCGGCTGCGTCTGGTATAACACAGTCGTCCGGGGTGAAAACTGCGAATTGCTTGCGGGTTGAGCAGGATGCGTCTGCGCTTGCGCACTACTGTACATACTGGAGACTTTCGCGTGTGGATGCATGTATGCCAATCCTTCCAAACCTTCAGCTGAAGACGGCCGCGAGATGGGGCTGTACACCTGTCGCCCTTGTTCACTACCCGCATTTGTTACATCTTTACTCGCTGGAGGTAAATCTGCAGGTGCTTTTACAGTGACACGTTCTGGTCTAGGCGCGTTTGTGGTTACAACCGCACGTGTAGACAATGTAACCGCAGCATTAATAATGCTTTGATTTGAAATCTCTAAAGTTCTTTCAATTTCCCCAGACATAAGATCACCTATTGTCCTGGTAGCGACGAGATTTTCCGGTTGGGTAGGATATACCGCGCCGGGTGTAGTGGCTGGATGCGGCGCAATCTGCGCAGCTAGTTTCTCCTGTGATAAATGCCTCCTCAGCGCTAACTTCGCAGGTGACACTTGTGTATAATCAGGTTGTTCGGGTCCATCTCGTTGTACTTTCAAATGCAGCGGAGATATCCTCGGCAGATGTACATCATGCTCATAGGTATCACCATGATTCCCACCAGGAACTTCCTGTTGTAATTTCGGAGGATATTTCCGGTCTTCGTTGGGTGGCAACCCTTTGTACATGTATGCATGTTGCTCTGGTCGTAGTTGCGGTGGTGGTTGATGGGTTGCAGCTGTCGCAGGCGCAGGATAACTCGGGCTGATCATTTGCATCTTGCCAGGCGTCGCGGCATTCGCCGCACGTACCTGTTGGTCTTCATTCAGCACCGAGGTGATGATACTCTTCAAACGGTCTTCGAAGTTGGCTATTCGCGGAGGTTCCTGACTGTTATTACTACTCGTATTCGTGTTGGTGTTAGCACTACTACCGCTACTACTTCGTGAATTCGTCTTAGGCCGTTTGGCTTGTACTGGTGCAGGCATAGCAGCTGGATTTCTACCTCTCTCGCGTTGATTATTCATTGATTGTTTCGTAGGATTAATAAGCGGTGTTTGTTTACCAGAGATCTGTCGACTTGCTTCGATCATCCTACCTTTTTCAAGAATTTTCTGCGCGAGAATCTCCGGGTTTTGTTCTTCGATCTTCGCGATATCAGGCACGTCAGGCCAATCTTGTGATCGTGTACGATAATCACGTGATTTACGCTGTTTACCTGCAGATGCAGCTTGTTGTCGTGCAAGCATCGTCGCCTGCGCCGCTTTGCGATCTTCATTACTTTTCTCTAAACTTACAACTTCACCTTCCAGCATGCTCACCTGACTATGCAACTTTTTCCTGTGCGCAAGCGTAGATGAAATCTCCCTCAATATACATTCTTCAGCAACACGCGGATTCATCTCCCTGCCAGGCTCTTGCTTCGCGTATTTATCTGTAATCTCCTGCTGTCTTTCAACCACCAACGATTTCTGCTTCTCCTCCAAGTTGGTAACCTGTACTTGTAATTTACTGGCCTTCGCTTGTAAGTCTTTATGCCTGCACACAATCTCCTTGGCTTTCGCAAGCAAATCCACCGGTGATGATGCATTAATCCCCAATTCACTCATGCGCGCTTTGAGCAACGCTACACTATCATCAATCAACACCTTGATTTGTTTCTCCAACTGCGCAGCGCGATTCTGCAGGCGTTGATTACGCTCCCGCTCTTCGTTAATCTGCTGTTGGATCGTGTGTTTATACGAAGGCGACTTCATTTGCTCAATCATATTCATATACTGCATGCGGTACATGTCCAAGAGGATCTGTAAGGCGTATGGTGTGTTGCCGGGTATCGGGGGTATGTCCAGTTCGTCGTGCACCATATCAGTGCTTAAGGCAGTTAATTGCTGATCAACACAGCCAGGTGGCGGTGGCAGTTTCTTTCCGTTAGCTATGCAACAAAATAAAAACATTAATAACAAAAAAATAATAAATTTACATTGATAATTACCTTGTGGCGATGTACTTAGTAGCGTTTGTGAATGCAGCAGATCCAAACCGTTGATTTTCAACGCCTTCTTCGGTTTGGTCTTCTTGACACGTCCGCGCCGCGCTTTATTCAATACTTTCGGCGGCGTTGTCTGCCCAGCTTTAGTTCCTCGCGATATCTTCCTTCTTAACTTCTTCGTCTGTCGCGCTTTACCTTTCCCGGAATCCTCTTCTTCACTAGCGCTGCTTTTGCCACGATTTGAATTCGAACACCAATCACTCCACGCGCGACGCGTCGTCGGCCCATAATTCCCGTCCAGATCAAAGAAGTCCGAATCTGAAGAGGAATCCTGCGCCATTTGTTTCGACATCTCCCGGCGGGTCTTATCCCGCATGCGCCGTTCATTATTCGCCGACTGATTGGATTCCTCTTCGGGGACAGTACCGTTTTTACCCTTCGATCGCAGCCGCTGGAAGTAACACTCCAGCTTGGTGCGATCGATAATATGCAAATAGTAGGAAACTGGCTTCCCCGTCCAGGAGACCGAACCGCGCAGCGGTGACATTTCCGACACGTGCATTATCGTACCGATATCAGTCAGATTCCGATCGGTGATGCGAAAGTTCAGCGGGCAGAAGCTTTTCGATGAGACAATGCGCGCACCATCTTTCAGATCCGCGAAACGCTCCTTGAGCTGATGGTCGACATTCGGGCCGAAGGCAAAGTTATTCACGAACACTATACTGGCGGAGTTGATTTTTTCGCGATGCTCCTCGCTGAGAAAGTCGCCCTTCATCAGTTTGTAATCGCCGTACTTTTTGCCGTACCACTGCATCCACGCGCGAAAGTTACGATTCATCGACTCGGCGTACCTGCTGGGCACATCGGCGCGCTCCACGCCCAGGCAGATCTTACACGGTGTGGCCGCGGCCATCTGCAGGACCACTTGACCCACACCGGAGCCCAAATCAATGAAGACATCGTCAGCGGTGATGTCGATCTGGTCTATCATTTGACTTATGAGCTCATAACTTGTTTCACCGTAAACCTAAACATAAAATATGATAATATAAGTAAAAAATCTTAATAAAAACATAATAATTATTCATACCTCAGGTGAAAATGGTTCATACTGATTTAGTTTATCAGGATCAGTCACAGCTTGATTATAAGTCTGCTGGAGAATGTGCCGTAGTAATCCACGGCTTGGATATTTGTTGAGGCGTTGTGCCGGCAGCGAGGTGCCCTTCTCGAGGGCGACCAGCGAGTCCATCGCCTTGTTGAAACGTTCGCATAGCGCTCGCATACTATCATAGCACTTGGTATCGAAGTTGATGAGTATGTGGTTGTCTAAAGTCTGCTTCAAGTCAGGCAAATCCTCAGACACCCATCTAAATAAATAAAAAACAATAACAATCATTAAAACACTGTTTATTTTCGTGATTTTATTTAATTTACCTCATGGTATCAACAATTTCCACCGCGCCATCGTGACGATCCTGCGCAGAAACAAAAAACAAAACATTAGGCAACCAATAGTGCAGTTTGTGGTACAAAGTGTCACGGTAAATACTGCAATGTGTTTATTATTAATATTGTAAATATATGCGAGTATGCAAATGTTTGTTATTCCTTTTTGAAAGTTTTTATGGCAATGCACTGCGAGTGCGTGCATATTTGGAAGTTCAGTGAACTGTTTCGAATTTTTTGTGCCATATTTTGTGCAGTTTACGACTGGATGACTTTCCCTGTTTATTGCGGATTATAAACATTATGACCTGCATCAATTACCCCTATTTCCACGCGGCAGCTGTGCGTTTTTTTTTCGAGTTTTCTATTTATAATTGACATCTACCTCCAGCTGACAAAAAGCGCATGCACAGCTTCCACGAAGGCCGCCGCACACGCAGCTACAACAGGTTGAGCAATCGCTGTGTGCGCGCTGTGCAATCCCATAATAAATGCATTTCCTTTTCGAAACGCTGAGAAAAGTTACAAAGCAGAGTTGCATCGAATGCAACAAATGCGATTGTAGCGCGCGCGCGAGTTGTGAGCACCTACGTGACCACAGCGAGCGCATCAATGAGTGCACTCGGCCGCGCTCTCCCGCTGCACATATCACAACAAAAACAAAGTACGTGCGTGCGCTGAGGCCATCATGAGACCCGCGCGCGCGCACTCACACACACATGAAATGATGATAGGATATAAAAACGTCGTGTGTTTGGTTTAGATTTGCAGGAAGCAGGACTCACGTTTCCGCGCCCCGAGGTGAGCGGCCAGTTGTAGGTGACGGGATCGGCCCCCGCTGGCGAATGCAGCACAAGTTGTTGTTGGGCCATTTGGGTCCCGCGTCGATTCGCTGCTCCCGCTTTTCCTAGCCAAGCGCACCGCCGCGCCGATGGGCACTCGCACTGTCACACTGTCCGCACAATGTTCGCATCGCCCGTCAACTATTCCGCGTCCGGCATCTTCGCACTGGGCGCGCAGGGCACACTCGCACGCACACCGCTGCTAGCAAGCCGCCGTCGACTTGACGACCACCAGCACACACGCCATCGCTCGCTGCATCGGACGAGGCGTTCTCGTCGACTATGACTCGTCCGCGCCGCTCCGCAACGTGATCGCGTGCGCAGGTGCGCGCCAGACTAGTGCCTTTTTGCGCCGCCACGTTGTCGCACTTTTCAAACTAGGTTTAAACACCAGCGAAGTAACACGGATATTACACACAATAAACTATTCTGCGAATGAAATTCTACTAAAGAATCTAGTTGAGTTGATTAGAACTTCCTAGTTGAGTCGTGCGGAAGTTTTGATAGTGATTCACAAGTCCTAGAAGGCGATGAGTAACTTACGCGCTGACGGTGAGTCAGTGCTGCCACCCTGACTGCGTTAACAAGCCAACAAAAAAAAGTCCCGTTCGGGTATTGACCACATTTGCTCCTGCTAGCGTCCTGCTGGATTTTAAAACCGCGCTGTCAATGATTAAAAAACCCATTAAACTCATTAAAACACACTCATATAAAGAGGATTTGCAATATTTTACAGTCTTCAAACTTTCCTAATTGCAAAATCATCTTGATTCGAGTAAAAACAAAAGAAATGCATGCGCTGTCTAGAAAACAACTTTTGGTAGGTCGATGACCTCTTAGCTTCACTAAACTAATGTTAAAAACTACAAATTATATAAATTATAACTAAATTACTACAAATAGTAAATAAATATTGGTTATGTAGTAATATTAATAACCCAAAACTATGAATTTTTCAATTTGTCAATTATATTTCGCAATGTTTTTGATTTACTGCCACACTCAGTGCATTGTATACTCACAAACAATGGCCGTCAGCTAGCAGGAAAGTCAGCGTAGTGAAAATTCATCGTTAGGTGTGTGAAAACAGCTGCAAGAAGCAGGAAATCGCGATGGGTGTCGTCAGGGAGAGGAAAGCCGTGTGCGAGAATGCGAAAAACGTGCCTTCCAACCCCGAATCAACGGTGCAGTGAGTACAATATGCTACATCATCGCATCTGCAGGAATTAATGCTTATTTCCTCAAACAGATCCGGTTACACCACCCAAGAGTCCGAGGATGAGGGTAGCAGTCAAGTATCTTCACCTGTACGTCGTCCAAATATACGCCAACGACTAATTGCGGACGGTACATTGAATCTCGCGTTCAACAGATTGATTACTCGTCATACAGGACATCGTCGAGCGCGCAGAATTCTCAACAGTAAGTTTAACTTATTTTCCTTAGTATAAAATCATTTCTTATCTTGAAAAACACTATTTTTATATTCCACAGCTCGTTTTCTGGAGACGCTGAGTGAAGATACCGAGGCGGTTGTGCTTGAAATTGAAAACAAGTCAAAGTTTCAAATGCTCATGGAGGAAACTGAAGATGCTCTTGAGGCGCTGGAAGCTTATGAAAGAGAGCAAGCTGAGAATGCAATCAATGGCAATCATGACTACATCGTTGACACTGACCAGGATAACGAAACCGATCCATATTTTAATATACCGCGCAAAATCCGCGTTGCGATTAATGGACGCAAGAATTTTCAGTATGAATTACTGAAATCCATTGAAATGGAACTCACTAGTCAATTAGGACAAGAAAGTGGTGATACTGCATTCATGTACACACCACACACCTGCTATGAAAGATTGTTGGTGCATGCTGTTGCAAAATTCAAAGGATTTACCTCTGAAAGTAAGTTATTTTTGTTTTCTTCATAAAAAAATACTAAAATATTAAAATTACAGCTATTTCAAGTGACGATGGAAAAGTTGTGAAAGTAAGTAAAGATAAACTTGCCGGACAAGAACCTGAAGATATAGGAATGTTACTTTGTGATTATATCGTTTGCTTGCGGGCCGAGGAATGAATTTTCAGAATAATTTTTAAGTTTTAGTAGATTACGACCGAAAATGTGTAAGTTGTCGCGTTAAATGTGCTTTTCCTATACTAATTCAACCTAAGCAATCCGTTTTTGAGCAATTTTTCACCCGTTGTGAATTTTCAACGCCGCATACAATGCTATTGCATTGTATTTCTAGTGAATAAATGACCACTTGATGTGTAAATGTTACAATCATATCCGTTTACTTAATTAAATTCCATGTTTTCCACTCTTCATTCCGCATTGTGAGTTGTAAAAGAGTCGCGCCCCGACACAGATTCGTTATTCAATAATAATCACTTAAAATATAAGCCCGTCCACCCAATATCCATCATCTGGGCGCTTTCGCGCGCTCGTCGTTGGAGTTGAGATGATTCGGCGCGTCGGCAAAGTGTACCTTCAGCTTGTACGCCTCGGCGAGCAGCAATCGAATGTGATTACCAGTCCACTGACGCGTGGGCAGGTTCTGTAGCAGTATCATCAGCCCCTGGAAGTCGTTCTCAGCCAGCAGCTGGTCCTTCCATCGCAATAAAAACGCCGCGCAGACATACAATTGAAACTGCGCGAACGAATCGCATTCGGATAGGTATGTATCCCATAAATGAATCGTACAACGCAAGGGTAGCTCACGTGTGAGTAGATTATTCAACCACCTGAAAGAGAATTGCAGGTAGTCGACGTTGTGCTTGACGAGATGATTGTGCAGCGCGGCGTCGACGCGTCTGATGAGGTCTTTGAGTTGATTTGCCTTCTCCTGGATGCCGACCTGCGCGAAAACGTAGTTGTTTTGTATACCATCGAGGAATTTCGACAAACACCAGAAACTATCTGCTTCGATTATGTCGCGTTGGAGAGGTGTGAGTACATCCACGTCGAATGTCTCGAAGGGTATAGCTGGGTCAGCGATGGCTTCCTGTAGGAAGACGACGAAGAATGGTGTGACAAGGTCGTTTATACCTTGCACGTATCCGGATGCTGGATGACGTACAGCCCACACGAAGAGGACACGTTCGAACATTTGTTGAACGGTTGCGAGTTGGAAGAGTGGCACGGAGGGATTCATGCGTGGTACATCAATGTGTATCTGATGGTAGGTATCTTGATATTGGTCGCGTTCGCTTTCATAGTGTTGTTTTACTTTCGCCCAGTAATCTTGACGCTTGCGTTCTAGTACATCATCACGACGTTCTGTGTTCATCGGTAGATAACCCAGTAATAGTTTCCATACTTTGGGTCTAAGTCTAAAGGGAATACCAGACCAAGACAAATCGCATAATTCGCCTAATGTTGGGGAACCAGCTAACAATGCATCGAATTTCTCGCATCTTTTTTCACAATCATATTCAAATTCAACGTTTGAACATGGTAGTAATTGTGGCCTGCCGGGAATTGCGTTGATTCTGACAGGGTCCACATCGTTTTCGGAGTGTTTCGTTCCTGCTTCGGCATTTCTATGACTATTTATTACATTCAATGCTGCAGATTGTGACACTTTCTTTGATATTCTTGTTTGGCCTAAAAATAAGAGTAATGTTGGTTGCCTATGTTACACTATTTTATAGTTAATGATTGTTGTTTTTGTTTAATTGCTATAACAACTTAAATATAGTTGTAAAACTAGTTGGAATAGTACCTTCTGATGAGCCTATGTAAAATTCATCATCTTCCATGTCCCAGGCATCACTAACAGATGCCTGAAAGTCTTGAAATGAAGTGGTGCCTGCAGGCTTACCCTTTGGCAATGGCTTAACATCCTTCTTGGGACTCGGTCTGCAAGGTACACACAACAAAAAGTAATCAAACCAATCAGACCTTCAATTAAGGAGAAATGAGTAGTATTGTGTGTTGGTCGCAATTTTCAGGGGGCCACTTGTTACCTGCCAGGTACTGCTTTACTGTTTTTCTTCCAAAACGACGCCTTATCATTGGTAGCACCTCTGCCCTTGTCCATATTCATCCCATAGCCAGAGCAGCCGTGTTTATTTAATACTTCTGCACGAAGCCAACATTGCAACGCGTCGAAACTCGTAGAAAAAAGTTTGCGAAACTATTGCACTGACGAGCGGCGAGAGGTTAGAGGTGGATTGTTTTTGTCGCGGGTTAGCGCTGCTCGCCAAGAATTCCTGCGGGGCGTACAGGTGCAGACGATGCAATTCATGCAGAGATTGCGCAAGCGGCGCAAAGTTGGTGTGGTAGCAAACAATGAGGAAATTCAAATTAATGTGTTGCCCAAATGAGAATATATTTGTTTTGTGTTGCCACGAAGTAAAACTTTGCAGCGCAACAACTGCGCAAGGTCGCATCACCCTGTATATTCCTGCAAATAGCGCAGAGCGCATGTCATCACGAGATTAACTTCGGGAATCTTCGAAGCACAGTTGCCAAACAAATAATTACATTTTATAATTATTTACCTATCTAAAAACAAATAATAGTTGTCTAATTATTATTTAATTTAAATTAAATTTGCAATATTAGATTTAATCTTGATTTGTTACTAAAATATTATCACTTAATTTTTTTGTAAATTTTATCTCAAAATTATACCGCTAGCGCCATCTATCATTCGCTGTGGAAACTATCGTGCAGGGTGCTACTCAACGCTACTCAAACATAGTAGAAACATGTAAAAAAAACTACCATACAAGAGTTTTTAAAAATAGCCACAGATGGCAACAAACATTAATTTCCTAGATTTGAACCATAATATACTCCAAAAGAAGATAATATAATGAATTATTAAGTATATCCAAACAAATTATTTATATTAAATTAATACGCCCACAGATATTTGATTTATTTTAATTAGATTAAATATCTGAATTTAGCCGCGCACGACATTGCCTGAAACTCGAGCTTGAAAGAAAATACAATGCAATAAAAGAAACAAAAGAATCGAGTGTCGTAGACGCGTATCTTTGTGCCGTTTCCGCCGGTTTGATTTATGCCCACTTGTTTGCGGGGTTCACAAGAGTTTCTACAAAAAGAAAGCGCCTCGCATTATTGTTTTTGAACATGCAAAAAAAGAACACAAAGCGATGCGCTGCAATGCTATACTCCATTAAATATGACATCATATTTTTTAGCTACAACACAGTGTTACAAACAGTAACAGACGCAAAACACAATACAAATAAGTCATTTGTAACTGAAAGCATAGTTTTTATACATATATCAATAAAAAAAGTGTTTGTAGTGTAATAATTTAATGTTTTCTCTGTTCGCCCAGTGGAACGCGTAAATTTCGATAATGTACATTGTCATTGATGGTGTTGAGGCGGCACCTGGCCACCACAGGCCCCGCGCGCGGCGTTGTGGTGCGATATCAAACTTTTCCGGCCACAATAACTTGCGCGACAGTCATCCCGACCAACCGAGTTTCTCATTAAACAAGCCCGCGAAAGTTTTCGTATAAATATGCGCTCCTGCCAACGACTGCGGGCTGGCGGCGGCGAAGACGAAAGACAAACGCAAAATACGCCCCACACCGTCTCGATTACGCGCAAATACTTTCTCGAACTTCTGTGCCACGCAAAGTAATCAATCAATTTAACTAGAAACACAAGAAATCACCAAAGTGCGGCTTCATGGGTTGCCAAGGATTAGTACTAAGTGATATCTAGTAGGTATAAACTAGGATTTTGAATTTTTGACTAGAATATAATGTAAGAAACCTGCAATTGTTAATTTAGAGCGTAAAATGTGATTTTTAAGCGGTATTTGAGTGTCTGAAACAGTTTTTGAGGTTAAATTAATGTCAAAAGTTGTAATTGACAGTTAATACTTGTTATTTTATAGTTATGTGTTTAAAACTGTACTTTTAAGCACTAATAAAGACAAATATAACATTTAGCACTCAAAAACACTTCAAAACGTCAAAATTTAGCTATAAAACTAATTTTAACGCTTAACTAACCTCAAAAATGAAAAAATAAACAATTTATGATCAGTTAGTAATAATATTGCATATTTAACATGTTTTACTGAACCAATATTTCAATTTATAGAAAATACTTGTTATTTTATAGCTACGTTTGTGAAACTATACTTTTAGGCACTAATAAAAACAAAAATAATATTTTGTACTCAAAAACCACTTAAAAATGTCAAAATTTAACTAAAAAATTAATTTTAATGCTCAACTAACCTCAAAATGGACATATCAAATTTTTTTCATATATTTTATGAATAGTTATTAATATTATTGAATGATTAACATGATAATTATTATGTTTAACTGAACCTATACTTTAATTTCCTTTTTTCTGCTGTTTTCTGATCTCCGATCATAATTTTCATCCTGAAAGCCACGCGTGCTCGTTAATTTAAATTATTCTGCCAATAAATTATATTATTGTCGAGCACGCATTAAGTTGCTTTTCAAATTTTGCAAATTTGCTGATAATGAAAAATATTTAATGCGCGCCCGCGGCACTCGCGCATAAATTACGCCGCGAGACTCGCATCTCACGCGAATAATTAATCACTCACACTATTATTTTCTTACCATCACACATGACATTCCCGAAAAATCACAATTACTTTCAATTGAAATTATATGAAATTATTTGTTAAGTATGATAAAATTGTGTGGGAGTAGAGGAATTTTAGTGTAGCGCCCTGTAGATGTAATAAATATAGCGTTGGCGTCGGTTTCGTATTGTGTTGGTAACTTTGCGCGCGGCTTATTTAACATCATGCTCGGCAAAGTGGAAAACATTTTCGTGGGGCGGCTAGGTTGAAGGGCCGCAAGGAGCGAGTTGGTTTTTGTCGCTCGAGGACTAATTTAATTTTTGGTACGCCCGTGCTATAACGTTTCCATTAGCGGCTCTTAGATCGCTCGAAAATATCATTAATTGTGACTAATTGCAACTAAATGTTTCTAATAACATCAGGAATTGCAATAAAATTTTATTTTACATAGTTAAAAATTAAATAAAACTAAAAATCACCATAAAGTAAGTTTTTTTCAATGTCTACGTTAATATATTTTATATTAAGTGTGCAAAATGCAATTTTAAGTTAGAAAATGTCATTTACACACTTAATATACATATTTATTTAGTTTCAAAGTTGTTAAATTATTGTAAGTGACGTTTTTGTTTAGTAATTTATGAAAATGAGTTTTTTTCCAAAGAATTTGGCCAAAAAAATGTTGAGAAAAGCATGATTCTTGTCTATAATCATTACCATCGTTTAAAAAAGACTATTTTACACATTTGTTTATAAAAAAATACAAATGACTAATAAATATTATTAAAAAAACCTACAATTTGCAAATTTACCACTTAAAAATGTTTAAAAATCCATTTACGCACTTGTTATCAAAACATCGCACATTGCAATATTAGATAACATATTTTTTTTAGTTTAAACTTCATAAAAATGTTCTTAGTGACTAGTAAGTTCAGTTAAGTAACAAAATTATTGCCTGTTAAAAAATTTTATAGAAAAAATCTACAAAACGCTTCGTAGGCTACGAAAATAAATATCAACCGTAAAAAATGCAATTTTACACACTCGTGCACAAAGTTATTACTACACACTCTCATATAACACTAAAAAATTACAATTTACTCATTTAAAAATACGTTTTATGCATTCCTCAATAAATAAATAAGCTAAATAATATTTTAAGCACATCTTTTGGTTCTTAAAACTTAAATACACAAAAAATATCTTAGAAAAAGATACCTGATACTCTAAACATTCCACGTTGTCCTTTTTGTATCAATTTTCCCGTCTCTACACCTTACTGTTTGTTTACCAGACCGTCAAACATTTCAATCCACCTAAATTACCGCACATTGCGACAAATTTCTTCCGGTAACACTCTGTGTATCCGAGTTGAAGCTTGTAAGTGTAAGTGGCGATCGTTTGCGGGCGGTGACCGGGTAAGATATATCGAAATTCGATTGCGAATTGCACCGAATGTCCACTCGAGTTGTTCCCGGTTTTTGGCGTCCATGTGGAGGAGCCGGGCATCAACCGCTCAAACGCAGGAAGTTCCCAACGTCCACTACGCCTGAACGTCAGAGCTCAGAATCGAGTACTTCTCCGTGCAAAACGCGCCTCATCGCACACTGCGTCTCGTCCCATCCAATTGATATCGCTAATATTTTATTTCGGCGATTTCCAAGCGCATTTTGCGACATTTTCGGCTTGATGTATTTGAAAGCATGATTTATACGCCGATATATTTAAACAAATATTTTAGGAAACAATTGCGGATGTGATAGAATGTAAAATTATTCAATTTGGCGTGACGCCATTGCGCGCAAACAGGAAACATCATACAGATCAATCAAAACAAGATACGCTATGCAAAGAAGTGCAAGCTGCGCAAGCTTTGCGCGCTGGCAGTGCTGACGAGTCTCGCTTGTTAGTTTTACAGCGGCCTCTCGTTCTCCCAGCGCATGGAAATGACATGTAAATATCCTTCGAGCGCGACCGCTGAGAGAGGATCTCGTCAATTAAATTCAGCAAATCATTCGCGAGACGGATTTAAATCCTGCCGCTGACGGAAAGCTCTCAAAGGAAACAAAATCTAAACGTTGTCATCATCGTTGCCTCGTCGTCATTAAACAAAGAGCTTTATTCATTACGCGATGCTTTTTCATAAGATCCGATAATATACTGTGTGTGTGTGTGTTTATTACTGCGACCGAAATTAATTAAAGATATTAAATTTTCGTTTTGATTTTTTTTTCTCTGGGTTTTGGGAGAGGAAAAAATATTGTTTTTATAGTTAACACACTGTTTTACTAGTAGTGATTCGACGGAAAGCAAAAGGAGGAAACGTTTTGTGTTCGCGTAGTTGAGGAAGACGTTGATTGAGACATCGGCCATAACGGGTTGTTTTTCTTGCGCTATCGGCGGATGGAAGCACTTCATTACGGTGCAACCAGGCAAGAAAAGCGCCGTAAAACGTTTGCGATTGTCGTCCGGAATGTGGGATTTTTTCACGTCGCGCGCGAGTAGCAAACGAGCTGAAATAAAGCTCGCGATGAACGACAGGACTATTTCTTTTGGCTTTTCATTTAGTTTTTGTGTTCAATCAGTAACACAAATTGGAAAAAATATTATTTTTAAAAACTATTTCATCAATAATATTTATTTAGTGTGTAAAGTAATAATTTTATGCATTTGTGTGGAAAATTACTATTTTTGTCATCAAATTTAAAAGAAATTTGTCATTTTTATGAAAAACTTTCTTTCAAAACTCGCTTTTACTTACTTTTTGAAGGTAGTGCCTAAAATTACGTTTTCGGCATTAATTAATCGGAAATTGCGATATTTTTCTGTAAAATTACTTTGTTTGTACACATCTTTATCTTGCATTGCATGAAACATACTTTAAAAAACATTTTTTGACGGTCAAATACCAAAAATTGTAATTTTCTTAAAAAAATCACTTTGAAAAGACTTTCCGAAGATTTCAGATCATACTATAACGTTTTTTTAAGTAAAATGTGTGGGTGTACAAACATCTTTATCGTGCAACCTAAAAATATCCTTAAAAGCACGACGTTTTATAAAGAAATATTAAAAATTGTTATTTTCATTCCAACTTCCCTCTTAAAAAACATTTTGAGTATTTAAATCCTAAATGTTTCGCCTTACTAATAAAAATTTCAATTTTTTTCTTTAAATTTCTTAAAATTTCATATTTTCTGGTCAAAATCTCTTCATTTCTCTGCATTTTCACCTCATATATGAAAACTCACCCCTTTTCTTCCCTTGCACCATAAAATATTATAGTATACCCAAAACTAACTGTATCTACACGAAATATTTCATCCGCCTTATTTCGTTTTCCATTGTCCGAGCAGTCATAACAACCCGCCGAGTGGAAGATTATGATGGGCGTAATCCCTCTTCATTCGAGCGCGCCTTGTTTGCGCGCGCTCCTGCTAATCTACTCGAAGCAATCTCTTGCGTATCGTGCGCACTCAGGCCGGCCCCGTTTTCTCCCAGCAGATTTGTTCGCAATTAGCAGGGAAACATACATTCGGCGGCGATCGCCCGAAATCGACGAAAATCGCACGCTCAATCGCCGGCGCGCGCGCTCGTAACATAGGGTTGGAATTGACTCTTATCTCGGGTCGGATCGGTGTGCGGCCGCCGCGCGTCGACACACTTTATCAACTTCATCATTTCGACAAATTTGCGTTCGAAAAACTAAAAATTTTTATCCCGCAACACAAAGAAATCGATTATTACACATTACACATTATCTCAATGTGTGTTCCACCTTGGCTATGATGATTTATGGCCGTGTTAGGGGCGAATTCTAAAATGTAGCCCGGCGCCTCCACACGCACCAACAATATATTTTAGTTTCTTACATTCTGTCACTTCCAGCGGTCTATATCAGCGCATTGATCTCAATTGACATTAAAACTAAAGATTTTTTATGTTTCTGGATATAAACCACCGTGTCATCCATGTAGTCCGCCTTGATTTATAACGATTTCTACAGCGCGCATGATTTTCGCTACAAATTTTTTGAATATATTAAGTATGAATCGTTGAATATGAAATACATCACGGTTGATTAACGCGCGCTTCATTCCGCATTCATGCACCGGCCGAGCGCGCACGCACGTTGGGAAACAAACCATTGTGCCTTTCTTCGGGCATCGCATGGCATGGGAAAACGGGAAGCAAATTCCCAGCGAGTCGCGCCGTCGAGAGTCGGCACGCAATCCGTGGCGCAATCGCACCTCGCGCCCTCCGAATACGAGAGACCGGTTTGATACCAGCGCGAATTTAGTACGGCGGCGTCATCCAAGCTGATATCTTTAACAAATTCTCACAAATTTTCAAACTTCAAATACGCGCTAAGTATACAACCAAGTATACACATGTGACACAATATGGATTATAAAATATTTTTACAAATAAATTTTAAGTGTTGAATTACATAAAACAGGACATGTGACCTTCAAAATGTGTCGTAAATTATTTACGCATCTAATAATTCATTTACTACTGTTGAAACTTTTTTATGGTACGTAAAACTTTGAAAATTATGAAATAATTTGTTGGATATTTAAATATTTTGCTGGCGTTGCATGTATATTCTAATATATCAAAATAATGCGTTGAATGTGAATTTATATGCGGCGTGCAAACACAACAATAAACTAAAGTTTCAATATTGACACGACGACGGCTGTCGGCCGAAGAGTGAATTTTGTACCGACGTGGGCAACTTTTGTGCACACAATATTTACACAAATATAAACTATGTCGAAATGTATATACAATATATTCCACGGTGCAATGTTTGTTTTTAATCATTCGCCTTGTGCGCGTATTTATTCGAACGCGGCGCAAAATCGATGCGAACAAATGAAATTCAACGCGAATCAATTTAATTAATAATTATATCTTGTTGGTAAGATAATCCCCGTTCGGGCTGTTGCAATCAATTCCAATTAGTGCATGATCAGAATACAACTATCATTAGATTTGCATTTCATCGTCCTGCGGGGATGATGTGTAGGTATATCGATTAGCTCACATCTTGGCATGTCTCATACGAGTACACACAGCGACAATTATCGTCATATCACAACATCTGTGTTTGGCCAGGCGGGTGAAGTGGGCGGGCGGGTGTATATTTGCAATGCAAATTGAAGCTAAATATTGTGCTAGCTGTCGATGCGCGTCGTGGAAAGCCAAAAAGTCAATTCATGAATTCTGGAATGCGTGAAACTGTTTCAGCTTTTTCGTACACGTCGGTGTCGTCTTCGTTGTCGTCGTCGGCGGGGTCGCCGGGAGGATTGAAATGGGTGCGCGTCAATCTGCCGCAGTATCGCCGGCCCGGTGAGACGGCGCAATTGCAGTGCGATTATGACCTGGGCAACGACACCCTGTACGCCGTCAAATGGTACAAGGACGACGAGGAGTTCTATCGCTTCGTGACCAAGGAGCGACCGCAAGCGACCAGCCATCGTGTCGACGGCGTACGCGTAGCGGTGAGAATTCTTCTTGAAGAATAAAACTTGGATATATATTAGCTTTAGGAACTTTCACTTCAATCTGAAGTTATTAAATTGTTCTTAAAGTTAAAACTTACGTAAAAGTTTGGCAAAGTTAAAATTTTTTTCTGTGTGCGATTAAAAGGTGGCCAAGTCGGATAGCAGAAGGGTGATTTTACCGGCGGTGGACGTGCGTACAGGCGGATTGTATCGCTGTGAAGTGTCTGCCGAAGCGCCTTCCTTCGCCTCCGCACAGAGCGAGGCCCGCATGGATGTAATATGTGAGCTTATATTAAAAAAAGTCGAAATTTTTATGCGTAATTTTAAAATTTTACCCACGCAAAGCATTTCCCAGCGAAGATCCGAAAATAACAGGCATGAAAATACAATATCAAATCGGAGACAATATCGACATTAATTGTACTTCCGGAAGAAGCTTCCCAGCAACGATTCTACACTGGTACATCAACGAAAAACCCATACTCGTATGTTTAATATATCTACGTATAAGTTCAAAATTCACTATTTGTGTGTGTGTGTGTGTGCTTTTTTGTTGATGCAGGTGTCTGGCGACAAAGCGCAGCTGATAAACTACCCGGCTCGCCAGCACAAAGACGGTTTGATAACGAGCGTTTTGGGGCTGCGTTTTGCGCTGCACGCTCACCACTTTCGCGGCGGCGATTCGATGCGGGTGAAGTGCGTCGCCTCCGTCTCGCCGGCCGTGGTCGAGAACCTGCCTGTCAGGGATCTGCGCGAAGCCCTGTTGCTCGGTGAGTGTGCCAGCCGGATAAAAACCATCGCCGTGCATTGTCGTGCTAAATAAGTACATCAACATCAACTTTATCCGACGTTACCATCACAATTTCTATTCAGGTTATGATTACCGCTTGACTTGACTGGGTTTTGTTGTTGTTGCAGTGAAAAACGATGCGACAACGATGAATATTCGCACATCAATTCTCGTTTGTATAATGGCGTTCCGGGTTTTACTTAACCTACAATGAAAAATTTCAAAATCAACGACTTTTGAATTGATTTATGTACATATATAAGTGATTAAATTCATTAGAAAGTATATTATATTCGTATATTCTATTATTACCTGTTAAACATCCCTTTTTATGTTGATTTTTCTTTTAAAATTAAGAGTGAGTCGAAAATGTGATTTTATACCAACCATTTGTTTATTTTATGTGTATTGTGGGTTGCCTATGGTGAGTGGCATGTGAGGTAAGTAAAATAGAGAAATTTTTGTGCGAAAGATTGATGAAAAATTGTAAAATGACTGATTTAAAACACGACAATAAGAGGTGATTGCGGCTAATACGTGAACCGTGCACGTTTTATCATTACACGCACGCGATTCCATCGTCATTATTAGGTTTCCCAAACGCGCAAGCGCCCTAATTGAACGCTCACCTGCTCCACTCGATCGCGTCGAAATCACGAACATTTAGCATTTAACGTCGCCCCGATTCACGTTCACATCTTTTAACAGTGCTTGCCACTCGAAACATTACGATCTTAATCAAAGCCGCGCACAGATTGCGCGCATAAAACACACAAACACACAACAAACGTAAATAAAAAATTCGTGCGTTGTTGTTCATATTTTATTTGCGCGTCTATATAAAAATAGTTGGACAAGCACAAAGCGCACAGCGGCGTGCAACGGATATAAATAACACTACAACTTTAGGCGGAACGAAGCGTTACGGCCGGTTGGGCAAAAAGTTGTAAAACGAACGCACCACACGCCGAAAGCGGTATTTAATGATAGATAAACCCAGCGGGAAAATCCAGCCGAATCAGCGTGTGTGGATATTTGGCGAGTGTGACCGGATCGCCGGATAACAAACGAGCCGTTGAATATTTATATTCAATTTCTCCGGCTGGAAATAAGTTTATTTCGGGAAGCAGCAGCAGCAGTGGAGAGGTTCGTAGAGGAGGCGAGCTCGAAAAGTCAAAACTATCGAAACGAAATCGAAGTTTATGCGCGCTGATGCCGACAGGGAGTTTTCCGCTCGGCGAAGGATGATGGCAGATGATGGAAGCCCGCCGTCGGACGGATGGCACAAATAAGGCATCAGCGAGGAGTTCTTGCATGAAACGCTGATACGCAGCGACGACACGTCGAGTGGAATCTCGTGTATTATCCGATGGCAAATTGCATACATAAACTTTCAAAACTAAATAAACATTTCGATGCTTTTTTTTAGATTTTTTAGTTTAAAAATGATGCAGTAGAGAAAAAATATTATTACTGGTTTAACGATATTAGGAAGAAACATTTAACAGCGTTCAATAAGGTTTTTATTAAACGGAAAACGGCGATTCATCTAGCGCGACGATATCTTTGATCGTTTCCTTGCGTTATCTATGAATGCTGCGTTTTTACTGCCGCAAGCGGACGTTATTTTATCGGCGTTCGTTTATCGAACGTGAAAGTGTCCGAAATGGCGGTCCAAGCGCGTCTGGGCATAAATGAGGTAATGAAAATGCAGTCGATCAAAATACGAAACCACAAAATGTCAGAAAAGAAACTAGACTTGCGTATGGTCGTAAATTTTACACATTTGACAACATTACACACGCTAAGAAAACACATAAAGGGGAGTTTAATTCATTTTTTGCTATTGACGTTGGTTATATACTGTGTATGAAAAGTTGCCTAGCTTAAAACAACTTAACTTCAATTTTTAACCTTTTTCTTAGTTTTTCCGGTTTTTTAATTGATATTATGTGATTTAAATAAGAAACAAATTTAAAAAATTATGAAATTTAAAAGTTTGTTAAATATTAAATGCAAAATATGAATATTTATTATTTGATTGACAGTTTATTGATAATTAATTATCAATAAGTTAAAAAATAGTTTTTTTTTAAATTTTAGTGCTAAACAAACAAAAAATTAAACAAAAAAATATATATTTGCTTTATATCTATATCTAAATTGATGAAACTTAAAAATTTGTTAAATATTAAGTGTAAAACTTGAATATTTATCATTTGATTGACAATTTATTGACAATTTAATGCCAATAAATTAAAAAATCGTTTTTTGTTTAATTTTAGTGCAAAACAAACAAAAAATTAAACAAAAATAGTTAAAAATATATTTGCTTTATATCTATATCTAAATTGATGAAACTTAAAAGTTTGTTAAATATTAAGTGTAAAACTTGAATATTTATAATTTGATTGGCAGTTTATTGACAATTTATTGCCAATAAATTATAAAATCGTTTTTTTTTTATTTTAGTGCGATGCAAACAGAAAATAAAACAAAAAATATATTCCTGCTCTATATCTATACATAAATAGTATAGTTCAGTATGGGAATACTTAAGTGACTTGTTGGAATTTGTTCTTTTCCGGTCGGTTGGATGCTTCAAAGATTTCGCTGCCAAAAAGCACATCCGGCGTGTTTTTGGTCGGTTGGACATAAGCCGCGGGTCGAGTGGGCATACTAGCGTATGCACAGTGACACATACGCAACATTTGCAGATAGCAACAGCCGAAAAAAAGGCCAAAAAACGAGGCCGGCAATAGTTGAAACACGCAAATAAGTTTTTTATGCGCTGTTAGACCGACTTACACTTGCCGTGCAGGAAGTAGACGTGCGCATTTCTTGCACGGCGCTCAGGTACCTTTTTTATTTGCGCGCGTCTATCTTTTCTGTGTGGGCGTTTTTTTTTTCTGATAAAATATGCAAAGATGAGCTCCGAGAATGGAAAGAAGGGAGTCTAGGAGCCTCAAGTCTGAAGGTTTGTGGCTTTCGGCCGATTCTATTCGGTGCTGCGGTGCATTTTACAGTCGCTGCTCGTTCCAACAAAAATATACAGAATGTTTATAAAAATAATATAAGACAAAAAGAAAAACTTAACATAAAGTAATATAAAAAGTAAGATTTAAATTTTAAATATTTAAAATGGTTTTATATATTGTAGAAATAAATATTTAGCGTGAATTTGTTAATAAATGTAGTGGAAGTAAAGCGTAGAGATTAAAAATTCAGTTTCATATTTTGTAATTCCGCTTGATGATGTATTGCGGTGACTTGTGCTATTCTTTATGCCCGGCGCCTTCACACGCTTCAAATAATTGTCATAAATACTAAAGTAACATAAAAAACTAACATTCGGTGCAAATTTTACTTTTTATAACAAGAAAAAAACTAGAAATATTAACTTTAATATTAAAGTAAATAAATATTAGTTGAAATGTAATTATAACCTTATAAATTGTTAAAATTAATTGTTTTTATGCCAATTTAAAGTTAAAATTGAATAAAAAAAAACGCTAATAATGCAGTTTAACGCCATCTAGATTCAAATTATATAAATAAAATTATGAATAAATTTCCTTTACAACTTTCATCCCTTATTTAACACTCTTAAAGTTATATTTTTGCAACAAAAAGTAGCCTATTGTTTTTTCCTTCTTTAAAAATATATCTCTACCAAAATTTATCAAAATTTGTTGAGTGGTTTGTGTTTCAAAGCGACACAAACAAACAAATAAACAAAATTTTAATTTTTTTAATGCTGCATATCATAAATATTAATAATTATTATAAATAATATAATCATTTATGCAACATTTTACTTTCCGATTGACACAACTCCTTCCTCTCACAATTCCTCCCGCATAAAACGCTTGAAAACAGAAACTAAATCTGTTACTCTGGACGCGCGCCTCCAACAGAGGATAATCCAGATTTGATCAGACGAGCGTCCGTAAATCCCACATGCAAAACAAAATACTCTAAACACTAAAAAGTTAAACTTTCGCAAATAACAGAAACATGCTTAAACTAAACATGCATTGCAATTGCAAGCCATAATAACCACTTGTGAAACTCATAGAAAAGTCATGGAAAATTCGCGCATGGTGCTGTTGAATGAGTATGCAATTTCGTAACAAAAAATGAACGGCGCATATCGTACGAGTGCATCTTTTTAAGAACGTTTTCACGCGTCAAGTGTTAATTCTTCAACACGCAGCACAAAACCAAAGAAAACTCACTGAGTACCCGAGTGGTAAGTAAACAAGAGGTAATGAAAGAAGGGGAATGAAACAAAACGCATGATTTTGTATTTTTTGAATCAGAAAATGCAAAAAATAAAAAAAATGATAAAAAAAAAGAAATCTGTCATGCATTCACATATTTTAACATCTCATAAGGGAATTAATAGTAATGTGCTGTGAAACGATGTTCGAATTGCGTTAGTTGAGTCGCAGAGTAAACAGGTATCCGTGGAGGCGCCTCCACTCTTCCCGGCGCCTCCACCCACCGTGAACTGTTGAACTTTAACTGGAAAACTGTCTAAAGTATGGAAATCATGCCTTCGTCGTCCCTTGTGACTTTAAGCCGTGCTACAATTCTACTTTATGCCACCACAACTACATTCTATTTCATTTTATTTTTTATATTCCTTATTCTTTGTTTGCTTATTATTCGCACTGCTTAAAGAGACATTTTCTTTCGGAATTCTTTTCTTTGTGTTATACATTCTTACAGTATCGCTAAGTATTGAATCAACACCGTGTTTCTGCACTTGCCGCGCGTGAACTAGCACTCGGCTGTCAAACCTCGCACAGTTTTGTTTGCTCGCTGCCGCCATCGCCACCGCCGCGCGCCGCCGAGTTTGATATGTTTATCTCGCGTGCGAGCGCGGGCGCGCGTTCCTCCGCATCAAATGTGCTCGATGTTAGGAAACGGAGACGCACTCCGTGCCTGCGAATGCCATTAGCGTTTGAATATTTAATGCGGCACGCAACTCACCCTCTGGCTTCGAGGCGGGGCGGTAGACGACTGAATAAAAGCTGGGTGGGTGTAGGTATAGTAGTGGTGGGTAGGTGTGCTCATTGTGTGGTTTGCGTAAAACACTTCAAATAAAAGTAATTCGGGGCATAGTTGGGTCGTGTTTTCATAGCGCCAAGTGCGAAACGTGTTAGTTAATCATTTGTTTTATATAGGCAACCAGATTTACTATAGTGTATAACCTAGAAGTTGTCACGAAAAGTTTTCTGCTTTTTCATCAATAAATGTCATGTTAAATTATTGTTAAA